AAAAGGATGAAGGTAAAGACAAACCTTGATTGAATTGTCCAAGTTATAGTGGAACTCATATTAGATACAGAGAATAAAGCTAGATACTGTATTATAGTCTACAAACACATTGTGAGAAAAAGCAGAATATATACTCATGCAAGCTTATTGGTTTATTTGGTTTCTTCACGCAGAGTATTTCAATTACATACTTTACTACTTTTCTAATTCTACTATATTTTATTATTATACATGTATTAATACTTTTTAAAAAGAACTCTATAAAATGTCAATTATCAGCATAAATAACAAAAAAAAAAAAACACGAAAAATTTCAATCAATAATATCGAAGATGACAATAAATAACTACTAAAAATAGATTATAAATGTTAATAACACGTATTCTATTTCGAGAAGATGCAATAATTTTTCTTTTCTTATTCTTGCAGAATTCGCTAAATATTTAGATATTACGCTATATTATTATAGTGGATATATGTACGGCTTATATATGTACATAATGCATTTATGACACTAAATCTTGATCTTGTGTTACATTATTCTCAAATTTCTCCATTTCTGTTCTTCTCTATCTTTAGTGTCATTTTCATTTTCATTTTTTTTTTTGTTTTTTTCGCATCCAAAAAATTCATAATACTAATTGCACAAACTTAAGAAGAATGGTAATCTCTATTTCCGCATTTTTATTTTTCTTATTTTTTTTGGAAATAGAGAAATGTTGATTTAAATATGAATGATTTTATTGATATACAAAAAGTTAGAATGAGATAAGAAAAGCTAATGAAATAATAGACAAAGTTTGTTAATTTTCATTAATAAGTTTGGTTTCTAGTCATTCTTGGAAATCCTCACCAAATTTCAAGAATATTAACCATTCTTGAACAAATAGGATTACTTGTTCTTCAATATATATATATTCACTGACGGTAGAATGATGATTTTCATCTAAATTCATGAATTCTAAGATGAAACATGGCTTGAAGAACAGCCTGGGTTATACTTTCCGTAACAATTTATGGAAAATGGTTCATTCTAATGTTCAATTGCTTATAATGTACCAATTCTTAAACCTTACTTTTTATGACAAGAAGTTTTTGATAATTTGACAATTCCAAGCAATAAAAATATATAGAAACGTAATGTATACAGTTACAATCATTAAAAGACTTGATATTTGAATCTTATTACTGTGGTTCTTATTGAAATCTATATGGGTAGTTGCTAAACTTTGTAGTACGAGATAAGAGAGGTATATTTTTTTTATTGCCCTAGTCATCTTCATATCATTTTTACTTCGTCATAAATGCAAGAAATGTAATTCCATTCAGCTAGACTTTTACCTTTCAAGGGACAATACCATCTTTTCTTTTTCCATTCCAAAGATGGTCACTGTATATTGAAGAAGTTGAGTATATCAATATCCGAGATGACCGGTAGTTCAGAAATTACCACAGTAAGATACACCATCAACTACTAATTGGATATCATTATTCTGACGCAAATGTGATGATCTGCTTAATGCATTGGTGATGGCAAAACCTCGAGTTCACTTGCTTGTTTTTATTGTTGTTCACTGACCATTCCATGATATAGCACTATATCACATTCATGGCTCAATTTATTATTCAACACCTAATTATCTATTGCTACCAAAAATATTTTCTTACTTCTCGAATTCATTGCCATTAATTTACAACCGAATGGGATTCCGTAAGTATATTTTTTGCTTAAAAAAAAAAATTAAAAATGAAATTCGTATTATCGTGTACCTGAATCTAAAAAACGTGATTTTACTTTGTGTGATTTTTTTATCCCGCGCACACTACTCTGCGATACTGTGTATTCTCTTTTTTGTAACTTCCTTTGCTATTCTTTTTTTTTTCCTTCCTTCCCCCTTATCATACATTTAAACATACTAAAAAAAAAAGAGCACCAATAAATTTATACCCATCATTCAATTTAGAAATACTTAAAAAAAGTTCTTGTTTTGTTAGTTACCATTCAGTTTTTTACAATAGAGTGTGTGATTGAGAGAGATAAATACCTTTTACTTCATATCAATTTTTCCATATTTTTTTTTTGACATTAAAACGAAATGCTGACATCAAAGACGGGATCCTTATCAAATCAACATAATTTTACTCCTGATATGGATCAAAGTGATCACGCAAAAATTGCCACCACCAAGGATAAAGATAATAACACCAAAATTTCTGATTCTATTGTGGATATTCCTTCTCCACCACCTTCAAAGACGGGTTCTAGTGTAGTTCCAGTTGATGAAGATTGGTCTATTATTTCTTCTTCTTCAGATATAGATGATGAAAGATCAACCACTAGTTCATTTGAATATCAAAGAGCAACTTCAGGTCCAACTGGGGTGTTTGGTGATGTTTCTGGTAGTAAAGAATCCTTAAAAGTTCCTCGTCAGTTTATCAATAATGCTGCTTCTAGATCAAGATCAACGGCTAATGAACAGGAATCTTGGAATGATCTTGAAGACTCACAGAATACTATTTCTACTCCATCAGGTTCTAGTAAAGGAGATATTGAAGTTGAAGAACAAGGAGATGAAGAAGAGGATTTAATTGATGTTGATTCTAAGATTAAGTTTTTTGAAAATTTGAATGATTCTATTAAACAGAAATCAAATCAGTTTTATCATGATTTTGCTAAAGTTCATTTAGACAATTATATTACTGAGCAACAAAAACATGCTGGTTGTAATAGTTCAGGTAGTGGTGTCACCACCTGTTCTACTTCTTCATATTCAGATGGATATGATATGGATGATACTATTGAGTTGTTGGCAGATGGTAGTCGTGTAATCATTGGTTCACCGGGAGAATTGAAACCACCTTCTCTCCAAGAGAAACCAAAACCAAAGCAAAAGAAAGTCAAGTCCAAGAAGAATAAAAAGTTATTGATTCGTGCTGTTGAACAGTTGCAGATTTTCTTGGAAGCTCATTCTGATTACCTTTATTATTATATTTTTGCCGCTATGATTATTGGTATAATTCCTGCTTATTTTGCTGCTAATTTCGTTTTGTTTCCTAAGCCAGTTAAACAGGCTAGTTGTGTTGATAAATTGGGACAAGTATGGGATACTTTATTGTATGAAGATGTATCACCACCAAGCATATTTGGCAAGAAGCAAAAAATTAACAAGTTGTTTAAATTTGGAACTCAGGTTAAAGATACCATTAATGGAGATGTAATTCCTCAAATCAATTCATTTGCCGATAGAGTGAATTTTTATGCCACCAATACAGTATTCCCACAATGTGCTATGTTTTGGGCCAAATCTCAGGATTTTAGCAGATCAAGTCTGAATACTTTGGGCAAGTGGTGGACAGAGTACAGCACCATGGGATTGAATAAATTTGATGAGTTTAGCAAGATTGGATATGAAAAATCTGGGGAATATAAAGAAATAGGGTTGAAGAATTTTGGAGTTTTGCGCAACACTACTAGTGTGTATTCAAAGATTTGGGCTAAAAACATAATAGCTGGTTCTAATGATGTTTACCATAATCTTAAAGTTGTATTCAAGCAAGAAAGTCAACATGTGAAACTTTTATCTGATAGTTTCGTTAAGAGAATGATTGTATTTAATGAATATCAAAAGGATAAAGTTGAGAAAGGTTGGGGAGAGTTGGTCAGTTTATGGAACTCTGAAGCTCCTAAATTTAAAGCCACTTTAGACCAGAATTCTGTGGAAATTTACAAGAATGGAAAAAAAATGTTTAATTTTGTTGTTGAAAGGTTTTCTTCTTAGTTTTAATTTTTATCTGTCCTTTCCAATATTTTTCTTTCTTTTTAATTATCAATTCTTAGATGTTAATGGTTCCAATGTGTTCTCCTTTCCTCCCTTTTTTTTCTCTTTTATCGGCGCTTGTGTGTTTTGTTTCTTACTGGTTTACTTTTATTATTATTTGATTAGTTGTTATATGTTTGGATTTAGGAAATTTTGTTTATTAAATAGGTCTAGTATACTGTCTATTTTTGTTTCTGGATCCACATGGCATTAACTTCTCTCTCTCTTTTCTTTTTGCAGTCAGTCTGATGTTAATGAGCAACTGAATCACGAGTCGTGTACGATGGTACGGGCAATTCTTGTGCCATTAGCGTGAATCACCCTTGAACAACCAAACAGCGAAAAAAAAACTTCTCTTTCAACATCAACAAATTTCAGACAACCAGAAGAAGAAAAAGAACAAAAAAAAAAGAAAATCTGGAAAAATCTTACAACCACGTTAACTTTCATTAACACAACCCTACCTCCCATTCTTTAACATTTCAAAAATTTGTTTTCACTTTTTGGTTTTATCATTATTATTGTACTGCTTTAATTCAGAAATAACTTTGTATTATTAGAATTCTAGAAATCAAAACCAACGATTATTACTTTTTTTTTTTTAATTTTTGATATATATTGATACATTTTTTTGTTGTATTTTCACCAACCGAAATTAAAGACTAGGAGAATTAGAGAAATAAACAAGCAAGCATTATGGGTATTCCAAAATTTTTCAGATTCATCTCAGAGAGATGGCCATTAATTTCTCAATTAATAGATGAGAATCAGATACCGGAATTTGATAATTTATATCTTGATATGAATTCCATTTTACATGCATGTACTCATTCTAATGATGATACTTTAACTAGACTTACGGATGATCAAATGTATAGTGCTATTTTCAATTATATTGATCATTTATTCCAAATCATTAAACCAAAAAAGACATTTTATATGGCTATTGATGGGGTTGCCCCACGAGCAAAAATGAATCAACAAAGAGCTCGTAGATTTAGAACTGCTTATGAAGCGGAAGAAAATTTGAAAAAGGCTATTGCAAATGGTGAAGTTATACCTAAAGAAGATCCATTTGATTCAAATTCCATTACACCAGGTACAGAATTTATGAGTAAATTAACTGTAAATTTAAAATATTTTATTCATAAGAAAATTACTGAAGATTCTAATTGGGCAAATATTGATATTATTTTAAGTGGTCATGAAGTTCCTGGTGAAGGGGAACATAAAATCATGGAATATATTAGAGCAATTAGATCACAACCAGAATATAATCCAAATTTAAGACATTGTATTTATGGGTTAGATGCAGATTTAATCATGTTGAGTTTAGTGACTCATGATCCTCATTTTGCATTATTGAGAGAAGAAGTCACTTTTGGACCTTCAAAGAAAAGTCTTGGAGATAAGGATTTAAGTGATCAAAAATTTTTCCTTTTGCACATATCTTTATTGAGAGAATATTTGAGTTTAGAATTTCAAGATCTTGAAAACCAATTGACGTTTGAATACAATTTTGAAAGAATATTGGATGATTTCATCTTAATTATGTACGTTATTGGTAATGATTTCTTACCCAACTTGCCTGATTTGTTTATAAATAAAGGTGCATTCCCTTTGTTGATTGCTGTCATCAAGCAAGCCTTGTTGGACAGTGATGGTTATATCAACGAAAACGGTAAGATTAATTTGAAGAGATTAAATATTTACTTCAAAAAATTATCCAACTTTGAATTTGAAAACTTCGAGAAGAAGGAAGTTGATGTTGAATGGTTCAACAAGAAATTAAATGATGTTTCGATCTCTGGTGAAAAGAAACGTCAACAATTGGGTAAATTGATCATTTTGAAAGATCAAAAGAAATTGGTAGGTTCCATTAAACCATGGCTCATGGAATGGGCTTCACAACCAATCGAAACTTTGTTATCTTTGGAAAATGAAGGGAAATTGCCAACTTTGAAATTGAATAAGGACGATGTTGAGAATAATTTGGATTTCATCAAGGAATTTGCCTTACAAGCTGGATTCTTGATTATTCATTCTAAATCTAACGATACTTATGAAGCAAAGATTGATGTTGATGGTATAATACCAACTGAATCTGAAGAAGAGCGTAATGACAGAATCAATGAATTGAGAAAAACCATCAAGGAATATCAATCAGCTGAGTTGATTGAAAGTGAAGAAGTGTTGAATGAAACCAAGAGCGTTTATTCTCACAAATTTGAAGATTGGAAGGATAATTATTACAAGAGTAAATTGCATTTCTCAATCAAAGAAGATAAAGAAGAGTTGTTGAAATTAACCACACATTATGTTGAAGGTTTACAATGGGTTTTGTATTATTATTATCGTGGTGTTCCATCTTGGAATTGGTTTTACAAGTACCATTATGCACCAAGAATTTCTGACATCTCTCTTGGTTTGGAATATTTGATTGAGAATAATATCGAATTGACATTTGAAAAATCTCATCCTTTCAAACCATTTGAACAATTGATGGCTGTTTTACCAGCAAGATCAAGAAAGTTAATGCCATTGGTGTATCGTCCATTGATGACTGATGAAAAATCCCCGATTATTAATTTCTACCCTCATGAAGTTGATATTGATATGAATGGGAAAACAGCAAGTTGGGAAGCTGTTGTGTTGTTGGATTTCGTTGATGAAAAGAAATTGATTGATGTGTTGAAACCAATTGAAGAGAAATTAACACCCGATGAAACAGCAAGAAACTCTTATGGTTCCCCAATCAAATTCATTCACAACCCACAGATCGATCATGTTTACCCAACTTCATTACCTGGTTTCTTCCCTGACCTTGAACACGACAAATGTTATGAAGAGGATTTTGTTTTACCTGAAATTAAAGATTTGAGAATTGGATTTATTGAAGGTGCTAAAACAGGTTTAGATTTATTGGCTGGTTTCCCAACATTGGATTCTGTTCCATTTACTTCAGAATTAGCACTTAATGATGTTAAGATTTTCAACTTCCCTTCAAGATCAGAATCCATGGTTTTGAACATTGAGAATGTTTGGGCTGACTTAACTGTGGCTCAGTTTGCGCAACAGTTTATGAACAAATTGGTTTACTCCAAATGGCCATTCTTGAGAGAATGTAGAGTTGTTAGAGTCATGGATAATGAAACCAAATATGAATCATATAGAACTGAAACTGGTTTAAAGAAAGTTGTTGGTACTGAATTATCTAGTGATGAAAGAAAACAATTCAGATCAGATGTTTCAACTACTAGAGTCACATTTGATAAACAAAAGGGTGTTAAATTAGGTGCTATTGATGTTTTGGTTTATGTTAAACCAGTCAATGGGTTAATTAGAAACCAAAGAGGTGCCTATGTTAAAACATATGCTAAGGAAGAAGAAGTGTATCCTATCCAATTGATTGTCAAAGAAGTTATTAACAAAGATGAAAGATATGCATCCAGACCAGCGTTACCAATTGATCAAGAATTCCCACTTGAATCCCAAGTTGTATTCTTGGGAGACATGGCATATGGTTCACCAGCCAAAGTTGTTGGATTCAGTGATGATAAAAAGAAATTGAACATCAAAATTTTCAAGATTCAATCCACTGCTGAACCAAATATTGGTAAGAAGAGATTGGCCGTTGAAAACAAAGAAATCAATTATTATCCATCATTCGAGGTCAGTAAGACTTTAAGAATGAGTTCATATTTGTTATCCCGTATCACCAGTCAATTCATGGTTAAAGATGGAAGACAAAGTATCAACATTGGTTTGGAATTGAAATTTGAAAGTAAAAGACAAAAGGTTTTGGGTTATACCAGAAAACTGGCCAATGGTAAGTTTTGGGAATTCTCTCCACTTGCTGTCAATTTGATCAACAAGTACAAGACAAAATTCCCTGCATTGTTTAAGAATTTAGAAAATGTTGGTCAAGGTATTCCAGATGTTTCGGAAATTCTGAGTAGCTCTGAAATCAAGGAAGTCAGATCATGGTTAAAAGAAGTCAAAAGTGAGTTGATTCCGGTTTCATTGGAGAGTGAATCTTTTACCAAGTTCAGTTACCAAGCTATTGAACAATACATGGATAATTATATTTTGAATCAAGTTCCAACCATTAACAAGGATATTCGTGGTGTTCCAAGAGAAGCCATCTTAAACGCCGGTGAATCCTATCAATTGTTGAGTGATCAAAGATTTGAATTAGGAGATAGAGTTATCTATGTTCAAGATTTTGGTAAAGTTCCAATTTTAAGTAAGGGTACTGTTGCTTCTATTTTAACTGTTGGTAGCAAAACTTCATTGGGTGTTATATTTGATGAACCTTTGTTGGGTGGTAACAATATGGGTGGTAAATTAAATAGCAGTCGTGGGTTGATCATTGATTCTTCATTGGTTTTGAATCTTTCCAAAAAGCAATTTGTTTACCATTCCCAAGCTTCAAAGAATAGAAAGAAGATGACCGAACAAGAAAAGATTGCTAAAATTAAAGCCTATGAAGCTAAAAAAGCCGCTGCCACTGGTCAACAACAACAGCAACAACCAAAGAGACAATCGCCTCAACCACAAAAGCAAGGTAAACAATCTGGTCAACAAAAGAAACAAGAATCCGATGCTAACCAAGTTGAACCACATAAACATCAAAAAGGTTCTAATGAATTGTTGTCTTTGTTGAGAAAGAAGCTGGATACTAAAAAGGGTGAAGAATCTGAAGAAAAACCTGTTGACAACGAGAAACAACAAAAGCCAGAAGAAGCAGATGATGATGAAAGAGTTGATCCAAATGCTATTAAGCAGATTTACGGACGCATTTATTCAAATGTTATGAATCAAGGTAATGGAGTTGTGCCAACTGGCGTTCCAATGCCACCACCACCTCCAGGTGGAGTTCCAATTCCTTATGGTATTCCAGGTCAACCACCATTCCCACCACATCCTGGTTTTATGCCAGTTGTTTCTGGAGCCCCATTACCACCAAACTTTTACGCTCAACCTTACCCTCCACAACCTTATCAACAAGTACCACCACAAGCTGTTCAACCAGAACAACCTGTTGCTAATGAAGAACCTGTTCAAGAGACTGAAAACGCTGCTTCTCAAAAGAAATCAAATGGTCGTGGTGGTCACAGAGGTGGCCAAAGAGGTAACTATAGAGGCAGAGGTAACTCAAGAGGTAACAGAGGTGGTCACAGGGGTGGTAAATCTCAATCACCACAAACTGGTTCCAAAGAAAAACAAGATTCATAGTTAGTATCTACTTAAGAATTTGTATAGGAAAAATACTACCAAAAAAAAAATAAAAGAGTTCTTTTTGCCTTTTATTTAATCTATATACATGTCGATATACTATTCTGTCTTTATTATTATTTTGTTGTTGTGGTGGTCGTCGTTGTGTTGTTGGTGGAGGAGGAGGACAGGGACTGTTTGTCTTTATCTTGATTGTATTTCTTACCAATATCAACATGTTTTTCACCAGGTAAATTCACCAAACCCAAACTTTCCCAATCAGATTGTTCCATTAATTGATTATCCATTCTACATTTCAAGTATTGTTTAGCCAAGATTCTACAATTTGGAGCATTCTTATTCTCTGTGAATTTCATACATTTCAAATAATTATCCATAAATACTTTACATTCCCCATCATGATCTAATGGAAATGAACCTCTTTCTGGTGGAGTTGGTGTCCATGTTCGAAAATTACCTCCTATTGAATAATAATGTTAGTTATAGTCTCTCAAATATCCATTCATTTATGATTAATATCATACCTGGAGCCCCTGATGCCATTATTTGTTAGTTTGATGTAAAGTTGTTTAAAAACGGAGTTTGAAAAAAAAAAAAAAGAGAAAGGAGAAAAAAAAATGTCAAGTGATTTCTGACTTCCAATTTTCTCGTTTTTCAATTGATTATTGTTTTAACCAATTCACTAATAAAAGCGGTGAGTAACAACCAATTAGTAGTCAAACAATAACGAAGATACTTAAGTCATGTGGAGGTAATGCGATGGTTTAGTCTTTATCGGTCTACAGAGGGATTCTTAGTTCAATTTTGTATAAGACAAATCATATATATTCGATAATAGTACATAAGTATGTATTTGCTAGAATTATTACTTCATACATGTTAGTAGAAATTGCACAGCTTATGTGCATTGAATTTTAGCAGTCAAAGACAAAAAGCAATGGATGCAAGCAATAGATTCAAGCAATCAACACAGAATTGACCTCACAACCCATATAACAACTTTTCTCTTCTTTTTTTTTTTTGGATTTTGTTCTTTTTCAAGTGTTTTTTACAGTGTTTCTACTTTCAGTTCGTACCAAGTTCAAAGAAATTATTAATACTAGTGTGACAATTTAATTCATAGTAAGGGAGATTAATTGTTCATAGTAAATGAATTCAAAATGTTCACACCAGCGGAAATAATACTTTCAAACTAGCTGCCCTTTTTTGTTCATACCATATATCATACATTTTCAGTATGAACAAATAGAGGTCATGTAATATGAACATTTTTTGCGCACTAGTATCAAAAATATTGACCGCCTTAATATGAACTTTTCTTTGCAAATAGTGCGAATAATTTTGACCCACTGATCTGAAAATTATGCTCAAACTAGCGCGAAATAAAACTGCAACGACTGTATAGTCTATGTAAAAAAAATGCGTGTTTGCGTGGCTAATTTTATTTTAGTCACACACTACTTTAAAACACGTGACGTCTTTTCATCAACCACAACTTGAAGAAACAAATTTAGAATGAATTTCCACATGCTAATAAGGTTGATCTAAACCCCGATTTTGGTTGTCTTTGTTAGAATAACCGTTAATTCTCTTACAATAACAGTCTTTTCTTTATTCTTTTACTTTATCAGCAACGCAGTCTCGCGGTAAAATGTAAGGTGGAGGTGGAGGAGGAGAAGAAGAAGAAGAGGACAAACTCCAGATTTAATGGAGTTTAGTAAATCCTCAAATTTTGTATTTGTAGGGCGACACTAGCGCGTAGATGTTGGTTCCTTATTTTTTTATGTAAAATTTGTTAGCAATTGGTAGCATTTGAAAAGGCGATTGTAGAAGGTGGGGAAACTCAGTTTAATTCCTAGTTTAACCGATGCCACTACAACAATTATCCTTATGATATTTACACTTTGATACTCCTCAGTTGATTTGTTTTCTTTTCTTTTCTTTTCTTTATTTACAATTCACATATTGGGCAATTACTAGTTTACAAATGGCTTAAAATCAGAATCATAAGAGCTAAACAGGAAAGTAAAAAAAAAAAGACTACAACGTTTATTTTGAAACAAACTTTGAAGTGTATGTATATAAAGACATCCTGACAGTTGGGGTTGTTTAGACAGACGAGTCACATGAGAAGCGTCACATGAAAATATAATAATAATAATAATAGCAGGATTGCTTTTGTTGTATACTAAATAATTATGTGTTTCAGTGGGGGACGGAAAAATTTCCTTTTGTTGCGTTTCGGGTATCATTTTTATTTAGTGCTTATTGTAGATAAAATGTCGTTTGACAAGGACGCATCTCAAAAGAATTCGTCGGGTCAAAGGATATAGTCTAATGGGTTATACAATGATATAAAGATGATTTTGACGTGATGATATAATGCAATAGTAACTCTAGTGACTCCTGGAAGGATGGAAACAGAAAACAACAACAAAACAAAAAAAAAAAAAATGATGCAATAAAGGAATGTCTTTCATACATCTAGATTGATATCAAATCAGAACCGGTTGTAAAATCAAACGTGTAGCGAATCATCCTTTTTTTTTTGTTATATATTATTTCAGTTTTGGTTTAATTTTACAACCAATCGCTATTTCATTTCTCTTGAATCTGTTTCTTCTACTCACGTAAACAACTGTTATACGTTTTGTTGTCTTTCACAATTTAGTAGATAGTGTGATTCTATCAGCTAAACATCTATATATCAAGTCATTCCCAGTTTCTTCTTGACACTTCACCTAGAAACCACCCCATTCACTTTGCAACCATTTAACAAAGATAAAAAAAAAACACGACTCTACAAGTTCAGACAACACAGCACAACTACACTTCTAATTCATACAAAACCCATCCTCCCACCAATTGATAAGGAGAATCATACCGTTATTACCAAATATCGATCTATTCCTACCTAGCAGTACCACTACTTCAGAGTTTGTTGTAAGAAAACATCACACGACATCTGTACGACATTTTCCATGAGAAAGATTTTTTTTCTTCTTCATTTTTGAATTTCCCCGATAGCGCTTGAATTTCTTTTACCTTGTGAAATTTTATTTTTACACCTAAAAGTATAATAAACAACAAAAAATTCTGTGATATATAATACTCACATCCAATAGAATTTAGTTCTTGCCTTTTGATTTATAACGCCGAACTAATCACTATAGAGAGAACAAGCAAAAAAAAAAAAGAAATAGAGATACAGAAAAATTTTCCTTTATTGCAACAAAACACCTCACACACGAAAAAGAAAAAAAAAAAAACTTCACAAATAAATAAATTAATCAACAAATTCCCAAGTTTCAGAATAAGGTAAAAATTTTTATTTGTTCGTTTTGTTTTTCCTTTCTTTTTATTTACAGAATTTCCCCAGATTTTATCAATCTACTTATTCTTTTAGTTAATACTTTTCCTGTTTATTCATTGGTACTCCACCGTTCATTTGCATCGCAACAAGTCTCAAAGTCAAACCCTGATAGAGACCGAAAAATAAAAACTACCGTTTTACCGAGGCAAGCAAACACAAATAAACAGTGAATCACAAAAATTTTTCATCTGAGTCAACCAAAATCAAAAATTAGTCAATTTTACTTTGGACAACAAATTTCTCCATATTTTCTCGAAATTGGGCTATTCTTTTTTTGTATTTAATCCGTTCACTTTTTTTTTGTTCATTCAATAGGATCCATACCTGTTTCTTTTATTGTTAATATTATTTGCTTCATTTATAGATTTGATATATATTCACTGAAATGAGTGCTGAATTAAAAGCAAAAGAAATCTTCAACCAGTTTGCAACTGTTGGTGCTAACCAAGAAAAAATCATCACTTTACCTGATTTTGTTGATGTTTTATCACCATTCAAGTCTGATATTCCTAAATCTGCCTTCTCCCTTTTATATTTGATTGCAGATTCTGAGAAAAAAGGGTTTGTCACCGAAGATAATTGGTTGAAATTTATTAAAACTTTGACATCTCCAGATGGTGAATACAAATTGTTATACGAGTTCCTTTCTGGTAAGAACGACGTTAATGGTAAGATTACTTATTCTGAATGTGTTGATATTTTGAACAAAATTAACTCATCTATCGATCCAAGCTACCAGCAAAAGCTTATAAAGTTGAACTGGATCTACTTTCCAAAATTTTTTGAACCAAACGGATCAATTGAATTTAATGATTTTGTTACTTTGATTAGTTTTTTGCCAGTCACCAAGTTAATTGGTAATTTTGAAGTTGTTTCTGGAAGCAAAAAAACCATTAACGGTGAAGAATTGATTGGATTGTTGACCACCAACTTGAATCATAAAATCTCCAACAAGTTAAAGGGTAATTTGAACAATATTACTGGTTTTTTCGGTAAACAAAACGACTTCACCTTGTCCAATGTTTTATTTATCTATGATGCTTTAAGTAAGGTTGATATTATCAACGAAGTTATTGTCAACACTCCACCAACTACCAAAGATAAAGATGATATCATTATTAACAAAACTGATTTGTACAACCATTTGAATGATCCATTGTTGAAGTCTGCCAACTTCAAACCTGTTTCCAGATTAGAACTTGATTTGTTGTTTTATTTAATCAACAAAGAAACTCATGACGAAATTCCACGTAAAGAATTGATTTCATTTATTAACCCAAGTTTCAACAACAATTTGAGTACATTGGCTCCAATTTTTGAACATCCTCAAAGTCCTCATTCAATTAAAGAGTCAAGTGATAATTTCTCCTTGTGGCCACTTTATGATTCCTTATACTCATTCTTTTTGGGTTCGATTGCTGGGTGTATTGGTGCCACTGCAGTTTACCCAATTGATTTGGTGAAAACAAGAATGCAAGCCCAAAAACATAAAGCCTTATATGATAACTCTTTGGATTGTTTCAAGAAAATTTTGAAAAATGAAGGTTTCAAAGGTTTGTACTCGGGTTTGGGTGCTCAATTAGTTGGTGTTGCTCCAGAAAAAGCCATTAAATTAACTGTTAATGATTTGGTTCGTGGTATTGGTAGTAACGAGGATGGTACCATTGGCATGAATTGGGAGATCTTAGCTGGTCTGTCTGCGGGTGCTTGTCAAGTTATTTTCACCAATCCTTTGGAAATTGTTAAAATTAGATTGCAAATGCAAGGTAACACCAAGAATTTAAGTAAACCTGGTGAAATTCCACATAAGCATATGAATGCTAGTCAAATTATCAGACAATTGGGTTTGAAAGGTTTGTACAAAGGTGCTAGTGCTTGTTTATTGAGAGATGTTCCATTCTCAGCAATTTATTTCCCAACCTATGCCAACTTGAAAAAATATATGTTTGGATTTGATCCTAATGATCCAGCCAAGAGCAAGAAACTCTCAACTTGGCAATTATTGGTTGCTGGTGCTTTAGCTGGTGCCCCTGCTGCATTCTTTACTACCCCAGCTGATGTTATCAAGACCAGATTGCAAGTTGCTGGTAAGAAGACTGATATCAAATATAAAGGTATTATGGATTGTGGTGCTTCTATTTTGAAACAAGAAGGTATGAGTGCATTCTTTAAAGGTTCCTTGGCAAGAGTTTTCAGATCTTCTCCTCAATTTGGTTTCACTTTGGCAAGTTATGAATTATTGCAAAATTTGTTCCCGTTACATCCTCCATTAACTAGAGAATCTAACTTCAAGGCCATTAGTGGTTATCCTGGTGTCTACAACTTGACTAATGATCAAGTTTACAATTCTCAAGAACTTAATGACCGTTTGATTATCATGAACAAATCAGAAATGGTCAGTGATGTTGGTGACGGTATTTCCACTCCGCTTAATGATGCTTTGGTCAAATTACCTGCCCAATACATTTACAAATCACAAGATGCTATTAACTTATTATTGGACATTGATTATAAATTCGGTAACTTCAACTATAATTCTTATGTTAACTATATCCAAAAGAAGAAGTAAAGAATCTTATTAAAAGAATGAAATTTCCGAAAAGAAAATAGAAATGTAGATAGATGAAGAATCCTTTAAGTTTAGAAAAAGAAAAGAAAAAAAAAATTGAAAAGTATTAACGACTGATGCAATTGGAACTAAGTTATTATGTTTGTCTTGTTGATTTAATAGTATGGGCATTAACATTATTCTTTGATTTATTGTTTTATTTTTTATATTATTCACTACTTGTTATAAATTATTGACCATATAGATTTTTATTATTAATATCATATTAGAAACGTTTCGAAAATTGTTGTCAATTCTTCTGAATTCAAAAATGTAAACCCTAGATGAAGCCTAGTATTGATCTCTGCTAATTTCACAATCTTTACCAATTTGAAATTCTTTAAATATCCACATTTCTTGAATTGAAATTGAAAATCTATAGTTGATGACTCATTTGTATGAATATTGATAATATTTAAAGTATCACCGACATTATAGAGCATATAACCATCAAAGATTTCAAATTGTTGATTAACATCATTGTCATTTAAATACTTCAGAATGACCTGTTTTTCATTAGTAGTTATATTCCAATACATTATTGTATCTTTCAAAATAAGTATGATCTCATTAGATGATATCAAAAATATCTTTCTTATATAGTTAAATTTACCATCAAGAAATCTAATATTCCCGTGATTATCAACCGTAATTAGTTTGTTTCCTGATTTGACTAGCTTTATCTTCTCGTGTATACACAACTGAGAATTTAGCGACATGTTATTATTCAGTTGAACGTGTTTAAATTTAGAAAATTTTCCATGTTTGAATTTCAAACTAATTAAAGATCCATTGGATACAAGAAAATGAATAGTATGATTCTTTGAAATCTGACAATCTAATATTCTAACACCCTTAGGGTTGTCATAGTTTTCATTTTTGTAAATTATCTTGTCTCTGATTTGGGAAACATCCTGTAAAAGAAGAAAATCAATGATTTTCGTTGTATTCTTGCTGCTGGGACTTTGCATTGCTTTGTTGATTTCACTAATGCTTATTTCATGTAAATCATCAACCATAAAACATAGCGGTATCCCAAAAGCTTTATATAATTGATTTTTAGTATTCTTTGGCAATCCTTGGAAACTATCTCGTAGAAAACTGATAAACTTCAATGTGTAGTCCTCGTGTGTAGTGTCTCCACTCTTCGGATCAATAGCATTTATTCTAATGATGTAATTAGCGTTACCTTGTAAGTAATGGGTATAGAGACTTATGACAACAACTTGTTTGTTCTCCATAATTTCATGGAACACATCCATTCTAGAATCATCGATGCCTAAAATCTCATAGTATGATCCTAAATCAAGACTCTCCACATGTGTTCCTTGAACTACTTTCCAATAATTCTTCAATTCTGTTATTGATCCATCTTTTGTATGTTGTACAACTAATGATCGTGGATAGTATTCATACCTAGTTGATTTCATATTTCTGGTAATCCCTTCAATACGTGAGATAATCAAAAGATCATTGCTTTGACAAAGCACATATCCTCTTGGTGTTAACATAGGAAGGTATTGTGGTTTTAAAATAGGCGAGGATATAAGTCTAGATTGTAATAAGTCATTGTTACCTGTGCAAGAACCTGTTTTAAAGTTAATCAATCCAGCAGGTGTATATGAGAATCTATTAAATTTTGTTGTGCTCTTTGTTAAATATTTAGATCGTAGACGAGATGACACCTTATCCAACTTGGGGTTTTTAATAATCTCTTTTGATGATTTACCTGGTTTGGTTACTTTCTGTGTAGTTGATTGTTTCTTGCGTTGTTCTGCTTGAATTGAATTATTATGATATTTTGATAGCGATGACAGTGAAGAGGACGATGAAGAACCCTGTGGAATAGCTCCATTTGTTATTTTAAAATATCGTCTCCGCTCTTCATCATAATAGAATCCTGGTATTTCTCTAATTGTTGACATTCTTGATTGGTATCATACATGTGGTTTTCATTAGTGAAGTGTACTCTCCTTGATATTTGTAACCAAGTGGTCTCTGTTTGCTTTTTTTTTCTTGTTGCCCTTTTGTCTGACACATGCTTTTTATGTACTTTTACAATTATAATTAATTATACAACCTATAGTATCTAATTCATATCATCAACTTCGATTTCATAAGTTTCATTAATCTTTGATTCAATTTTGTTAAAATTGTTTTCATTTTGTTTTCTAATCATCAACTCTTCAAATCCATTACTTCGATCAATCCCATCCCAAAAATACCCTGCAGGTATATCAAATCTATTAGGAACATTGACTCCTTTATCATAAATATATTTCATCTTCTCAGTATCCTCTTTTTCTTGTTTTTCAGCAAATGAATTCATGGGATCTTCAAAATTATTTGATTTTGGTTTAAATATCTCATGTTCTTGTTTTGTTTGTTCTTTAAGACTTGTTCTAACTTCTTTAATTTCTGATTTTTGAGATTGCTCAAGTCTTTGAGCTTCTAAATCTGCTTGTTTCTGCTTTATATCAATTATACGACCTGACGAATCACGATAAATTGTCTCTGGTTGTTGGTCTTTTGTAGGTAGCAATTGATTCTTAGTAGTAGCTACTGCTATAGTCAGCGTTTGTTGTTGCTCAGTGGGGTTGATGATCTCACCAGTATCTATTCTCTTAAATCCCTTATTTGACTTCTCGTTGTTCTCAACTTTTACAGGAGCAAATTCATCCTCTTCTTCTCCTTCTTCATTTTCAAGATCGTCTTCAAAATTCGGTATTATGATTGCTTTAGGATTCTCTATTGTGATAGTTGGCTTTTTTAGCTCCTTCTTTTTATGTTTCTTCTTCTTTGACTTCTCTGTAGATGACAGATTGCTTAAATATTTCGATAGATAATCTGCTCTTGACATTGATTCCTGATTGTTGTTAATGTAATAAAAAAATGGATGTGATAGATACTCCAGGCACAACTTTTTTTTTTCCAAGTTATCATTCATCGCGACGCGATACTTTCATAATATTAACATTCATTAACTTCCTATAGAAATTATCATACATGTATTGAAACTTACAAGCAGGATCATATCAGATATTTACTCTTTAAACAACAAGTGGGGGACCACCAACTTCGCGCATTAAGCTTGACAATCTTTCAACCAAACCACTTTCATACTCACGTACATCACCCGTTTGTAAGACCCGAGCCATGGCCATCTTCAACGATTCACTTGCAATTATTAATGATCTAATAACAGGATTTTGATGACACGCTAATTCGTCTAATTGAATTTTTGGATTTTTCAGCAAATCTCTAGCTTTACAAATATTGGCAATGATAACAACGTAATAACCATCTAACGTTCCCGGATCAATCTCTTGCATAGCTGCTCCTATTTCAACAGCAATATCATATTGTTCTAATTGTAAAGCATCAGCTCCTAATGCAACAATATGTGACATTACATCCTCATAAGTTAACTGTGAATCTTCAAGGGTATTGTTCTTAGCTTTTTCATCCAATCCTTCTTTCAATCTTTTTTGAATATCCCATCTTTTCTTTAACATTGAAATTTCATACTTCAATTTTTTGGGAGTAGATACATCTAATGCACTAAACATGTTGTGATTTCTTTATTGGTTTGCAGGAAAATAAGAAAAACTAGAGTTCATGAAATCATCTCTGTAGAATTTTTTCTTTTATTTCTTAATTTTGTCAATCCATAAGCGTGTCGTCAAATAATCACGAGCACAACACGCTTGATGGTAAAAAGAATAGAATGAATCTTTCTAAACCAGTTGTCGTGTTTTTTGAGCAACCGGGCCATACTGTTATTCGATACGAGGTGTTAGGATATCGATTCGAGATTGAATAAATGAAAGTTTAGTCACGTCTTTTAAACAATTTCTAGCCGTACCGTTAATTAAGCCGTCCAATTATTACGGCTTTGTGTGTATCCTACAAATTGGAATATAATCACTACAAGTATTGGCTTATTACATCCATTTATGACTTCCTACATCAATCTATTAACACAGTTTCTTTTCTGTCTATTCGATTTCTTCATCAGAATTAATATCATCCCAGTTAATATCGTCATCATCGTCTCTATTCTTTCTGGAAGGCATTAATTCACTCATTATAGGACCACCTACTTCATTCATTAATTGTGATAATTGTGCAACCAATTCATTATCGAATTCTTCTGCAAGATCAGTTTGTAAAATCTTATAAACAGAAGTCAAACTAAGTCTAGTTTCTTGAATAAGTGAACGAACTTCTTCATTTTCATGTTCTGCCAATTCATTCAATTGACTTTCTGGATTATTCAGTAATTGTCTTGCTTTAGAAATATTAGCTAAAATTTCAATATAATATGCATCTAAGACATTTTCATTTATATCTTGAATACCTGAACTTACTTGTATAGCAGTATCATATTGTTCTAATTCAACAGCATATCTAGCCAATGCAATCAATGGTTGGATCAAATCAACATATTCCATACCAATATCAAAAGCATCTTGATCAACATTTTTATTTGCCATTTCTTCTAATCTGGTCTTTTTAAGTTTAAATAATTCCCATGATTTATTTAAAGCTTCAATTGCTTCTGGATTACGTTGTTGAGAAATTCTAATAGATGATAATAATGAATATGATTCAGGATTGGTATTATCTAAATTCAAGGAAAACTCAATCAATTCACTACATTTACTTTCTGCTTCTGGTTCCATACATAAATCAGTCATCCAAATTTCAATTTCAGAAGAAATTGACAGGGTTATTTTATTAATAATATCAGTTTTATATTCTTCTTCTGATTTGTATAAATCTTTAGGATAATCAGATAATGAAGATTCTAATTTATTTTTTAATGCATTAATGGCAATATTAATAGAATTTAACCCATCTCTACCTCCAATAATTTGTCCTAAACATAAAAATTTCTCTTCTCCTTCCTTTGCTTCTGGATCAATAGTACATGCAGTAGTGAATATTTCATAAGCTTCTTGAACTTGATTATTTTCTAAATAAGTTTGTCCAAGAAGTGATAAATAAGGAACTGATTCTTTATTAGTATCAATTTGGGATAGTAATAATTCTAACGCCTTCTCAGGTTGTGATGTTTGCAATAATGCCCTTGCTTGAGTTATTATTTCTGACATTGATTGTGTGTATTGATGAAGATGTTGATGTTGGTACTAGGTGTGATGAGATGAAATATTTTTTTTTTTGTATTTTTTTTTTTTTGTTTTCTTTTATGGTTTGCTTAGAATCATCATTTAATCATGGATGGGAAAACATATAAAGCATTAACTACAGAGTATGATACTCTATATTTACTTTATCACAAGTCTAAAAATCAACATCATAATCAAAAATGGTTCATGTACTTAAATATTATGATACGTACTTTACGTAAGATCTTAAAGCTACAAATTGATATTCAAAGAATCAAGAAATCGCCTAAAAAGATTGAATATAAAAAGAAGCAAATTGTTACATTATGTAATAAGATCATTAAGATTAGTAGAGATGCCTATTGGGCATATAATTCGATCTTGGCATTAGGGCAATTTATAACTTTAGGATTTTCATTACTTGGTTCATTGACTAAAATCTATTCATTGATATTGAATATACCGGGGGTTAATGGGAAAAAATTACAATTGATCGAATCAGTAACCAAAGCTGAAAATCTTGCTGGATATGATGATGGTGATGATTTGGGTGAAGAAATTCCATTTGAAGAGGATGATTTAGTATCGGAAAGTCATAATTCTTTACCAATGGATACTGGCGCAGAAATTGTATCGAATAAAATGCCACCTGTTGTGTCTATCAAGATAATAAACATGTTGGTTTCTGAATCAGATTTGAAACAATCACTTGCATTTAAGAATACGTATAGACTACCTAAGAATCAATGGGATGTTGTCCAGAAAGTATTGCAAAAGTCGTTGCAAAAATTAGTAACTGAATGCAATTTCGAATTTGACACTGAAATTCACACAGATAATAATGTTTCTCGGGATCAATTGTATAAATCAATGGAAGATAAGAATAAGCACTTCGAGAAGCAGGTAACTGATTATATGATTAATGAGTCTAAGATGGTTCTATCAAAAGCAAATGAAATCAAAAAGATCATGATTGGACAACTTAAAAAACTTCCAAAAAAAGGCAAAGGTGAAATCAATGTAAATCAAATGGTTGTCTCTGAGTTTACAAAATGGTATTTCAAAAGAAACAAGAATATTAATCAGAAGATGAAAGAAATTGAAGACAAACTACTGCACTCTTTTGAATCTGTCTGGGATCAAAATACAGAAACAAATAATACTATGGTTTCTAATAGCAGAGAACTGAAGTCAAATAGTGTGGACTTGGACTCAAATGGTGCCCGTGTCAAGGAAGTTGATGATATTTGTTCAACAATTGCTGAACAAGAAATATCCAAAAAGAGAAAGAATGAAACAATTGACGATATATTTGGAGTGAAGAAATCAAAGAAGGAAAGTAAATCACCAGATAATATAACAAAGAAGAAGAAAAAGAAAAAGAAAAAGGGCTCTGCCATTGATGATATATTTAGTTTATAGAGATGATTGAATGATCTACAAATTTGTAATTGAATTGTTATAATAAACAAAATAAAAACGATGAAATTATATATTTGAAATAATATAGATGTGCTAGAATGTTATAATGGTGTGAGTTAGTAGTAACACCAATAATGAAGAAGTAATAGTCCATATTTTAGTAGATTCTTTTTGATTATCTGTTTTGTTCACCTTAGGATGAAGCCACTAGACAACAACACACTGGACAACGACACACAAAATCAAAATCAAAATATTCTTAATTATCGTCCCTAAAGCATTAATAACCGAAGATCCAATCTGAGTAAAAGGTTGTTGAAGTTTTTTATTTTTTTGTCTCCATTCTCCTTCCCACAATTTATACTCCACACATTACTTGTGTTGCAAAAAAAAAAAAAAAACTACAACACAGCATGACAAAAATCTCCGTGTCGTCAAAAAAAATGTGGATAAAAATCATCGATTTGACCTTCATAAATAAACGAGTATTGTAGAACTAATCTCAATACTATATTATTGTTCTTTTCAATACCTTCCTGTCTGTATCTACCTTTATTCTGGCGATTATGTAATCATCCCCACTGATTCTTGTTTTAGTTATTGGTTGTCAAACCAGAATTCTCCCGCAGAATTATTGCAAAACAAAAACTTACATAAACAATTGTTGATAAATCATGAATTTCAATTTCTTCTTACTTTAGTAATCTTAATAATTCATACCCTTGTCTAGATTTCCTTTTTATTTTTTTGATTCAGATTTCAGACCAACGTTTAACTCAATCTGCTTGGTTTTACTACGTAATCCCCGTGAATTATACACTAAGTCGGAAGTAAACCCCGTTAATGCCGAGTATGACAAAAAAGAAAAAGCGGAGTTAACAAGATTTTTATTGCTATCATGAAAATTAAAGACAACACTCTGGATGGGAAATATGACCCATCTGCATCTGTTTGGGGTTGAAATAGTGATAAATGAAATTTTCAAATCAACGAAATGAAGTTAGTAAGATGATTAATCATAACTTGAATACATTCTGACTGTTGAATAATATATAAAGAGTTGATGATTTATTGGAAATTTGAATTTTGTTTTGTTTTGCAACTATTATTAACAAACTAAAATATTAATCAAAACAATGTCAGAATCAAACTTATTTAAACCATTCAAACTTGGTGATGTTACTATTAATCATAGAATTGTTCATTTGCCAACAACTAGAAATCGTGCTACTGATGACCATGTTCCTACCGATTTAATGAAGAAATATTATACTGATCGTGCTAAATCTGGTGGGTTATTAATTACTGAAGCTACAATGATTTCATTAAATCAAGGAATTTATCCAAATGTTCCAGGTATTTGGAATAAAACACAATCTAAAGCATGGAAAGAAATTACTAATTCTGTTCATTCAGTTGGTGGTAAGATTGCTATTCAATTATGGGCATTAGGTAGAGTTGGTAAACCTCAATTATTGAAAACTCATGGATTACCATTAACTGGAGTTAGTCCAATTTATGAAAGTAACGAATCTGAGAAAGATGCTAATGAAGCGGGAAACCGTATTCAAGAATTGACTCAAGATCAAATTAAAGATATTATTCATGTTCAATTTGCTAATGCTGCTAAATTATCTGATGAAGCTGGGTTTGATTTTATTGAATTACATGGTGCAATGGGTTATTTAATTGAACAATTCATTCATCCTGGTACTAATAAAAGAACTGATAAATATGGTGGTAATATTGAAAATAGATCAAGATTTTTATTTGAAATTGTTGATCATTTATCTACTGTTGTTAACCCATCTAAATTGGCAATTAGATTATCTCCATATAATCAATTCCAATTACCTTATGTTAATCCAAATGCAGAAGAAGATTATACTTATATTCTTAAAGGATTACAAAAAAGAGCAGAAGAAGGTAAAGGATTAGCTTATATTGATATTGTTGATGAACGTCATAATCCAGATGGATCAACTCGCTTAGAGAATATTGATTTTGTTAGAAAAACTTGGAAAGGTGTTTTATTACAAGGTGGAAGTTATACTTATGATAAAATTAATAATTGGAAATCAATCAAAAATGTTGTTGATAAAGATGATAAAACTTTGATTGGATTTGGTAGATATTTTATTGCTAATCCTGATTTACCAGAAAAGATTAAAAATGGACACCCTTTAACTCATTATGATAGATCTACTTTCTATTCTCCGTTTAATTTTGGTTACAACACTTATCCATTACATGGTGAGGAACTTGTTGTTGATCCTGAAGAAAAACTTTTGGGCAAAGCGTTGGCTTGATTTATAAATAAATAGTGTTTTTTATGAATATTTAGATACTAAATTATTTTTTATTGAGAAATATTACAGTTGTAATAATTTATTTTGCTAGTGACGTGAACCCTGTTACATTTACTTCTAATTATTTTATGTGTATGTATCAATTGCCACACGATATTGACTTATTAATAGAGATATATCCATCAATTCCTCCAGTGATTAATACTGTAAATCGTGATGTAAGAAATACAACTACTACTTCTAATAACATCGTAATCAAACTTATGAACTATGATAAATCAATAAAGATATAGAACCGTCATAAAACAAAAGGTGGATTACGATGTTTGAGGGGAATAAAAGGGGGTAAAACACATGTACCTAAAATTATGCGTAATGTCGGACAATGTTACATTGGAAGGGGAAAAAAAAAAAAAAAAAATAAAAAGTTGATTTATATATATCTCCACTAATCATTCTCAACCAAACCAGATTCAAACTGAAGTCCAATTCAAACCAACAAAAAGAGTGTCACCACTAGTAATATCAAATATGGAAAGAGAAGTTGAAGTAAGACTATACAAAGAGTATGGAGTGCTACATCTTATTCATCAATTACTCAAAGCTCGACAAATCGAACCACCTTGGTATCAATATCTAGAGATTATCGTGGGGAAAATACAATCGATCTTGATTTTACAAACTGATATCTCCGAATGTAAAACTAACAAGAAGGAAGATAAGCTTTACGAATTGAGGAAATTAGCATGTATCATAGTACAATTACTAAATAAAATACTTGAAAAAGGTAAAAATTCTGTGATTGAGAGTACACTATTTTTAACGTATGGATTTGGTTTAGTTGAGTCATTTAAAAGACTTATATCTGTTATATGTGAAATACCAAAGGTAAAAGAAATACTTGATGAAGGTTCCATGGTAATCAAAGACTATGAGCTAGAGTATAATGAATTTGAAGATGATAAATCTTTGCCAATTCGATTATTTGCACTTCCTATGGTTTTTTTATTTAATTTTGATAGACTTCCATCTTTTATTAATCTCAATTCCAATCAGAAAATTGTACCCGTTAATTCTTCATTGACATTGACAAATGAACTGTCATTTAAATTTTCAAGTATTCTGATTGTGGAGTCCACTGTCCAGTCTCCAAGTGAAATTAGCTCTTCCTTGAACAATTCTATACAGTCAAAACAATATCTATATATTCCTCCCTTATCATTAACAAGATCATTAACAGATGAACAAGTTCAAGCATACATATCATCTAAAAAGATGGTAAAAAGTGATGAATACGTACTACTGCTTCGTGCTGAAATATGGGAGGAGTTTCAGAATGTTTTACAATTGTTTTTTTTGTACATTGGCTGAAATGCCAGATTTAAATGAAGTTCATACAAAATATTTTCAAAAAGAACTCGTTATTGATAATGAATGCATCAGATCATCTGAGGATTTGAAGGCTTCACATCTAAAACAAATAGATATCAATGAGAAATGTTCTGAAGTTATAAGACAATTTAAAAGATATAAGCATGATATATTTTCTAGTATAAGAGAAAATTCTCCTACTGTACTCTATGATTTTGTTTGGAGGAATTATTTTGATGATATTAGAGTTTTTGATCTAAGTATGGAAACAAATACTAAACCTAGCATTAACTTTGGGGATTTGTTATTCTTTGAAATAGTTAGATGGTATATGCAACGACGATTGAATGTTCGTGAATTATTGGAATCTATGCAAGCTGAAGTATTTGATTATTGTAATGAATTGCAAGCCAAAGTTGAACAACTAAAACTTGAGGAGCAACACGAAAATGAAAATGAAAATGTGGATCTAGAGAATATGGATATTCGTGAATTGGACGAAGTACCAGAAACATATACAACTGTTATGGAAATTACAATGCCTGAACAAGAATCAGAAAGTGAAGAAGTTCGTAAGAAAAAACAAGAACAATATCAAAAGCTAATGTCATTAGATCTAGAAGAAGCTTTAAATAAGTTGATTATTAAATCTGATGAAAAAGACGAGAAAGAACTTGAACCAATATCAATTGAAGAAATCTTTGAATATGCAAAATCAAAAGAATTTGAAATTTCTAAAGGAGAAACTCAAATTACAAATGATCAATGGGAAAAGATAATTTTACCATATCTTGAAAGAACATTTCAAAAAATTGAATCTGATCCAAATTATACCATTGATGAATTCATATTACAAAATGATGATGATGATAATAATACAAAAATTACACCGGATAGACATGATCAGATTGCAAGAAATTTCATTAAATATAGAAATCAAACCATGTCTAAAGTATCTTCAAAATTGGTTGCTTCTGTATTATATGAATATGTTAAGAATTGTATTTTTGAAAGAATTAAAAAATTCCCATTACTAAAATCAAATGAAGATAATTTAGATATAATTTATGAACTTGGTATTAAATTTTATGGTTGGTTGGCTAATAGAGAAAGAAACGTTAAAGAAAATATAAGAAAACAAGAATTGAAACTTCTTGATAGAATTACCCGTGATGAAAAGAAGTTGAAAAATAGACCTTTAAATACAAGAAAGAGAAGTATTAATGGTATTGATAATCATGATTCACTGAAGAGACAAAAGAAATAATTAGACTTTTGGAATTATACAATGTTTTACATAGACAATATATACATTGCATAACATTGACTGATAGAAAATTGATAAATCTCTGTTTGTCTCTTTCTCTCAGACAACCAACATCATCATCATCATTATCATCATCATCACTACAAATATATCTTCTCAAAATAACAAACTGCATATACAAGTGTGTATATATATATATGAAATTCGAACCCTCTAAATAATAATTAATACAGAACTATAAAAACTCAAACTAAAATAACCAAAACAAAACAAAAAAAAACGTGAAAAATATAATAAAAAGTTACATACAAGTGGTAAATAATTGAAAAAAAAAAGTCATAAAAACACAAACTAGGAACAAACTTTACTTTTCTTCTTATTATTATTCTTTCTAATACAATGGTGCTTGGAAGTGTTGCTGTTGATGATGTTGTGGAGTTGGCATTGAATGTTGAACTAGATTTCCAACCATTTCATTGTACAATGAGGTACTCAATTGATCAACATCTAAGCAAAATTCATCATCATAATCTTCCTTCATTCCAGTGTTTGTTTCCGCATTTTGAGGTGCATTAGCAATTTCATCAAAATATGAAGGCTGTTGAACAACAAATGGTTGCACTACTGGGGACCTCGATGATTGTGGAGTGTAAGGAGAATGTGATGATTGTGTTTCATATGATGAAGAAGAGTAAATAGATGCAGGAGTATCCATTGATTGATGCAGTGGTTGATGACTGGCAGGAATCGGTACTGGAGAAACAGATTGCAGTTCGTCTTTAACCTTTTGTTGTTTCTTCTTGGTCATATTCAATTTAGACTCTTCCTCTTGTTCCACTTCTTCACGCACTTTATCAGCAAAAGGCATCAATTCAGGATCGATTGTCTTGTTCTTTTTAAGTTGTTTTCTCAATTTGTTCTTTATTCTGGATTTACCTTTGAAACCAGGAGGCAAGAATTTACATTCGCCCCCTTCAACATGAATTTCACACCAAATTTCGGCACTACTAAATTGCTCACCACACATGGCACATTGACCTGGTACATTGGAACGTTCATTTGATTTGATTGATTTGCCATAATTGAAATGACGTGATTTAAGATGAGTCTTGTAAGTGTCTCTTCTTGAAAAACCTCCACTTGGATGACACTTGTGGGTAATATTATTGTCATCGATATAAATGCTTCTATCGTGGAATGGACATCTGTATGCTTTCTTAGTGGAGTGCTTCTTCATGTGTCTTGTTAAATACCCACGGACTTTAAATTCAACATCACAATGTGGGCATTTATAAACTTGACCATTGGTGGAACCTGGTGTTTCAACTTCAGAATATGTTGGAGATTCACTAGACCCACTTATGCTTCCTGGTGTAGCAGAATCTTGTTTCGATACATATTCATTACTACTTGTAGGAGTGAGTTTCTTGTGATCTTCTGGTTGTAATTTAAATGCATCCAATTCTCGTCCAGACATTTCAGTAAATTTCCATTCTAATTCACCATCTTCATTAGTGTAAGGTAAAATTCTACTAGTAATACCCATTGAACAGACTGTTGGTTTTAAAACATCTTTATCTATTGGTTTTTCTGGTGAATAATTGTCAGCAAAATTACTCTTTGCTAAACTAGGAAATATGCTTGGTTGTTTTGAATCGATATCTAAATCATCTTCTTCGGTGGTTGATTTGATTTTTGGTTCATTGACTAATAAAATACTACTAAGGGATGATGCTAATAATGTCACGAGATATTCAAATGCAAATCTTAATATAGTATATAGACTGAATGATGATGATGATGAAGAATTACTCTTCATTTGTTGTTGTGGTGGTGATTGTGGTTGTTCTCTTGAAATTATTGTCGACATGGTTAGTGTGTAATATGAAAAGAAAAAGAAATAGTTGATTTCAATTATTCTTCAAAGATTAAATAAAACACAGAAGTGGCAAGTTAAGTTCTAATTTTAAATAAAGAAATTTGTAATATGAGTAACTAGAAATTCAGTCAGAAACGGTGTGCGTGACTTTTTTTGTTGCTTTTCCTCTCGCTCTCTCTCTCTCTGTTTGTTAATGGGGGGCTAGGTTTTTTTTATTTTTTCTTTTGCTGTTGTTTTGTTTGTTCGTTCGTTCGTTTGCTGAGAATGATCACACTTGTTGTAAATTTGCTCTTAGTAATGATGTCACAGTATTAAAGTATGCACAATGATGATGATGATGATATGGATTAATGGTTTCTAATTATAATTTGTTGTTGTTGAAAATATAAATTAAAATCCAAAATTATATATAAATGAGTTGAATCAAGGAAGAATAAATTAATAAAACAAAAAAAAAAAAACAACGAAAAAAAAGGGGAGGAGATTTTTGGTTGTATATTAACTATTTTTATAAAACCAGATTTATATAGGGGAAAAGAAAAGAAAAGGAAGAACAAAAAGAGAGAGAAAAAAATTTTTTTTTACTCCCATCAATTTGTTAAGGGTACACAGTTAAAGTGAATGAGAGGAATGAAACAAAATTGTCTTATTGTTTGAAATTGAAGTAAAGGTGGGAAAAAAAATATGCTTAGATGAGAATTGGGAAAACAGACACTAAGACACAAACAAAGTATTTTGTCCTTTGTTTGTGCGTTATTCGTTGTTCGTTGGGTGTTGTACTAGTAGTGTACGAGCAACTAAAACGTATCGTCTTTTTTTTTCTGTACTATTATTATTATTGTCTGCAGTAGTCAATGAAAATTTTTTTATACCCTTTTGTGATTAAATCGGAAATAGTTGCTGATTCGTCCCGGTTGGAACTCAACTTTTTTATTTTTTTTTTGTCTTGTGTCTGATGGCTGATTATTTGTTTGATTTTAGCCCATTGCACACGATGCTTGTTATTTATTTTATGACCTTATAATTGAAGGTGTGAATTTCACTCCATTGGTTTTGAACGGCTTGTCAAATTGAAATTGAAATTGAAATTGATTTACGGAGTATTAAATCGTTTTCTTGCCCCCCCCTCCTCCTTCTCTTCTCCCCTCTGTTAGTGGCTGACCAACTCTCTTCTAGATCCTTTAGATCCATTCTTCTGACACAATTTGAGGTTATAGTTTGCTTTCATAAAGGAAACGAGGTGAACGTGAGCCGGGGTATTGTGTTTAGTTGGATGTAATAATGGAAACCAGATGCTCTTTTGTTTTGGTTTAGTCAAACTGTATCTTCTTTGTTTTTGTTTTTTTGATGTCTCGTTATATAAATCTTATTGTGGTGAATAATCTGCGGGATTTATGACGGACAATTTTGTTAAATATTTTTGTCATCTCTTTACCCCTATGTGCAGACTCGGTGAATTTTTTGCTTTAGTTGTATTGTCTATCTATGTAACACAAACTTAATTTTTCTTTTTATATACATTCTTATTATAGATAAAGGAAAGAAAGGAAAAAAAAAAATCAACCAATTTTATTTGATGAGTAAAGATTTGTGGATTTTTTACACTAGAGTAATATCACACAAGAATTATCCAACTTTGTTTGGTCTATTGTCTCCTGTATAAACCCGTTTCAATAGTGTATTCAAACGATGATGGCTTATTCTCAGACTTTTACAATCAACATTCTAAGTTCTTCTTTCAATTACAATTGATTCTCCTCCACTGTATCCTTCTCAACCCCCTCACAAGATCGCCAGATGTATCCATTTTGTTATTTTAATGGAGAACAATGAAGACATTTTTGAGTAATCAGTTTAAGATGCATTTGGCGAGATTCAATTTAAACTCGATCTTTTTTCTATTCTAGACTTTAATAAGGAACGTTAATCTCATATGAAGAATGTGTCGACAATCCATTAAGTGATCAGCAATTCGTAGGTATGGCAACGTCGTGCTAGTAATATAGATAAGACCTTTTGGTATGGGTCTTCCAGCGGTGAGATATTCTCCTGTCACATCCTCAATGATGTCACAGTACGTTAACCTCAACACCCATTTGGAAAAAAATAATAACTCTGAGTTCTGTGATGATATTACTCCCTGTGAATAATATTGACTGTCTTACCCGTCTATCTCTTATCTATTTCTTTTTTTCTTTTTACTGTGCCGGATCAACCACGAATTTGGCGGGTGCCTCTTTTTGGTTATTAAATTAAAGTATTATGCGCATCATTAATCAAACTTTTGCTATCTTTAACTTAAATGATGCTTCTGAACACTATCAACGGAGTTCCAGAATGATGTCCCATGCTGTGGTCGCCTGTGGTTGTAAGTGTCTAAATTACTTGCAGCCATGTTGTCAATTATTTGAAGGGATTTTTCTGTTTAAGATCAGATTCACTACAATCACACGACCCAAAAAATAATAATAATCAAACAGTGAAGAAGACAAAGACAAGAAAAATAAATTTATCAGAGAAAGAAAGAAAGAAAAAAAAAATTTTTACCGCTTCGATTCCCTTCGCTTTCTATAAACTAACATCTAGCATCAAAAAAAAAGCCAATAACAACCCACCTTTATCTTTCCAAACTATAAACCTGGATACACTTTTATATGCATCGTCATCTTTATTTTTCAAACCATATATATAACAATTTAACGCCATGTCACCATCCACCCAACAGAACCCAAAAACCTTAGATTTGAACAATCTCCCACTGTTTGATTTGACTACTTTCAAACACGATTCTATTACTTATCATAAAGAAGACTCAACATACTGGTTTTATGAAAAACTGAAACAGTCATTCCCAGGTCAATCTTTTGGCTTACAAGTTGAGCAAATTTTATACCACACACAATCTCAATTTCAAGATATCTTGATTTTCAAAAGTACCAATTTCGGAAATGTGCTAGTATTAAATGGAATTATTCAATGTACTGAAAAGGATGAATTTGCTTATCAAGAATTAATCACACATTTACCAATCATGTCTCACCCAGATCCTAAAAAAGTTCTTGTTATCGGTGGTGGAGATTGTGGAGTTATTCGTGAACTTGTCAAACACGTCAATGATGGATCAGTTAAAGAAATAACCATGGTTGAAATAGATGATATGGTTATCAAATTACTGACAAAGTTTTTACCGGAAATGGCCAAGTATCACAACCATCCAAAATTAAATTTAGTCATTGATGATGGGTTTGCATTTTTGAAAAATGCAAAAGAGAAATATGATGTTATCATCACCGACTCATCAGATCCTGATGATGGACCAGCAGAAGAATTCTTCCAAGTCAACTATTTTAAATTGTTATTAAATGCATTAAATGAAAAAGGGATAGTTATTATGCAATCACTGGAGAATATATGGTTGAATTTGAAATATTTAGGTGATTTGAAATGCAAGGCTTCGGAAGTCTTTAATAACGTCAAATATGCACAATGTTATATGCCAAGTTACACTTCTGGTCAATTGGGATTATTAATTGCAACTATGGATACTGCAAAGGATTTAACTAATCCCTTGAGAAAATTCTCACGTGAAAAAGAATCGCAATTATTTAAATATTATAATCAACAAGTTCATGCTAGTTCATTCATTTTACCAACCTGGGCTGATGACTATTTAAATAAGAATTAACCTTTTTTTTACTTTCATGCCGTCATAGATTATCACTAATACATAGCATTTTCTAGAAATATAAAATAGTTCAAAGTTTTTTCATGCATTATTCTGTCAGTTTATAAATTACATAATATGGAGTAATTTTTTTTGTGCTCCAATGCACGCCTCTGCTTATGTAATTGGTGATGTTTCCCAAAAAGTTTTTTTTTTTTTTTAAAGTGTTTTGTCTCTCCTTGTCCAATTGAACACGACCATTGCTTCTCATAGAGAAAAAAAAAATTTTTTCCTCACTCTTTCCTCCTGCTTTTTTTTTTGTTTGTTGTTCAGAGTGTGTGTCCCTTCTACCAAAACGAATTTCCATTTCTCGAGTAGTGTATCAATAATCAAGTTCTCTCAAGGTTGCAAAACAAGTTCATTTCAAAATGTCGAATCAAGAAGAAGACTTTTCCCAAAATATTGATGAACAATTATTACAAAATGTTGAAGATTCCTCATCACCAGATGTGAGAATCAAGTTGGAAAGAATTGCCCATGCTGCCTCTTTGTCAAAACCACAACAACAACAACCACAAGATCAACAACAATCACAACAACCACAGCAACAAGGAACTACTTCTGTTGGTTCAGCTTCCCCATCAGGCGGTAGAAGAAATAAGAGAAGTCATGCTGATTCCAGTTCTGTTGCTGCTGCTGCGGCAGCTGCCGAATATAAAAAACAGTTTGAACAATTACAACAACAACAGCAACACGCTCAACAACAACATTTAACTGGATTACCCCATCAATCTCAACAAGTACAACTTCAACATCAACATCAACAGCAACTTGCTCATCATCACCACCATCAACATCCACAATATCCACATGAATTGACTGGTGCTCCAGGTCCAGATGATTTATCAGAATATAATATTCAAATCCCGGATCCAATTATTGATTCTAAGCTGAAAATTTATCCAGTTAGTGAAAATACCATTACTGCTGATGGTAATTTGATCACTCGTCCTTATCCTGAACAAGTTTTCCAAAGTCGTGAAGAATTGAATGAATTTATTACTGAATTTGCTCGTGATAATGGATTTGGGGTTGTTATTGCGCATTCTAATAAAAAAGCAATTTATTATACATGTGAATTAGGTGGTCGTTATCGTCATAAAAAGAATAAGAAAGTTGATCCAACCAAACAAATTGATGTTGGTGATGGATATATGTTGGATCCAGATACTAAAACTAAGAAATTGAAATGTCCATTTGCTATGACTGCTTCATTTAGAAAAACAAACAATGTTTGGACATTAAGAACTACTTGTAATGAACATAACCATCCACAGTTGGACCCATTGAGTAATCATCCAATGTTACGTAAACGCTCCGATGAATTGAATGTTTTGATTTTGGAATTATACAAACTTGGTACTAAACCATCTCATATTGAAAGTAAAATTAAAGAAGATTATCCAGATGTTTTGATTAAAAGAGAAGATATATATAATGAAATCAGAGGTTATAAACGTAAATTAAAGAAACAATCTAGTCGTATTGGTTATAATAGCCCATCAAGAATTTCAACTGCTCAATTCAAAAAGAGAATGATTTCTGAACAAGCTGCGGCTTCTTCAAGAAATGCAGCTACTAAAGCTGAAGCAGAAGCTGCTGCTGCTGTTGCTGCTGCTGCAGATGCCAATGCTTTCTTACAAGGTGCTGGAAATGATCAATCATCAAATGATTATGAACAATATCAACAACATCATCATCATCAACAACAACAGCAACAGCAACAACAACAACAACAAGTTTCTCATCAACAACAACAAGAAGAATTTCAACGTCAATTTGCTGCTGCTCAAGCTCAAGCTGTTGCTGCTCAACAACATTTGGATGAATCTCAATATCAACATTATCAACAACAATTACAAGAACATGAATTAAATGATAATGATAGTTCTACTGCTGCTGCTATTGCTGCTGTTGCCAATGCTAATCGTCAACATCATCATTATGCTGATAATGCTGACTTATCGATTGATAATATTGATAGCAGATTAGTTGGTGAATAAGACAAATGATTTTTGAAACTAAGAGATCGCATTAAAGAGAGTATTGTTGTAATCATACATAAAATTAAATTCCAAAAAACAAAAACAAAAAAAAACAAAAAATTAATAATAATAATAATAATAAGTTGTATATTAGTTATTTAGTTTCTTCCCCTTTAACCCCCTTTATATTTGTTTAGTTTTATTTTATTTGATATTAATAGTTTTATTATTATCGCTTGTCATATTTAAACCTCTTGAACTAAGACATAGATTCTAATATTTCTATAGCCTCACTTCTTTCTTCAAACAATTTTGCTAATTGACTAACTTTACGACCTCTAATTACTGGTTTCTTCATTGGTGTACCATTAAGTGTTGGTGTCGTTTTTCTTGTTGGTGTTATTGGTGGTGTTGATTTTGAAGATGCTATTGATGATGATGATGAAGATGATGATTTATCTGATTTTCTAGTTATATTTGTAAACTTATATTTCTGAGGAGGATATTGAATTTGAACGTTTGAAACATCAGATAAAGTTTTCTTATGTGACGTTTTAGGAATTAATATTTCTGATTTAGTTCTTTGATGTAGATTTTTATTTGAATTATCATTAATTTTCAATCCTTGTAAAATATTTGTTGTTTCAACTGTTGATTCTGATTCTTCTTCGTCTTCGTCTTCTTCTTCTCCTGTAGTTTCACTTTCTTGATCTAATGTTATATCATGACTTAAATCATATGAAGAAGTATCATGAAGTAAAATTTTTCTTGATGATGATGAACTAAGTTGTTCAAGTTTCCCATCTATAGTATCATCAATTGAATAAATTTTAAAATTCTTACGTATATCAACCCAATATTCAAGAATATTTTTCAAAAATCGATTAATGATTTGAATATTTGTCGTGTTGTTTGATATCAATTCATGACTTAAACTATATGACAAACTTTTGGATATTGTTACCGAGGTATGTTTGGTGATTTCATTATTTGAAATTATCTTATAAAGCATATCCAAGATTTGAAATAATAATTGATCGTAATGAATGGTTTCTGGTGAGTTGTTTAAATTTGTGATAACTTTTTTGAATGTTTTTAAAGTATATTTCAAATCATCATGTATAGGTAATGAAATCCAATCAATATTGATCAATGGAAAAGGTAATTCCATTAGAATTCTTTTAAACACAGTAGCAATTGAATATAAATCCCAATCATTTATCCAAATCAATTGATTTCTTAAAATACATTGATATAAAGTATCACATTTTAGTTTATTACCTGGTTTGTAAAATAATAATTCAACTTTATCACAATTACTTTCCACAATTTTGAAAATTTGATATAAATGATGATGGAAAATAGGATGTTGATTAATATTCAAAGTCACCACTGGATTCAATATTGGTTGATATCTCATAAACAATACCAATTCTGCTATTTGATTGTCATATCGATAAATATTCAAAGAAATTTTCAAAAGTGTTATATCCAAATATTGACTTAATTCACTTAATGTTTTACAATGTATAACCATTGTATGTGATTGATCTTCATTAGGTGTATTTAACATCATTAATTCATTATTCATAGTGAAAGCTTCTAAAAGTCTATCCAATTGTTGAAGATTCTTTCTAGTTGAATTATAATTATACAATATTGAAGATATAGATTTGATAAACCAACTATCATGAACGGTGAATATTTTAACCAAATTTTTTAAATCTCTTTCTTCATTACTCGTTAGGAAAAGTTTTAAAAATTTAACTCCCCACATCCATGAAATCTTATTTAAACCACAACTAAACATAATCAAGACATATGGTTTGATTGGTAAAGATCCCATCATAATTGGGAGGAATTCGTTATAATTAATATGTTCCGGGGATGGTAAATATGACGAATCGAATATATAAATTGGATAATTTGTAGTTGGATCTCGAAGATCAGTTCTGTAAAATATTCTATCCATCTTCTTGATATATTGTTTCTAAAACAAACTTGACTGGTGATTGTAATTGAATATATCTATCTATAATGGTTATTCTTCAACTGTTATCAAATTCCAGCAACAGCAACAACAACTCAACAAAAAAAAGATATCAGACTAGTCAAAATGAAGGAAAATAATCCTGGAATGTAGAAGATACTTTTGAACTTCACTGTAATCACCAAACAATAAAAGGGGAAGAAAGCTTAGAAAGTGAGCAACTGGAGCGTGAGAAAGAAGGAACGAAAAAAAAAAATTTGAATCGCTCACAACAAAAATAATAAACATCGCGTCTATTGGGAACGTAAAAGGGAATTTTCTTCGTGGTATTGGTGGTGGTAGTGCTGGTGGTGCTGGTGTTAATGGTTGTGCAAGAAAAATAAAAAAAAAAAAATTCAAAATAGGCAAAAATAATATAAAAAGAGAAAAAAAAAAAAGAACAATACGTACCAATAGTAACACAAGTACGACATACTAAAAATTTAAATATAAATATAAATATAATGCTACCAATGAGCATCGATTGTCCTTGATGTGCAGTTTCATTGGGGAACCAGTTTTAATATTAAAAGATAGGTATATATATATATATATATATAGGGATGGTGGTGATTGGAGGTATTAATGTAGTGCTTCTTACGTGTTTGTCCTATGGAAGATCTGCATCCTAGAGCATAAGTAACAACTTTAATAACCACTACTGCACTAAACTCAGGTATATTCCTCTTTCTCCACCATAATGTCCAAGCAGTATTTTATCCAACCCCTGAACAAGTCTAAGTCCTGGTACACGGTATCACTTTCATCATCTAATACATCAATCTTTTAACCTTAGAAGTGGTTGCATTTTATGTGCAGTCCCACAGTATTTGCCACTCTCACCAACGAGAAAAAACTTCCAACAACTATGAGACAGAGAGAGAGTAAAAAAAAAAAAAAGAAGGCAAACCAAAAAAAAAGAAAATTATTCAGTTGATTCATATCCCACTAAACTTTATCTGTCATTACCATTCATTTTTTTGTTATAATTGAAGTTTCATTTTTCAATCAGAATTAACTTGTTTAAATCATTGCTTTTATTTTCAAAGAAGGAACTTAGTACAACAAGAAGCAATGGCTCCAGCACAAGAACAAAGTAAAGAACAAGATAAACAGCCTCAGGCTGCTACTAAAGATCAACCACCTGCCAAAAAGTCTGTTGAAAAAGAAGAAGAATTATCGGAAGAAGATCAACATTTAAAAGATGAATTGGAATTATTAGTGGAAAGATTGAATGAACCAGATCAAGATAAAGCATTGTATAACAAAGCTTTGGATACTTTAAAGACATTTATCAAAGAATCAACTACATCAATGACTGCAGTTCCAAAACCTTTAAAGTTTTTAAGACCACATTACCCTTCATTAACTGAACTATATGACAAATGGAGTAAACAATACCTGGAAAAGGATGAAATTGTCGTCAAATTGGCTGATATTTTATCTGTGTTGGCAACTACATATTCTGACGAAGGCAACAGAGATTCATTGAAATACAGATTGTTGGCCTCAGATGAAACCATTGCTGATTGGGGTCATGAATACATGCGTCATTTGGCTTTGGAAATTGGTGAATCATACCAAGAAAATTTGGGTGTTGACGACTCATTGGTTGCTAAATTGGTCAAATTGGCTTTACAAATTGTTCCATTTTTCTTGAAACATAATGCCGAAGCAGATGCTGTTGATTTATTATTAGAAATTGAATGTATTGATAAGTTACCAGGGTTTGTTGACGAAAACACATATGCTAGAGTTTGTCTTTATGTTACCAGTTGTGTTCCGTACTTGGCTCCACCTGATGATGTTTCATTCTTGAATACAGCATACTCCATTTATTTATCCCATAATCAATTGACTCAAGCTTTGACCTTGGCTATCAAATTAGATGATAATGAATTGATTAAACAAGTTTTTGAATCCACCGCAGATGAACTGGTTCACAAACAATTGGGCTTTATCTTGTCTCAACAAAATAGCAATTTCAAATATCCTGGTGAAAATCCAGACGTGCAAGAATGTATTTCTAATGTCAAACTGGCCAAATATTTCCAATACTTGGTTAAAGAATTGAATTTGTTAGATCCTAAGGTTCCAGAAGACGTTTACAAGTCACATTTGGAAAATTCTAAATTTGGTTTGGGTACTTCTGGTTCAATTGACTCTGCTAAGCAAAACTTGGCTGCTGCATTTGTTAACGCATTTCTTAACTTGGGTTTTGGTAATGATAAATTGGTTCAAACTGAAGAAGACAACAAATCATGGATATATAGAACTAAAGGTTCTGGTATGGCTTCCACCACTGCTTCTCTTGGTTCCATCCATCAATGGAACATTAATGAAGGGTTACAAGTATTGGATAAATACACTTATTCAGAAGATCAAGAAGTCAAGGCTGGTGCATTATTGGGTACTGGTGTTGTTTCAGCTAATGTTCACGATGAAGTTGATGCTGCTTTCGCTTTGTTGCAAGAATATGTTCATGAACCAAACAAGCTTTATCAAACTGCTGCTATCAATGGTTTGGGTATTGCGTTTGCAGGATCTGCTAATGAAGAAGTTTTGAACTTGTTATTACCATTGGTTTCAGATTTGGATATCTCCTTAGAAATCTCCTGTCTTGCCGCTTTAGCATTGGGTCATGTATTTGTTGGTACTTGTCATGGTGATGTTACTTCAACTATTTTGCAAACTTTGTTGGAAAGGGATTTCACCCAATTGACTAACAAGTTTATTAAATTCATGTCATTAGGTTTGGGTTTGTTGTACATGGGTAGAACCGAACAAGCAGAAGATGTTTTAGAAACCATTGATGCCATTGAACATCCAATTAGTAAAACTTTGAAAGTTTTGGTGAATATTTGTGCCTTTGCTGGTACTGGTAACGTTTTACAAATTCAAGCCTTGTTGCAAATGTGTACTGCCAAACCAAAGGATCAATTAGACGAAGAAAAGAAATTGGCTCAATCTGAAGCTGAACAACAAAAAGATAAGAAACCAGAAGGTGGTGACGCTGCCACTGGTGCTTCTAACACTGAAGGTGCTGATGAAGATGTAGAGATGGAAGATGCTGAGAAGAAAGAAGAAGACAAATCTTCCGATGCTGCTAAAGCTGAAGAAGAAGACGATGACGACGATGAAGTTGATGAAGACGAAGAATTATACCAAGGAATCGCTGTTTTGGGTTTGGCTTGTATTGCCATGGGTGAAGAAATTGGTCAAGATATGTCTTTGCGTCATTTCAGTCACTTGATGCATTATGGTAACTCATTGATTAGAAGAGCTGTTCCATTGGCTATGGGTTTGGTTTCTGCTTCTAATCCACAAATGAAAGTCTTTGAAACCTTATCTCGTTATTCTCATGATCCAGACTTGGAAGTTGCACAAAACTCTATCTACTCTATGGGTCTTGTGGGTGCTGGTACCAATAATGCCAGATTAGCACAATTATTGAGACAATTGGCTTCTTATTATATTAAATCTCCAGATACATTATTTATGGTTAGAATTGCCCAAGGTATCTTGCATTTGGGTAAAGGTACTTTGACTTTGACTCCATATAACTCAGAAAGAACTATCTTGTCTAAAGTTTCATTAGCATCATTGTTAACAATTGCCATTTCATTATTAGATCCTAGAGCATTTATATTGAATGATTCCAACACAGAAACCACACACCAACTATTATATTACTTAACTCCAGCAGTTAAACCACGTATGTTGGTTACTGTTGATGAAGAATTGAAACCAATTAAAGTGAATGTTAGAGTTGGTCAAGCTGTTGATGTTGTTGGTCAAGCTGGTAAACCAAAGACCATTACTGGTTGGGTAACGCAATCCACTCCAGTCTTGTTGAATTATGGTGAACGTGCTGAACTAGAAAATACTGACGAATGGATAAGTTTGAGTAGTTCATTGGAAGGTGTTGTGATTTTGAAAAAGAATCCAGAATACATGGAAGTTGACAGTTAGTGATTTACACTTAAATAGTTTTATCGTTCAACCAAAAAAAAAAAAATACAAAATTATAGTATAAAAATCTATCAAATTCTTTTTTGGTTTATTTCTTTATATTGAAAACTAAATCTGTAAATATTTTTATTTTTTGTTAGAAGTTGGTAATTTTATAATGCATTTTTGGTCTCTTCTTTCTTTTTTTTTTAATTCATATGTTTTGTTGTATTATGTTATCTATTTAAATTCACCGGCTTTACCAGTCATCAACAAACCAACAATTAAACCAAATAACCCTAAAACAGATCCGAAAATTTCAACAACCAAAATCTTAACAAAAAGGGAAGAATCAGCAGCATCACTAATAGCAGCAGTTGAACCAGTGATACCAACAGCAATACCACAAATTAAATTTGAAATACCAACAGTTAAACCAGCCCAAAATAATGAATAACCAGTATATAAATTTTCTTTAGTATATAAAACTTTTGAAGAAACACTAGTTAATTTAGCACTAAAAACAATTGCCATAATTAATCCATAAATAGCAACAACTTCACAAAAAATAATTGAAATTAAATTCTTAGTAGTTATTCTAGGTGCTTTAACACCAGCTCCTAAAATAGAAGTACCTGTTATAAAAATACCCCATGCTGCTCCAACAACTGAAAATCCAATACATGATGCAATACCTAATGAAGACCAAAAATATGGTGATGTAGTTTCTAAAAATTCTCCAATGTTGAATGATTCTCCAGCTCCTGTGAATAACATGTATCCACCAACTGTTAATAATGATGTTGCTACTAATACATTGGATGTAATTGACATTATTAATGACGTTATGTTATATAGTTGATATGTTCAAATGTCAAAAAAAATAATAAAACTAAAAAGAACAGTGGATTTTTTTTAGTTTTGTTCGTTGATTGATTGTCGTAGTCTCGTTCGTGATAGTTTGAAATTTTGATAAATTAATTTTCTGTTCTGTAAAAAAAAAAAAAAAAAAAAAATGTTGTAATGTACACGACTTGGTGGTGAGCTGCTACCATGTTGCTTCTCGTGATGGCGAAACCACGAGTATTTAGGAAAAAAGTTTGATGAATTATTGACCTAGGTTACTATTATGAGTCCCCCGGGAATTTGTTGGTTAAACCGAGAGTCATTTCAAAAGGGGGGTTGTATTTTCTGCTCCCCTCAATTGACCCTATTCCGTAATATTCCAGATATGGTTGGTTCCAGAGGGGAAGATTAGTTATTCATCGTTCTCAACGCGAAATTTCTTTAGAATAGTTGCTCTAGAAAACACGTTCCCTGGAGATAAACAAAACCCAATCAGTGTCAATTTTTTGTTGAGTATCAGGGATTGTTGTGTCGCAAGTGGGAAAATAAAGAGTGGGCAAAGTCATACTTTAATTAGGATTTATTGCATCGGAATTTTTGTTACTTAACCCGGTGAGGAGGTTATTTTCCACAATAAGGATAATTTGCTATAGTTTTTTTTGTTACTTCAAGAGTGGGGGAATATCTTAAAGGAACCAAAGAGGCTTTGACATGAAAACTGATATTATAGTTTTTGTTTGTTAAACGTATTAGTATATATATGTATTTATTAATCACTTGATGAACGGCTGAAACTATTTTTACATCTTGTCAGGAATTATGGTCTGGAGTAATTGATAATATATCAAATTTTTTTTTTCTTGAAGATCTAGCATTTCTTCGATGTCTCTTTGGCGTATAGAAGAATCATTAATCCCGCAATTCAATTGACACACAATATCAGTATTCAACCACCTCATTTCAAAGTTCTTGTTCTGATGTTGGATTTATTTTTATTTTTCTTAGCATCCCGGGATAAGTTGATTTATTACTCAATAACGCAAATTGGAACATATTCAATATGACGTTTTAAACTTTGCATTGTATTATCTACTATCTAATAATGAAATTGTGGGGGAAACTGGTGGGGATGAACAATGAAGGAATAATGAATAACCAAAAAATGTAAAACAACCGACATACTTGAGAGATTTGTGGAATTTCAATGGTGTTGAAACAAGTGAAAACGATTCAATGCGCCCTATTCAAAAGGCTGAACAAATGAATGGTGTATTAACAAGAGAAATACACCTAGTTGTAATATACTATTATTATGTCACGAAACTAGTTTAAACCCATATAGTTCTTAGTTTGATGTCAACCTAAAGAGACTAAACACCTACCGGAATATAATCGGAATTCAAATGCTCCAAGAAAATTAAATCAATCAATCGATCAAAAATTTTCCGCCCCACTCGGAATGGAGGAGAAAATTGCCGCAACACAAAATACCCTGATATCAACTAAAATAGCAATGGATAATCCAATACCATGTTAGGCTTTACCAAAAAAATAACAAATCATCCTTGTAATGTATGTGTAAGTATCAAGTTTAATTACAGCCAAGAAAAATGAAGTACCATCCACTGAATTGTATTATCAAACTTTTTGTAATCCATTTCCCCTCTGGGTGCATATTTTAGCAGCCACTGATTATCAGCTTGTGGTTGTGTGTGTGTAATATTGCTAATAATTGCAGTTGTTATCCTTACATTAACTATGGTAATACTCCAATGTTTCCCTTCCCCCTTTACCACAGCTACTATCTCTACGAAACATCAATTAATTACAAAATGAATTTAGGTTAGTTATCATAATTGTGGAAATTAAGTCTATAAATATACCCCCAAATTCTTTCACATTTCACCAAAAATTAAATCTTCTTTTCTTATTATCATCATAACTATCATCAGTGATAAAAATAAACATGGCTAAATCAAATCGAGCTTTACATACAAGTGATTCTTCAGTTTCATCTTCATTGCCAGAAATGAAACCACCAACCAAACGTAAATACAAATGGCAATTTCATGATGAAAATTCCCCTAGACAAATCTATAATTGGACATTATATTATTGTTCTTTTATTTTTGGTATCTTGGGTGCTTCAAGAGGTTTAGATGAAGGTAGTGTTTCAGGTTTATTATATCAAGAATCCTTTTTAACTAGTCCATATTTTGGATTTGCCGATCCAAATAAAACTGAAGATGATCTTGCCAATTTAGAAAGTTTGATTGCTTCAATGGTTCAATTAGGTTCTGTTGGTGGTGCACTTATTTCAATGTATTCAGTTGATAAACTTGGTAGAGTTAATGCTTTAAGAGTTGTTTGTGTTATTCAAATTCTTGGTGCAATTCTTCAAATTACTGCAAAAAGTATTGGTCAATTATATGCTGGTAGATTTATTGAAGGTTTAGGTGTTGGTCAAACAGTTGCTATTGGTCCTATTTATTTAGCTGAAATTGCTCCACCAAATATTAGAGGTTTTATTGTTGGTATTTTCAGTGGTGCCGTTTATTTTGCAGTTATGATTTCTTATGCTGCCAATTATTGTACTGCTAAATATATGGATGGTTCTTCTAATAGTCAATGGCAAATTCCGCTTTCTGTTAAAGTTATATATAATGGGTTAGTTGGAATTGGAACTCTTTGGGTTCTTGAAAGTCCAAGATGGTTATTGAAAGTTGGTAAAGATGAAAGAGCTATTAGAAACTTGTGTAAATTAAGACATTTAAGTGCTGATGATCCATATATTGCTGGAGAAATTGAAGATATTAGAGAACAAGTTGATGATGAAAAGAAATCAGTTGCTGGTTATTCATTCTTCCTTAAAATTAAAGATTTAATTTTTACTCCATCATTACTTTACCGTTTATTGTTTATTTCTTGTATGGCTCATTTCCTTGGTCAATGGAGTGGAGCGCTGCTGATTACTATTTATGCTCCAAGATTATTTGAATTAGTTAGTGGTACCCATGGCTTGGAAAATATGAGAAATACATTACTTTTGGGTTGTGTTAAATTTGTTTCGAGTTATTTGACAAGTTTCTTTTTAATTGATACAATTGGTAGAAAGAGATGTTTATGCATTGGTATCTCACTTCAAGCAATTTGTGTTTTATATTTCGCCATATTTGTTAATATTGTCCCTGTTGAAGATTCTGGTCATGTATTTTCCCATTCCGAATATCATGCATCTCAAGCTGCTATTGCTGCATTATTCCTTGCATCTGTTGGTTGGACTGTTGGTATGAATAGTTTCCAATATATTGTTGGTGCTGAAATTTTCCCATTAAAATATAGATCACTTGCTCAATCCATTGTTATGGTTGTTCATTTTGCTAATCAATTCGGTAATTCTAAAGCTATTCCACACATGTTGATTACTATGCATAATTATGGTACATTCTACTTTATGTTTGGTGTTAACTTGGTTGCTTTGATTTGGGCTATCTTCTGTGTTCCTGAAGTTAAAGGTAAGAGTTTGGAATCTATTGAAGATGTGTTTAAGTTACCATGGTATGCTGTTGGTTTGAAAGGTGGTAAAGTGGCTGATAGAAGTGCTATCCATAGAGTTACACATCATGAAATTGACGAAGTCAATGACGATCAAGTAGAAGTTGTGTCAAGTAACGATTTAGAGAAAGGTGGAAGTGTTGAATACATCGAAGACTACGAAAAGGAACGCCATGGCAAGAATTAAAGTGTTTAGTGAGTGGGTTGTACTTTGATAGTGTAATCCACCTACAAACTACAATTATCATATGTTTTTTACTGTATTTTTGATTTGTATTACAATTATCAGTTTGGTATTGACTAGTGTGAATATATGTTTTCTTGTAACAATTGGATTGCAACATTGTTTTGCCCTTTTTTTGAACACCAACCACGACCTAAGCCGCATCGTTTCTTGTTTCTGCTGGTTGAATTTTTTTTTTTTTTTCTCTCTTGCGGATCGTTCAACAATGTCAACGAACAGCCAAACAAAAAAAAAAAGATTGATTTTATCTAATTAGATCTCAACTTTGCAGCAAACTAATTTTTATTACAACTCAACTACTATCACAATGAAGACTTCTTTCATCTCAATTGGTGCTATATTATTATCTCAATTATTCTCATCTGTCTCAGCCGATGAAGAAGGAACTCAAATTGGTATGTTAACAATCACATTCTAAGGGGGATACAATGATTTCTATTAATTTTGGCGAATAAACTGTCTTACTAACATCGAACTGATAATAGAATACCTCAACAAAGTTGAATGTAACCGTAAAACGAAGAAAGGTGATTACATTTCTGTTCATTACAAAGGTACATTAGGAGATGGAACTGAATTTGATAGTTCATTTTCAAGAGGAATCCCATTACCATTTAATGTTGGTTCTGGTCAAGTTATCAAATGTTGGGATGAAGGTTTGCTTGATATGTGTATTGGAGAAAAGAGAATTTTGACTTGTCCACCAGGTGTTGCTTATGGTGAAAGAGGAATTGGTCCAATTCCACCAAATGCCGTATTGACATTTTTCACTGAATTAGTTGATATTGCCGGTGTTGACAAAGAAGAAGAAGGTGAAAACCCAGAAAAGGATGAATTATAAGTAGAAATAAGTGTAATGAATTGATATAAACATTTGTAATCATGACTATATATGTAATCTTGTGAATTCATAAATTCTGCATGATTGTGTGGAATGATTTCTCTCTATTAAACAAGAAAGTTTGTTGCTTTAGGTCACGAGTCTTGTTTTGCTGCTTTTATTCGGACAACCGAATTCGATTGAAAAAAAAAAGAAAATCAGGGGGCGTAACCATTTACCGCCCACACTTTTTTTTGTCTCTTTCTTACTCCTAATAATTTCTTGCAACACAATCTCCACTATCACCATCACCGTCACCATCATCCAAAAAAAAAAAATCACCTATTTTCGTTGTTTCCACTTTTTTACTTTTTCCTTCTTCTTCTTTTCCATTTCACCATACAACATTATGTCTACTCCTCGATTCCTTAAACAATTACAAGAATTTTTATCATCAAAGAAGGATTTCTCAATTGTTTATAATACATCTGCTTCATTTATAAATCCAAATACTCAACGTGTTTGTGTGTTAGATTCATCTTTTAATCCCCCACATTTGGGTCATTATGCTTTAGTTGAAGAAAGTTTAACAAAGAATTATGACAATATTCCTATGAAGAATAAAGCCGTGTTATTATTGTTATCGGTGAAGAATGCTGATAAGATACATCCAAAACCAGAATCATTTGAAACAAGATTAGAATTAATGTATATCATGGCTAATCAATTGGCTAGAAAGTATCCGGTGAATATAGCAATTGGCTTAACAAATCATGCTAAATTTGTTGATAAATCATTGTCAGTGCTTAATTATATCAAAGAAACTGAAAATTCCCATAGTCCTGATATAAAATTGACATTTTTGGTTGGATTTGATACTTTGATTCGAATTTTTAATCCAAAATACTATTTACCAGATAAATTGACCAATAGTTTAGAGCAATTCATGAAGAATACTGATTTGTTTTGTTTAACAAGAACAGATGAAACATTTACTCATGATCAACAATCAAAATATGTTGATGATATTAAAAGTGGAAGTCATGAAGATATTCCTTCACATTGGTCAGATAATATTTATTTGTTGGAAAATATTGGAAATAATAACAGAATATCAACAATTAGTTCTTCTGCAATTAGAGATTGTATTAAACATCAAGACGAAATTTGGAAATCTGAAGTTTTACCAGATGTTACCGAATACATTATACAAGAGAATTTATATAAGCATTAAATTATCAAACCTTGTTCCACCACACACATACACATACACACACACATGTCTTTACGAAAATAGTTTTATAAAATTAAAAATTTTACGCATGTTTATTATTAGTTTTGAAATCTGTACTCTTTTATATTTTTTTTTGTTTTGTTTCAGATGATTGCAAAACTGAACATTAAAATAGTAAAAAACTTGATAAAAGACAATTCAGTAGTCAATACTGCAAAATTGGATTTATTTTCATGATATTCAACATCAAGAGTTGAATTTGTAATCAATTCACCACCATCATCTTTAGTTCTTGAAGTAATCTTTTCATTATTTGCATCAGTACATTCAATTTTCCCACCTCTTACAACCAATATAATCTCACTTCTTGACCATTTAGCACAATCAAAAACTGGAGAAGTTGATTTAACACTTGCACTTCCTTTACAAAGTTTCAAATTTTTCAAAGAAATTTCTTTAATAGCACCAACCAATTCTAAAGCACCACCAATAATTCTCAATTTTGGCAAGAAATTAACTCGTTCAACAAGACTATTATTAGTTAAAACTAATCCACCTCCCAATTCACTTAAATTTGGAAATTCCAAATCATTAACCATTTCATTACCTGATAAGCTTAAACTACCACCAACATAACTTAATTTTGGAAATTTAATTTGTTGAAAATAATTATTAGTTAAACTTAAAGAATCATCAACAGATTCCAATTCATCTAAATTCAATCGTTCAACATTACTTATACTAACACGATTAATTTGTTTCAATTTAGGTAATGAAACTTTTGCATCATTTGCATTAGCACCAATATGTAATTTCCCACGTATTACTTCAACATTACTTTCAATAGTATCTAAAAATCGATTATTATTAATATCTAAATTATCAATTGTATCAGCTAAAAATCCAGAAAATCCAGTCAATGAAGTATCAGATATAGTTATACTTTCAATACCTTGAATTTCATTATTAAAATGAACATTACTTAAAATTGGTAAAATTTTCCAATCCAATATATTAACCCATTTCAAAGCAGGAAATGAAATTAAAGCTAATGAAGTCAATTCAAACATTGAAAATGATCCACTAATTAATTCCATTAAAGGAGCTTCTATACGAACAATTTCAGGTGATTTTTTAATAGTTAAATTACCTAAAATTTTTTCCAAATTATTAAATGTAATTATAGGATAATCAAAATCTTGAATAATTAAATTACCAATTAAAATTTCACAATTTGATAAATCTTGTAAATCTTCTTGACTACGAATTTGAAATTCATTTTGTCGACAATGTGAAGGAATATCCATTTCAATCTCCATTGAAGGTGGTTTAACTTTAGATGATGGAATAACAGCTGGAAGTTCAAAAAAATCTTCTTTAATATTTGATTGTGTTACATTAGTTGAGACTAGATAATTCTTAGATATTTCTTTATAACCAAAAATTGTTAGTATTGATTCCAATGAATATTCTCAATATAATAATAAAACATACGTTTAGAACATTGACCAAACACACTAAATGATATAATTACTAGTATAATATATGTGAGATTCATTATGAATAATCTTAAAGAATAAAAGGCAACTCAAATAAGCCAAAAAACAAAAAACAAAAAAAAAATTCATCTCCACAATAAAACATTATTTTACAACTCTATTAATAGTTTTTGTATTTTTTCGCAACCAATATATGCATAACAATTTTGATTGAATTTTTTTTTTTTCATTTTACTTTACAAATTATAGAATACAATCCATATATTTAAAGAACATACATGAGTATATGATTTAATTTAAAGAAATTATAAAAAAAAACAATGATATTTTATACTTATTTCCTAGAAATATTGTATGAGTCATTGTCACTGAAGGAGGTGGAAGATGAGGAGTTGGAAAATTTGAACCAATACTAGCTAGAACAAATAAACATTGTCAAATATCAAAATAAATTGGAATTGTATACAACGCCAGGAATAAACTCAAATGATTAGATAGATGATGATATGAAACAATAAATAAAGCTGTTCTTTCAAATACTTAGAATGATAAAAGATTCAAAAAACTATTTCTAACCTAAAAAAAAAAAAACTGATACAAAATTACTTTATACAAATACATAATCCCTAGAATTCAACTGAAATAATAATAATAATAAAAAAAAATTAACCCATAAATATATAACCAACTAGAATAATAATATTATCAATAAAAAATAAAAGCAACCATTTCATATACATAAAATTCTTTAAATCTTTTTACAAGAATAAACGTCCGTTTTCTAATTCTTCAATTGTGGATTCAATGATTTCATCGTCATCATCATCTTCAACCAATTCAATTGTTGAATATTTAATCATATCCCAACGTTTCCAAAATAATTCAATTTCTCTATAATCGTTTGAGTCAACCAACTCTTGTAAATAGTACTTTGCTTTAGTTAAGCGTACTTTCAAATCTTGCAATTGATTTGATGATTGATTTTGTTGTTGTTGTGCTTGTGGTTGTGGTTTGATAGGACTGGTGGAGGAGAGGTGGTGGTGACTTGGAAAGTCGGAATAGTCAGTGATGTCTGTGCTATTGTCAAAAGTATCATCATCAACACTAGCATCATCATCTTCTTCGTCATCAGAAACAGCAACATTTCTTGAGTTTGTGCTGTAACCATAGACATCATCTTCGACAGAAGCGGCAGCATCACAGTATCTTGCCCATGCTTCGTCAATAGCACCAATTAAGTATTCAAAGCATCTAGCTCTAGCTTTAGTATCAGCAATAGGAACAGCATTGTTATTGTTTTGATCAGCACCTTCATCTTGACTGATTTGTTGACAGTCAAAGTTTTCAATTTCCGTTTCTGATCCAGTGATTGCAAGGGCAACACTAGATCTACGAGGAATGAGTTTTTTTCTCATTTGAATTGATTCAAATGAAGCATGTTCTTCATCTTCGGAATCATCTTCTTCAGAAGAGGATGAATAGTAAAAATCTTTAAAACCAATACCACCAATAGCAGGAACTTTACCGTTAGTTAAGCAAATTCTCTTATTTGGTGTGGAATAGATATTACTCAAGGATTGGCAACCACGTTTGGTAGCGGTAGCAGAAATTGCTTGTGAACACAAAGCCATTTTGGTGAGCAAAAAAAAAAATAAAAAATTAAAAAAAGGTAGTGTAAAAAAGAACTAAAAAAAAGTTGTCGTGTCTTTTTAACCAGCAAACAAAAAAGTAGTGTGGATTGGAGAAAAAAGTAGTGTATGAGTGACCAACAGAAAAAAATTAATTCCTTATTGCCACCGTGTTGTCTTTTTGTAAATTCTGACCAATCAGATTAAACCTTTGCCACTGGAATTTTTCTTCAAATAAAAAAAAAAAGTCGACGAGGATTTTCTTTAACCAAGAGTGATTTTTTATGTAGACAGATAAACCTTTAATTAAAAAGTGTAATGAACCTGTTAAATCGTTACTTTATGAACCTAATCAAAAGTAGTCTTGCTTTGATGAAAATATAAGTGTGTGAGTGTGTGAGTTTTCCCGTTAGTTTAATTAAAACTTGTTATTGGTGGGAAAATTTTTCTCTGTTTCTCTGTTTGTTTTGTTGGGAAAAGGAAGAAAAAAAAAACCAATTAACCAAAAAAAAAAGACAGCGAGAAAGAGAAATAAAGAAAAGGGAGGAAAGAAGAAAGTTGATGATCAAGAAAGAAAGAGAGAGAAACAAAAAAAAAAAAAAAAAAAAAATGACCCAAACTTTTTATTCTTATTTAAAATGGAAATTGAAAAAAAAAAGAAAAATTGGACAACAAGAGAATTTCAAAAAAAGAAAATATTAAGAGACGCATGTTTTTTTTGCACGACCTTCCACACGCGCACGACTAAGAAAAAATAGGAGAATTTTCCTAATTGGGATTAATTCATTATGCATAAACTAAACCATTCTGCCCTCTGATTGGTCAATTGATATTTTGTGTATAAATTATTATTTAATATGGGTGTGTCCACATGCTCAATCTTGATATTTACTCCAGTCCTTTATCATTAATTTAATTAATCTCACCAACATGGAATTATGTCAACGATAAAACCGTAAGTTTCTATTACAGTTTCTATTCGTACGGTTTCTGAAAAAATTTCTTTTACAGTAGTACTAAAAAAAAGGGAGGGGGGAAAGAACGGAAGAATAGCTCTTAATTGACTTTTATTAAGGCGGTGTATCTATTTTATTGTTTTCTCTGCCACGTAGTCAACTTGAGTTCTCTGGCACACACACCCGTGTAGTATTGTATCTAATTTTGGTTTAATTGGTATTTTAGACGATAGGTAGAGAAACAGATAGAGATAACGAAATTACAAATTATTGTATTGTTAATTGAAAAATGTGAAAAAATTCCATCAAGTTCCATTTCCCCCCAAATACACCTGTTTGTGTAACGTGTCTATAGTTTCACTTATTATTTTTTAGTACAAAGATTGCTATCTTGCTGTTAAATTATGCACGATTCTATATTTCTGTATCATGAAATACAGTTGAAAATTTTAAATACAAAAAAAAAATGCATCGCCTAGTTAAGATTTATCACTATGTGCACGACCTCCCACGATGTTCCTTTTTTTTCTAATTATTTTCATTAAGGAACACAGATACGAAGTTCTAGATACAATAGATAATAATAGATCCAGGTCCATTTGTCATTAGTTCTAGTTCTCTGCCTAATGAACATGATACTAGTCGTAAATGTAGTTTATTGAGCATTTCAAAGTAAGATTATTCAATCTACTATCATCCTAGTATCGGCAATTCTGGAAAAAAAACTGCTTATATAGGGGGTTATTTCTGTATTTTGTAAGAATTTAGTCAAAAATATTTGTTAAAAAATAAAGAAAAATTCTTCTTGTAACGTGTCAAAAGTTAAATCTCCTTACGATTATAAGAATAACGTTCCTAAATATATCCCGTTAATTTAATTCTACAAAACCCCCTCTATGTAACTATACCTATTAATTCCCTTTACCATGCCTAATTCTATTCCTACATTTTCATCTCCAAGTATTTCTCTTATAATAACATCTCACATTTCATCAAAAAATTTTTCTGCTGCCTTGAATAAGGACGGATCTCCTGCACTACTCGTGCCGCTAGAAATGGAATTCTCACTCACACTACCAGAAATAGCAGTCGTGCGAAACCCATTATTCTCTTCATATTCATCATCTTCTGTTCCAAGTTCTACTTCTTCCGTTGCATCTACTTCATCTGAATCGGGTATGATATGTCTTCTACTAGAATAAAACTTGGCATATCGTGGATCTTCAGCATATCTTTTCTTATCCTTGCTAGTGATTCTTCCCACGATGAAATCATACACATTACCTGCAACATGATCGTCTTCAGATATCAACATTTTTTTAATTGAACTTGGTTTGAAAAAATCGGTAGTGTAGGATGTGAAGTCATTGTAAACTTCTTCTGCTTTAACATAGTCCTGTTTATACATTTTGTCAATGATATCTTCGTTGTTGGTTAATTTGGCATCAAGGTAGTTCATAAAAGTCAACACTAAATCAATCAATCGTTCCATGTTCTTTTTGTTGAATATATACAATTGATTTTCTTTAAACTTGTATATCAAATATTTTGTAATTGGAATAAATAATTTCAATCCTGTAAATACCAACTTGATAGATATGATAACAAATACTTGGAGTTTGTCCAAAGGAGAAACGTTCTTGCTATGGTAAAGATTTTTAAATTCTCCATCATGATGATAATCTTTCAAATCATGCTTTAACAGCTCATACAACATCACTTTAGTTTCATCCTCTAACGAATCAATGAAAATATCTACTTTAATCTCACTATCTAAATGAGACATCAATTCATCAAAACGTTCTTGATCATTTTTGTGTTGATCAGAATTAGGTTCTTCGATAAATGGCTCATTACTATCGTTGTCTATAACTTGCTGACAGTAGTCAGTAAATGGACTTCCAAGCAATGAAGGTTTAGTCTCTGCTGTATAACTCATGATCTCAACCTTTACTGTCTCATTTTCGTTATTGGTCTTTGGATTGAAATATGGAATATATGGTAATCTTGATGATACTTCAGATTTACCCAAATCATATAAAGTACGCATAATTGGTTTTCTATTATCATATACCATTCGGATAAGTTTTTCATTTTCCGACTTTTCAGAGTCTGGATTCAAAACCACATCAATATTCTTTGATATAAGTTCATCAAACTTGTTATTTTGATTCTCCAAATACTCTTCAATTCTATTCTGTTTATCTTCTTCAGAATCTTCATCTCCATCTTTTGTTCCTGAACTTCCAACTAACGTTTTTGAAGATCCACTAAAAGTGGAACAAACAGGTGAACCTTGATCAGTAACTTTTCGAGATTTTCTTCTTGCCAATCTTTGAGATACAGTCATTGTTGAAGAATTATCAACAAACGATAAATGATTGTTACCCTTTCTTGGAGTATCAAATATATTTTCATCATCCACAACTGCAAATCCATTGATATCTTTATTCCTAGTATTCATCAATTTTTCATGAATTCGATCTTTAGGATTGGTAAACTCTATTGGTCTGATTTCATCATTTTCTGAATACTCTTCGTCATCAGTTCCTGATGATGCCAGTCTTGAACTTGTTCGTGATGACTCTTCTTTATCCCCATCTGCCCCAGGTTGTTTCTTAGTCGGACTGAATTTATTAATCACTGGTATATGATCTGAAAAAGGAACCTTGCTGACTAAATATTCTACTACCATGTTTGTTGTCTAAGCTTTTGATGAATGTATTTAAATGAATAAATGTATGAGTGTGTATAAATTTGGTGGTGATTTGCAGGGATTCTGGTTTACTATGCAACCTCAATCAAAGAACTAAAAAAAAATACGACGTAGTTAACACCTTTCGATAGGCAATAATTAAATACAACCAATAACAATAAATGAACTAAAAATAAAAAAACGAATTGAATACGTCAATAATGAAAGAAGAAAGAAAAAGGGTCTATGTCTATGTGGAGATTTTTTTGTTGAATTGGCAATATGTGATTGTTTTATAAAGAGCAAACCAAACCAACTTTTTTTTTTCTTTCGTTTCGTTTCGGCATGAATTTTGATATCTACCATTTATGGTTATGAATCCCAGTATCACATGCAATTGAATTACAACGAAATAATACGTTTCTAGCATAAATATAAATATGTAGATATGTCACTTCTATGTCTATTTGCAGTATAAATTGAAAGTGGCTATTAGATATCATAAAACCTTAGATTCATAATCCATCTCAAAGCACTCGTATGTGGTAGAAGAATGCTCAACGGCGCATTAGCCCGTAAATGACCCAAAAAAAACACAAGGTAGTGCACACACCAAAACAGGTCACGCGGATTTACATAATACATTTTATGCAATAGCAATAGTAATCAGAAACAGCAACTGTCTCTCAAGAGTAGAATTTTAACCCAATGGTGTATTTAAAGGTCAAATATTTCCCACCCAAGCAATTCCAGTTTTTCTCTTTTGTTCAATACGCAACAATCATGTCTTCATTCGTGTTCAAATACATTGCTAATCGAATTTTTAGAGATAATCAATGGAATAGATTTGGAGTTGAAGATCCATATTATGAATATGTTCCAATTGGTACCAAATCCAATGGTGAACAAATAGTAAAAAAGATAACCAGAAGAATACCTGATGGTATTAGTGCCAATGATTTAGACGTTTTACAACTGTTCAAGAAACGGGCTTATAGATATGATTATTGGTTCAAAATATTAGGTGTTAATTTTGGTTGGACCAATATTGTTAGTGTTATCCCTGTTGTTGGTACTATAGTGGCTACATTTTGGTCATTACAATTATTATGGTTAACTAGAAAATTAGAGAATGGATTCCCATTAGATTTGCAAATCTTATTCTTGGTTAACATTGCCATTGATTTTGGATTAGGTTTGATTCCTTTTGTTGGTAGTATTGTTGAGATTGGTTACAAGGCAAATTCAAGAAATTATTTATTATTAGAAAAACATTTAACTAGAGTTGGGGAACTGAATTTAGGACTTATTTCAAAGGACGAAGTCAGACCAGGGTTTATTAATGATAGAGTACAACCTTTTGTTGAAGATACTTTAAAACCAAATGCTATTAAAGCTGGAGGTCAAGTGATGGAATTATTAAATAGAAAAGCTAAAGATGCAGTTGATACCGCATCAAACTTGTCTTCTTCAATTGCCGCTAAAACTTCTTCTGCTGATACTGAAGATACAAAGGTATCAACCACTTCTTATGAAGCATCCAAGGGTGATGGCATGAACTAGTGTTTGTGCTATAGAAATCTTTCAAAAACAACAAAAGTGACAATTGCCACTTGTATTATGTGTATAGGCTATATCATTAGATAATAAACAGTCATTTTCTTAACCGTCATTCAAAATATCATGCCAAAAGTTGGCGTAGTTTCAACAATTGTTGGTGAAATGTTTATGACTTTTTTTTTTTTCACTGCGCCGTTTCCCAGACGTGCATCGCACGACTTTAGTCGAAGAAAAAACCCGTGAAACAGAAGGAGAAAAAAAAAAACAATCGTGCTAAAAATTGAGATCGACCCGTACTGTCAATTTTGAAAGTTGGAGTTTTTTTTTAGCTCATTTTCTTTTGATTTCTAATATTACTAAATTTTTGATATTTTCAGAATCCATCATCATTAGATCAAAGTAGAAGCAATGGCAAAGAGAAAGAATAAGCTGAAACTGAAATCGGCATCTCCAAAGACCCCTAATAATACTAATAAGACACAAGATTCAGTTGATACATTGACAGTTGAGACAGATAAAATTTCCACACCTACCGACCCTGATCAACAAACAATTGAATTGTCTGAACTTAACTCAAGTGAACCAACTACTTCAAGTACTACAAATGACGATGATGATGGTGAAGAAGAAGATAACGACAAGGACGAAGTTGAAAGAGCATCAATAAAATCAACCGAGGCGGTTTTAGAAACTTTAGACTCAGATCTTAACACCGTCACCGAGAATAAACCTGAACAACCAACGGAACAAGATTTAAACCCTGATCTTGCTAAATTTATGAATAGCTGTCAAGAAGGAAATATAACTATAGTTAAAGAATTAATAACTTCCAAAGCAGTTCAAGTTAATGATACATTTAGTGATGGAATTACTGGTTTGCATTGGGCGTGTATCAACAACAGATTGTATTTAGTGAAGTATTTAATTGAAAATGGAGCTGATCCAAATTACTTGGGTGGTGAATTGAGAGCAAGTCCATTACATTGGGCCTGTAGAAATGGACTCGTTTACATCGTCGACTATTTGATGTCCAATTCAGATGCTGATCCAAATTTGAAAGATGCACAAAGTTACAATGCTTTACATTTAGCTGTTCACTCGTCAAATATCACGTTAGTTGAATATTTATTGTTGAGTTGCTGTGATGTCAACTCCTCCAAGAAAGTGTACATTGATGAACCCGATGGATCCAATAGAACTGGGTTGCACTGGGCAGCATACCAGAATGACATCTACACTATCAATGCATTATTAAGATTTGGAGCTGATGTGACCAAAGTTGATGATAACTTGTTTATTCCTTTGCATTGGTCCTTTATGAAGGGCTACAAGTCAGTTTTAAAGACATTAGTTGAAGCTGGGTCAGATATTTTTGCAAAAAATGATCAAAACAAAAATTCATTTGATATTGCCAATGATATGAATTGTTTGAATACTTGGGAGAAGGTGTTAGTTGAATGTGGAAGAGATTCTAAAAATAACTGGGTTGTTAAGAAACACTGGCTTCAACCAAAAATGGCCAAGATTATCACATTTTTGACTCCTTATGTTTTATTACCTTTAATGCTTAACATTATATCTGCTTCACAAGGTTACGGGATACCTAAATTTTTATTTGCTATTGGATTAACTGCTGGAGGAATATATTTATTGAAGTATTTTGTCATTTCGACTTATTTATTTGACGACAAATTATTGCCAAAATCCCCTCTTTTGGCAGGTGTCTTTTCATCAACAGCATTCTGGACAATTTTGGTCTGGCTATACAACATTGTGCCGGTAACATTTTTGCATAATTTTTTTACAAATTTAGTGATGACAGCATGTGTTGGAATTTTGACATGGTCATTTTTCAAAGCAATGTTTATTAATCCAGGTTTTGTTCCAACTCCTGCGGATAACAGTGTCATATTGAACCAAGTTAAGGATTTAATCAAAATCGGTAAATTCGACACCGACCACTTCTGTGTGAATTCATTTGTTAGAAAACCACTAAGGTCAAGATATTCTAAGCACAACAAGAAATTGATTGCCAGATTTGATCATTCATGTCCATGGGTCTATAATGATATTGGTGTCAGGAACCATAAAATTTTCATTGCATTTGTCTATTCTTTAAATTTGGGGATTTTCCTTTTTGTTTATTTATCGCTTCAATATTTTGAAACACTTGAAGATGGATATCAATCAGGAGATGAAGGGTTAGCATGTTCATTATTGGGAGATGAATTATGTTTTGGATATCAGAATCATCATTTCCATTTCAATTTACTAATCTGGGTAATTCTTCAAGGCATCTGGGTTACATTCTTGTGCATTGTACAAACATTCCAAATACTTAAAGGAATCACCACATGGGAGTTTAGTATTTTAAACAAAACCATCCAATCCAATCGTTTCAATCATTCTACAGTTCCTAGAGATTTCGGTGCCAACGGGACACCAATACCAGAAGCTAATTCTCATCATAATCATAATAACGAGTTTAAAACTTGTTTGAATTTGTTAGGTATTGATCAATTCATTTTAACTTTAAAAATGAGTATTGGATCATTATTTAGAGGAAGTTCAGATGATACCGATAATACTGCTTATAATCCATTGAATGCAGTTAAAATTCCAACTGATTTTGGTATAGTGCAAAACTGGAAAGATTTTTGGATTATTGGTGATGAAAAACTTAGAAATGTCTTTTATTTACCTATTGAAGGAGAGAACAATTTGAATGGTAAAGTGGTAGACTATTATACATTATATAGTTATGACGAAACTGTTTAGATAGAATAGATTGATCAAAGTAATCTAAAAAGTATTCAGTGTAGACAGATACAAGAGACCATCACCGAACAGATTCCACGCGATGAGCTTTACAATAGTAAAATAATTATTTTAGAAAAATAGTTAAAAAAAATATTTATATTATGAAAATACTAATTAAAAAAAAAACTATACAATAGAATCATAAGACTTGTCAGACTGTCACTTAGTTCCATCCAGTCATCACTTCAAAGAAGTTAAATGATAGGATAAAGATCATCGCGCACAACTTAATTAAAAGATGGCAAATTATAAAATTAATTTCTCACTTTGAAGAACTAAGGACCAAACTCATCGTCCAAGTTGGATTCAATGGCTCTTTTGAAGAATCAAAAGAGAGTCGTAACCTATAGAAATGATCCTATGAAGTACGTCGACAGAGAAAAGAAAAAGAAAGGGAAAAACAGAAAAAAAAAGTTTGCTACTTTCGAGGTCCTTTTATAGTTTTCCAAATGAGATGAAAAAAATTTTCGCACTCATCATGTGACTGATTTACCCGGATCGATTTTTTTACAAGCCCTAAATTGATTTTTGTACATTTTTTTCAGATTATAAAACCCTAAAACGAACAAACAAACAAACAAAAAGTAGTGGATTATATTCTGTGAAGGATTTGTGTGTAACATATATACTGATATTATTATATCTTAGTATGAGTGACGTGAATAAGAGAAAGAGTGAGCCGTCAAATGATGTTGAATCAAAGAGACAGAAACTAGAGGATCCAAAGTTTATCTTACCAAAACAAGTCAATACCAATCCTGCTACATTACCAGAAAGAAAGAAGAATATAGAATTGATTGTGGGTATATTACTTAAGAAAACCCCTGGACTTCAAACACCAAAACTTCGAGCTATTGAAATTGAATATGAGATAGCTAAAAAATCATCTAATTCAACTTACAAAAATCAAATTAGACAAGGTATTTATAGACTACAACATCCTCCAAAGGCTAAACCTTCAGGACCATCCAAAGAAGAACTAGAAGCTCAGGAGTATAAAATACTTAAAGAATGGGTAATTGATAAAGATACTTTAGTCAAGTATGGATATACTATGGATATACCTGAATCTATACCGAATGACAAAATAACAAGGGTTTGCTCTCGATGTGGTACTGAATTTAGGTTATCACAACAATTAGAACCAACTACGTGTGAATATCATCATGGTAAGAAACAAAAGGGCAAATTTTTATGTTGTATGACCAGTGATGTTGGTGTACCATGTATGAAATCTAAATTTCATGTGTATCTACTACAAAATCCAGAAGAGAAACAAGCATTACAAACATATAAATATACTAAAGATGTATTTAAAAAACCATCAAAATCAAAAGTCATTGGATTAGATTGTGAGATGGTTTTTACAACAAAAGGATTTGAATTAGCTAGAATTACCGTAATTGATTATTTTACAAGAAAAGAAGTTTCAGACATATTTGTTAAACCATTTGGTGAAGTGGTTGATTTTAATACTAGATATTCAGGTATTCATGAATTGGATGGAAATTTCTTACCTTGGGATCAAGCAATGGCTAAACTTGGAGAATCAATGGATAGTCAAACCATAGTCTTGGTACATGGTGGTGATAATGATTTCCATGCTATACGAGCAATTCATGAAAATATAATTGATACTTCAATACTATTCCCAACAAAACATGAAACAGGTCCATGGAGAAGATGGAGTTTAAAAGACTTGACATTTAAATACTTGAGTAAAGAGATTCAAAAAGGAGAACATGATAGTACCGAGGATGCTCTTGCTACTGCAGATATTGTCAGGTATTTTGTCAGGAAAGAATTACAACGTAGAAAGGCAATGAAATGAGTATGTGTATATGCTCTATAGTATATGTTTGTGTAATAACTCGTAAAGTACATCACGTGATTCACCTCCTCAAAAAAAGAAAGATTTAAGGGGGGTGAAAGGAGTTGACTTTCTTCCACTCTTTCTCCCTCCCATTTATATTCCCTCTAAATTTAGAAATATATCCTTCTTTTTTTTGAATTACTACTGCTACTTGTTTATTTCTTAGATAGATAATCATGACTATTAAAGCACTTATTCTTGTTGGTGGTGAGCTTTTAGCCACCAGATTCAGACCAATTTCCATTAGTACTCCTAAATTATTATTTCCAATTGCTGGTAAACCCATGGTTGGACATATTGTTGATAATTTAGTTGAACAATTTGATGCTTCTGAATTGGAGATTTTATTGATTGGATTTTTCAAAGAAGAAAATAAACTTAAGTTTGAAGAATATATTAAAGATGCTAAATCAGCTAATCCTGGATTAAAAATTAAATATTTATCTGAACCTTATCCTTTAGGTACAGCTGGTGGATTATATCATTTTAAGGATGAAATTTTTAATGTACCTGATTGTAAATTACTTATGATTCATGGTGATGTAATTTGTAATTATCCATTTAAAGAAATGTTGAATTTTTATAAAGAAAATGAATCAAATATTACTATATTTGGAGTTGATCCAATTTCATTACTTAAGAAATCAAAAGCTCAAATTAGTGTTGGACTGCATTATGATGATGAAAATCAAAGTACTACTGTTAGTGATGATATTGTTACTAAATTTGGTGCAATTGTTGCTAATAAGAAAAATGGTAAAGTTGTTCATTATGTTGAAAAACCAAGTGCTTCAATTTCAGCATTCAATCGTGATGCAACTTATGAAATTTTATTAAATGGTGGTATTTATATATTTGATAAAACAATTTTGGAATTGTTAAGACAAGCAAAAGATAAAAAATCCAAATCTGTCGATTTCAATGATGATGATTTAGATGATGAATCAGATAGAGGTATTCTTTCTTTAGAATTGGATGTTTTTAAAACTTTACCTCAACTGAAAAACACCAACTTTAATGTTTATAAAACAAATGGATTTTGGTATCAATTAAAACTGCCAGTTTCTGCATTAATTGCTAATAATTTCTTTTTAGCTCAAGGTGATAATAATTGTACCAATATAAAATCTCCTAAAATTACTCAACCAGTTCAAATTTTAACTAATGATTTAAATTTTAAATCTTCTAAAATTGGTCCAAATGTTTCTGTTGGTAAAAATGTAACTATTGGAAATGGAGTTAGATTAGTTAATTGTATCATTTGTGATGGTGTTAGTATTGGTGATCATACTATTATCAAGAATGCCATTGTTTCAAATGGTACCAAAATTGGGAAATGGTGTAGAATTGAAGGTACTATTACTGCTGATACTTTGGCAAGTAATGTCTTTGATACTAGTACATCAAATTATTTGAAAGTTTCCAACAATATCGTCATCTTGTGTCAAGATACTGCTGTGAAGAGTCAAGTATTTGTCTACAATTCCATTGTCTTGCCACATAAAGAATTAAAAGAAGATGTCAAATACGAAATCATTATGTAAACCTAAAAAGTCAAAAATTCTATATTGTTGTTTTATAAATAAAATGAATAATAATAATAATTAAAAAAAAAAATGTACACAATCACAAAATAATTTAAGAAAATAAGAACTAAACAAAGGAATTACAAACTATCTATCATTTTAGCAATGTTATCAAGAGCACTTTTCTTGATAGCTTCATCGTAGGAAATCATGTCTTTACCCAAATCGTCAATCTTACCAGTGCCCCACCAAACGAAATCACTTTGTAAACCCAAACTAATGTCATGAACATCACTTTCTTCAGCAAGTTTCTTCAATTTAGAAGTTTGTTCATATTCATTAGCGGCTCTTTCGGCATTATCAACAATTTCTTCAGGAATACCACACATAGCAGCAACATTCATACCAAATGATCTTGGTGCTGTACCTTCCTCTAATTTGTACAAGAATGTGATGTTACGGGAGTTGTTATCCACCACTATTCCCATTCTCAACTGTTTAATTTGAGGATGCGTTTTGAATGATAAACCTAATGTACCATAATGAGTTGCAAAAAAACCCAATGATTGTAAATGAGTAGCCAAATGATGTAAAACAGATTCAGCAATGGAAAATCCATCACTACTTGACCCACCTCTTCCCAATTCATCGAGAATAACCAATGATTTAGGCGTGGCATTACTTAAAATCTTTTTGGTTTCGGACAATTCCACAAAGAATGTAGATTTACCTTGCATAATATTATCATTAGCACCTAATCTTGTCATAATTCTATCAACTGGGGTCAATTTGGCCAGTTCAGCTGGGATATGACACCCAATTTGACTTAGCATAACTGCCAAAGCGGTGGTTCTCATTAAAGTCGATTTACCAGCTGCATTAGCACCAGTAAGTAAACCAAAATGTGGATTGGAACCACCTAGTTGAACATCATTTGGAATAAACTCTTTAGTACCTTCAAAACATGGATGTCTTAATTCTTTAAAGTCAACACATCCCTTGGCAGCGTCAATGAATGATGGACGACATGAAGGGAAACCCATAGATTCTGAAGCTTTTGTCAATGCCAACAAGCAATCAATATTGCCAATGGATCTAATAACACCCATCCATGTTTGATAGTGAGCATCAAATTTTTCAAACATTCTATTCTTTAAAGTATCACACACCTGTTTATGCAACTCACGTTGCTCCATAAGTTTACGAGCCAACTTCTTAACCTCCGGTGACCAATATCTTTTAACTTTAGACGTAGCACCCATTTGTTGCCAATCCTGTGGCACATTCAATTTAACTGGAACTTCAATAAGATAAATTTCCTTACCAGAATCACGGTAGCAAATACTTTGTGACTTGTATGTTCTTTTGTACTCTTTTAGTTTTTGATTTAATTGAGATTCTAAATCACCAAGAAGTGTTTGTGATTCATCAAATTGCTCATCAACTCCAGAAGCTGGAATGATCACATCGGATTTAGCTTGTTCTCTGTCAAATGAATCTTCCCATTGGTCAATCAATTCACTCATTTCGTGCGGGAAACTAGACAAGTAGTTGTACAATATACCACATTCGACATTAGCAAAATCCTTTAATTTAGTACTCAACTTGGCAATGGCTTCAAAGCTTTCAATGACTCTCAAAAAATCTCTAAATTTCAATGTTTTAGCATGAACTCTTGCCAATAATCTTTCTAAATCTGGAAGAGTAAATAATACATCTTGAATAGCAGATCTTAATTCCAAACCATCATTCATGAAAAAGTCAACTGAATCATATCTAGCATTAATTTCGTCAATCTTGTACAAAGGATGGAGAATCCATTGTTGCAAAAGTCTTTTACCAAATGAGGTAGTAGCACGGTTCAACAATTTGAAAAGTGTTCCCTTATCACTACCATCAGCAGTGTTATGAAGAATTTCCAAGTTATTTAACGTAATACCATCCAAGATCATATGATTATTTGCATTTTTTGATATTTGATATTCATGAATATTACCAAGACTCATGATACTAGAATCTAATTTCAACAACTTCAAGTAGTATAATAACCCACCAAAAGCACTGAAAGCTAACGGATGATTATCCTTGTATGTAACCAATATTTCTGGGTATTTCGAATAATCATCTAAATCTTCAGCTTCATAGTACTTGGATTTAACCAATTCTTCGATAGTATTGTCGTAATCCCAAAATTCGGTAATTGGATTTAAAATATTCCAAATCTGGTTTTCACTATGAGCACAGAATTTAAGAATCTTGTTAGCAATTTGACATAAATTACCCTTCTCACAAATGACTTCTTTAGGCTTGACTTGGGTGATTAAAGTATCCAATTTTGTACATTCGGCATCATCTTGAAGTTCAATAAAATTCAATTCAGATGTAGCAGTATCCACAAAGGCAACTCCAAATACCTTAGTTCCATCTTCATTTTCTTCTTCTTTAATACTCAAACAATAAGTTGACATGTCATTGGTAATCATATTCAAATCGGTCAAAGTACCACCAGTTAAAATACCAGTCAATTCTCTTTTGATGATCTTTTCTTCCTTTGTGGTACCGCCTCTCATTTCTTTGGCTAATAAAGATTCCTTTTGATCGACTTTGGCAACTTTGTACCCATGACTAATAAATTCTTTAGCCCAATATTCAAAAGACATCTCTGGAATACCAGCCAATTTCATATTTGCTCGTCCACCACCAGCAATCTTTAAATCAAATTTGGTATTGGCAATAATTGCATCATTTTCGTACAATTCATAGAATTTTCCTTTTTGAAAGAACACAACAGTGTTCCACATCTTGGATTTAATTCCCCAATATTGTTTTTCAAAGTTGGTAAATTTGGACCAAGCTGATTGTGGAATATATAATGTTCTTGGATCATACTCTGGATCGTCCACAGTACGCTTTTCAGCATCTCTGATGTTAACCAACCATTCGTACCTTTCTTCATTTTCCTTTTCAAACGATTTCTTAGTTGGGGTGGCACTTTTAGTTGGTTGTTTCTTAGGCGTAGTTGTGGCAGGTGATGACTGATAAGATGAAGAAGAATTAAACTTGCTTAAAACAGAAGATGCTGATACCAGGTTTGATTTTGAAGGGGTCGTAATTTTAGCTGCAGGCGATGCAGATTTCTTAGTTTTCTTCTTTTTTGGAACCGGTTCATCTTCATCTTCCAGTGCAGGTTCCATATCATCATCATCATCGGCATCATCATCCACAACAAAATCACTCATATCATCATCGTCATCATCATCATTATCTGATGCAGGGGGTTTAAATTCTTCATGAGCATCATCATCATCATCACTATCATCCTGTACAATTCTTCTCTTTTTCCTACTTCCACGGATCTCTTCTTCTTCTTCATCATCATCGGATTCAGCATAGTTGACTTTTGGTCTACGACGGGAAGAAGCAACAGGACTAGAATTCAACATGGATGTTCTATCTGTCAATGGTTTTTTCTTAGGTTCAACTTGTTTAGCAGGATGTGGGGAAGGTGCCGTGGCATTTGCCTTGGGCTTTTCAAATTGATCTGCAGGAGGTTGTGATGTGGACAATGTATTATCTTTATGATTCATTATTTCTTCATCTTCCTCATTCTCTTTATCACTAGATATAAAAGGTTTGGATGTAGATTTTGATTTAAGTGGAGATGATGATAATGGCAGTGGTTGAGATTTTGATTTGCTCTTAGCAGATGCAGGCTTAAAGAAATCCATCAACGATGTTTGTTTCTTACCCGATCCTCCAGAAGAGCCAACTTTAGGAGATGACTTGGCTGGAGTAGACAGTTTACCCATATTGATCTTGAATAGTAGCAGAAGCAAAATAATATGTTGTAAAAATAAAAATAAACAACAATTTTTTTTTTCTTTTTTAGTTTGGTTGTTTCTTCAGAATCCCTTGCAAACTACCAAAAAAAAAAAAAAAAAAAAAAATAAAAATTCGCGCGCCTGACCGCGTCACCGCGTTTTTACTTCTACAAGGATTGCAGCTCTAATCCTGTTAATTCCGTGCGTAATAATTTCGTTATTCCGTTTGTTTTGGTTGTAAGAAATTTTCTTTGTAAACAATTTTTGTTTTGCAACAATTACATATTGGATAAGTACAACTGATTCCAGACATGTTATTACTATTACTAATACTTATACTAATCCAAACGGCAATAGGTGTATTACCAGACCCCAATCCAAGCCATTTAGACAAACCCATTTTGAAGGTAACAACCAAAACTCATGATAAAACAATTATGATTAATACCTTACAAAGTGTTGCAAGCAACATTTCTGTTACAGCAATGAGTCATGTTGGTGTTGCCAAATGGTCATCTACAGATATGAGACAGTGCATTGAAGGTTCAAATATTAAATATTACATTCGTCTGATTAGATTGAGTGATCGGGATTTTATAGCCAGTGAATGCCGTACAAATATAAACCCACGATTCCAATCAATTTTGCAACCCACCAACAATATACATAACTTAATTTTAAGAGACGATAATGCTATTGATTCACAATTGAAAGCTAATTTAATGGACGAGTTTGGTGGGTATTACCAGTTCAAATCTATCAAGTTTAATGATTTTCAGAATAACATGAATTATGATTTGCAATGCGTGATAGATTATCAACAATTGATGCAAGTGAAATTCAAAGAAACGGTTGTGGAAGTCAATCTTGAGAAAAGAGTAGAAGTATCTGATGATTGTCATTTTGATAAGCTCAATCCAAACTTCCAAGGAACATCAGTTGATTATGTTACTACGTTTCTTCCTGTTAATGGGACGTTTTACTGTCAAAAGGGAAAAACATACACTTGCAATAGGACCATTGCTGAGACCAAGAACGCTAGATTTAAGTTGCCTGATTAGTATCACCATAATTACAGTATAATTGGCGATGCGATATCTCCAGTGTAAACAAACAAACAAATGTGTCGTAAATAGAATTAAAAACGTATGATTTACAGGGAGTGCAATATATCACACACATGACACAGGGAAAAAAAATAAGGAGACGCATATAAACGAGACTAGTCAAAAAAAAGAAAGAACGGGATATGAATGGCGAAAGGAAAAAAAAAGAGTATAAATTAAATACTCCGTTATTCACCCACAAGTTGAATTTCGTTTCTGTTTTATTCAAATTACCCAACAAAAAAAAATAACCAATCAATATTAATCAATTAGCAATGTTCTGTCAATTAGGCTTAAACACAAGAGTTCCATACCACTTTTTATTCTACTCATTGACTTTTGGTGGTTCCGCATTTTACTCCTTTATCGTTTCCCCATTAGTATTTAAAAAATTACCAAGAGATGAATTCAGTAACTTGCAAAACAAGGTCTTCCCAACCTACTTTACATTACAAACCATTGCTCCAGCTATCTTGGCCTTGAGTCAACCATTGGCCTACTGTCCATTTACTTTGGGTTTGTTAGGTTTGTCATCCCTTGGTGGTGCCTTGAACTATTTGTGGTTGTTACCAGTTTGTAAACAAATCAAGGAAGATAGAAACAAGTTGGTTGCTGACAAAGCTAATGTTGGTGCTGATGGTGAACCAACTGAAGAATTCAAGAAATTGAACAAGAGATTCGGTTGTTACCATGGTATTTCCACTTTGGTTAACATTATTTCCATCGCTGCCCTTGGTGTTTACGGTATTGGTTTAGCTAAAGGTTTATCCAAGATTAAGTTCTAAATCCAAGTAATGTGATTTTCTCAAAACAAGCAAAAATAAAAGGGAATTGGAACTTAATTTGTAAATACCATTCTCCACAATTCTCTCTTTTATATTATATCGTTTTTTTTATTATTATTTGCAATTATGAAGCAAAATATGTATTGTATTTCTTTTTACTATTAATATTAATATTAATTTAGTTAATCAACAGTTTTACTGGTCTGGCAGATGTTCAAGTAATGTACAATCCTCTGTAATATATTAAGGAATACACCCTGCTAAAGTAGAGATAATATACGATTGTAAATTATAATAAGAGCAGAGTAACGTACTGCTAATGTGCACAAGGGTCGAAGAGCCAGCATTTCAGGATGAAAAAAGGAAAAATATAGACCATTCTAATAATCCAACTTGCAACATAATATTTTTTATTTTTGCACCCTTCATTTGATTTTTGAGGGGATGATGTATTGCTGAAGAAGTGATCTGTTGTTGTTGTTATCCCTTACTCTTCTCCTCACCGGGTACTTGTCGTTCAGAGTCACATTTTACTCCCTCCCCATCCGATGATCTTGCGGGGTTACTGTTGAAATATTGGGGGGATTGCTAGAACTGTATACCATACTCCCACTGGTTGTAAGGGGTTTTTCTTGTTCTGTAGGGTAACCCAAATCAAGAAAAGAAATTGTAAAACCCAAATAATGATAAAAACAATATGCCACACACAAAAGGAGTTGACGTTTTGGAAAGATATCGCGAGCAATATTGCGATGAACTGATTCTGTGTATGCATAGATGCATAATATACAACAACAACAAAAAAAAAATTTCACTATGCAAGACCAGAATTAAAAACCAAAACGTCCACAATATAAGGAAGAAAAAGAATGACTCCTAGATTGTCAAGAAAAAAGTTTTGGTGATCCAGCTTGTTCTTGTTTTAAAGGCGGTTTTCTTGTATTCCATTGAGAGATTTTTATTTTTATCTTCTATTTTCAATCACGTCTTGTATCTAAAGGATCGTAAGTTTGTCCATTCATCAAAGAATGGAACTAAAGATAACTAACTAAGTCATCTTTAACTACTTTACGGATATCATGGAAGACTTTATGAGCATTATCTCTCTGTTCACCACATTTAGATTTTCAGCACGAGGAGTCTATTCAAGATTATACCTAAAACGGAAAACAAACTGCCTGCAACAGGATAGCTCAAAACTAATTGATCCATGGCAAATGGCAAAATAAAAAGAAAAGCATTTGAGAAACAAACCCAAGATGTAAGATTCCTTTAGTCCTTGGATTTTTTGCATGGCATCAAATAGAGATCCGGAATAAGATCCAAGAGAATCATTATCACCATTGAGGTTTTTAATTAATAAAGTTCCCGCTGGTGGAATTTGATATGCGCCATATCTGCACTAATATACACAGATCTCAGAGTGATGTATACACTAACTCATTTGCATTGAGTAGTAAATTTTTTTATTTTCTTTTTATTGTTTCAGCAAATTTAGACTTGCAAGTGAAATAAGCATACCCATGCTTATTCCTTGGTTGAATTAAGATCAAGTTCCGAGGCATATATGTATTAAAGAAAAGATTTGGGTCTTACAGTTAACATATACTAGATCGCTAAAAATGTTTAGCTAAACAAGGCATACTAACAAAGACCAAAAGAATGAGTGATATGAAAACCAAAAGGAAAAAGGAAATGAAAAATAGCAAACATAAATCTAACAATGCTGAAACCAATGTTTCTGTTTAGCCCATTACATTGTGGATGATTCATCAATTCGGAGATTGCAACGTGATGATTTCTTTGTTCCTTTTTTTTTTTCTTCAGTCTTTGTTAGAGGAGAGCAAAACGTTTTGTGGCTGGTTCAATAAATAACACCGAATCCATAATTGAGTTCTCTTCCAAGGCTTGGCCATCTTAGTTTTCGATGGTCAATGTGAATGGTTCGTACTGTATCTTAAAGCCAGTCATATAGATTCATGATAGTTCAATCTATTTTAGTCTAATCAATTAATCTCCACTTCACGAGTGCACATGTTCCTCCGTGAGACTAAAGGAAATAGCCAAATAGGTCCGTGAAATATCTTCCACATGTATCCGTGAGCAAGCAAGAGGGATTTTTATCATTTACTGTATGTACATCTTGAGCCCATACTACGAACTTTTATACATATGTAAACATAAAAAAAGAAAGAAAATGTAATTATTGATACAACCCTAGCCGGAAAAACTCTGATGCGAGGGGACTTGGGACTCAAAGATACAAAATGATTGAACATTTTTTGTATTATACCTGAATCAGTATTACATTGTGATAAATGAGCTGATTTGACTTACTAGGGGAAAACCACCTTTTGTTCTAACAGTTTACTGCTTTTCTTTTTCTTTTAAGAAAATGAATTTTAGCCTTTTGTACTTTGAATATGTCTCTAGAGCCAAAGAGGTGAGGAGTTTCAGTATTGAGTTTTGAACACTGCATGAAAAATCGGCGATTATCATGCACGACTACTTGAAGACTACATCAAATTTGCTAAAAGTGAGGTGATTATTCATTTTTTTTCTTTAATTGCCTCCTTTATTGATTATTGTTTGTCTCTATGTCATCTTTGTGATTACAGGCAGAAGATCGTTTTGCATTCTTTTCATTTTCATCTTCTATTGTTTCTTCCATTCTACACTAATAACTCGCCTGTGTACCTTTCCTGCAATAAAGAAAATGGTACATGAAAATCACACAAACCATATTGAATTTTTCTTTATTGAAAAAAAAAAGAAAAGAAAAGAAATAGGCAAAGCATAAACTAAAACATAAATAATCGTTCGTTCTTCCTATTCTATAGATTAGTCTTTGTGGTGCATTCACTTGATTATTATTATTATTTTACCAACACAACTAATATTCCGAACATCGTATTTGAAAGCCGCCAACAAGTGAGAAAAAATAATAATATTCCTATTATGTAAGACTATCCCTAATAAGCAACGTAATCGATTTTTTAGTATAAAAGTATCGTTAATTGCCCTTTGAAAAATTATATTACATGTACCAATTTATTTTCTATCGTTTAATATATTTATTCCTTCATCATAGTCATCATCAACAAACACCCACGACTAATATTTATATACATCTACTTACATTATGAATTCCTTTTACCAACAACGTGCTAACCAATTCAACAGTGAATACAACAGCTACTCTGTGCCGTTATCTCCAGTTACTTCAAATGACAACCCACAAGAATACTGGATGAATGATTTGATTGCTACTTCTGCTCCAATTTCTCAAACCACTAGCAATACTGATTTATCTTACATGCAACAACCTAATCCTATTAATTTCAATGCTTTATTTGAAGAAGCTACCGTGTTTAGCGGGACTGATGAATTGTCATCTTCTAATGATACCTCATTAGCTAACAGTCCAGTTACCAACCCATCTTCAGATATCATTTTACAAAACTTGAATGCTGCTAATCTTAAATTGGAAAAACAAGATAAATTCAATTTGGATTCTTTGGAAACCGTTTTTGAAACCAAAGATATACTAAAAGAAGAACCAAGACTTAAGAAAGAACCAGGTGTCAAGGAAACCAAACCAAAGAGAAGAGCTCCAAGAAAGAAGTTGACTGAATCTCAAAAGAAAGCTCATAATAAAATCGAAAAGAGATACAGAATCAATATCAATGCTAAGATTGCTGGTATTCAAAAAATCATTCCTTGGGTTGCTTTGGAAAAAACTGCCTTTGAAACCGGTGAAGAAAATGAAGCTGAACCTGAACCAAAGAACAACACCAAGCTTAATAAATCAATGATCTTAGAAAAGGCTACTGAATATATTCTTTACTTGCAAAAAAGAGAGAAGGATTTTGCTGAAGAAAACCAAAAGCTAAAGGAACAAATCGTTAAATTAGGAGGTGAAGTACAAATTTGAAATGGGGGGTTGAAACTTTTACTTGATTAGACATTATTTTCATTTCGACTACAACTGCTTTATTCTACTTTACATTTTATTAGACATATTTATTATTGAGAATATTATTATTATTATTATTATTACTATTTTTTTATAGACGGGTTATTATTTATTAATACTAACTTTTTAATGGACGGATATTTTTTATTTATTAGAACAGACCTGAAGTACAATTCATTTGTAGACGTGCTTTCATCCATTTGGATGTAAAAATGCACATACACACAGCATGTATATTTGAGATTACAGGGTAATCGTGTTTTGTGTGACATGCTCACCAAAAAAAAAAAATCTGCACTTCACTATCTACATCGAACTGTCCTAGTACAAAAACATAAATGAACTGACTACGAGTAATTTTGCTCTTTCCCTAAATCGGAGTATTGTGGTTGTAGCCTATGGTCACTAAGGACCATCGATAGTGGAGGAAAATAAAAATCGGATTATGGTTGACCCTTCAAATCTAGTTTTTTTATTTTATTTTCTTTGCTATCTGATTCTGATATTGTTACAGTTCCTGGAAAACTTTGATATAGTTTTGGGAAAAGTAACGAAAATATTTTTATTTCAATGTGACGTCAAGTTGTTTTGACATTCAATTTTAAATGAAACATTCGTAAGCAAAAATGGTACGTTAATTGTCTACCATATGATTTTCTTTCTTTTTTTTTAGATATCTAAGAAATTAAACTTATATGTACCCTGCTGTGATTCTCCCGAGTATTACCGCTTAATTCTAGCTGAATTTTATATTCTCCTTATTATGGTAATTCTTTTGTGAGGACAAGGTTTTTCCGAAATAAGCCGCAGAGTTTTTCCGCAGCAAACACGCAAATGAATGAGAAAATTAATCCTTCTGCATAAACTCTAATGCATGTCAATTTTGAATCACAACAAGAATTAGAAATCACCCAATTCATAAAAAAAAAAATAGAAGACGTGAATGTACACTTTAAATTGACTATAATAGTGAAACTCGTTAATATTGTTTCTTAGATACCGTTAGGGTTTTCTTTTTTTTGTTTTTGTTTTTGCTAGTTTTATTGATTTAAATTTAGCTTGATTTATGAATCAGATATACATGCCCAGAAGAAATTCACTTCTCTAATTCATTTCTATTAATCATTTTAAATGAAACAAGACATGTGTCTCATCAACCGTTATAATCTACACATTTTATCTTATACTTGCCAAATTTCATCAAGAAACATGCATTCTCGAAGCTGGTCAAGTACCTGTCACGGCTTTTTTCTTATATAAATTTGTTGAGAGTGGTTTCGTGGTATTTCATCTTCGTCTATGGTCCATTACGAATTCTCACATTCAGGATGTAAACATACTCTTGAATTAAATTCCATATTACAATCATGTTGCTTAATATGAGTTGTCTACAATAAATAATTAGACTTTTCCAACAAGGGGATTCTCTTTTTTTTTAGTGTTGTATATTCTATGTGGATTTACAGTCGCTTGCAAAAAGTTTGGAGATTTTTTTTCAAAATTGAAAAGTAGTGTACTGGATAATAGATGAGCGAATGAAATTAGTAAAATAGATCGTGTGTAACACAATTCCGAGGTGGACCGAGAAAATTTTTACTTCATCCGAACACTTTTATAGATTGTCCACAGAGAAATACATAATTGTAAGTACTATCGATACACTCTAGAATGATGTCTATATAAGAGATATGTAGTTTATATCTTGTATATTATTGGCAGTTAATTCTTTACAAAACGGTACGTGAAAAACAGGAGAGAAAAGCTTTTTTCTTCTCCGTTTTTGTGGTGTTTTTCGATTTTGAAAAAAAATCTCCAAACTTTTTGCAAGCGACTGTATATGAATAGAAAAAGTCAGTGAGAATCAGAGGCAGAGGCAGAAGAAGAAGAAGAAGAAGAAGAAAAAAAAGAAATTTAAAAAAGGTGAAATCAAAAAGAAAACACGACCCGTTCAGGTCCATTCATTGGTCGCAGCTCGCGCTAAGAAATCGATTTTTTACTTATTTTATATTTTTTTTTGCGGCAAACCAGTGAAGACGATGCGGCAATATGATCATGTAACATCTTTGTACTTTCCTTAAAAAAATTTTTCTGTAATGGTGAAAACATTTCAAGGATGATCACTAATTGCAAGAAACAACGAGTTTAACACTCATCTTGGTGAAAGTAGACTTTTACTTAAATACTTACATAAAAAATCGATCCCGCCATGCCTTCCCCGGATTATAAGATGAAGCATGAAGATATAGCACTCAACTCATCAACTGAAGAACTAACAAGACCAGTGGCAAGTAACAGTAACTTCAAAGATTTTGTTACTTCGTTTAAAATTGACAGAGATTTAGAAGTTGGTTATGATGATATCTCAACTCCTGATGATTCATTAAAAGATTATCAAGTTAGACTCATTGCTCTAGCAACTTGTATTGGAGGTGGGTTATTTGTTTCAAGTGCACAAGCCATTTCATCAGCAGGTGCTGGTGGTACTTTGGTTGGATATGCCATTGTTGCCGGATTAATGTTTTTAATTATTCAATCTTTGGGTGAATTGACCAGTACTTATCCAGTCAAGGGGAACTTTCTTGTGTATAATTCGAGATTCATTGATGAATCTTGGGCATTTGCCATGAATTGGAATTATTGTCTACAATGGATTGTTGCTATTCCAATTTCATTGGTTTCTTGCTCATTGACAATCCAATATTGGACTGATGAAGTTAACTCTGCTGCTTGGGTGGCAATTTTCTGGGTTATACTTGTTGGTATTAGTATCTTCGGTGTCAAAGGTTATGGATTTGGTGAAAGTGTATTCTCTTTAGTTAAAGTCATTGCCATTATCATATTTATTGTTGCTGCCATTGTATTAACTGCTGGTGGTGGGTCTCAAGGTTACATTGGTGGTAAGAATTGGAAACCTCCTTTTGTCCATGGATTTCATGGTTGTTGTAATACCCTAGTAAATGCAGCTTATGCATTTTCAGGAACAGAATTGACTGCTATCTCAGCTGCTGAAACTTCTAATCCAAGAAAATCATTACGTAAAGCCATGAAACAAATTTTCTGGAGAATTTTAGTTTTCTACATGTTTGCTATTATTATGGTTTGCTTTATAGTTAGATATGATGATCCAAGTTTATTAGGTAACTCAAAATGGCCAGTTTCTCCATTTGTCATTGGTCTTTCCAATGGGGGTATTAAAGTTTTACCATCAATTATTAATGCTTGTATTTTGGTCGCTATGTTATCAGCTGCCAATGCTAGTGTCTTTGCTACTTATAAACCATTAGTTGCATTAGCTAACGCAGGTCATGGTCCAAAATTTCTTGCATATGTTGATCGTAAGGGTAGACCAATGTATTCTATTCTTATAGCAGTTGGATTTGGTTTAATTGGACTTGCAGGAGGTTCCAGTGGGGGTTCAGAAATGTTATTGTGGATGTTAGCCATTTCAGGTCTTTCTGCTATTTTATTATGGGCTAGTGTTTCATTAATTCATATCAGAGTGTATCGTGCTTATGAAGTACAAGGTATTGATACAGAGAATATCCCATTTAAAGCCTTTGGTGGTGTCTGGGGTGCTTATTTCTCTTTGCTTTTGAATTTTTTGATTCTTGCTGCTCAATTTTATGTGGCGTTGTATCCAATTGGTGGAGATAATTTGAACCCAACATCATTCTTTCAAGCTTATCTTGCTGTTCCTATTGTGATAGTATTCTATATTGGTCACAAGGTTTGGACTAGAAGCTGGTCATTTTATATCAGAGCTAAAGATATGGATGTTACTACTGGTAGAAGTATGATGGATATTGAATTAATCAAACAGGAAATTGCTGACGATAAAGAACTGTTGGCTCGTAAACCATTGTGGTATAGATTCTTTAACTTCTGGTGTTGATGATGAATAATGTTTAGGTATTTTTAATAGATAATATAGATAATGCGTATTTAAAAGAATAATTAGTATTACTGTTGCTAAATGAGGTTGTAAAAATCTTATTGTATGCAAGGCTTGGTGATTGTTTGCAAAATCGAATTGTTGTTCTTCGTGGCTTGCCCAAAATGACAACAAAATAAAGGCAACAAGGCAAAGAGAGAGAACAAAAAAAAAAAAAAAAAACTTAGGTGGGAGTGAACGAGACAACTGTGGGAAATCTACAGACAGCCAATATTATAGGGGACCAATCTATTAAGACAACCACAAATGAGTACAATTCAGGTATTGATAGGTGATATTAACAGTCTCTTATCAGATTCCAAAAGGAGATTCTCAGAAATACGCAATGGGTGTGAAACAGCCGTTAAACATTTACAGAATTATAATCAAACCATGCCGATTCAAAATATCAAGAATGAACTCGATAAACAAATAATCATTAAACCATTTATTCTTGCATGTAAATCGGGGAATATAAAACTTACCAACACTGCCACTCCAGTGATTTATAAATTAATATTGGCACACGCTATTCCAGAAGAAAACATTCCCGAGTTGTTGCAAGCTTTATTAGAAGCTTCAAATCTTGCAATTGATATTCAGTTAAGAATTTTACAATGTTTACCTGCTTTTATGCAAGTTTACACATTCACTGGTTCAAATTTATTGGATTTATTATCAATTTGTTCGAGCTTAACTGCTAATAACAAATCCCCAATTGTGAGCAATGCAGCATCTGCAACATTACAACAGTTATTTACTAATATTTACGATAGTATTGGAGTACCACAAGTACCAGAATCCGAGAGAACAAACGAAATCACAATAGATGATGATGTTACTATCAAAGTTGATAATCCATCATTTGAAGGGTACAGAATTTTCTTAGATTTATGCCATTTACTCGATAGTGAAAGCCCAGAATTTTTAACTGAATCAATTCATATTAAATTCCTTTCCCTTCTTGAAATTATCGAAAATATAATCCACGGCCATCAAAAATTGTTTCAGGATCATCAAGAATTGGCATTTTTATTAAGAACAAAAGTTTTCCCCACATTATTGAAGTTCTTGAATTCGACCACAAAGAGTTTTCCATTAATTGATAGAACTATGAGAATCATACACGTGTTATTGGCAACGCAATTACAGAATTTGACAATTGAAGGTGAAATTGCGTTGTCGTATTTTAGTCATTTATTGTTGGATGATCCAGAATCGGCGTCAAACGATCCAGTGTGGGAAAAAGTCATCGTCCTTGAAATGTTCAAGAATCTTTTCAGCGATTTCCTGGTTATAAGAACAATTTTTGAAAAATATGATTATAGCAAAGGGAATAAGAATGTATTGAAGGAATTATTTACTGTGTTTACTGTTTATCTTCAGAAGAACGATCATTTAGTTAAGGATGTGGTTGAACCTATGTCAAGGGCTCCTTCTTCTGGTGACGGGTCTATTTCAGGTTTATACTTGTCACGAACTAAATCTAATATCAAGCCTCTGATTTTAGATCATTTGGATAAAACCAATCCACCAACCGAGATCCCAGCTACTTATCCGATATATTTGATTTATCAAATAGTTGTTTCATTTGCTGAAGGTGTTGCCCTGTTTGTATATAATGTCTATGATGAAACCAAAGATGCTGCTACATTGGAAGCGGATATTGAGCTTGCCAATTCATTAGTTAAAGAATCGACCGTCGATGTCAGTTTGTTATATGAAATGTATATATACAGTTCCATGGATGATGAGACATTCCTTACATTAATCAAATCATTTCAAAAGTTGACACATGCGACTGGATTGTTAGGGTTGACTGCAGAAAGAGATCGTTTATTATTGATTTTATCAAAGGCTACTATTAAAAATGTTGGTAAAACAGATAATATCCCTCATCCAGAAACCTCGCTTTTGCAAGGACAAAAGAAACAGCTATTGGCATTTGGAGAACAATTGGTTGAATCGATAAGTTCTACCATAACTGGTGAAGAAACTAATCAGAATAGTAACTCTCATACTTCCGCGCCAGTTTTACACTCCCGTTATTTCAATTCTCGTCATGTTGTTTGTCTTCGCGTGTTGAGTAGTATTGCCATGACTTTAAAATCTACCTTACAGGAGTCTTGGAGTATTGTATGGATAACATTTCAATGGTGTAATTATTTTCTTGAGGGACCTGATCAATTTAGTGGATTTAGTAACCATAAATCTTATCAAAATTTTACAAAATCTATGTTGCCACAAATCAGCGCCCAAGATGTTGAAACCATCAATAATTCAAAAAATAGATTATATGAAAGTTTGGGTGATAGTCTGGTGGATGTGTTTAGAATTTTACTTGGATCTTTAACTGAATTATCTGATTGCGCTTTTAAAGGAATTGAAGGTAAAACCGAATTACCCGTGGCACTATACAACAAGACATACTTTTTAAATGAACTTGTACATATTTGTGATGTTGATAAAAATCAATGGTTGATCAATGATGATGAATCTTGGGATATTGTTAGTTCATATTTTATTAAATTAGGTTCTGATAGAAATTTGGCATTTAATTTAAGGGGATATATTGTTGAGACATACACCAAAGTTATTGAATTCACAGCAGTTGCTGGGTTTAAGGAAGATTCGTTGGTTAATAAAACATCACAACGAACTTTGAATGGATTGAATAGATTTCTTGATTCGTTGATTGAAATGGGTGTGCCACAAGAGTTGTTGATCATTAATTGTGAAACAGATATTCATTTGAAGGTTCTTACCCGCTTACATGATTTGATAGATAAATATGATAAGAATTATCAGCTGTCATGGAAGGATGTGTTTAAAATATTGAATTCACCATTTAAAACAGTTGTGGGAGAATCTGGAAGTAGCTTTTCATCTGATAAGGTGCAATTATTAATTGAAAAATCGTTTGATACAATTAAATTAATTCTTGATGAATTTATGTCAACTTTACCATTTGATCAATTTAAATTATTAATTGATACTTTAGCAAATTTTGTTTATCAAAAACATGATTTGAATATATCATTCAGTTCAGTTAGTTATTTTTGGTTGATTAGTGATTCATTAAAATCTCGAATGGTGATGTTTAATTCAGAAAAAGGTAAATCAAAACCAAATTTGAAAAGTGAAGAGGATTTGGTTAAATTTATTGAAGATCAGCATGAAAGTTATGCATCTTATATTTGTTTGGATATTTATTTGTTGTTAAGTTTAGCTAAGATTTCCAATGTTGAAGTGGATAGAGCACAAGTTAGAGATGGAGCAATTCAAACATTTTATCAAATTATTGATGTTCATGGGAAATTGTTGAATAATTCCTGGGATTTAATTTATGAAGTTGTTTTACCAAATTTTTTCAATATCATTCCTGAATCAAGAGAAAAAGACTGGCTTGAAAGTTTACAATTGATACTTTCTGGATTTGTTAGTTTATACAGTAAATTTATGATGAATGGTGAATTGGAAGGGATTGTTGATAAATGGAAGGAATTATTTTCCTATTTTGAGAAACTTTTCAAATTACAATGGATTGATTTGAATTTAAGAATATTTAAATCATTACAAGATTTAATGAATTCATTTAATATTCAAAAGAATACGGATATTAGGCAATTATTTTTTGATCTTTGGTCGCAATTCCCAATTGAATATGATTTGGTTAATAATAATTATCAAGATTCTTTGGTCCAATTTATGAACTGTTTCCCACCTTTGTACAAAATAATCAAGGACGATTTGTCTGTAAAGGAAGTTGATATTATTGTCGGATTATTAAATAAATGTGGAATGTATCCCATCCTTCCAGGAAATCAATCTGACAACGAAAAACTTACTAATTTACAAAATTCTATATTGAATAATTTAAAGATTATTGATGTTGAAAATATTGACATTCAATCTTTGGTCATTCAACAATTGAGCAATATGATTGTTTATCCATTTGGAATCAGAAATAGAATTTCTAAGAAATTACAAAATATTGAACTGATCAAATCCAAGTTGCCTACATTTATTGGTATAAGTCATTTAAGTCTTGGATTACTAAGTGAAAGATTGAAAAATATTGCGGATTTTTCTAAGCTCATTCAAGATAATGCCATTTCTAAATGTATGAAATCATTACTTGAAACTACTGAAAGTAGATCTGTTGGTATTTCTACAAGAAAAGTTCCACTTTGGATAGAGAGCAATGATTTATTGGTTATTATTATAACTAAATTAATTAATCAAGATCAAATTGAAATTAATCAAGAATTGTGGAAATTGATTGTTCAAAGTATTGAATTGTCTATAACTTCTGATGAGAATAATCAAGATTTAAACATTGATCATTATAATCAATTAACAGAATTGGTAATTCCAAAATTATTGAAGTCACAAAATAATAATGGATTAATTAAAGAAATAGTTGAAAAATTATATGAAAATTCATATCTTTATAAACCATTTGATTTTGAAATGAGATTAATGGAAGGCACAGATATTAATGTTATTATAGATAATTTAACATTATATAAATTTAATGATTATTATGGAACCACCCAAAAAATCGAACCTTATTCAAATCTTAAAATTAGAATGAATTGTTTACAAGAATTGATTAAATTTCTGCAAATTCAAGATGGTGACAATTTAAAAATGAATGAAATTAGTGAAAATTATTTATTATTAAGATCAAGTTTTACATTAAGAAGAATAATTAATGATATTAAATTATTATATAAATGTCCATTACCAATTATTCAACAGAAAGAATTGTTAATCATTTTAAATGGTATTAACAACATTGAATTGGTTAATTCATCAAATAAATCAGAATTTAAGAAATTATACCGATTATTAATCCAATTGATTCCTTATTCTTCACGAGTTCCTGGGTTGAATAATATATTACCCCAGGTTTTAATTAAAATCTCAATGTAATTCTTTTTAGTTTTTGTCTAGTTAATAATAATAATAATAATAAAAAAGATTTATCAATTATGATTCAACTCGTTCGAACATCGATTTGTCTTATTCAGTAGTCTTCTTTTTCTTTTTCTTCTTCTTTTTATTCTTTTTTGGATTTTCAACATGATTTAGTTTACTTAAAGTTTTTATACTTTTGATAGATTTTGAATCTTGATCTATTTTAGAATCATCAATGGTTGAATTACTTTGAAAAGGAGATGCCATTACATTTGTATTACTTGTTGTAATAGTTGCAATTGAAGTTGATTTCCCTGTATTTACAATTGAAGAAGAAGAAGAACTTGAAATTGATCCTGATTCAATAGTATTATTTTTTGATTTTTTATTCAACAAATCCAATACTTTAACTGGACTTGGTGGTATTATTACTTCTTCCTGAACTGGTTCTTTTTCTTCTTGCTCATCAACAGGGATTTCTAATGTAGATAATTCAATAGTATAATCTTCAAGGTTAATTAAATAATCTTGTAATAATTTATAATTTCTTGAATTTGCTTTATATAAAATACCACCAAATATACCAAATAAAGGAATTAAACCAATACCAAATTCAATTAAGATATTAATTAATAATAATAATTGTAAATCTAATGGAATTTTATTATGTAATTTTTTAATAGTTAATAATAATTTAAATGACAATAATAAACTTATAAAAGGTCCAATAAATGGTAATAAATTAATTAGATTTAATAATCCAAATTTAATTTGAATTAATTGAAATTGAAATTCATATAAATAAGAATCATGTTTAAAATTTAATAATATCTCTAAATCATTAGAATTGATTTGTTGTTGTTCATTTGGTAAATTTATATTTTTCGTGATTTCTTTGATTGTATTTTTATTATATTCAGAATATGGATGGTCTACTGATAATTTATCCCATTGGTTCTTATGAATTATAGTGAATAGATACTCAATCATACTCAATATCATCATGTATAGTTGTTAAGATTATAGAAGAAAGAAATAATTTATTCACAAGTCTTTGAATAATCTCGACCCAGGTACGACTGGAATTCCTTTTCTTGCTGTAATGTGATTGTGATAAGTTACTTTGTTGTTGAATCACATGATATATGATTATGTAATATCATGTGATCATTATTGGTTCGCGCACGATGTGTATTTGTTTCTAAGCAATTTTTTTTATTCCATGGAGATAAGGTTACAGATTTATTGTGTGCATATAATTATTGTATGCACCACGTTTTTTAAAGAAAGAAGTTTCTTTTAGCTATTAGCAATAGTAAGATTAGATGTATTTTATGTATACATAATTAATGACATCACAATAAGAGGACATGGATATTGTTCATTGATATATACACACACAGAGGAAGAGAAATGTGTTGAATAAAATCAACACATCAAACGTACATGTGTGTTAATTAATTACTTGTTGCATGTGATTATTTTTTGGTACAAGGACTTTGTTTCCTTCGGTTCAAGACAAGACAAGATAAAGGGAGCTAGTTTACTATATTCGGTATCTTGATTTACACCAAAATACTACCACAACAATAACAATAACAATGTGATACTAACCAACAAAAAAAAAATTCTTTACTCCCTAATCTTTTTCTTTCCGAGTATTTATATAAATAGCATTACCTATTATCATAAACATCAACCATTTACTATATTCACACAACATTCAACATATCTAACTAGATGGTTTGTTTTTAATATTGCACAAACTATTTGAGTCTTGCATTGTATTATTATTATTATTTATTCAATTTAGTTTATTGTATCATAGCGTTGCATATTGACACACACACACACTGCCCCACATCATCAATATCGTCAAGAACAACAACAAACAATCATGGTAGTGGGTTATTTCATTAGTAAAGTTCCATTTTCAAATCATATTCCAGTGGTGAGAAGATTTCATCCAAAAAATAATCAACAACCGCAGCAACAGGAAATGGATTTTGTCACACCAACAAGTTCTAAAAAGACAACCAATGTAGTATTAGACGATGGTAAGATATTTGATAGTCCAAACAGAAAGAAGAATCATTTACCATCTGTTGATAATTCTTCAACGGTTAAAGTATCTCAAAGATTAGCAAGAAGAAGGAAAAATCAGAACATTGGTCCAGTTTCAATTAAATCCAAATCAAATAAAAGATTAATCAATGAAAATGAGTCTAGTGATCAACAGAAGAACATGATTGATAAAAATAACGATGGTGTTTTATGTTCTAGCAACAAATCAACAAATGAAAAATTAATTAAATTGGTTTATGATAATAAGAAAATAATTGCAAGTTCAGTTTATCAAATTGGTAAAGCTCAATTATCTTCAAGATTGCCTTATATTCCATATTTCAATACAAAAAGTGATAGTCAATTGGATTCTTTCGATCAGACTAATTCGGGAATACTTAATAGTCCATTTACTGATTATTGTCAACAGGTTACTGAATATGAAGTCAATGAGCCATTTATTGAAGAACCACTGGATGACGAGGAATTGGTATATGATAATTTAGCATCTGATTTAAATAGTGAGGATGATGTTGAAATATTTGTTGATTCATTAAATGTGGAAACAAAAATGATGTTATATAAACTGTTGCAAAATGATTTAAAGGATCATTCATGCAATAATGAAGAAACATCGTTTAGGGAAGTGTACTACAATAAAAATGTTTCATCATTAGATAAATTACAAATGTTTTTAATCATTTGGATTAAATTATGGATTACAAGTATCAAATTATTTATCCCAATCACTAAATATTTGATATATAAGTTTCAAAATAATCAATTATTCTTGTTTAACTTGAAAAATATTGAATTAATAATTGATCTAATATTGAGATTTATGAATTATTTGAATTCATTTATATCTAATCATGAGGTAACCATTGATAAAATGTCAAATCATGATTATGTTGAAGCTGAACAAATTTATCTTGATTTTACAACGTATACATCAGGAATATTTAATCAAACTAATACATTCAAAGACTTGATATTCTCTCCTGATATTGGCCAGAATAAGCTTTACGATTTGGTTCTAAATACTAAATAGACATTTTAATATAGACATTGACCATTAATATTAATAATTCACACCTGATTGTTTTTGACATTGATTCTGATTTCGATTTTGTTACTTTTACTATAAGTTCTTCCCTTGCAGTATAGATTTAGATCTAGAATTTTTCCCCCTAACAGCCACATGGATCGACATGAAAGTATGATGTAATAAACCCATCGTCTCTCTCTCCTTCCACCCCCCCACTCCTTATCAATGAGAAATACGTTTAGTCCCATTCAATGACGCATGGCTCGTAGTGATGATAATGTATCAAATCTAGAATTGCAATATATCAAGACCGTCACTTATTCTATGCAAAAAAAAAAAAAAGAAGCAACGCGATAGACAAAATCCACTTGTACTTTCCCTATATGTAAGAAACAAAAAAGAACTACATTACGTAATCATATGTTGCCGATACGAGACAAAAATGAAATATTGGAAAATTTCATTTCTTTCCTAGTCAGTTATCCTAATGACTAGCTTGCATTTTTGAATTCATTAATAGCCAATAATGCTAGATAGTGTACAGAAATGTCAATAAGTGTGAGCTTGAACCTATACACGTGACATACCCGCCTGTTACCAAATTCTAATTACAATACTATTTTTAGAAGTATTACAGTCTAGAATGATAAATTTTTCTTTTTTAAAAGGGGATTTTGCTTTGTTTTGTCTCCTTTTGGTTGTAAATTTGATTTTGAGTTGTTTTATGGAGATATACACGACCTGAAATGAATTTCTTTTTTTTTTGATTTGATTTGATTTTTTTTTTCACTTTTGATTTTACAACAACTTAGCAACACTCATACACCCTGTTGCAAGAAATAGTTCGTAATTAATTGAGTTGATATTTTTCCCCCTTAAATTGTGATAATCACGTGAACACAAGATGAATAGACAATAAATCTAACATGTTTATAATCTATAGGTTGTATCAGCTAGTTATTTTTATTTGATTTGTCAGCTGGGTTATAAGATGGTTGTAAAAAAAAAATGTGAGAGAGACACAAGAAAGTGGGCGCACGTACACAACCAGACTGACAAAAACTCAAAAACCAAAACAAACAAAAAAAAAAAAAAGGAAGTTGTTTCATTTCAAAAAAATTTCTGTTTTTCTTTTTATCCTCCATACAAAATTTTTTTTTTTATTTATTTTTACAACCTTCCTTCTTCTTCTACTTCTTTTTTTTTTGAAGAACAACCAACCAATCTACAAGAACAAGTTGTTGTTATTTATTCAACCAGTATTGATTTAGTCTGTCTCATCAATCAAGGCTATTGATTATATACCCACTTCCAATTTACACACTTATACCTATTATTTGGCATAATCATCATCACTCGCTTGAACTGAATTTAGTTTTCTTTCATATATCATATTATCCAAAATTTTTTTTTTCTTTAATCTTTCATATTTATATTTATTGATTTCATTTGATCTTTTATTTTAAGACCATTTCATTCCATTTATCACTTCATAATTTGCATATTGAACAATGTCTAATTTTAGAGACAGTTCTAGTCCTCATAGAGGTTACTCAGAATTTGATCCCGAATCTGGTGATGGAATAAATAGAAAAAAGTCTTTAATTAGACCAGAAAGAGGTAGAATGAATGAAAATCATCCAAGATTTCACTATACCCAAGTTGCTAATCAAGAGGCTGATCATATAAAAGTTCAACCTTCTTCAACAGGGGTTGATCCTCGTAAATCTACTGAGTTATCTCAATCAAGATCTCATTTAAGTCATTATTCTACTCCTCATGGTGAAGTTGAAGTTGAAGATGACGACGAAGATGAAGGTATTCCTTTAATGGATATTCACAATTCTTCTCCAAATGTCAGCGTTCAAAATGACTTGAAAGGTGGTAGAGAAATTTATGGATTAAATGATGAAATTGTTGATGATTACAGTAATAATCCAAAGAGAAATCAAGTTATATCAACTGTCAAGCCAGTTAATACTCCTGAAAAGGAAGAAAAACCTAAAAGTGATATTTATTTTTGGAAAGTGTATTGTTACGCCATCACATTTTGGGCTCCTGCTCCTTTATTGAAATTGTTTGGTTTACCAACAAAGGATCGTCAATTTGCTTGGAGAGAAAAAATTGGGTTAATTTCTTGTATTCTTTATATTGGTGCATTTGTTGCTTATTTAACTTTTGGTTTCACAAAGACTGTTTGTTCAGGTGAACAAGTCAGAACAAGAATTAATCATGTTAATGGGGGTTATTTGATTATTAATGGTAGAGCCTTTGATTTGACTTCTTCTCAACATCCTCAAGCTGCTGGTATCCAAGCGGGGGCTAATGTTTTATATCCTCCAATGAATGCTGGTGGGAAAGATGCTTCTTTTCTTTTCCAAAATGTTAATGGTAATTGTAAAGGATTGATTCTCCCAAGAGATAATTGTTCTATTCCTTATGATGGTGATGAATTAGCTTGGTATATGCCATGTCGTCTTTTCAGTCAAGATGGCTCAGATGAAGTTAACAATACCTTTGCTTATTATGACGGATGGGCTTGTCATACTAGTGAAACTGCTCGTGAAGCATACTATCTGTTGAAGGTTAATGGTGATGTCTATTTCACCTGGGATGATATCAAGAATTCTTCAAGAAACTTGGTTGTTTACTCCGGTAATGTTTTGGATCTTGATTTAATTAATTGGATTCAAACTGATGATGTTACCTATCCCGAGTTGTTTGACAGATTGAGAGATGATCAAACTTTTAGAGGATTGGATATTTCTTTGGTTTTAACCAATTCAGACGAAAGACAGGCAGCAAGATGTTTAACCGAAATTATTAAAGTTGGTGTTATTGATTCTGAAACCATTGGTTGTATTGCTTCTCAAGTTGTGTTGTATCTTTCTTTGGTGTTTATTTTATCTGTTGTTGTGGTTAAGTTTATCATGGCTTGTTGGTTTAAATGGGTTACTTCCAAGAAACAAGGGGCCACCATGTATGACAACAAGGCTTGGGCTAAAAGAAATAGAGAAATTGAAAATTGGGTTGACCATGATCCAGGTATTGGGGCAGAAGTCAAAACTGTTCCAATTAAAGCCAGAGCCAATTACAAAGCTACTAAAACCAATAGACAATCTGTTTTCCATAAGACACAAAAATTATCTTTGGGTCCAAATGCTGATTTATCTCAATATTATGATAATCCAAATGCCCTTTCAAAAACTTTTAAATATACTACCATGTCAACTCAAGCTGCTTTGTTGGGACATAACAACTATAGTAAGAAAGGAATGAGAAACAACAATGGAAGTAGAGCTTCTAATCTTTATTTAACTGATCAAGGATCATCTACTGATTTATTGAATCGTCCAATGTCTTCTTATAATCCATTTGATACCATGGATGATGGATTTGTTGTTAATGGTTTGTCTCCAGATATTATTCATCCAGATGTTGTTCCTCAGCCACCAGTTGAATATCAACCATTTGGTTACCCATTGGCCCATACTATTAACTTGGTTACTTGTTATTCTGAAGATGAAGATGGTATTCGTACCACCTTGGATTCTATTGCTACTACTGATTACCCAAATTCCCATAAGATGATTCTTGTTATTTGTGATGGTATTATTAAAGGTTCTGGAAATGATGAAACTACCCCTGATATTGTTTTGGGTATGATGGATGATTTGACCATTCCAAAAGAAGAAGTCCAACCATATTCCTATGTTGCTGTTGCACAAGGTAGTAAACGTCATAATATGGCTAAGGTTTATGCTGGTTTTTACAAATACAATGATGAAACTGTTCCACCAGAAAAACAACAACGTATTCCAATGCTTACTATTGTTAAATGTGGTACTCCAGAAGAAGCTAGTGCACCAAAACCAGGTAACAGAGGTAAGCGTGATTCCCAAATTATTTTGATGTCCTTTTTGCAAAAAGTTGTTTTCGATGAAAGAATGACTAGTTTGGAATACGAAATGTTGCAAAGTATTTGGAGAATTACTGGATTAATGGCAGAATTTTATGAAATTGTTTTGATGGTTGATGCTGATACTAAAGTTTTCCCAGATTCCTTGACCCATATGGTTGCTGAGATGGTTAAAGATCCAATGATTATGGGGTTGTGTGGGGAAACTAAGATTTCCAATAAAGCACAAACTTGGGTTACTGCCATTCAAGTTTTCGAATATTATATTTCTCATCATCAAGCCAAAGCATTTGAATCTATTTTTGGTGGTGTTACATGTTTACCAGGGTGTTTCTGTATGTATAGAATTAAAGCACCAAAAGGTTCTGATGGTTATTGGGTACCAATTTTGGCCAATCCGGATATTGTTGAAAGATATTCGGATAATGTTGTTGATACTTTGCATAGAAAGAATTTGTTATTATTGGGTGAAGATCGTTATCTTTCTTCCTTGATGTTGAGAACATTCCCAAAGAGAAAGCAAGTTTTCGTTCCTAAGGCTGCTTGTAAAACTATTGTTCCGGATCAATTTAAGGTTTTGTTATCACAACGTCGTAGATGGATTAATTCTACTGTTCATAATTTGTTTGAATTGGTTTTAGTTAAGGATTTGTGTGGTACCTTTTGTTTTTCTATGCAATTTGTTATTTTCATTGAATTGGTTGGTACTTTAGTTTTACCAGCTGCTATTACATTTACCATTTATGTTATTATTGTTGCCATTGTTTCCAAACCAACACCAGTTATGTCCTTGGTCTTGTTGGCTGTTATTTTTGGTTTACCTGGGTTGTTGATTGTTATTACTGTTTCATCCTTTTCTTACATTGTCTATTTCTTCATTTATCTTATTGCATTGCCAATTTGGAATTTTGTTTTACCAAGTTATGCTTATTGGAAATTTGATGATTTCAGTTGGGGTGAAACCAGAACAGTTGCAGGAGGAGATAAAGGAGATCATAGTGCAGTTGAAGGTAAATTTGATCCAAGTAGAATTAGTATGAAGAGATGGAGAGATTGGGAAAGAGATCGTAGAAATATGGAAAATAATAATGGTAATAGACCACAAGCAAATAATTTTGCTAGTACCAATAGTTTACCAGTACCTTCTGCGGCATGGGATCCATCTAATTCAGAAAAATTAGTTGAGTATAACAGTCAGGGTTCTTCTTCCGGATCTAATTGGAAGCACATAATTATGGGAGATATATCTTCTTTTATTTAATATAGTTTTTTCCTGCAATTTATTATTATTTAGGAATAGAGTTTTTTAAAATATTAAGAATTTTCTTTTCCCCCCCCCCCCCCCCCAATGAACACTTCTTACAATAAGAAGAGTTGACTAGATTGTGGTGTAGTCGACCAAAGTGCATAAGATGGCCATTGTTCATCATCGTTGTCATGATGAAGAGAATATACAATTGAAGTGAAATTCTTTTAAAAACAATAAATAGGCTTAAACAATAAGAACATTAATGCATGGAAGACATTAATTAAATGTCTTGTCCTAGTCAACCACAATCTCAATTGATCTACAGTACCCCTTAATTATCCTCTTCTTGTAGTTTGGTTGCCCCCCTTCCTTAATTAAAATTCAAATTGTAAAGATGGACTGATGAATTGAAAAAAAAAATGTATAATGGGGTAATGTTACAAAGCAAAAAGGGAAAAGAAAAATCTACCCATAATTGCATATTGACAATGGATTACACAAATAAATAAATCATGTCTCACTTGTCGAAGCACCAACCAACACTTGGACGGAGAACAGCCTGGAATTTTGTATTATTCTAGACATAAGATGTAGGATGGTAGAGTATGGAGGAAAGATGATAACAATAATAATATTAATGATGCTGCAGTTGGTGTTATTGATGGTCAAATGTTGATGTACTCCCTTGATGAGAATACATATACATATTAAATATACAAACCAATACAGTATGCATATATCTTTCATTTTTAGAATATAATCGTCAATTCAAATTAATTACATCTATTTATTAACAATTATAAAAGTACATAACTAATTGGAATATATCATTCTTGTGTATCACACCAGTTGGTTGAAACAAATAACCATTGGTGATATAAAACTCAGCAAAAAGTATTTGAGACTGATTCCACGACTTAAATGTTGAACAGTAGATGTAATGTATACTCCTCAGTGATTTTACACGACACACATACATACACACGAGTATACTTATCGACAACAAAGAAATGTACGAAAATGGAAATAATGATGAAATTTGTGTGGTGATAATAATATTACACTGATCGTTTGAAAGGAGGAACAGTACTTGAATGTATTCTGAAAATATTGGAATGTAATTCGGATTTGTTTATTTGTTTTTGCTTTCGCTTTTGCTTTTGCTTCTCTTTTTTTATTAATTGATCAAGACTTCAATTGACAATAATGTATATGTAGTAGAAGTTGCCAGTCAATGGCAACTATAACTTGAATCAGTTGTTGATAGGGATTGACTCATATGGTTGATAGTTCTCGGTATTGAGAAAAAGCACACAGTACTTTTTCAATCATAATTTGGAAATGTAAGTTAATTTTTTAAATAAAAATGAAAGTCAAAGAATCATTAGACTGTTATAAGAATTGAATAAATAATGGTGATGTGGTGGTGATATTATTATCTAGTTGATGAATTAGCAGTAACAACAGAAGAATTTGAAGATGAAAATTTACTTTCATCTGAACTATTTGAAGAATAACCACCTTTTTCAATATATAATTGTTTAAACTTCTTCAATCTCCAAGTATTTCTAACTTTTTTAATGGATGGTTGAAATGCTGATCCTGGTGTAGCTAAAGCATATAACATTATGAAACGTAATTGATAATTATATTTGAATGATGAATATTGTAATAAACACTATTTTTTTCCAATTTTGATGGGATTAGATAAATGGAAAGGAAATATTCACAGTTATTTATATTACAAAAAATTTTAAAAGAAATTAACGAATATTGAATAACTAATAGACTAAAAATTTTAATAAGCAAAGAAGAAGAAGAAGGAGTAGTAGTAGTAGTAAAAGTAGTAACAGTAAGAGAGTAATGGGAAATGTAAGGATAATCATTTCACAAAAAGTTTGGTAGAATCCAAATTTGTACTACATGAAAATATCACATTGGCGTATTCGTACATGTAAGAATTCCATAGTCCATTGTATGAATAAAGAAATGCATAATGGTTATGTGGACTTTTAATACTCTGCACATATTATGGTAAATCCCTGTACTGCCTAAAAATCAAAAATCAAAAAATAAAAAAAAGACAAATTCGATTCGAAATTCATCATATCCACACTTCCACAATTTAATAGCAATCTGTAAAGTATATAATGTTATGTTCAATCTGATAAAGTTACTCCTCTAATTGTCAACTCAAGGTATCAATTGTTAATGACTTGATACAAGTTCCACTAATTTAATTCATTCTCCCCTTCCCCCTTCCCCGGGTTGTGGTTGTCATCTGTTGATTATTCAAGGTGCAAAATGAAAATGTAGTTGATCAAGTACACGACTTTTGGTGTTCGAGAATGTTACACGCTGTTTGTGTACCAATTCTTATTGCACCCGCTTATTATATTCTCTTCAATGGGCTTGGTAAAAATAAAAAAATAAAGAATAGAAGATAAAGGGTCAATTGATAACCGTACCCATAAACAATAAGAAGAATTAAAGAAAATGATAAAAAGAAGCAACCCGCCGAAAAGGGGTGAGTATTAAACCAAATGTATTTTTGTATTTCAATTTCAAAAAATACACAACTTTTTAGTTTAGATTATCTGTTCAGGTTACAAAACCTGTAGAGAAATTTCAAAATTTTCAAGCATGCAATAAAAAGATCGACGGGGCGTTATGTAAAGAAGAAGAACAAGGAGTAAGAGGGAGGAGAAAGAGAGGAATAAATATGGATCATGAGGATCAACCATGCATTAAAATATATTTAACGTATATCACGATCTAATATGCTAATAAAATTAAGAATTTGTTGATAGTATGAAAGATAACGATAGAATTCCAAAAATTTAAGTATGAAACAGGGACTTGTTTTTTTATTGTTAATCTTTGACTCTATAAATTAATTGGTGGGGGAACCTTGAAAGGGTTTATTTGCATTGATTTGAAATCTAGAACTTGAACAAAAAAGAAACTAAAAAATAGACAAAGGGATGGAATGTCCAGGTGATTTAACAAGTGTATGACAAATTTCAGTGTCGTAGTAGTAATATTATTATTATTATTATTATTATTAAACTATTCGGTTAATTTAAACTCGTTTTGAGTTTCGTCATTCCCTGTAAGAATTTCATCTGCAATGAATAAACAAGAAAATGGAGAGGAAGAAAGAGAGCAATTGAAGTAAAGTAATGTGAAAGATATACAAAGGCGGCTAAGCATTATCATTGCTTTATCTTAGTTCATTATATAAAATAAGGTTTATAGATTTTACTATTTTCAATACATTTTTGTCTTCATATTAGTAATTTTTTCAAATAACTGGGTGTATAACATTCCTCTTTTTTTTTGATGATCTTTTTTATTCAATCATTTATGATAACTTTGATAAACAGTATTGTAGAAGGGCAGTAAGGTACATTTCGAATTTGATCTTCCTATAATTAATATCACTAGAATATGAAATATAACCTGAATATACAAATCACACAAATTTTCAAGGTGACGATGATGATGACCATCAACAGAACATTTCTTTGTGAATTTTTGGGGTTTAATGGTTTCTACATCAAATGAATAAACGGTAACAAATTCATGGTTGTCGTTCCTACGTGGGAGTAACAATACGAAATCCAAATTTAAGCAACGTTTCCCATTTCTTTTGTTATTGAAATTTCTAAACAATACAAAGAAGATAACCATGTTAAGAACCCTTTATTTTTTTTTTTGAAACTAACATTCTTCTTTATTATACTTTAACTGAAATAGAGCCTGTTCATTTAAGGCTTGACTTGGCATCACTTGGCCAGCATTTAACAAAAGAGCCATACTGTTTATGCTAAGCTGATCTTTTCTGGTTGCCTGTGGCAGATGATTATTAATGAATAATGGTACAAATGTTTGTACTCGTTCATGTTTTCTGTTGAGCTTGACTGTGGACGGGGGAGTAAAGGGATTACGTTAAGTTACTAAATTTTAGTTAGACAAGTTTGTGTTTTATTATAATCATTCAACGGTCCGTGTTAATTGTTTCATTCTTCTTTTTATTCATTTTCCATTTCCTATTCTTCTTCTTGTACATATATTACACAAGGTGGGTTGGTTTTGTAACCACTAAAATCAAACCTGATTGGCTACAAACTTTCTTAGTTAACATAATCGCTACATCACCAAATAATGTCTAATTTTTAATGACATACCCGCCAATAACAAATTGAAAGGGTAAATTAAAACGTGGACCTATTAACTTATTGGAATAATAAGAAAAAGCAGTAAAATTTCATTGAAATTTTCACTTTCTTGAATCGCGTCTTTTATTTTTATCTTCCTTATATGTATATGTACACCTTTTCATTCCCGATGGCATTTTTTTGCTTTTTGTTTATTTCCATAATAGGTTAAATTTTTCACCCAATAAGAAACTGACCAGGAAAACGTATTCAGCATCTGCAATATAACGTCTTGTATGGGATAGTATTCCACCGCCTTGAATTATAAGGGAATTAAATGGGCTCGATTCGAGGTCTCCCCTTTTGGTATTAATCGTAATTATTTCATTTATGTTAAATCTCCTATTCTTCTTCTTCTTCCTTTATCATTCAATATCGTTCTTCTGGGTTGTCTTATTTATTATTTTTGTTTGTTTATGTACCATATTTTGCTTTGCATTATACATGTAAAATTTCTGTTTAAACGAACTTCTCCTAACCATTTAATGACTTAGCAATGTAAGCAATGTGTGTATGGAGATGTTAAATGAGATATGCCTTGCTGTTTGATTCTTATTCGTCATCTTTTTCAATTAATTCATTATGCATGAGTTGAAATTTCAATAGACGATCATCTTCATTACTAATAACAACCACTCCTTTATGGATTTTAATTACCGCGAATAATTTCTACTCTGGTTATGATGGTGATGAAGATTTACTATCAATCTGGTTAACACTTTACTACCATAGGAAATCCAAAGTGACGTCAATAACTTAAGGGTTAGAGTACAAAATTGAATAAGAACAGCATGTTTGACATATGCAAATACAAAAAGAAATATTTCAACCATATTGCTGATCATGATCATTATTATCATCAGCCACTTTTCGCAGCTCTACAGTCCATCAAATTTTTTGAAAGTTAACAAGATTTTTTATATTTATAAGATATAATATAAGAAGAACTAAAAAAATATTCATAATTGGGTAATTCTAGAATAATGATAATAATAAAAAGATATAACGAAGAAAGGAAAAAGACCACCAAATTAAAATAAAAAGAAAAATCATTGAAGAAAATAGGAGGGATTGAATTTTAAAACCTGATAAACAATAAACCAAACCATGTAAATTTATTCATTCTCATGAATTGATCCTTAAAGATAAAATAGGGAAAAAATTAAAGCAAATAATAGGAAAGAATTGGAAATAAATATCAAGACCAAATACTATTATGAATTATCAATAAAGATACTCCTCTTGATCTGCAGCCAAAAGTAAAATAGAATACCATAAATATCAAAAATTCAAATTAGAATTAGTTGAAAGATAAAAAGTAACCAAATCCCCAAAATTTAATAAAATAAACTCCTTTTTTTTTCTTTTTTTTAGATCAATTAAAGAACCATCAATTCCATGAGTAAAAAGTCATAAATGGAATTAAATATCATAAGTCGGTGGGGAAAAACTTAGTAAAGTTTTCTCTTTTTCAAAGAACCAGCAGCTTGACTGGCAGCACTAACCAAAGTGTTAACATCTGAAGTTAAACCAGAAGTATCAACTTGTGGAGTAGCAGCTTCAGTAGAAGCACCACCATATTTAGCAATCAATGAATCTAAAGCATCACCGTTGCCAGCAGCAGCGGCAGTAGAACCAGTAGAACCAGTTGAAGTAGTGGCGGCAACAGCAGCAGCTGGAGAAGAAACAGCAAGAGCAGCTGGAGCAACACCAGTAGAGGAAGTGACACTTCTGGTGGAAAGAGTGTTACCTGTGGTGGCAGCAGCAGTGGTGGTGGTGGCTGAAGAAGTACCAGCATTGTCAATATCAGAAGCAGAAAGAGTACCGTTGGATAAAAGTTTACCAATGAATGAAGCAATGGCACCAGCCCAAGAACCAGCATTGTTTTTAATATAAGTTAAAGCAGAATCCCATAATCCGGATTCTTTAGCCCATCCGTAAACTTCTTCGGCAACAACTAAACCAGTCTTGAAAGCAGAAGTCAAGAAAGAAACAACAGCTTCTGGGTTGGAAATAACTTTTTGAACTAAGGATTGAACAATTCCTGAATCTTTAATTTGAGTAACAATCCAAGAAATGATATCGTACAAGTCTCTTTCACTCAAATATTCAGCAGCATCCATAACTTCTCTCTTAGAAGCACCACTAGTTGGAGCAGCAATTTGTCTTTTAGCTGGTGCAGAAGATGCATCAGTAGAAGAAGAAGTACGGCCACTAATCCAAGAAGAAATCAAGTTAGCAGCAGTACCAAAAATAGATTTGACAACACCCAAGAAAGCTTGTTTTAAGTCACTATCGTTAATCAATTTGGTGAAAATGTCACCTAATAAACCAGAGTTCCAAACAGCTTGGATTAAAGCAGAACCTTGAACAACAGCAGTTTGAAGAGCAGATTGGATAATAGCTTTCAAAGAAGCTTTAATACTGTCATCAGTAGTCAATTTATCCCAAACCAAACTAATAATACCAGAGTTGGCTAAAGCAGAAATCAAATTAATATAAGCATTGTCGGCTCTTCTGTCTAATTCCAATAAATCTTCACCTTCAACGTAATCTCTCTTGACGTTAAGAGCTTTAATTTCTTCAATTAAGTTTAAGACTTCATTGATGTCTTCTCTCTTAACCATAGTTTGTTCAGTAACAGTAAAAGTTGGGGCAGCTGAAACACAAGCTGAGGAAGCTAAGATAGCTAAAACGGTGGCACTGGAAAATTTCATTGTAAATGATTAAATTAAAAATAAATGATAGTTATTAATTGTAGTTTTCTGTCTTAAAAGCGAATTGTAATTGAAAAACTGTTGTTGTTGTTTTTTGATTAAAAGAACTGTTTCTTTTGTTTTGATTGATGATATAAAAAAGAATTGAAAAAAAAAATTTATCAAAGGATGGGAATAATCAAGATATTTATAATTAGACTTTCGTTTTTCAAAAACCTGTGAACTAAGCATTACCCACATTAATCATCAATATCATTATGCTAGTAGTACATATTACTTATTCAAGCAATAATTTTCTCATTATACCTTTACCCATACTAAGAAATATTGCGAAATAAATTTTTTGGAACCACTTTCCCAATTAGGAAATTTTATTAGATCCAAACACCAACACATCGATCGTCGTAATACGAAATTTTATGTTATATCTTTCTGTGAGTATGTGTATATTTTCAGTACGGTTATTTATTATTATTATTTCGATAGAAAACTACTGAATTTAGTTAATAAGAGATATTGTGGAATATTGGTTTCAATTGTTTCTATTTTTGAGTTTTGTTTTTGTATGTGGAATTTCGTTTATATGTGAAGTAAGGCTACTAACCCAACATAGCTACCCCCCAAGAAGAAGAAGCAAACATATGATGTTTAGGGGAAGAAAGATGTAGGTACTAGGTGACGGAAGGGTTAAATGATGTACCATGTAGCCTCATATGCTATACATAAATCCTATGATTTATATTTTATTTCTATTCTAAGTTATTAGTTCATCATTATGGTTGAAATTAATCATTCAAGAAGTAGGTATCATTGAGCAGACTTGGATTGAAAGTTCGTTTATTCGTACAGTAAGATAATTTTGACATTTTTCAAAGAAATACAGGTCTTCAAGAAGCTTATTTTACTCCACTTCTTTTTACACTGTTAGTTTTACCTCATCGATGGAATTTAAAATAAGGGTTTCTTGTTGAAGTAAAAGAGACAATAGGTTTTTGAATAAACAAAAAGAGCCAAGATTCTGAAAGATGGTTCTGATCTTTCAAAACAATCAAGCAAGCAATTAAAAGTATATCTGTTATTATATCTATACACTTCTATTACCATCTTCCAATGTAAATAGTAATCCCAGTATAATGTTATCATCATTTGAAATGACTTTTAGCTACGAGTATTTAACTACACCCGGGGAAGACCTATCGTCGATCTCTATTAAATGGATAATCAAACACCTATAGGGAAACAATTGAAATTCAACTTTTCCTTCTCTTTTGTCGATCTTCATAGTCTTTGGTACGATAATTACATTTCCCAATCAAGACAATGGATCAGTGATATTCAATGAATATTTGATTCGTTGATTAAATGACAACTGAAATTCGGGATTTCAAAGAAGAATGTCGAATAAAAGGCGTGAAGTCAACAACAACAATAATATGGCTATTTGTGTGGTCAATTTAAAGTTCTAGAACTATAAGATACAAAAAAAAAATGTTGTGGTTGATTAAATTTGGTGATGATTATAGAATTTTGTGGCATCATGGAAATTTCCCAATTAGGTAATTCAACTGCAATTTTGCGAGGAGGCCACTTTTTTTTTCATTACTTTTAATTATACCGATGGTACACTCGAGAGGATTTCGAATGCTGGCTAAAATTCCTATTATTCATCAATAGCTCATACTTTGTAAAAACAATGAAAGTAGGTGTTGAACCTACTACCATTGAGAGAGGAGAGTTCATTTACGGTTTATGTGAAACTTTAGATTGAAATTACCCTTTCGATTTTAAGTGCGCAATTACTAAATTCGGATTTAATGTTCCACCACAGTAATGAAACAATAAATCGATTAACTAAATCAGGAAAAAGAAATATATCAATGGCTTTAAGAATATTTAACGAACTGTGAGGGGCACTCTATTGTTGTCTACTCAAAAAGAAACATGTTACGCATCTCTTCGTAGTTTATTTCTATTAATTTTCCTATAATACAATGCTCAGTAGGATAGATATAGATCAATATACGGCAATTCATGGCTTAAAGGAAAATGGCATCTAGGGTTTTTGGAATTTAATTCTTCAATAAATTAAAGTGTTAGCCTATTTTGGTTATTCATGTATATGATCCCCTTGTCCGTTCGTTTTCATTAAACTATTCTTTAGCCTCAGTAATTATTTAGTCATGTAATTATTTATGTACGTAAAGATTATTTCCATCATAATAACCAATGATATCTTGGCTCGTTGATTATTTTTCGAGTTATTTTTTATTTCATGCATCTGTAGACCTCATTTTCATATAATCAATTGTATAATTCAAAAATGATGAAATTTCATGTATTTTTTTAAAGGAGTTTTTTCCCGAAAAACAGAAAATAACTATACCATTACAATTGTTGATATTTTCAACTGAAATAGGATACTAACCATACCTATTCATCCCTTTCAACTCCTATTCCACTTTTAACCAATCACATGAACAAGTATAAGAGTTATGATACATTGAAAGAGACATCACCAATCGGATATCCCCCCTATAGAACCTGTTCATTTCCAACTAAAGTAAAATTCCACAATTAACTGTGATTATACTTTCTCAAAGGCTTTTGATTGTGCTGCTGATCATCTATCATCATCTGTCATCATAAAGTATAATTATAAGTTGCATTTTTTTTCTTTAACAACACGTTGCCTAATTGCTGCGAAAAACAGTGCGTGTGTGTTTTACTAAATTCCTGCATGATGTAATCATTTACTGCCACATGTACACGACACCCGTTATCCATCTCCAAACGGCTCCGAGGACCGATCCACAGCAACTGACATTATCATGATAGATATGTCTTACAACCAATGGTTTATCCATAGCAGTTATCATATTAACATAGACATGGAGATTTTATCTAATACTTAACGAGGCTATACACCACTACCGAGTCAAAATTCACCCATGTTACAGTGTATTCCTTCTTTCTCCGAGTGAAAAATTTTTCTTTCCCAAAAAAAAAAAAAAAGAAAGAAATTTCAAACTCCATCGACCTTATTCGTTAAAACCAAAAACCACACATGAACACAAAAAAAAAAAAATAAATAAAAAAATTTAGTGCCATCTTGATTTGTTCTTCTTTTTCTTATTTGGCTAAGTATTCGATAATGAGTGTTGTTGAAGCATCTTCAAGTTCTATTGCTAATGACTCTACTGGTAGTGGTAGTAGTAACGTTGTTCAAAGAGGAAATATTTCTTCATTTGCATCAACTACTGCTACTACAAATTTAACAACTATTGATACAAACGGTAATGTTTTTAAAGTTCCAGATTATTCCATTAAAGATATTTTACAAGCTATTCCAAAACATTGTTATGAAAGATCTTTGATTAGATCTTTGGGTTATGTTGTTAGAGATATCACCATGATGGTTTTAATTAGTTATGTTGGACATTCTTTTATTCCATTGGTTGATATTGAAAACCATGAAACTTTAAGTACTGTTGTTAGAGGTTCTTTATGGATGGTCCAATCTTATTTAATTGGGTTATTTGGTTTTGGTTTATGGATTTTAGCTCATGAATGTGGTCATGGTGCATTTTCAGATTATCAAAATTTAAATGATCTAATTGGTTGGGTTATACATTCTTATTTGATGGTTCCTTACTTTTCATGGAAATTTTCTCATGCTAAACATCATAAAGCAACTGGTCATTTAACTAAAGATATGGTTTTCATTCCATATACTAAAGAAGAATATTTAGAAAAGAATAAAGTTGAAAAAGTTTCTGAATTGGTTGAAGAATCTCCAATTTATTCCCTTTTAGTTTTAATTTTTCAACAATTGGGTGGTTTACAATTATATTTAGCTAATAATGCAACTGGTCAAGTTTATCCTGGTGTTTCATGGTATGCAAGATCTCATTATTCTCCAATTTCTCCAGTTTTTGATAAAAATCAATATTGGTTCATTGTTTTATCTGATATTGGTATTATTTCAACTTTAACTGTGGTTTATCAATGGTATAAAAACTTTGGTTTATTTAATATGATGATCAATTGGTTTGTTCCATGGTTATGGGTTAATCATTGGTTAGTTTTTGTTACATTTTTACAACATACTGATCCAACAATGCCTCATTATGCTGCTAACGAATGGACTTTTGCTCGTGGTGCTGCTGCTACAATTGATAGAAATTTTGGATTTGTTGGTCAACACATCTTCCATGATATTATTGAAACTCATGTTTTACATCATTATGTTTCAAGAATTCCATTTTATAATGCCAGAGAAGCTACTGAAGCTATTAAAAAAGTTATGGGTGAACATTATAGATATGAAGGAGAAAATATGTGGTTTTCTTTATGGAAATGTGTTAGAATGTGTCAATTTGTTGATGATGATAAAGAAGATGCCAAAGGTGTTTTAATGTTTAGAAATGTTAATGGTTTAGGTGTCAAACCAAAGGATTAGATTTATTTGTGTAAATAGTATGGTTTTTTTTCTTCCTTTCTTTATTTCATGATCTTATGTTTATTTGCTTATTATTTACTTTTGTTGGTTATTATTAACCTGGTTAATTAATTCTTAAATACATATTCAATTTTGCTTTCATTTGTTCGTTGATATTATATTACCATTCCCATATTTGCTAATCGACAGAATTTAATTTGTCACCGCCGATACTCTCACACACACATCAACGGAACCAATCTTCTCTCCAAAAAAAAAAAAAAAAATTTTTCAACTTTGAAAACTTCACTTCTTTTTCATCATCATCAACAACGTTACCATGGCAAGTGTTCTTCGTGGAGTTTTTAAAACTCGTGTTCCTAGAACTTTAACCATTCCAAAATTCGCCAGATCATTCAAAACAACATCTATTCGTTTTGATGAACAAGCTGTTAAACTTCCACAAACATATGAAGAAGAAAAAGTAATCATTGATGAAATTAATAAATCTTTACCAGAAGGTGATATTGAAGCTTCTAAAAGATTAAGAAATATTGGTATTTCTGCTCATATTGATTCCGGTAAAACTACTTTCACTGAACGTGTTTTATTTTATACTGGTAGAATTAAAGCCATTCATGAAGTTCGTGGTAAAGATGCCGTTGGTGCTAAAATGGATCATATGGATTTAGAAAGAGAAAAAGGTATCACTATTCAATCTGCAGCTACTTATTGTTCATGGGATAAAGATGATAAATCTTATCATTTTAATTTAATCGATACTCCTGGTCATATTGATTTCACCATTGAAGTTGAAAGAGCTTTAAGAGTTTTAGATGGGGCTGTTTTAGTTGTTTGTGCAGTTGCTGGGGTTCAATCTCAAACTGTTACTGTTGATCGTCAAATGCGTAGATATAATGTTCCAAGAGTTACTTTTATTAATAAAATGGATCGTATGGGTGCCAATCCATGGAGAGCTATTGAACAAATTAATACTAAATTGAAAATCCCAGCTGCTGCTATTCAAGTTCCAATCGGTGCTGAAGATAATTTGCAAGGGGTTGTTAATATTATTGATCGTGTTGCTTTGTATAACGATGGTGCTCAAGGGGAAATCATTAGAAAAGACGAAATCCCTGAAGATTTGAAAGAATTGGTTGAAGAGAAGAGAGCATTATTGATTGAAACTTTAGCTGATGTTGATGAAGAAATGGCTGATATTTATTTAGAAGGTGAAGAACCAACTGTTGAACAAATTAAAGGTGCCATTAGACGTGCCACTATTGGTAGAAAATTCACTCCTGTTTTAATGGGTTCTGCTTTAGCTAATAGAGGTATTCAGCAAGTTTTGGATTCTGTTGTTGATTATTTACCACAACCAAATGAAATTTTAAACACTGGGTTGGAATTACAAAAAGATGGTTCTGAAAAACCAGTTCATTTAACACCTTCTTCTTCTGAACCATTTGTTGGTTTAGCATTTAAATTAGAAGAAGGTCCATATGGTCAATTAACTTATATTAGAGTTTATCAAGGTAAATTAAAAAAAGGGGCTTATATGACTCATGTTAAATCAGGTAAGAAAGTTAAAGTTTCAAGATTAGTGAGAATGCATTCTAACGATATGGAAGATGTTGCTGAAGTTGGAGCTGGTGAAATTTGTGCTACTTTTGGTATTGATTGTGCTTCTGGAGATACATTTATTGGCCAAGGTGCACAACAAGAAATTACCATGAGCTCAATGTTTGTTCCAGAAGCTGTTATTTCATTATCTATTGCTCCAAAAACTAAAGATAATGGTGCATTTTCAAAAGCAATGAATCGTTTCCAAAAAGAAGATCCTACATTTAGAGTTCATTTTGATAATGAATCTAAAGAAACTATTATTTCCGGTATGGGTGAATTACATTTAGAAATTTATGTTGAAAGAATTAAACGTGAATACGGTGTTGATTGTGTTACTGGTAAACCACAAGTTTCTTATCGTGAAGCCATTACTGTTCCAACCACATTTGATTACACTCACAAGAAACAATCTGGTGGTGCCGGTCAATATGGTAGAGTTATTGGTGAATTTAAGCCATTAGAAAGTGAAAATAAATTTGAAACTCAAATTGTTGGAGGTAAGATTCCTGAAAAATTCTTGTTTGCATGTAACAAAGGATTTGAAGATTGTTTAGAAAAGGGTCCATTAATTGGTCATAAAGTTTTAGGTGCTCATATGATTATTAATGATGGTCAAACCCATGTTGTTGATTCTTCTGAAATGTCATTTAGAACTGCTACTCAAGGTGCATTTAGACAAGCTTTCTTGAATGCACAACCAGTCATCTTAGAACCAATTATGTCTGTTGAAGTCACTGCACCAAATGAATTCCAAGGTTCAGTTGTTGGTTTAATTAATAAATTAGGTGGTATGATTAATGATACTGTTAATGGTCCTGATGATTTTACTGTTACTGCTGAATGTTCATTGAATTCAATGTTTGGTTTCTCTACTTCATTAAGAGCTTCTACTCAAGGTAAAGGTGAATTCTCTTTGGAATTCCTTAAATATTCCCCAACTGCTCCACAAGTTCAAAAACAATTGATTGCAGATTATGAAAAAGCACAAGCTGCTAAGAAATAATTTTGCCGTTAAAAAAAAGAGTATTTCTTGTAAATAGATCATAAAAATACTTGATATTAGAATATATATTCCTTTCAAATATGAATTACCGTTCTACTATCAGGGTACTTTGTAAATTTTTTTTTATAATATTATAATATATATATATAGATTTATTATATATAGGGGAAAAGTATGGTTCGATAATGAAAGATGATGATGATGATATCCTATATAAAGGAAAAGGTTGAATGATAATTATGTAGTATTGTAGATGACGTAAACATTAATAAACCAAACAAAATAAAAAAATAAAAAAAAAATTAATCAAATATACCCTTAAGTTACTAATACACAAGTGAGTTTCTTTCTTTTCTCTTTTTTAATTTGAATTGGTTTCTCTTTAAATTTATTTATATTAAAAAAACAATAACCATTTGAACTAAATTTAAGCTTTAACTAAGGCTTTTTTAGTAGCGTATCTTCTTTGTTTTTTCAAAACCAAAACTTGGAATCTTTCGAAATCAGACAATTGAGCTCTTCTTTCCTTGTTAGCCAATTTTTTAGCCCAAGCAGAAGCAGCCCATTTGGCATCAATATCAGCAGCAGCCCATTTCTTAGCAACAGTGGCAGTCTTAGCACCTCTTGGCAAGTTTGGTAAAACAATTGGGGTAAGAACAACTTTAGCTAAAGCAATAGATTGTCTTTGGAATTTTGGTCCATCAACCAAAGCCTAGAAAAATAAAATGTTAGTATTCTATGTTATTCAAATTATCAATATTATAAGATTTAGAGTGGTAATCAAATAAAGTGATTGCTTCACATAAAATTTGTGATGGTTTGGTAATGTGGTTGATATATTATCATTCTCGAGTTTATAGTAATTCCTCATGCTCCATACTAGGTATTCCTTTCATAATATTCTGGATTATTCATATCTTTACTATTACTATTCTCCCTCTTTCATTCCTTTTATGTTTTCCATATCATTTATTTAATTAATCACTCATAAATCCCATCAAAGTTCATATTCCTTGACATACTCTTTTTTGATCAATAATTTCAACAATGGTGGCCAAATCTTTGTTGTTAACTAAAACAACACGACCGACTTCAACGAATCTCCAGTTGGCAGCTTTAACGGTAGAAGACATCTTTGATTATTATATGTGGTTACTGATATACTTAAAACAGAAACTGAAAGTTTTTTTTTTTTTCAAAGTAGAATTTTTTTTTCCTTCGGTATAGTTGAAAATTGAAACTGCGTGAGTGAGAGAGAGAGAGAGTGTGTGTGTGTGTGCCAGGGCGAGAAACTCACTGGAGCTACCGCCATCTCCTATGCCGAACTGGTCCCAGTGCGTGTCCAGCAAGTGTGGGTAGTGCGCAGTGTACAAAAGAACGCGCACTGAGCATTCAACGTTTATTAGCACTGGGAGTATTACACTAAATCACACCAGAAAAAACAATTGTCTGCAGGATGTGTCGATTAATCCAAATATTTTTGAATTGATATCCACGTGATAGGGTTACAACCCTAACCTCGCGTCTTGAATTAAAAGCTAAATAATTTTTTTGAGTTGGTTGTCTCGATGAGTATAAAGATCAACACTTTCTTTTCTTAAATAATCAACAACTATTGTTTCTTTCTGGATTTCAATCAATAAGCAAAAGTGTATGTTTAAACCATTTCAAAACAAATGAATCATGATTAAATCAAAAAGATGACTTATAATTTGCGTTCTAGAATATTGAATTCGAAACACGCCTAGTTTCATTAAGGATTCGGTATAATATGCGACCAATTTAAATGCCTGATTTTTTTATTATGATTAGTTAATACTATTATCATTTGTATTTACATTTATACTAACTGTTAATTCAAGATTTTGGTTATTTTACAAAGTGAACTTCTGGTGAGAGCCAATGTGTTTCTTTTCAAAGAACCATGGTCACTTTTGTTAAATAGTTACTACAAAATACATAATATTAATTATTGACAATGAAACTCATTGACTATATGGTCAATTGCACTTGTAGAATTATCTCTACTGTTGTAGATACCTAAGTAATGAAACTATTGACATTGTCTCTTTTGAATACAATAGATAACCACGTGACGTCTTCATCACGAGTCAATTTAAAATTTTTTTTTTTTTTTTTTTGATTTTATGAGTAAGAAAAAATTATCCACATCTCGTATTCCCACCCAAAACACCCAGTTTAAGAACAACAAACACACTTGTTCTTCTTTCTTTTTCTTTCTTGTTTTATGAGATTTTTAAGATCATTGATTACAAGAAGATTATTCAGAATGTCATCTACATCTCCATCACCAGCTCCATCAAGTGTTAAAAAACCAACTGTTAAACAACCAGAATGGTTTGAACCAGAAAATAAAGATAATCAAAAACCAACACTTAAATTATATAATTCCTTAACTCGTTCCAAGAATGAATTTCATCCAATTAAACCAGGTCAAATCACTTGGTATTCTTGTGGTCCAACCGTTTATGATCATTCTCATATGGGACATGCTAGAAATTATGTATCTACTGATATAAGTAGAAGAATTTTACAAGATTATTTTGGATATCATATTAATTTCATTCAAAATGTTACTGATATTGATGATAAAATTATTATTGCTGCACGTCAACAATATTTATTTGAAGAAAAATTGACTAATCAATATAAAGATATCAATGATGATTTAAAATTAAAATCAAAAGAATATTTGAAATTTTATGTTGAAAAAAATTTACCTGAATTTAATGGTGATTTAGAAAAAGATTTCATTAATTGGACTAATAATGGTATTCCAAATATGGCTGAACTTGTTAAAGAAAAACCAAAATTACCAATGTTTATTAAAGCTGCTAAATTAGCCCATGAAACTATTTACAATTCTAATAAAATTAATTCAATTGATGAATATTTAACTAAAATTAAAGATGTTGCTATGCCACATTTAGATAAAGAATTTGGAGCTACTGTCACTGATCCACAAATTTTTAAGAAATTACCATCATATTGGGAAAAAAGATATAATGAAGATATGGCAAGATTAAATGTTTTACCACCTTCAATTACTACTAGAGTTTCTGAATATGTTCCAGATATTATTGAATTTGTTGATAAAATCATTGAAAATGGTTATGCTTATGCCACTGAAGATGGATCTGTTTATTTTGATACTGTTAAATATGAACATTCTAAACATGAATATGCTAAATTACAACCATGGAGTAAAGGTGATTTAAGTTTAATTAATGATGGTGAAGGTTCATTAAGTACTGGTAATACTAAACGTAGTTCTGCTGATTTTGCATTATGGAAAGCTTCAAAACCAGGTGAACCATCATGGGATTCTAAATGGGGTAAAGGTAGACCAGGTTGGCATATTGAATGTTCAGTAATGGCCTCTGATATTGGTGGAGAAACTTTAGATATTCATTCTGGTGGTATTGATTTATGTTTCCCTCATCATGACAATGAATTGGCTCAATCTGAAGCATATTTTGATAATAAACAATGGATTAATTATTTTATGCATAATGGTCATTTACATATCCAAGGTCAAAAAATGTCTAAATCTTTGAAAAATTTCATCACTATTGATGAAGCTTTGAAAGATTTCTCTGCTAGACAATTAAGATTAGTATTTGCATTAAATCCATGGGAAAAACCTTTAGATTTTAAAGATTCTTTAATTCATGAAGTCAAATCTATTGAAGCTACATTTTCTAAATTTTTCACCAATATTCGTGCATTGAATTCCGATTATAAACATAAAGTTGATAATGGAGAATATGTTAGTAGAAAAATTGGTGATGTTGAAAAACAATTATATAAAGATTTAGCTAATGCTAGTGAAGAAGTTGATATTGCATTTAATGATAATTTATCTAGTGGACAAGCAATTAGAGTTTTACAAGATTTAGTATCAAAAGCAAATACTTATATTCAATTGACTTCATCAGGTAATCCAGAATTAAGAATTGAAGTATTAATTCTGATTACTCATTGGATTGTTAAAATTTTGGATATTTTAGGATTTGAAATTAGATCAGATAAATTAGGATGGATTGATGATGCTGAACAATCAACTAATGGATCAGGAGCAAGTACTGAAGATATTGCTTTACCTTATGTTAAAGCATTGGCACAATTTAGAGATTCAGTACGTAATTTAGCTATTAATAAAGCAGAATTAACTGAATTTTTAAAAGCTTCTGATGCAATTAGATCACAATTGGTTAATTTGGGAGTTTCATTAGATGATAGACCAGATGGTACTTCCTTAGTTAAATTTTTAAATGCTCAAGAGAAGCAAAATTTAATTGATCAACAAGAAGCTAAAATTAAATTAGCTGCTGAAAAGGAAAAGAAGAAAAAGGAACAAGCTGCTATTAATGCTAAAAAACAAGCTGAAAAAGAAGCTAAAATGAAGATTAATCCTGCTGATATGTTTAAAGATAAGGCATTATATTCAGAATGGGATGAACAAGGATTACCTACTAAAGATGTCAAAGGTGAAGAAGTTAGTAAAAGTATGAGAAAGAAATTGACTAAACAATATCAACAACAAGAGAAATTATACAATGAATATTTGAAATCTCTTGAAAAGTAATTCACTGTTTATAGTAATTTATAGATAGTCGTGTGCGGTACAATATAAATGTATGTGCGAATGTGTGCGTGCAAAAACCAAAATCTGTTTGAAAAGTTCGAACACGTAGAATCAAAAAAAAAAAAATAGCTGCCACCACCAACAACAATAACACCACAAGAAGGACTAGGAGTAGAAGTAGGAGTAGGAGTAAGACAGAGCAACAATGTTTAATTTGTCATCAAGAGTTCAAGCTGCTGGGAATCAGGCATTGACTTCCTCAATTGTCATCACGGGAATAGTTATTTTATTAACTTTATTACAATTATATAAAGATAATGTATGGTCACTTGATACCACAACAATTGGAAATATTAAACCAACAGCAACAATTAAACATTCATTTCAATATGGATCAATAAATAGAAAACCAAAAGAAAATAGTAAGATTCAATTTGATTTATCAACTGATTTGAGTCCATTATTTAATTGGAATACAAAACAAATTTTCATTTATTTAACTGCTGAATATCCTGGTAAAAGTGATGAATCATCAAATAAAGTAACATATTGGGATAAAATTATAACTAATAAAAAAGATTCAATTTTAAATTTGAAAAATCAAAGAAGTAAATATTCTATTTGGGATATTGAAAAATCTTTTAGAAATAGAAATGCAACTGTTAAATTAGAATGGAATATTCAACCTTATATAGGTCCTTTAATTTATGGTGAAACTAAAGGTATTGATACTTTTCAATTTGCTGATATTAAAAAGAAAACTTCATGATTTCAATGTATACAATAATATGTATTTAATTCTTCTCTTTTTTTTTGAAGAATAACTATGTACAGTAAGAATTAATACATATTTATATATATATATATAGCTATGTGGATACACGTGATTTTTGATTTTTTAAGATGCAATATTAGAATTCTTCTTCTTCTTCTTCTTGAGTAGTAGTTGAAGAAGATTCTTGAGCGGTTGGTTTACCAATGTACAATTGATATTTTGAATCCAATAAAGTACGTTTCAAATAATTATTAGCATCTAAATATTTTGAACTTTGATGTAAAATATATTCATTAACAATATCTTCAAAATTTTGTAAACGATAAATGATTTCTCGATTAGTTTCATTCAATGTAAAATCTATAGTTTTAGGATACTTTTCTCTTAATAATTTAAATACCTTTGGATGTTGATTTCGATATTCTTGAAGTACATCAGATAATAAATCTCTCAATAATGGTGTCAATGATATAAATTTTTGAGGAATTCGTTGAGGATTGAAATATTCTAAAAATTTATGTTGATTCATTGTTCTTGAATGATATTGATCAGAACTAACATTGAATAATCTACCTGATGGACTTCGAAGAAAATCTTTAATTGTACTATTGTTGATATCTTTTTTAACTTCATCTAGACTTTGAATATAATAATAATCATTCAATACTTTATAAGTATCCATTATTCCTTGTTCTTGTCCTTTATAAGTATTTGCCAAATGATTCAAACAAAGTTTATAACATAATTTCTTCTCCATGTAAAACTTACTTTGGTCGATACTTCCTTGAATTAAATATTTCTCAATAATTGCTAAAACTTGGTTCAAATTTCTAAAATCTGGATATCTAAGAAAATAGGTGAATAATGTAATATAATCATCATTTGAGAATTTAACTCCAAGTAACATGTAATCCAATATTTTCAATTCATCAATAGATTTATAATCTTCTATTTCATCCAAAATTTCAAATTTTTCAAATAATAATTTCCCACAAGTATCTGCTAAATCATATGGTATAGCTGGATTATCAATTGGAGATTCTTCAACATATTTATCAATCAAACTTTTAGTTTTTTGAAGTTCTTTAGATAATGCCACTTCACTAACATCACTAACTTGTCGAAGTCCTTCAAAAAATATACAATGTAATTTAAAACTAATATTCTTACCCAATTTCAGATAAATATTTCGAACAAAATCTAAAAATACTTTTGCACCCTTTTCAGGACCAACAACAGAAAGATAATTAACAATCATTCTTGCCAAATAAATAACATCATCGGCTAAATTTAATTCATCAATTCTTTCTCTTTCATTTATTAATCCATAATATCCTTGAATTTGATAAATTAAACTTGTTGAATTTTTAAATGATCTTGGTGTCGTTTGATATGCACTTCCTGATCGTCTATCTAAATTTAAGACAGCTTCAACAACAATTTCATAAGTTCTTGCTGTCATATGTATTTTCCTTTCATTCATTCTTTGAAATACTGATATAACTTTTGAAAATCGGAAATTTTCAACTAATGTTCGTAATTGTTGAAGATATAATTTTTCACTTTTCAAATCAGCAAGTTTTGCCTTTTGAAATAATCTTCCTGGAATTCTTGGAGTTTTAATATAATTATAATAAGTCATTAAATCACAAATAATTGAAACTCCTCCTTCACTATTGAATACATGTTCATTTGTTTCTAAAGCATTTCTGGCAATAAAAGTAATCTTTTTGTAGAGATACAATTCTGTATCTCTATCAGGACAACGTTTTAACCAATTTATATAATTCTTCAATTGCTGAGCCCATATTTCCATATCTGAGAATGGTATTTTAGATTTCCCATGTGCTTCATATGATGTAGCCTCGGCTTTTTCAAATAAATCAAGCTTAGAATAAACAGATATTAATCCAGAATAGTATTCTGTACTTTCTTTATTATAACTTTCAACTAATGATCGAAGCTTTTCAATGGATTTCAAAGAATATGAATCTAGGAATGAATGAAATACTTTATTTAAAGTATCCCCATTTACAATGGTAAATTCTTCATGTTTTTCTCTTTCAAGATATTTTTCAATACATTCCAAGATTGAATCAATTTTCTTTTCATGAATCAACAGTTCAATAACCAATGGGAATAAATTTTGAACACCTTCTGGATCAGCTTTACCTGTTTTAGCCTTGATTATGTAATCTTCAAATAATTCCACAACTTTATCTTGATCATGAATTCTTGATTTAGCCCTCATTAAAGATGCCATGACAGTAGCACTTAATTTCAATTTTCTCCAATCTAATTGATCAAATAATCTTTGCATTTCATCATCTGCTTTTAAAGCATCTAAACTTTGCATGACAATACCATAATGAACAGTTAATGGTAAATCACCTTTACCATACATACTTTCAAATCTTTTCTGTAAAGTATTCCAATCTTTTAATTTTCGACATAATTCAAGTAATACAGTTTCTTGATGACCTTCATTACCATCATGTAAATCTTTATTAGTTCGATATAATTCATGAATTTTTTCAATATCAAATTTAAAACATGCTTTTAATGCTAATGTTAAATCATCAACAAATAAAACTTCGTTTCTTGGTAATGATCGAAGTCTAATTTGAGATTCTTTAAATGTGAAATATTGATAAGTTAAATATGGAGATTTTTTAATTATAGTTCTCATAATTGCCGTTATGAAATAATAACTATTCTTCATACCATATTCTTTTGAAACAACTCTAACAAGATCTTGTAAAAAAACTTCAACATTGATTCTACCATTATAAACACCAATTAATGGTAAAATATCATCATATGGAGTACCATTTCTTGAATTTACAAACCATTCATCACCATTTTCAACTAAATTGGACCAAGAAATGAATTGTTTGGTATATTGCATTCTTTGTTCATATGAATTTTTCTCATATGTGATAGCATTAATAGGATTTAATACTGACTTGACTACCCATTTGATGATATCTCTTTTCATGGTTATATCTTTTTTTGGGTTCAATAGATATTCTTCAATTAATTGTGAATTATAAATTATTATATCATTTTTTATAATATGTGGTTGTATAACTTGAATTATTTCATCGAGTTTACCTTGATTCTTTGAAATTAATAATTGTGGTTTAATTAATTTTTCATATAAATCATATCTTCCCGTATGAATTAAAACTTCAATTAATTTACTTCTTCTTTCAAATAATAATTTTTGTAAATTCAATCTACTTTCACTTGATTCAATAGTATTATTAAATAAAGCATCCCAAAATTCTTGTAAAAATTCAAATCCGTTTCTCATTTCATATAAAACTTCAATTAATCGATCATATATATCAATAATTGAAATGATTTGTTCTTGTTCAAATTCAGAATTGCATCGTAGAAGATTGATAAAATCCTCTTTTGATCCTTCAACTGGTGGTTTTATTCCAACATTTTTCCCAATTGTTTCAACATTATTGTCTTCAAATATCCAATTATTTACTTGACGATATCGATGACCTAAAAAACTAGCCATGAAAAGTTTTGTAGGTGCCTTTGAATAATTGAAACTAGCATAGAACCTTTTTGATATTAAAGTGGTACATTTTATACTAGGTAATAGCCTATGAGTATGCTGTTGTTGTTGTTGCTGCTGCTGCTGTTGCTGCTGCTGCTGTTGTAGTCTTTTAGTTGAAGATGAATATGGGTATGGGGTTTGAAAATTTGGAAATAGTCTCGGTAGACTTGATTGAGTTTTCCGTATCATTTAGTCAATGGATTGTTGTACGACTGAATAATAATGCAAAATGAAGGATAATTAACCCACTGGTGTTAATATGTACAAGTGTAAATATAAATACAACAAAAGAAAGGATGTCAGTACGGGTTATGGTTGTTCTTCTTGTAGTTGGATGGTGATTGATTGATAGTTTGAAAATTTTCCTTCATCTTAATTCGCGAAAGTCAAATCGGTTTGAGTTGCGCGCACGAAATTTTTCACTTCGAGGCAGAAAGCAAAAAGCAAGATGGAAAGAGATTTGGGGCGACGCTCGACGGAAAATTAAGAATGCTGGGGCGATGCTCGACGCAGAGATCATGTCGTACGATTTTTTTTTTTTTTGGCCAATCTTACATCGAAATTATAGATTTACTTCATTTAGCAATAGATGGATTGTTTATTACTAGTGTACTACTTATTAAAGAAAAGATTCAAACTTATCATCTTCATTCAGTCTATTGCAAGTTTCAGAGTCATTAAATCAGTTTTTTGTTTATGTAGTCAGTGAAGCAGAAACTTCTCGTACAGTGTGAATATTAAAAAAATCATCATAAAAATGCAATTATTTAGACTGAAGTTAGATTATAGATAAATCTTCTTCTTGTTAAATCATTGATTCAAACCTACTAAAATTCAATTAAATAATGAAAAAAAAAATTCAACTATTTGTTATAAATTGTTAGTTTCCTCCAAAAGGTTCATGTAATCAAATTATTCTTCTCAATGGATTATTTTTTGATAAAAGAAATCAGTGAAACGACCTATCATCAACTCTTACCAATCAACGCCTTCAAAAAAAAGTACACCAGAAGACGCGACTCCTCTTTCTTATTTGTACAAAAAGAGGGACTGGTAAAGGTAATTATGTCCGCCCGGTCGAGTGAATCATCAAATAAAACTACCAAAAAAAGAAACATCCCATAAAACAAGAATATCAACAGTTGAATGAAAAAAACATACCTGAAATAAGTTAGTATAAATGAATTCTTTCTGCTTAAACAGCCCAAGTAATCATAAATACAATACAATAGTAATAATAATAAATTATCAGTGGCTCATACAAGGCTGAAACTTAACGATAATGCGGTTGTCAACCCGGGTTATTCAGTTGGAACAATTGGTATAAAATGCAAATAATCATCGCCAAATCTATTATTATTCGTATCATTTCATTTGGGAAAGGAGGTGGATAATGAGTAGAAGAAACATACCTTTCATTATTCAATAAATCATCTTAGTTGATTAACCATTGATCAAGTTATGAGTAGTACTAATGAAAAAAGAAAAGAAGATAAAAAAGTGAATTGAACTAAAAAAAAAATTATTGAAGTGAAAATTTTTCTTTATGTTTGGTTAAAAAAAAAATTTGAATGAGCAGAATTATTGGTCAATGTGCACGACACTGAGGAATGAGACTAACAATTAGGGTTCAAGTGCCATCGGTCAGACGACAATGTCGCATGGTGGTAACAAGGAGCAAAAAAATTTAAAAAAATATGGCGTCACAGACAGGATTCGAACCTGCGAAGGCAAAGCCCATTGCCTGAACTGCCTTCCAATGAAATGGAAATAGCAGGGCAACTCCTTAACCACTCGGACACTGGGACACTCGGTTGGTAGTGTTAACAAATTCAGCTCTTCACCAGCTGTTAATTAAAGTGATTCATGAATATACAATTTTTCTAACTGTTTTGATGTTTTCATGGGTTTATTTTCTTACCATAAACTAATATGGTTGATTGAGTTTACTATAATGTAATCAACACTTGTCTAAAGTCATGTTTGCTTAAAATGAAGATGAATCTGTGATTGCAAAGTGTTTAATCAAAGTTTCGAACAATTTTTCTACAAAATAAAACACTACTCATTATAACCATCACAAATGTCCTATTCTTATTACATCAATCTTCTTTTATTATGAATTCCGTTAAAGCCATTTCTAATGTGTTATTCCAGTAGATAGTAAACGCTTATTATTACTATTTGTTAAGTAATAAACATTCTGTAGTCTAAAGAACAAGGTCGTGTGTATGCTTACTTTTTTTTTTCTCGCAATGATTTGTTTCTTCACTTCACATTCTTTTTTTTTAAATTTTGAAAAATGTAATGAGTCGTTATAGTTTATTCAGAAGCGATACCTTAATGAAATATCGGCTTTTAAGCAAATTGTATTCATTGTAATTAATGTTCCCGTTCTTTATGCTCATGTTTGTTAATGTGTTCTTCAACAGGCTTAATTTAGTCTACTAACTTGTCAAGATATTCTAGCATTTGTTTATATTGTGTATGATTAAATGTATATAAATATGCTGTGTTTTCTTATAAAAATAATTGATAATGGAAATGATTCAATTACAATGTAGAGAGTATAACAATTATACAAATACATACTACAGAGATCCCATTGGTTTAATCATCTTGAAATGTAAACTCTATTATAGTTTAACCAATGATACTCTTGATAATTAATAGTTGTGTATGGTTGTGAGTGTCACGTGAGATATTGCGGGATTTTTTCTTTTTTCATTTTCGCTGTTTGGTCGTTGAGGGAGAGGACAAGTGTAAAAAAAGAAAATACTCCAACTGATGTTGATCTTCTTCTTCTTCGTCTTGTTACTACAGAAACGATTTGAACAAGAACGAAGCGTTTTTCATTCCAAACTGTGCTCTAGTGTCACTAGATAGCAACCTACTAACCTTTGATTCATATCTAGCATGATATTATTTATTAAATATATACATTGTTGATTTTGTTTGTTTTATTAAAAATTGAAAATTGTAGAATTTAAAGTCACGTTGAAACATAAGCACATATGTTCTATTCTACTCTCTTATCTAGTGCTATTACATTAATTGACACCTTATCTACTGAACTATACTCTGGTAATAGACCTACTGGGTTTAATCATATTTGACATCTCGGTTGTTAAGCCATTTAGTTGTAGTTTACTCCACTTATTCCAGTTCTTATCACCTCCAACAAACATATAAAGGAGATAGACAATATAGACACATGAGAGGGGACGGTTACAACAACAGTTCAAATTGCAATCACTGGGCTATCTCCAGCTATCTACATGTTTAAAACAACATCTCTTTCATGCTGGAGTTTGATAAACCAGTTGATATTGAAAAATGAGGGGTTGTGTTGATTGTTACACTTAACGCCTTTTTCTTTTTCCCCTTTTTTTTTTTCTTTTTTAAGCAGTTACTAACCATAGCCTACTTTCAATAATTGTGATTAATCAAAAACCGATGTTCATCTTGTTAGTATGATCAACTTCATAGATTAAGGTTGTTGTTGCTGAATTAGTCATTCTTATATTTTGCAGTTGACAATTGACAGTTCAACAAAGTTACTTAGTTCCAAATTGGGAAAGTTCCGGTGACCCGTATGCAGGAAATTCTGGAAGGTTTATGGAAGACATTTCTTTTTCTCTTTCTAATTTGGGGGCAGTTACAGAAAGACAAAGAAGGTTTAAAATGATGTAGCAAGGAGATTAGATGGACTCTATAATGAGGGGGGAAATGAGTTTAACATACGTGAATTAGTTGCATTAAGGAAATGCATATTTAGTATAATTGACAATTACAACATTTGGAGGGGAGAAGAGGAGATTAATCCACGCGGATGTTAGCATCATATGAGATCAACAAAGAGAAAATATCCACACCAGGTGATGATGATGGTAATGATACCACTACTAATAATAACTCGGATGGTTGGAAGTGATTACTGTTGTGTATATCATGGTTACAATCAACTTGCAAAAACAAAAAAAATATCGCAAAAATTCGGAAAAACTTTGTTTCACACAAATTTCTTTTTATTTTTGTGGTATAACAAAGGGATCGTCCGCCTTGCATTGTACAGCAACAACGGTCTGAGCTTGTTTAGTTCCACCGACCCGAGTGATATTCAGTATAAACCTATTGAGATTACAAAAGGGAAGTTAAAGATATTTATTACTCATAGCTGAATATCTACTGGTTAACTAGAAAAAAAAATACTATAAATATCCCATCAATTATCCCTCGAAAACTAAATTTCAATTATTCTTTCTTATTATTATCATCATCATCATCATTATAAAGATATATTTGATTATCTACTTATAACTATTCCACTATCAATAATTACAATGTTTGCTCAAAGACCAACTATGACTGCTGCTGAAAAAGAACAACAAATCATGCAAGAAATCAGAAACAACGCTGTTAAATATGAAAACAAATTTGAAGGTTCATTCTTAGGTGATTTCTTTTCCTTCTCAGTTAAGAAATAAATAAAACACGCTGATTGTGAATAAGTGGGTTTTTCTTATTCTTATTCTTACTTTTACTTTTACTTTGGTTTGAATTTTAATAGAGTTATGATGTTATGAATATATTCTTCTTTAATAATACATTATTTGTTATTCGGTATAATACAACAAGTTTTTATTTTAATTTTAATTGTAATTGTAAATGTATTCCACCGCATGGCTCATTCCCGAAATGAAATGAAAAATTTTTCTTTGTTATTTTTTATTTTATTTTGCAACTTTTTCTTAATGAGCTGACAATACAACACGTGAGCTGACTTGGAATTTGGGTACAAAAGTTAATGAACCACCACAAAGAGGATCACCTCCAGTTGACTCATTTACGAGCAGAGTTGGACGATAATAATCACAAGAAAAGAATAGAAAAGAAAAGCATAGTGTAACATGTTTCGTAGTAACTGTCACAAAAGATGGATTAAAACAAAGAGTTGCTACTCTTTCAGTGTAACTATATCGATAATCGGTAACACCTATGGAGCGTTAATAACTATTATAGAGGTTACTATCGATTCCGATAAGGATAATCAGATAAAGAATCATTACCATCAGATGGTTAGCCCTGTAAGAGCTTCTTCACGTATTCGTAGACTCTGACATGTGTAACACCCACTACTATCCGGTTAGTATACCATTGGTTAGTTCCCCTGTTGGTGGCACACAAGAAGAGTTATCTGATTTATCGTGATTCATTTAGTGATTGTTGAAATCTTGCGATAAGCGCAATGGGAAATCAAAATTCAAAGACAAAAAAAAATCAATCATACAAAAATTCAAATTCTCTTTTGCTTTATTGATTTCAACAACGAAGAATGATGAACAACAACAAGAGCACAGATGAATTTTATTTCTCAATTAATAGTCCCATAGGTTATAGTAAAGCACCTATTCAATATTATCCTAGAGCAAGTCCCATTCCAAAACAATCTTCACCAATATCAATTCAACAACAAGAGCAATTACTGGAATCACCAACCCCACAATTAATCACATTAGATAAATTACCCATTGAGTTATTAATTCATATCATTTCTAAATTATCCCAATTTGAAATTATCAATTTATGTCGAGTTAATAAGAAATTCCATCAATTGAGCTATCCTAAATTATTTCAAAATATAGTTGTTGATTCAAAATTTAATATATTTGATAAAGAATTTAATACTATTGGAATTACTTATATTAATAGTTCATATAATTTGAAAAAATTCATGAGATTAATTAATAATCATAAAGGAAGTGATGTCTTTTCATTTCTGTGTATTTCATTGCCCGAAGCAATTGATATTTATGATAATTGTCTATTTAATGAGTTAACTGAATTGTTTAGTAATTTTAACCATTTAAAAAGACTAATTTGGCTTTATGATATTTCAGATATGAGTTTTTATACAATTTACCAAATAAAGACGCATTGAATGTATTAATACTAAACATAAAATCAAATTCAATTAGTAATGAAATGATTAAGAAAAATTTAAATTTTAAAAATTTAACAAATTTCCAAATTGAACCATTTTATAATCAGAATTATTTGGTTAACATTGTGGATAATATATTAATGAGTAATGATAATTCAAAACTTAATGTACTTGGCTTGACAAGACATCCAGAATTACAAGCTAATCATGGTCATCATATGGATGATAGTTTTTCAATTAGAAATGTATTTCAACGAATTAATTTTCAAGATTTGGTAGTATTATCATTGAATGATATTATTGTTAATGAAAAAGATGGGAAAATGTTGTTGAAATCTGTTGATTTGGAAAAATTGAAAAGCTTACATTTACGTGGAGTCATTGAAAGATCAAGTGTATCATCATTCCTTATGATAATTGGTGAGCATTTAATAAATCTAGAAAATCTATCACTAGATGTTGAAGAATCTATGGAATATCTACCCGATTTCTTATCATTGATCCCAATCTTGTCCAGTCTAGATCTTACTATTAGAAAACAAGCCACATTTGAAACATATTCTACAGCTATAACAAGACACAAAAAGAAATTAACAAAACTTTCTCTAGAATTGCTTAATTTAGAAGATAATCTACTCAATGATATTCCTGATTTGTTTTACTTGTCATTATCACGACTTACAGAGTTAATAAGTTTAAGAATCAATAGTAGCAATAATAGTTCACAAGAACCAGTGGGTTTATTAAGCTTAGTAGCATCATTATCCAATTTAAAATTTCTTGAAGTATTTGGTAATAAAGCTGGGGGAATGCCTAATTTAGGATTAGATATGATTCATCCCACAGTATTTGATGGATGGTTCAAAGTTCAACATGTTGTATTCATATATTTAAGACAAAATAAACAGTTGAAATATGTTAAAATCAATGATTGTTTATTTGAATGTGATTATGATCAATATGTTGTTTCTCCTAAAGATGGCATAGATAATTGGTTCAATATGAATGTTAGATTTAGTATGATGCTGTATTCTACTTAATATATACAAGTCCGATATCACGTGAGACACTTTACAGTTGCGTCTGATTTTACACGACTCTTACTGATTACCATGACAACATTTACTGGTACACACACGACAGCCAAATTAATTCAAAAAAAAAAAAAAAAAAAAAAACATTCGAACGAAATTCTTAAAAAAAAAAAATCAACATCTGAAATTCAGGAACGATAAAATACTAATTAACTGAAAGGAAAGATCAATCATTTGTAATTCACAGTACAGGAATAGAAATGCCAGAGGAAGATATCGATAAGAGATTAGCTGAAGAAGTGGGCAGTTTATCCACACGATTAGTTACTGCTGTTAACAAACAAGTTGAATTGGAAGAAACCATATTACATCTACGTAAACAACTATCTACAGTTCAAGATCAGAATAAGAAATTGATAGCCAATGATAAGAAATTGAATGAAATATTACCTAAATATAACCAATTGACTAAAGATTATCAGGAATTGAAAGTCAAGAAGGAAACGGCTGAACAAGAAAATAGCAAATTACAAACAGAAGTTGAAGATTTAACTGCTAGTTTATTTGATGAAGCTAATACTATGGTTAGTAATGCTAGTAGAGAAACTCATAATTTTAAAATTAAAAATAAGAAATTGTATGAAGAATTGGAAGAAAAAGATAATATCATTGCTAATTTACAAGAGCAATTACAAGATTTAAAATCAATGTTTATTAAAATTGAAGAAGAAAGTAAAATGAATCTGTATCTGAATGCAACTACTCCTAAAATTGAACAAAATTTGGAGTTTACTACTACTACCACTATCACCACCACTACTAGTACTCAAGATGATTTAAGTGAAACAACTACAAGAAGTGATGATTTACAACTTCAACCACAACAACTGACATATCAATTTCAACAATTACAAAGTATAATTTATTCCCCAAATATTTCATCAATTAGATTTGATTTAAATAATTTTAATTTGGATTTTAAAGTTTTCGTATATCAATTAATTAAACCTGATTTTCAATTAGATTTATCTCATTTGAAAAATTTGATCTTTTTTAAAAATATTTGGACTAATGAAATTGAAAATTGTATTAATCATATTCCATCAATTCCATCAAATACTTTGTTAAATAGATGGCAAAAGGGTAAAACATTTTGGAGTTGTTTAATTGATGGTAAAGTTTCAATTGAACCAGTTAAAGGTACTAATGAAAATTTTAAAATCACGTATAAAGGTAAAACTAAATTAAATGAAAAAATTGCTCCTGTTGCTATACAAGATCCTTGTACATTTTGTGGAGAATCAAGAAATGATAATTTAGAACATTGTCGATTATATCATTTTAAAATCTTTGAAACTGAAGAAAATTTAGCTATAAGTTATCCATTATGTAATTATTGTGTTATTAAATTAAGAAATTTATGTGATTTCTTTGCTAAGATTAGATTAATTAAATCAAATATTTTTAAATTGAAGCCTAATGATAAATTTGATGATTTCACAAGTACAAATGCATCATTCCCACAATTTAAAAGAACAAATTCCCTTTCTGGATCAGGTAATAAATCATCAACTAATTTATCATCATTGTCATCCAATACAAATACAAATTATGAATCTCATAATGGTTTAGTACATGATATTAAATTGGATAGAATTGAAGAAAGTAAATTAATTAAATTATATATAATGCTTCTATTAATTAGAATTAAAATTTTTTGGAGTAAATTGGGATTTTGGGATAATATAGATCAAATTAGTGAAGTTAATTTAGATGAAATTCATTATGAAACTTTTATTTATTTATTACCTCATGATTATTCAAATAGTCAAAGTCAAATTAATACTCCTAGACAATCAATGGATGGTAAAAGTTCCATTCAACAACTGCTTAATGATGGTGCTAATTCAAGAAAGAGAGATAGTACAATGACAAAAGAAAGCAAGAAGGAAGAACAGCCTGAAAAGTCTCCACAACCAAAGGAACAAGCAGACCAACCAAAAGAACAACCTGAGCAACAATCACAAGAACATGCAGAAGAACAACCCAAGGAACAACTGGGAGAACAAACACAAGATGAGCCAAAGGAAGAAGAAACAACCAAAATTTCAATTTCAAAAAATTCAATACAAAATGATGATAATGATTCAGATGATTCAGCAGAATTTACTGATTCAATAGATGATTTTGAACCAGTTTCTAAAAAATCAAACATTGAAGGTTTGAAAAGATCAAATTCAAAAAGTAAAGATTTTTCTAAAAAATTAAATCAAGAATTAGATCACACTTTAGAAATGTTGGCTGAAAATATGGATGAAAATACATAAAGTTGATCTTTTTTGTATACATATTTAATTTAATGGAAGTTTTTAAAATTCAATCACAACGATATCAAAATCACATCATTCTGTGTTGTATAATTTTGCAGCCATGTGTATTTGATTATGTTATTCATGTCTCAAATATAAATCATACATCTACTTAAGTGAATAATCATAAAAAAAAACAATTTAATCTATTGATTCACATATAACAAGTCTAACTAACCAGCTAATTAAACTAGTCTGTATCACGAGACCATCCAATACGACCATCCCACAATTCTATCGAATCACGTACATGAGGTGTTACATTCTTATCAACATTCAAATACATAAATTTTGGATATTTTACCAATTCATCATATAATACTTTGACATTCTCTTGAGTAAAATGATTACAGCCAAAATCAATAAATTTAATATTTTCACCAAAAAATGTATCCAAATTATTGGTAGTCTCAAAGAATCCACCTAAATCATTTGACTGTACATTGATTTCTTCAAGATTTGTAAAATCTTTAAATGTACCTTTTATTTCACGAATACTATTATTGAAAAGATCCAATTGAATTAATGATTTAGGAAAGTTCTCCAATTCCAATATTCTAATCAGATTGAGGGCAAGATTTAATCTTTTTAAATTAACACATTCTTTTAAATTCAGTGCTTTAATCCATGCTTCATTTATTCCATTACAATCAAGATCAAGTGATTCTAATCCCACAGGGAACTCAAAGCAATCACCAGAATAATGCCCCAAATAATTTATCGCAAATTTCAAATCTTTTATACTACTAGGTAAATGTTTAATACCATTAATACGATTAACACCCAAGTCTAAAACCTCCAATCCAGCTGGTAATGTAGGTGAAAACTCATTTGTGAAGTTCCCTTCAAAACTCAATCTCTTGACTGATTGGGGAATACTTACATTAGAATCATCTAAAATAGCACAAAATTGACCAGATATTTTCAACTCTTGAAGATTAGATGCTGATATAAAAAATCCTGGTGCAGTACAATCTATAATTTCCAATTTCAACAAAGATTCCGGAAAGTCAAATGAAAAATCCTCAATTTCCTTCAAGGATGAAAGTGAAAGTTCACGAAGATTTTGGAGATCAAGTAATTGATTCAAATTAAACTCATGGATGTACATACAATTTAATGTAAGTTTTGTTAAGTTCACTGGAAGATCACCATATAAATATAAATTAGTAGCAAATTTAATTTCTAATTCCGAAAGTTCAACAAAATCTGTATCTTCAAAATCTAATGACATGTCATAATTAAATTCACGATTCCCTATTAATTGCAACATTCTCAAATTTCTAGGTATAAATGATAAAATATCTGAAACCAGTTTTTTACCCTTTGCCATGCTAATGTGTGAAGTAGCACTTACTCCAGATACAGAACTAACGACACTATTAGAATCGGAGTCAATTATTTCCCCATATGGAATCTTCAAGTGTTGTAATGTTTGAGGATATGGCTGTACCCATGTATTTGTAGGATTAACTTCTGAACCAATTTTAGACACGTGCAATTTAATCAAACATGGACACATTTCCTGTAAATTGTTGATTGGTCTCATATTTTCATCAATAGTTAAGAGTTTTAGATTCACTGGGAGATTTAATGCAAGTTTATCTCCTTGCTTAAAATCTTGTTCGATTTCAAGTGTTTGAAGTTTCTCCATTGACGCAACATCAAAATAAAATTCTTCATTAGTAGCAACCTTGATATTAATTTTTAAAATGGTTAAACTATCAGGAAAATTAAATTCAAATGGTTCTCTCAAAGCTTCTAAAGTGCACGTTAACGATTTCAATTGACAAGGAAGATATTTCATATTTTCTTGCGTCAACGGTTCGAATAACTCAAGTTTTGTCAAATTTGGAAATTGTAATGGATTAGAAGATAGTTTCTTTAAATCAATTGGCGAAAATCTTCTTTCAACAAAATATGTCACATCCTTTGACAAATTAGACATTCCATCAAGTTCTAAATAATCCAAGTCAAAAGAATGAAGTTGATCGATTGGAAACGGATTATCCACATAATTTTCACAGAAAACCTTCGTTAATGTAGAAAAGCGTTCAATCATTAAAAATGAAAGTCCAATCTTTGCACCTTTTAAATATTGAGGATACTTGGTGACAAATATAATTGCATCCAATGGTTGAGTAAAGTAAAACAATTTTGGTCTAATTGCTGGCGTTGATTCCAAGAACGCAATACACTCATTCACATTTCTCACAACCAAATCCGTGAATTTTCGATTCCTTTTCATCACCTCAAATATCGCAGCTCCAATATATAACTCTGGATACATTGAATTCAACACATAATTTCGAATTGGTTTGATGTCAACTAGTGGACGTAACGATTCATGAGGAACGTAGTTGAAAATAATCTGAATGATCTCATTTGGTAGATCAAAGAACTCAATCATTGTAGTAAGGTAAATACAATAAGTGTATATCTACCAGACGAACGTAGTTATTGAAGTTATCAGCTGTCCATTGAAAATGTATTCTTTCATGTATTGGTTGTCGTCGATCTCAAAAATTATTGTCAATATTGATCAACGACACGACTATTCAAAAGCGCAACCGATTTGCGTTTAAATAAGTGTATAAATGAATTATTGATAACACTTAATCAAGCGACAATCAAAAATGGAGTAGATGATAGTCTTGAGCGAAATAACAGTGTCTTACCTCAACAGTATCAATAAGACAGACTTGCTGTGTTAAACAATAAATAGATTCTTGCTGCATAGTATGAGATGATGGTAATAAAAGTGCTGTGTATTCAACTCAATTATATGCCCATTTTCTATACTAATTGTAAAAAAGAACTACATACTCTCTTCACCTAAATACAAGAGGACACTAGTTTGTTTTTATACACAGTTATTAAACTAACCGGCTGATTGCACTAGCCTTTTGCACGAGTCTATCCAATACGACTATCCCATGATGCCAATGGGTCATCTGAATAAGGTCTTAAATCTTCGTCAACATGTAAGTGTGTAAATTTTGGATATTTTACCAATTCATCATATAACACTTTGACATCCCTTTGAGTAAGAAAATTTCTGTATAAATCAATATATTTGATATTTTCACCAAAAAATGAACCCAAATAGTCTTTATTCTCAAAAAATCCACGTAAATCATTTGGCTGGAAATTGATTTCTTCAAGGCTTGTAAAATCTTTAAATGTACCCTTTATACCATAAATACTATTACCGCCAAGCTCCAACCGAATCAATGACTTGGGTAAATGGTTCAAATCTAATACTTCAATTTGATTATTATAAAGATTCAATATTTTTAAATTAACGCATTCATTTAAATTCAGTGCTTCAATCCATGCGTCATTCACTTCATTACCATCAAGATCAAGTGATTCCAATCCCAAGGGGAACTCAAAGCAATCGCCTGAACAACTACTCAAATTGTTAAAAGCACAACTTAAATGCCTTAAACTGTTAGGAAGATTAGTAATACTTTCAAGAGAATTAAAGTTCAAATCTAAAGCCTCCAATCCATTTGGTAATGTGAGTAAGAATTGGTTTATAAACCTCTCTCCAGAACCCTTTAGAATCAATCTCTTGACTGATTGTGGAATAGTTACAATGGAATCATCTAAAATAGAAAATCCTGAACCTGATATTTCTAACTCCTGAAGATTTGGAGAAGTTATGTAATAATTTGGTAAATCACAATGTGTGAATACCAATTTCAATAAAGATTCCTGGAAGTCAAATGAGAAATCACCCACATCTTTCAAGTATGAAAGTGAAAGTTCACGAAGATTTTGGAGATCAAGTAAATGATTCAAGTTAAACTCGTGGATGTACATACAATCTAAAGTAAGTTTTGTTAAATTTGGTGGAAGGTCTCCATAGATGGTTATATTACCAGCAAATTTTATTTCCAATGCATAAAGTTCGACAAAATCAGTTTCTTCAAAGTCCAAGAACATGTTGTAATCATCTCTATCATTCCCTTCTAGTTCCAATGTTCTCAAATTTCGGGGTAAAAACGACAAAATATCTGAAACCGGTTTTTTACCCGTTGCCATGCTAATGTGTGAAGTAGCACTTACTCCAGATACAGAACTAACGTCACTATTAGAACCAGATTCAAATATTTCTCCAAATGGAATACTAATGACTTGTAATGTCTGAGGATATGACTGAACCCATGTATCTGTAGGATTAACTTCTGAAAGAAATTTAGTCACGCGCAACTCAATCAAACATGGACACATCTCCTCTAAATTGTTGATAGGTCTCATCTTTTCATCAATAAATAGATTTTTTAGACCAGCGGAGAGATTTAATGCAATTGCTCCCCTCGTATTAGAATTTTGATCTACTCTTAATTTTTGAAGATTTTTCAATGAAGAAACATCTATATTCAGTTCATCTTTCAAACGATCTCGAGTAAAATTAATTTCTAAATCTGTCAAACTACCAGGAAAGTTATATTCAGACGAGTCTCTGGATTCTTTTATTGTACATTTTAAGGATTTCAATTGACGGGGAAGATATTTTAGATTTTCTTGCATCAAAAGTTGAGACAAGTCTAGTCTGGTTAAATTTGGAAAAGAAGACGGAACTGAAGATAATTTCTTTATATCAATTCGTTTTTCAAAAGATTCACACAAAAATGTCACATCCTTTGACAAACTTGACATTCCATCAAGCTCTAAATAATCTAAGTTGAGATAAAGAAGCTGATCGACTGGAAACGGATTATTCAGATAATTTGCACAAAAAAGATCCATCAATTTTGAAAACATAAAAATATGATGAAATGAAAGTGCAATCTTCGCACCTTTTAAATATTGAGGATACTTGGTGGCGAATATAATTGCATCCAGTGGTTGAGTAAAGTAAAACAATTTTGGTCTAATTGCTGGAGAAGTTTCCAATAATGTAATGCATTCATCCACGTTTCTCACAATCTTGCCAGTATCTGTTCTATAATTTCTTATTGTCTGCAACAATTGAGCTCCAATGGATAACTCTGAATACATTGAATTCAATACATAATTTCTAATTGGTTTGATGTCAACTAGTGGACGTAACGATTCATGGGGAACGTAGTTAATAATTCTTTGAATGATCTTATTCGGTAAATCAAAAAACTCAACCATTGTAGTTAAGTAAATGTGATAGGTATATATCTACCAGATGAAAGTAGTTATTGAAGTTGCAAGTTGTGCTGGCAAGAAGAAACCAGTAGTGGGTTGGTTGTTGATCTCGAAAATTTTTTCATGGAAATTGACAAACGACTGTCACTGAAAAAGATTTTCTCTTTAAATGTGAACAAAACACACTACCAAGCGTTCTGCTTGAATAATGCTAAAATATACAATTCTTGAAACCAGTGCTTGAGCAGATAACTTCTTAGGGAACAGTTGTATTCTAGATACTTGTCGATAGTTAACTAACTACAAATTAGAAAGTTAAGCGACAAGGCCAATTTATCACTTACGATAAATTGTAGTCTGAAGACATTCACTTACAATGAGTGAAATGTACTAAAGTAAAGGATAGAAATACAATAGTTATAAAACACTAATTTATATTCAAAATTCCTTAATCCTATATATTCTAAATCTCTTCAAGTAGGAAGAAAATCCTCTCTATTTATAGACAAAAATATAGGATGTTTGCAATCAATAAACACAATTATTTGTCACCGTTACACTACCAGCCATTGGTGGTGTATACGGCAACATTTTGTGAATACAGTCGTTGCAGTTTTATTTCGCACTATATAGTGTGAGAATAATTTTCAGATCAGTGAGTCAAAATTATTCGCACTATTTGCAAAGAAAAGTTCATATTAAGGCGGTCAATATTTTTGATACTAGTGCGCAAAAAATGTTCATATTACGTGACCTCTATTTGTTCATACTAAAAATGTATGATATATGATATGAACAAGAAAGGGCAGCTAGTTTGAAAGTATTTTTTTTTCCTAGTGTGAACATTTTGACTCCATTTACTATGAACAATTAATCTCCCTTACTATGAATTAAATTGTCGCACTAGTATTAATAATTTCTTTGAACTTGGTACAAACTGAAAGTAGAAACACTGTAATCACTTTTTCGGTGACAACGACACGACTGAATGTTTTACTTATAAAAGTGTAAACTTCTTTTGCATCGAACCTATTGGTCAAATGAGTAATAGATTACATTCAACCGAGCGACATTCCCAATCAACAAGTGGATAGTCCTGACTAACATAGTCCCGACTTCCAGTAATGGTAGGTGTTAATAACAATACCAGCTTGCCAGACTGAGGTAAAAAAAATCAACTCCTAGCTAGTATGCAACGTAGAGAGAGAGACACCTACAAAAAAAAAGATCAAAACCAAAAATCACCAATCTTTTACTAACTAACCAGAAACTATACGTACCACATGTCTCAACAATACTCAAAGTTACAGGATTCACAAGTATGTCGAAACCGGTATTCCATTAAGAATTGATTAGCACCAATTACTAACAGTTGTACACTAATATAGCCTGATCTTTTAGGAAGTGAATTCATTCAACCTGATGGTATGTTCAATTTTCTACTTCCTTGATAGTCAACGTAATACATTTACTAACTATAACTTTCATAGAACCAATTCCAACAGATTCAGCTCCCGAGTTTACCACACCATTAAACCCATCCCAACCAACCAGTAATTCCTCCAGACCACCACAATCATCAGGAAAATCACATATGTTTCAAATGAATTTTTATAGACAATTTTTTGATCTTGATAGTGATGTATTTTTTCAAAAAATTCAAAAATCTTTAAATCCATTGGCACATCTCGATGAATCAGAACCATATCCTCATGAATTATACGGATTTGTTTGGATTACTGGAACATTGATTTTTTTAATGTTTGTTAGTTCAACCGGATCTCATTTACTAAATCAATGGCTTCGTGGTAGTCCAGATGAACCGTATGCTTATGATTTTGAATTATTAATTAAATCAATTAGTTTATTTTATGGGTATAATTTTGTTGTTCCTGCTTTGCTTTGGGCAATGACCACTTATTATAACAAGTTCCCTGAACCACTTTCTTTGACTAGAACAATTTCTATATATGGATATACTAATGTGTTATGGATCCCAATTACTTTAATTAATGTTGTCATTGTTGTGTTTGTTAATAATAACAAGCATGGATACATTTTAAACGTTTTAGAATGGACTATTGTTGGAATCAGTGGATTAATTACTGGATTGAGCAACTTTAATAAACTTGGACCTATCATCAAGAAGAATTGTTTGATGCTTAGCGAGACAGGAAGTAAATCTTACTATATTATTGTTGGAATTTTAGCAGTTGTTCATTTGGCATTTGCTGTAGTTGTCAAAATCAGTTTCTTTGGTATCAAAGGAGAGAAAATGAATTGAGTTAGTTCATTGACAACTAGACCCATTTCTTTTTGTATATTATTAGATTAGCTATAACATATATGCATCAAGTAAATTCTTATTCACACTACTACTGTTACCTGTTGAATCGGTAGTTTTAGATACCTTGTTTTTGCTCGGAATTGAGTTTTGAACCAGGTCACTCTTCAACGGAATCGGCTGGGCAGTTACAGTTTTATCATCACTCAACTCTCCTCTTGTATCCCTCATTATATACTCCGGATCAAATTCAAACTTGCCTTTAGTTTCTTCCAATTGGGTTGTAAATAAAGCTCCAGCAAGACAAATAAAAGTAACTATCAAAAACAACCATCCATTTAATTTCTCCAATAAGAATGGGAATGCCAAAGAAGTACATGCTTCAAACAACCAATGTAAACTCATAATCACAACCCAACCTTTAATTCGAGAACTACTTGAAAAGTTTTCAATTATATACAACCAAGATGTAGGTACTAGCATTGTATAGTAAATAACATCAAGAAACGCAGTCAATGCTAAAATCAAAGAAGCCTTTTCATCAAAAAATCTCACTTTAATAATCCAATCATATGCCTGTTGTGTATAATCTACTGAAACCTTTTCAGAAAAGGCCAAGAACACAATCATATAAGTGACCATAATTAGCAGTACAATAATCATGCCAAATACTAAAACATCCTTTCTTCTCATCATATCTAGGATTAATATAGGAGCCGTTGAAAATAAAACCCGAACAAGCAAATCAAACAATGTTGCTGTTTTCAAATTATCACCCTCTATATTACATGATTGGCAAATATAATCCAAACTCTCCATTATCTTACTGATGGATGTAAAATCAACAAAGAATAATAATAAGATACCCATACACACTTCTCGAATGTATTTCTTTCCAAATAATCCATTGAGGGAACAACTTTTAATGCAAACGCCAGTAGAATACTTTTTAATCACATAATGTTTATCTCCTAATCTGGTTCTTTCTTCTTTATGTTTCCGTTTCTCAAACCCTGAAGAGTTCTTAACTTCAATCAGTTCCAACACATCTGCCGCAGTTTGCCATTCGGAATTCGCAGCTAACCATTTGGGAGATTCCGGAATGAATATTATGGAAGCAGCAGCAACAATCAATGGAATCACTTCTATTGCCCAATGCAACCTGGAATACTTTGACTCATTCAAAAAGTTTTCCGATATCAATCTGATCATGTAAATGAAAAGACTGCCCAATGAACAGGTAAAAATGAAGATTGATAATATTCTTCCTCGATTTCTATTGGGGATGATTTCATATTGGTAGATTGGTATGGTCACAAATGACATACCAATTGCAACACCATTGATAATCTTTCCCATCATAAACATGGTTATTGTGTCCAGAATGAAAGTGAAAATAATCCCAATTATCCAAATGACAGAAAGGCATTCCATCGATCTGATAAAACCAAAATGTTCAGCTATTTCACCCCCAATAACACTACCCGCTACAACAATAATACTGTTAGAAATATATCCCGAATTAGACTTAGTAATTATAAATTGGTTATTAATTACCTATTGCGCCCAAGAAATTGCTTGCTTTAAGTATGTTGATTTCCATTTTAGTAGGTTCTCTGTAAAGGGTTGCAAATAATTTTGTATGACGAACACTCAAATACGAGTACAACTCCATACCTGAAACAAAACTGAACAAAGATATGATTAATCCAATTGCATAAAAGTTGTACAACTTCTTGATTTTTGTCACTGACTTCATCTTGTCTTGCTACTTGGTTGTATTGGTTTATTGATCGACTGTCAGTGGTTGTAAAAATCAAAACCCATACAAAAAAAATTAGATACACACACAGACAACCAAAAAATTACAAAGAGCGATAAAATCATTATCGCCAATTTTTTTTTCTTCTATGGCAAAGCTATCCATCTTCATACCCGAAACACAATATTGTTGCTACACTTAGACAACCAACATCATGGACATTGACACAAATGAAGAGGAAGACAATTATGAGTTTCTCTCAATTGATAGATATCAACAGTCTAAAAAAGACGAAAAGAAATTGGTTGTGAAACAAACACTCTTGAATTCCCCTATAATTACCAATATCGTTCCCAATTTTAAAGTCCAGATCAACAAACCATTTAAAGGTCTGTCGAGTGTTTTATTTAACGATGAAGAATTTCAAACATTAATACCAAAAGAGGACGACTCGCAATTGGATGCATTTGATGATATTGATGATGAGGAAGATGATTTATTATTTCTCGGTGTTTCCACAAATCAATCGGAAACTACCCAAGAAGACAAAAATACAAATGTTACCTTACCTTCTCAAATTGAAGATATCACAGTGTTAGTGAAATACCTGTCGATTGTTGTTGATGGAATTGAATTTTCTACAAAATCCCCAATCAGATCATCTTGTGTTATAAAATCTACTGCCCCAGACCAGGAAGATCATTTACTTATTGCATTGAAATCAGGATATCTTTTACTAATTCGAATATATTATGTTCCAAGATATTACAGAGACAATGATTATTTATATCAAACACAAAAATCAGTACCGCAAGATGAAGGTAACTCCATTTTCAAACCGTTTATAATTCAGTGGTGGGACACCGGCAGTAATAATGCGAGCCCGAATTTAGATTCCTGTGGTTATTTACTACGATCTTCTCCATCTGGGTTTTCAACTGTTGCATGTGCAAGCTCTGGGATTTTCAGGCTATACATGACACAACAAATACCAAATACGAATGGGACGGTTTTAAGAAATCATATCAATATTCCCATAGATGGGTTTATAATAGATGCTTGTTTCATTAATCCTAGTTCAACAAGTATTCCAACAGACGTGTTTTTTACATTGCTATTTACTGAGAATCGAAGATTAAGTATTAATTTATTTTCATGGTCAAGTTCGGAAGGAGTTTGGCAAGGGTATAATAAGGATGTATTACCATTGGACAATACATTCGAGATTCCTGTTTTTGTCGTTCCATTAAAGAAAAATGGTTCGTTTTTATTCGTTTCTCCAAATAAGTTGACAATAATCACTATGCATAATATAATTTCTGCTCACTATGATTTTCAAGTGATCGAGTCTCCATGGAAGAGTTCATCGTTCCCAACTTCATACCATTTACCCAGTACTAGTATCTCATCATTGGAAATAGATAAAATGGATGAAGTTCTTGTCGCTACAGATAATGGAGTGATATATTTGATCACAGTAATTGAAAACAATTTTGGCAGTAGCATTTGTCCAGTAGTAAGAGTAGCAGAGAGTATATCACAATTCTCCATGGAGAAAGAGAAAGAGACAGAGAAAGTCAGGTTGATTTACACTAGTGACAGTGGAAGTTCAAGTAAAGATATATTGATTGATGAGATATACAGCAAAGAGTATTTATCTGACATATCACACGCATCAAAGTTGGCATATAGTGAAGCAAAATTGATTGAAGATTTCAAGTCCTGGGCACCCTTGATTGATATTTCTGTAATTGATAGCACCTCTAACAAGAAAGAAGGTGATGTATTACCTGATCGACAAGAGCTCTGGGGAATAAGTGGTCTTGGAAAGCGTACCAAGTTGAATCATTTTAGATTTGGTTACTATGGTGCCAGGAAGAGCAATACTTATGAAAAATTAAGAAAATCAGTTGGTATGTGGAAATTGAAGTACAAAGGTAGTTATTATCTATTATGTGCAATGCCATTTGAGTCAATTCTATTAGAATATCAGGAAGATTCAAAAGAAGCATTTGTTGAAGTTCAAGAGTCTAAATTGTTGAATAATGTTCTGACATTGTATTCTAGTGTTGTTGTTGAGTCTTATATTCTTCAGATAACACAAACTTCCATTACTATATCTGATTTGGTTTCTCAAAAGATTACAGAAAATGTTCTATTTAGTATTTTATTTGCCGATGTTTCAAATGATGTGTTGGCAATGGTTGTTGAAGAAAATAATACTATAAAATTGAAGATTTTAAGAATGGCACCAAAGGAATTATTTCAAGAGGACAATGATCTTTCAAATTATTTTGAATTGGTATTAGAGCAAGAAATCAATGGAACTCAACCATCCATGCTAAAGATGTTTTTTCGTGATGATTTTCTAGTCATATCCATTGGAAGTTTTGAGGGATTGATTATATTCTATACACTTAAAGATGGCCAGTTATCTGAGTACAATTCCTATGATTTACGACAGTACTGCAAGTATAGCCATGATAACATCATTCGATTGGACGTTATTATTCCAAATCAAATTATTGTTCTCAACGATGAAATCGTAATAGCTACGAAACAGGGATACATAATCAAATTTAAGTTCGGTGATTGTAACTTAGAATGTGTCTATTTCCTTCAATTAGGTTATGCACAAGTTAAAATAATCCCAACTAGTGATCCCAAATTACTATTTGTACATTGTGGGAAACTATGGTTGTTTAATAATTACAAGAATGAGTTGTATCCAAATCAAGTCAATTTTGATGATACATTTGAAAGACTAATGATTGAAGGTATAGAATTGGATGGCCTACAAGACTCGAAGTTTAAGAAATTGGCATTAATTAGAGACAATGGATTAGTGATCTGTCAGGTATCTACTTTTACGAAACCTTCAATTAAACAATTTAGTAAAATTGAGAATGGGAAGAAATTGATTTTTATTCCTCATATTTCGACATTTGTTGTGTTTTGTCATGGACGGAATAAAATGGTTTGTATTGATAAGAAATCCATGAAGAGTATTTCACAAAGAGAAACCAATCTTAAATCAAGACATGATGATAGTGAATATACCATTTTCCAAGATGAGGAAGTACCCCAATGTGTAAACATCTGGGAAGTGCAAAGAAATGAAACCAACAAAAGAGTATCAAAGAAATTACTTGTTGGATGTTCTAAATCTCCAACATCAGGAGTTATTAAAGTTTTGGATTTTAAAAAACTTAAACATGAAACAACAGGACAACCATTAATAATAATAACTGAACTTACTTCAATTGAACAAGATTTCCCAATTTCAAATATACTTCAATTTAAATCCCTTATATTATTCACCAATCAAGAAACAATATATTGTACATCATATAATGAATCAGAAAAGAGATTTACCCCCATAAAACAACTCAAATCACTTCCTTCAAAAATCATTTCTTTAAATGAATCAAATGATAAATTATTAGTATCAACAAATTCTGATTCAATTTATCAATTTACTGAACAAAATGGAGAATTAATATTCCATTCAAGTGATCCAATAAGTAATTCATATATAAATCAAGTTCAATTAGGTAATTTTTTAATTGCTGGTGATAAAATTCATTCAAATTTATCAATTTTTGAAAATTTTAAATTTGATAAACGTTTAAATTTAGGTGTTAGTGGTATACCAAGAGTATATTTATCAAAATTGAATAATCCTTGGGTTATAATTCAAAATCAAGATCAAAATCAAAATCTCATTGATGATAATAATGATAATGATGAATCTGTGATTTGTATATCTACAAATGGTGAAATTATAAATTTAAGAATGATTAATCAATCTGATAATGAATTAATTAATTTAAATTCACAAACTAAAACACCATTGAATAATTTGATTCAAAAATTAGAAAGACCATTTATTAATAAATTAAGTGGAACTGGATTACTATCTTTAAATAAACCAAGATTCAATTGTTTGATAAATCAAAATAATGAATCTATTGTTGATTACGATTTGGAAGAATTAAGTTCTCATGATTCAATTATAAATCTATAAACAATACAAATATATTTTGTCGAAGAATATAAAAAAAAAAGAATCGTATACTATATATTGTACTATGTAGCGTCATCAACTGTTGTTGTTGAACTTTTAGTCTTTAATCTTTGCCTTCTATATTTTTGAGCATCGGATAACAATTCCCTGTCTTTAGTTGGTGAAGGTGATTCATCTGTTCCTCTTAATTCACTCAATAAATTCTTTGCTCTAGATCCAACATTATCATTATCATTGTCCGTATCAATAGTTGTATCTTCATCACCAACTTGTGTCATTGAACTTTCATTAAATGAATCATCAATAGGAGAAGTAGCTTTATTATCTTCAATAATATCTTCATCCAAAGCGGCAGCAGTACCACTACTACTTGGTGAAGATGAATTGGCTTTTCGTCTTTGACTATCCAAGATTTGTTTTCTCATTAATGCTCTCTTTCTAGCAGACGCGGACTCTCCTTTAACAGGAGCAGCAGCTTTCAATCGTTGTAACAAACCATCCATAACACCACCAGTTTCATTATCTCCTTCTCCAGAATCATCTCCTTCACTTTCTCCTTCAGTAGACTTCTCCTTCTTTGGAATTTCCAATAATTTCTTACGTTGTTCATAAATTCTCAATTCTTCTTCACGTTTCATATTCTCACTTTGAACTCGCTTGAAATCTTTAATGAAATTGGTAAATTTAGAAATAAAGGAATTTTTAACAAAGGTATCACTAGTGTCTTCTCCAAAGTAAAGCATCAAATTTTCAAATTCCTTCATGGTGTAATTTACTTGATCCAATAATAACTCAGACTTTCTTTTAGCTCTTGGTAAATTAGGCAAGACAGTTTTCAATACTCTATCCAGAGGATGGAATTTAGAAATGTCACTTAAATTACCCACGTCAATAGAACTTTGAACATTCTTGATATTTTGAACATACTCTTTACAATCATTGTTGATATTTTCAATCGAAAATTTGGCAATTTCATTACAATTGGATAATTCATTAATAAAATCCAACAATTCAGGGTATTGATGACGGATAACCTTTTCAACATAATGCAAAAAGGTCATACTATTCTTGTCGTCTTTCATGAAACTCAATCGTTGTAACGAGTTCAACTTGAAACCTTTAGCTTGCTTAGCTGAATCATTCATATAATTACCAACAATCAAGATTATCTCGAAAACACCTTTCAAATTCTTAGAATTCTTTATTGAATCAACGGATTCATCAATAAGACGCAATTTCTTGACCAATTCTTCATAATCTCTTTCGTAATTTGATACCACTGTCAATGCACGAATTCTAGATTTCCAATAATGCTGCAAGTTGTACATCAATTCCAAGTATATTCTGTCTGGACGTTGCAACTCATTTGGATCTTTATCTGGTTTGCTGATTTCCCCATCGGTTTTATAATCAGTGGAATATGGTTCAAAGTTTCTTGCCAAAGTATTACTAACTTCAATGACTTCATCCTTACCAAAGAAATCTAAAACAGCGGCATTGTTAATAACATCTTTATCACAACGCAATACTTTCATAATAAATTCCTCATCACTTAATGAATTAAAAGCATGCAAGTTGATACTAAATTGCTGTGAAATATCTCTTCCCAAGAAAGTAATTTTATCAGCATCTTCTTTACGTTTGGTAGCCAATCTTTTGGCTTCTTTAGCAGCAAAAATAAGTTCAATTTCATCAAAAACACCCTTTGACATCAAGTCGTTAATAAATGTTTGATCATTTGATTCATTCCAGAATGAGTTTCCAACTTGACTATGATCAATTTTTTCCCAATGCAATTGTTTCAATTTCTTCTTTGGCCTTGGGATATTATCAAATGGAGATGACCCTGGAGTAGAAGCACCTCCAATGTTTTTACTTAAGAAACCGCCACCAGTTGAAGAAGGTGGGAATGGAGGAGGTGGTGGCGGTGGAGGAGGAGCGTTACTACCACCATTTAAGAAACCTGGAGGAGGTGGAGGAGGTGGAGGAGGTGGAGGAGGTGGAGGTGGTGGAGGTGGACCACCAGTAGCACCACTTCCACCCAACATTCCTGGCATTGGTGGAGGTGGTGGTGGCGGCGGCGGAGGAGGAGGGGGTGGAGGGGCACCACCACTAACTGATTCTTCTGATGACTCTGGAACAATTTTAACTGGCTCTTGAAGTTTGGTTGGGTCCCCAGTAACTGCATCATCCGGACTAGTAATTGGTTCAGTTTGACTAACTTTAGAACTCAATTCTTGTAAGAACATAGGATCCATTGAATTCATTGTAGTATTTCTATTATGTTTCTTTTGAGTTCTTGGCAGAACCATGTTAGGAGCATCAACGTGAACCTGACCCTTGACATATTTACTTTCAATTCTATCAAGTAATGAAGTTCTACTTCCATCTCTTGGTGTACCAGGAGCACTTGGGGTTTTCAATTTCTTAGCAGCTGCCAATTGTTTTCTCAATTCTTCACGTAATTGTTCAGCTTCTTTCAATACTTCCTTAGTTTTGTTTTTGATAGAGTCATCCATTGATTTTTGATTGAACTTGTATTCATCTTCATCATCTTCAATGGAGAAATCAATATTGAAATCTTTAAAACTGTTTTCTAATTCTTGTAATCTTTCCATAGCCAAGAATTTTTGTTTGTTAAACATAGAACTGGTATTATACTTCATAATATCATTTGATTCGCTTTGTAAGTTGGATAATTTCTTTCTCAATTGATCAAGTCTTACCAAATCGTCATCACGAACAGCTCTTTTTGGTCCATCAAATGGCAATGGAGGAACGATAATTTCTTCTTCTTCTTCCTCCTCTTCCTCTTGTATATCTTCTGAAGGTTTAGGTTCAGAAACGTATTCATCACTCGAGGATTGAATTTCAACTACTTGAGGTTCTTCAACAGGATCTGTATATGTCTCGAAATCAGTCATTTCTAATTCTCTGGCCATATTTTCAATATCACCCATTTGGTCTCGTAAAGCTCTTAATCTTGTCAGAGGTTCAACATGAGTTCCCAATTGACGATTGTCTAACTTGTACTCGGCACGACGACGATGAATTTGTTTCTTTAATCTCGATGCCAATTCTTCATTATTTGTAGTAACCTGTAGAGTGGTCTTACCTGCTTCTTTTCGTAATTGATTGGTTTCAAGTTCATTATTGTTAATCATAATCAATAATTCTCTCATCTCCAACTCCAGCTCTTGCTTTTCTTGCATGTATTTTGTTTTGACATGTTGAAGTTCTTCATTCAATTCTTCTGTAGACCTTCTGAATCGTGAAATAATCAAGTCACGCTCGCGAACATCATTCATCAAACTTTCAATATACCCATCAACTCCCATGGATAATTGCCTGGTCATATCATCTCTTTCTGCAGTAGCCTCTTCTGCCATTTTTCTGTACATTTTCACATCATCCAATGCTTTTCTGTACATATCATCAGTACTCATATTAGAAATTAATTTATTAATTGCAATGTTAATCGCTGTATCTTCATTGGTGGTTCTGATAGATGAGATATTCTGCACTAACCCATCTAATGCTCTTAAACTTCTCGTCAATTCCTGGGGATTATTTCGTTTATCTGACTGATTCAAAAATAAATGCTGTACAGCACTCAAGAAATGCCCTGCTGCTTCTGAATTTTTCACATTAGACCACATTAATTGAATCAAACTGACAGGATCATTAAAATCGATATCATCTTGTCCTTCTCCATCGCCAAAATCGGCAGTGTATTTCAAATCTTCTTCATCATTAGCAGCATCATCTTTATGTCTGATGATCATATTGTCCAATTCGTCATTGCCAAGCTCCTGGAATTTAGGAATAATTCTATCCAATCCTGCTGCTTTAAATTGAGCACGTAAATGTATTCGAACTCTAAAATCAGTACCATTTGCAACAATGACATTAATCAATAACATAGTCGCAATACAATATTCCACAAGATGACTTTCTAGTTGATTTCGAGCATTTATAACACTACTTGAACGGTTATAATTTCCGGCATTACCACCAGCATACGCTGACTTCAACTCTTCACTAGCTCCAACATCGGAATTTTTATATTTCCCTCTTGCATCAATAGTTCTCTCAACTACATTTAACCATAATTCGAAACGTTTAAAGTTCTCGGGAAGTGGTGGTTTTCTTGTCAATTTTCGTGGACTAGCGTTACTTTCAACCGGAGTCTCAAATTCAATTCTCGGTTTTTCTGTTATCGAATCCAAGGCTTTCAAAACTTTGTGATATCTACCATTATCATTGGCACTATATGAAATCATAAAAGTTAAAGTATCAGTAGCCAATTTTCTTGTTATGATTCTTGGTGATAACAATGACCCAGAAACTGCATTAACAAATACATCAACATCGGTTTTAATTCTTTCTGCACCCAAACGTTGATTCATTAAACATTTAAGTGACTGCAAAACATTAACTTCTTTATCAAAAATGTCATCATTAATGTCGACAATATTGCTGCGAATCATTTCATCTTGTAATTTTGTCAAATAGGCCAGTAACAAGGTATCACCTTGACAGTCATAAACAAAACTTCTAACCCAGTCGATTGGTTCACTTCGTAGAGCTATCCATAACGAACTTAATTGATTAGTTGTTATGGTCTTTGCCATTAACCATTTGGCGTATTCTTCAGGAAGAAAAGAATTCTGTTGTTTGGCATATCGTTGTTGTCTGTCGAAATCAGCTCTGGCATCCTGTTCAATCATCATCCATTTTCGTTCTATATCATAATTTAACATTTCTCTAGTTGCTTGTGGTGGTAAAGATTTAAAATTTAATTTTTCCAACAATTCTTTAAACATACGCTCGATTTCAAATGCGGAATTCGGGCGTTCTAGTTGAAAAGACGACCTCTTGAATGTATTAATAGAGGCATCGTTTGTTTTGATTGGTCTTGAAATTGAAATATTGGTAGTTTTCCTGCTTAACGGATTTGATGATTTGTCGTAGGGATTTAAAGTTGCTGATGATGATGTACTGACATGTCTATTATGTGAGGTTGAGTTTGTGGCTGGGTTTCCATGCGATGCATTATACTGTGCACTTGGTAATATAGATGATCTTATGGAAGATGGATGAGACGATGTCATTGTCAGTCTTTTGCTATTTCTACTATTTGTTGAATTGGACGATATGATACTTTCTGTGTCATTTAAAGATGAAATTTCTGAAAGGGATTCATTAGTGCTATGCTTGTCTTTACTTCGCCTGATGCTAAATATGGAGCTTCTATTGGTCGTATTGTTTCTTGACGGTGAAGTACTTTGATTGGTATTGTTATTATTATTACTGTTGTAAGCTTGTGACCGGTTCAACTCTTCATTGATCCGCGGATTTAGATTATTGCCGGATAACGAGTAGTCACTTGGTCGTTTTCTCATTTTGGATAGATCTAACTATGTGTATGCTAGCCGTGATGGGCAGTAGTTTTTGTTGATGATAAGAAGAAGTTGTGGTATAATCTTGTGAGGATTGATCTGAATAATTGAGTTGACCAATCAGCAATTTATTGAATGTGGTTGACAACAATTTGGGAGTGGGTTGTAAAAATAGAAAAATTTTCTAACTGTGTTTTTTTTTTTTTTTGTTAGTGTTTGTTCCAGTGCGAATGCGAGACAACCAGACAAGAACAACAACAACAACAACAACAACAGCAATAAAAAAATAAAATTACTGGTACGGTATAAGTTTGTGCTATGTGAGAGACTTTTTTTTTCTTTTGGTTGCCTTTTTTTTTTACTTTTAGTTTTGGTTAGTCTGGAATACAAACTACAGTGGTGATGGAAAGGGAATAAATTGTTTCAGATTTGAATGAACAGGATTAGTACAGGACAAACAGCGAGGGGGGGGCTGTATTCAATTTATGCTAAATTGGAAATTATCAAAACAGAATAAAATAAAAGGATCAGCAATGAGGTTGATTTGATTTGTAAAGAGAGAGAGCGGGAAGGAAAGACGCACACTGTGTGTGATTGAATATTTGCTGGTTGTAAAATAAAACGAAAAAAAAAGTATTGGAGGGACAAGGGATATCTCGGCTATTAAACTAAAACAATAAGTTTTTTGTTCTCTCTCTTCTCTTCTGTGGGTACGCGCTAGGTCGTAGTCGTACTGCTGGTGGCGGTGGTGGAGCAGGAAGACAAGGAGGACATGTAAATTACAATTTTAAACTTGTGTGTGTTATTGTGATGATTTTTTTTAGTGTGTGTGTGTTTTGCGTTTACTCTAGTATGCGCGTCTTTAATTTTTTTTTTCCTGATGGCGGAAGAAGGACACGTACTCGTGGGATCAGTGCGAATAATATGGCCCAAAGGCGGTGTAAGAATAGTGGTACAAAAAAAAATCCAAAAACCAAAATAGAATGAAAATTTAGTCGTAACTGTGCTGGTGATGAGAGAGTTTAATAGGAAGAAATGGGAACTAAAAAATTTATGCAATTAGCAATAGTACAATCGATGGGGCTTAAAAATAAATTATGATAATTTAACCGTAATCAGCAATAAAAAAAAAATTAGGTATATAACAAGCAAATGAGGGAAATATTTAATAGTATTTATAAACAAATAGGAATTGATTTTGAAAAATGTTTTAAAAATGTATCAAATAAGGTTACAACCACAAAAAAACCACCACAGAAACACAATATGAAGTAGAACGAATCTCGTTAGTTTATACTTTTACCAGCCTATTCATAAACTCTAGTATTTCGTTGACGATGAATAATCCATAAGTTCACGAATAATGTTTCGAAAATTTTTGTCTTTTTTTTTAATGGACACATCGGTTGGAACAAGGCGTAACATTCTTGATACTCCTTTTTGTCTCACAGTTTCAGACTTGCTATGGCTTACTTCTAAGAAAGAAAATTTTGACTCATTTATGTTTCAATATGTGTATTATTAATGATATGAGAAGTATAATGAATATCCATATTCATTGTTTGCTTTAATATAATATAATTCACTGTATCCTTGTTCTCTGAATAAATCAACATTAGATTAAAGATTGTGTCAATCGGCTAATTACATTTCTAAAAAAAAAAGCAGCAGTTTTTGGATTCTACACGACCACCTTGTAAAATAATCACTCAAAATAAAGTATACAGATTCATAATGGAAAACCTTCAACTAAAGTTGTTCCATTTTCTAACCATGTGTAATAGTAGTAAAGTATTACAAACCTATTATGTATTCATGAACAATTATTTCAGAAAAAACCTCTAATTCTGATAATGTCTCTACATCTAATTATTCAATCAAAATAACAACAAGACATATATTCAAATATAACCCCTATTAAAAATGCTAGAACTTTCAAGTGCAAGAGTTAGTAATACAATTGGAAAAACTTTCAATTGAAAGGATAAGTAATACAACTGGAAAAACAACAAAATTGAATCTATGCAAATTATGCTAATCCCAAGTCTAGCGAAATCTATTAAAACCTCACAAATATGGTCTTCTCAAAGCATATATGGACTTCTTGTTTATGCTATTGCAAATATCTATATTTTTTCTTTATTTCAAGTTCTATCGTTATTTTCTTCTTTATTTATAATCACCATAATCATTATCATCATTACAATCCCCTCTCTTTTTCCAGTTTATCCCTTCAAGGAGTCAGTTCATGTGAATTTACTTAACCAAAGAAATAAATCAATTATAATAATCTATTTTTTTAAAAAGCTGAAATAAAATAACCTTATTTATTATAATACCTGTTTCATTTCTTATAATATTTATTCTGCCTTGTTTTCTAAATAAGAAGTATAAGATAACGAGGATTAGTAATGTGTACCTGGATAAAATTCCGTGCATATAAGTTGTTGTTGATGTTAGAGTCCGAGAAAGATATATATATATATATATGGAAATATGACTTCATGCATGTCTCACTTTAATTTACGTAATCGGGTAATTTTGCCCTGGTTTGGTAACATTTACATGTTGTGTTTCAAAGGAGAAAGTTTAAAACAGGAACAAACAAAAGTGATGGCGAAGTTATAGTACAATCAATAATAAACGTTTTTGGCCCTTGTTCATACAGGTCACATTTTTGGACAATAAAATGATCCAAGAATTGTATGATTCAATGTAAAGTGAGTTGAATTTATTAATTGCAAAATAATCTGGGGATGAATTACATATAAGAATTGCAAACGTATTCTTCAATTTATGTGTCAATGATGGAGGGCAGAACTACTACAAATAAACTACTAGTAATTATCAATAATATTGCTATTTATTTATTTATTTATAATAATTTATGCTAATTGCTATTTAATAAGAATAAAATTTTCGTAAACACAGTAACTTCGTCAACTCGTAATCATAATAAAAAATAATTCCGGATACCAAAAAAAATTGGTCAACAACGGTATCTTTTACTCACCCTTACAATCAAAAAAAGGAAAATATTTACATTTCATAATCCTTCTTGACGGCATGGTAAGAAACATTATAATCTTGTTTAAGGATCTTCTTCAATTCGTCATTTTCCTTTTGCATAGCCTTTAATGACTTCTTCAATTCAACATTTTCAGCAGCCATAAAATCTTGGATAATACTACCTGCTCTTTCTCTACGTTCCAATTCCTTGTAGTCTTCATCATCTTCATATTCTTCGTCATCATCATCTTCAAAAGCTTCTTCGTCATCGTCAACCATAGCCATTTGGTCTTCCTTCTTCATGGTTTCTTCACCAGTGTAATCTTCAGAGAGCTTTCTCTTTGGGTTCATGGCACTCATCTTGGATACTAATAATATGGGTTGTTGTGATAATCAATAATTGGTTAGATTTGTAGTAGATACAAAATCTTAAATATAATAATCGGTTTAATAGGAGGGGGTTTAACAAATTGTAATAGATATATACAAAATGTATTGATGTAGGAGAAAGAAAAAGAAGAAGAATTTGAAAATATGAAGGGAAAGGGAGGAAAAAATTCTGAGTATTTATAGTTTTCAGAAATAGATGGTATCATTTGTTGGCTGAATAAATTTGGGGAAAGAATAAAAACAACAATTATTTTCTTGCAACCAATAAATGAGGAGAACCGTATAGGTTCTGTCTTTTTGGCAGCGATTTTTTAGGGAGGGAGAGAAACAATCGGAGAACCAGAAACCAAAAGAAAATTCTAACCAGTCACAAATAAAAAAAATCTCCCCACATTTTTGTAAAAGGGAGAGAGAACAAAAAAAAGAAAATATGCAATCATCATCATTATTGGAATCATTATTATCAACAATATTATTCACTCTGTGTTGTCTCCTTTTTTTTTCTTTGCTTTTTTTTTTACAACATCGACAAAATATGAGTTGATTAATTTGATTTTTGAAATCAACCAATTCATTATTATCTTTTGTTTTTTTAGTTTTTTTTTGTATTTTAGTTTTCTTTCTAATTCTAGTAGTAATCACCATCTTTCAATAGAGTATAATATCACTAGGGAGACACAGTGGTCTTGCTATTTTGACAGAAGTGATGTTGTTCTTATCGTCACACAAAAAAAATATACATATAGTACAGAATGAAATTCTTACAGGATAATAAAGTAGTGTGAGTGTAAACAGAACTGGATCGTTGTTATTCTGTCGATATTGATTCTTTTGCTGTTTTAAGAATTACCTGAAATGCGTAATTGAATAAGAAGAAGAATTTCATATCAAACCCCAACAATCGTAAGACTTTAGCAGATTAACATGTAATAAATCAAAAAGAAATAATATTAATAAACTTAATGAAACGTTCTATCCAATAATATACGCCACCCATTTAAACCCAACCCATATATTTTTTTATGTTCAGTTTCATCTCCACATCAACTCCCTCCTCCCCCAAATCATTCACTCCCAACATTCCAGATCATTTCAGATGAATTTCTCATTTCCCCACGGGATTCTGATTTCCATCTCTCCCCGTTTTTCTTTTTTAGTTTGTCGACTAGATAGTGGTTGCAAATGATTTCCAGTTCTCGGAGTTTACTTCTACAACACCACAAGCATTTGATTCCTTTTGATCTAGAGACTAATTTTTGATTATGCCAAAGTTGGTATATCCCTAAGGGGATATCAAATCAGAAACAACATTTGGGTCAATCTTGTCATCGTTTACAGTAATATTTACATATACAACTTTGTATAAAAAATCAAGTAAAAATTAAATCATACATTGAGAATTAGCTTTAGCATTTTTTTTTTCTTTCTAAGTAAACAAAGAACATCGTTGTTACATTGCATCTGATCTTGATCCATTTAAATATCTTGTGAATATCATGACCATGTTTATACCAGTTAGCAGTACAAACCAACAAAGGGGTCTATTAATTACTTCCAGTATCGGGAAATTCAAAGTTGGAAGAATCAGGAAACGCGTCTTAAAGTGATCAATTATTCCGGACCTGTTGCATAACTTACACCACAATTAAACAAAAGACGGTGTTACATAAACTCATTTGAAGTGTCATCACTCTTTATTCTTTTGCTCTATATCTTTAAGAAATTGTTGTAATGTGGGATTCTTTCTTGTAACCATATATAGATCCAGTGGTTCCACTATATCTCTACCAGCATGTTGACAAAATAATTCCAAATCTTCACCAAGATTTATCAATTGATTATACACCAATTCTACCAATTGTGCTATGAATGTTGGGGTTGCTATTATACCATGATCATTTGTAGTGTTTTCTTCTTGTAGATTCAATTCTTTTACTTTTTCTTCAACTATCTTGGCAACATGTAAATAGACAGCTGATTTTAGTTGCAATGCTATTTCTTCTTTAGATTGTTGCTTTGGCATGGTATGTTATTGTTAACAAGTTTTAGTCGTACTTGCTGTTGTTGTTGTTGTTGTTGTTGAAAGAGACGTGTTTCGATGGTCTGCTGCTCTTTTGCTATTAATCCTTTTTTTTCTTACCTCACTGTTTAAAATCACATTGCAATATTAACCACACAAAACTATCGCTTGCTGGTCGTGTCCCCAATACAACAAAGTCAAGTTCCGTGTCGCAAAATTTCCATATCAGAAAGGGAGAGGAGGAGGGGAGGCAAAGGGAGGGGAACAGACAGTTAATTAATTGCCACGATCGGATGCGACATTGAAAATAATAATTCCCAAGATTAAAAAAACAAAGTAACAAGAAACAACTATGAATCTTATATATAATCAATCTCTATGGGCTGCGATTTACTTATTCTCTTGATTGATTATACAGTTCATCAATCAAACACCACACGTTGTACGGCCCAATTCTCGGGTTTATTTCGATGATCAGGATTAAATTACCGCTCAATTAAGATTTAATTGACTGATCGATAACACAAAACGCCGCTTCATTCTTACTCAAACAAAAAGAAGACAATTTCATAACCCCACGGTCAAAATTATTTGTCAATTATCATGATTAAAAGAAAAAAAAAAATTTACTGCCCACCATATCTTGCAACACTTTATCGACGATATCAACATGTAAACCATTCATTCCATCTACAATTGATGGAATTGTTCAAGGAGAAGATCAATCAATTATCGGTTTATGATCTCCGACGTTAGGAAAGTTATTTTTGGACGTTTTCTCGCATTGTTTGCGGTGTTATTGCTACTCCACCCATCCATACATACATAGATACATAGATACATACCACATAGTGAAAAATTTTAACCCTGCATTGTTCCTGTCTTTAGATAATAACAAAGACAAAATAGAATCGATCGGAGAACAACAGAAACATTAATTAACCCAAACACTTTGTTCCATTCTTGTTATCCCACAACCCACAACCCACAACCCACAAACCCTGAATAGTACCATCTCTTGAATATACTTCTACTTCTATCATATATGACAAATAATTTTGTCTACCACACGTTTCATTTAAACCCAAAAAAAGAGAGACAGAAAAAAAAGGAGAAGGAGAAGGAGGAGGAGGAGGAGGAGGTTAATAAATATTGAGCATACGAACAAATACAGTACACATACAGAAACTCAACTCAAATCTAACAAGGAAGGAAGGAAGGAAAAAAATTATTCGCCCTTTCTTTTCTTTTCTTTTCTTTTTTTTTTACTTGTTAAATTAATCTCAAGAAATTTTTTAATTTTTTTTTTTTTTTTTGTTTTACAACAAATTTTCATTTTTTTTACAACCAACATCCAGTGTTTCAATCCTGGAAATTCATTAGACGTTTCCAACCATGGCAACTGTTGTTAGTAATAATCCTAACACAGCTAATAATGATAACCCTTCAGTGCTATCAACAACTCCGTCCGATTCTTCATGTGTGAAAACTAAAAGAGGAATTTCTTATGTCTTGGGTGATTCCAATACAAATGAAAACCACATTCTACCGATCAATTCAATTCAGTATTCTTCTCTTACTTCTCAATTATACACTGCCGGAAGAGATGGAAATATCAAAATATGGGAAACCAATAATCTACAAGAATATCCACTGGATTCACATCCGGACTCATATCCGGATTGCTTGGATTTAGATGAAAAAATATTACGGTTGGAAACTTCAATTTCTTCAAACCCAATAGCCTACAAATCATTAAATAAGAATTCCACATTTTCAATAACAAAAAATCATAATCTTCATTTCGATTGGATAAATGATCTACAACTCATCAATAATGACAAGAATTTGATTTCATGCTCAAGTGATCTATCAATTAAAATATTGGATTTATTCACTCTTGATAATAATGGCGATTCATCATCTGCAATACATAAATTACCCAATCTTCATACCGATTATATCAAGAAATTATCTCCATTTAAAAACCAACCAACTATAGTAAGTGGGGGATTAGATGGTCGAATGGTCATTTGGGATTTAAATCAATTGAAGCCATTGCAATCTTTGGAAAATAGGGCCACGGGTAGTTCTGTCACTTCAATTTATTCATTAGCAAATAACAATTCAAATATCATAAGTGCTGGTGGTCCAAGTAATACAATTAATGTGTTTGATAAAAGAACCGCCAATCCATTTATTAGAAACTTGATTGGACATCAAGACAATATTAGGTGTTTATTAATGAATGATAAATTTATATTAAGTGGATCTTCTGATACAACTGTCAAACTCTGGGATTTACGTACCTTTAAGGTTTACAAAAACTTTGATATTCATGACTATTCTGTTTGGTCATTATATAGCACAGACAATGAGTTTAAGAACTTTTATTCTGGTGATAATGATGGGAATATTGTGAAAACAGACTTGTCAAGACTTTTCGCTCATAACAAAACCAATGAATTTGGATATACTGTCAACGAGAATACTGCATTGGATGAAAAATTGGGAATTTCAACCTTTGTCGCTAAATGTTCGACTCCTATTTTATCTATTTGTCATGAACTGAAAGAAAATACATTATTTGCAACCAATTATCAATCATTAGATAGGTTTGTTATCCCTGACACGTCACAATTATCACAATATCAATATCTACGACACGGGTTAGATTATTCAGTCAACAGAGAAAACTCATTCCCTGATGATTCTTTAATCAATGATGTTCAATCAAGTACTCAAAATGACGATTTGAATTCAGATTTTTATGATTTGATTAGTCATTTATCAATGGATACTAACCCAAATAATATTGATTTACAAAGTACATTTAGTCATTCGGCATACCCAGATGGAACACCTCCTACGTTAGATGATGATGACGCCGAGTTTGAGAATGAAGAAAAGGATGAGTACATATCAATGTTTTTAAATATAAATGGTGGACCCTCGTGTGAATTTATAAATGCATATAAAGAAGAAGAAGAAGAAGACGGACAACAATTACAATTAGAAAAGAATAATAGCAATAATAATGATGATGATGATATTCTTGATTTGACACCCGTGGAAATTTTGTTAAATCCTATTGCTGTTGAGCAAATTACCCTTGTTCCATTTAATATGATCCCAATTAATCAGTATAGTTTGGTTCCAAAAAATATCGTGGCCAAGAAGATGATTAGTAATAGAAGACAAATAATGGTTCTATATGTCAATGGTGATATTGAAATGTGGGATTTGCTTACTTGTAAAGTGTTGCGAACCTATCCTAATAAAGTACGGGACACGTTTTTATGTGGTAAAGAGTTGGAAGATCGAGTTCGAGATTTGGAATTACTTGTACAATCTCATCAGTCGAAGCAGACTTTAAATAATTGGTGTGACGTGGAAATCAAGTCAGGAAAATTGTTGGTTACAATAAAGGAGTCTTCATTTTTGAATGTGGAAGTATATTATGATGATTTGGTTTCACTGTATCCATTTTTAGATATCAATAATACTGATAATATTGGAAGATATAAGAAGAATAAGCCTGAAGTGACTGATGATGATAGATATTACCTTGGGATTATTATGTTGAATTCTATTTTCCGTAATTATGCATTGTATGAAGAAGAATTTGACGCACAGCTTCGTGAAGAGTTAATGAATATGAAATTGAATAACAAGCTCAACGATGGTACTAGTGCCAGTGCTAAGAAATTAAAATATTTTGGTAAGAAGACATCAAAGATTGGTGCATCTAATCAATCATCACCAGCTACTTCTGCGAATGCAAGCTTGGTTGATTTCCCAACATCCAATGAAAATGGGATTGATAAACTGTCAAATATTTCCGAATTTATCAACAGTAGCGAAGAGCAATATGCTACGTCTACCAATGATTATAATGATACAATTATGAAATTATTGCAAGTGAACAAGAGAATATATTGGGATAGATACAATTCACCCACGTTTAAAAGCAGTTCATCTACCAAACCAATTGAATCGATTCTTAATGTTGATCAAATAACTACCCTGTCATCAAATGGTAAGGATATTGACTTGAGATATTATCCAATTGTTGCAAGTAAACATTTTCCACCTGATTTAACCCTTCGAGTGTTTGAATATTCATCTGACTTGGGTAATTATCGAGATTTGTGTTCTTTTCAATTTAAAGACTTATCAAACTTGCGTAAAAACTATTCATTAGTGCAAGATTTGAGAATGATATTACCACGATGGGTTGGTCAACCAATTTTGTATAACAAGCATCCAGTGAAGGAGTCACCGAAGTTAACATTCCAATTAACAGAAGTTGATTATTCTACATTGCCACCAAATTTTAAAATCGGAGGTAAATCACAAAAGAAGATTAAGAAATTACCAGATGTTGAAGGATCTATCAAATTAACATCACATAATATGTTACGAGTATCAAAGATTTTGAGTTATTTAACTGATAAATTTGAATCAAGTACAAAAGAAATGAAGGACAAGAAGTTGAAGCCTGCTGATTGGTTAGTATTGGAATGTAGAGGACAAGAGTTGACTTATGATATGACTTTACAAACGATCAAGACTAAAATTTGGAAAAGCGGTAGTGATATTGAATTAACTTTTAGAAGAAAATATGATTGAATATAGTTGAATTATGTATATATATATATATATTTAACAAAATAAAACTTCTGTATACATTTTAAATACACACGACATTCACGAACGACTTTTTACTGGGGCGACATTTCTCAACGGAAACAATTTTTTTTTTTCATCTTCTTCTTCTCTTCGATGATGATATTGAAAAAAAAAAAAAAAAAAAAATTAGAAGTATCTTTTAGTTAACATTTGTTTCCGTTCTTCCAACTTAATAAGATATTAACATAACATAACATAGCATCCATCATGGACGAAACAGATAGATCTATTTCTCGATTATTTAGAACATTCAAGACCGTTAAAGAAATGGTTAGAGATAGAGGATATTATATTTCTCAGGAAGAAATTGATATGACATTAGAAGAATTTCGTTCCAAAATTTGTGATTCAATGGGTAATCCACAACGTAAACAAATGTGTTTTCAAGCACAACCAACAGGGGAAACATTAGAAAAATTTCCAGAATTAGGATCATTATGGGTTGAATTTTGTGATGAATCAAGTGTTGGTATTAAAACTATGAGAAATTTTTGTATTCATATAACAGAGAAAAATTTTTCAACTGGTTTATTTATTTATCAAAATTCAATTACTCCAAGTGCTAATAAATTAATTCCAACTGTTAGTCCAAGTGTAATTGAAATTTTTCAAGAAAGTGATTTAATTGTTAATATAACTCATCATGAATTAGTTCCAAAACATTTGAAATTAAGTAAAGATGAAAAAGTTGAATTATTGGAAAGATATAGATTAAAAGAATCTCAATTACCCAGAATTCAAAGAGAAGATCCAGTTGCAAGATATTTGGGTTTGAAAAGAGGTGAAGTTGTTAAAATTATTAGAAGATCTGAAACTTCTGGTCGTTATGCATCTTATAGAATTTGTTTATAAGTTTATTGGATGTTTGTCAGATTGTGTATACTATTAACTAAAAAAGAAGAAAAAATAAAACCAATGAATATTATTAAAGTATATTTCATGCATTGGATTGTAATCTAGCAGCAAGAACTGAATCTTGAACACCAGTCCACCAAGTCATATCTTTAAGATTAATTTGATGATTTGGTGATACATCAACACCATTTTTACCTAAAAATACAGGAGCAACAGTTATAATCAAACTATCAACTAAATTATCTCTATTTATTAATAAATCATTAATTACTTTAGCTCCACCTTCAATCATAACTGATTTAATATCTAATTCTTTTAATTTTTCCAAAATTAATTTCCAATTTTCATTTCTCTTTTCAAGTAATGGTAATTTCACATATTTCCCACCTTGATTCTCTACAATTTTTCTTGAATCATCACTTGGATTCATATTTTCATCAATTATTATAAAAGGAGCCAATCCCAAACCATCATGACAAATTTTACAAAGGGTACTTTTTTCATATTGCCATTGTGCCTTAGGATCTAAAATAATTGGTCTAATGGTACTTTTTTCATCATATCGACAATTTAATTTAGGATCATCTGCTAATACAGTACCTATACCAATAAAAATTGAATCATGTTTAGATCTTAAATAATGTGTCATTGTTTTAGTTTCTAAATGAGATAATTTAGTTTGTTGTCCTGGTTGAGCTGCAATCTTTGAATCCAATGATTGTGCATATGTCAATGTGACAAATGGACGATTGGTGGTTGTTTCTGTGTTTGGAAGATATGGATTTAAAAACGGAATTAATGTAGGTGGTAATGGAATTAAAGACATGGTTTAATATAAGAAGGGAATATAGACTAATCATGAAAACTTGTATAAATCTTCAGGAATTGAATTTTTTTTTTTAATTTTTCTCTCTGTATTGATACACATTTGAATTTTTTCAAAACAAAAATCATAAACGTGTTAAGATTAAGAACAGAATGTAGATCATTTATTCTCTTCTTCTTCTTCTTCTTGTTGTTGTTGTTGTTGTAGTTGATTACGTTTAAGTTGATCTTCTTTTTCTAATTCTAATTGTTTAATAATTTCAAAATCTCTTTTTAATCTTAATAATTCTCTAGTTTTCCAATTTTCATATTCTAATTCAGGTTCAATATCATCAGTATCATCAACTCCATCAAATTCATCGCGTTGTGTTTCTTCAATTGATGTTTCTTTTTGATCTAATTTAGAATTCAATATCTCTTTCTTTCTTTGTTCTTCCTCGACACGGGAGATTTCTTTGGTTGTTGATTGTTGTGATTTTCGTTGTGATATGAACACTGGCTTGATTATGGTTTCTTCTTCTGATGATGATGATGACGAATCATCAGACGATTCATAATAAGATGACGAGTTTTTATCTTCTTCAGACATTTTTCCTAAAAAAAGATGGAAGGAATTGTCTCTTTGTAAAGTTGTTATTTCTTCTTTTCAAAAGTGGTCAATAATATTGAAATTTTTCTGTTTGACATAAAAGCGATGTTCTACTAAAATGACTGCAATTGTCAGCTTCCACAACACATACACACATAATAAAAAAACTCGTCCCAAATTTTTGAACAAATCAACAGAATTAAACATTGCTTACCTCTCTAAATATCTGTTCATCATCATATATATGGACACTGTTGTTGCGTCAAGAGTATAGTAATTGGTAGCGGCTCTGATAGTCTCAACAAACTACAAAATACATGAATTATGCGATTAATGACTTCAAATATATTCTACTTTAATAATACTGACAAGATAAGTTGATCTAACAACAAGAACATAAATTTCTTTATGATTCGATTATGTAATCAATAATTCTCATGTACCAATATGGTTCTTTAAACTAGAGAGATCCTACCATAGAGAGGAGCCTGTCACTGAAATGCGAGTAAAACATACAACTATCAAGTGCAACAACTTGAATAATTCTAAAATATACAATTCTTGAAACCAGTGCTTGAGCAAATAACTTTTTAGGAGAATAGTTGTACTTAATATACTTCACCTTAGCTAATTAACAAGTCCAATTTTTTCACTGATGATAAATTGAAGTCTGAAGACATTCACTTACAATGAGTGAAATGTACTAAAGTGAAAAGGGTAGAAATACAACATTCATAAATTCCTTGATTCTTTAAATCATGAATAATCTCTCAAAGGGAAGTCATTGCCTTATTTATAGTTATATTTAATCAAACAATGCTTATACTAATATAAAATTATTATTGAGCGTTACACTACCATCATAGGTCGTGCGTAAATGGAAATAATACTGCTGATGTTAATTTTTTCCTTCAACGACAGAGCGAGAGCGAGAGAGACACGAACATAAATTTGCCAACTCATCTTTCTTTCTTTTCTTTCGAATTATTCTATTCCAACTATTTTTCAAATTTGTGATTGATTGTTATTACCAAGGATATGATGTGAAAGTTTGTGAAACTGTTGTTTTACATAAGTCTTCCACTATTTTTGAACTTTACTAACGACCTATCATGATTGAAAGTTTCTAGCATTATTGTTTTATTTATATCATTACTTATGAATATATATATATATATATATATATATTTGTGTGTGTTATACCAATGATTATCTGTAGAGCAACTTTGAGTTGATCGATAAATACTTCATACCACCAACTTACCACAACTAGTACTGAGTAAAACTGAACAAGGAATATACCAAATGTTCAATATGGGTTTGATATTGATCGATTAATAAATGTTTTACCAATAAATACGAAGCAGAGATTCAAAGAATACATTGACAACTAGACTTATAGTCAAATCAGAGTAGTACTTGCGTATTGAATTATACCGTTAGATCCAATTACAAGGTATATCTAATCTCCCCATCAATTCAACTGTATTACAGATAAAATACGACGATGATTAGTTAAAGTCAATACATAGCTATTTGAAACGATGAACTTGCGATTGATATTGACAAGAATGACTACCCTCTTGGATAATGTTACTTCTAGTGTACTCTTAAACCAAATCACTCTTGAATATTATCAACAATCATCATAACGTATCATAGTATACTATTATAGCCAGCTATTAATGTACTCCTATTTGTTTTCTTTTTGTTGTTTAGCCAGCAGAAAGTTTTCGTTTAAATTGTCCACGATACACTACCTTCATGAATCGGTTAAAACTCTCCAATTTGGTTTATGGCGGAGATATTGTTCATAACCAAGATTGAAGGGCGGAGTAATGAACAGCATATTTGGGTTTATACATTTATAGTTGCTATGGTTCTAACCTTGTGGCGGATGATTCAAAGCGGGGATAGGAGAATAAGAGATCCCAGTTGGTTAAAACAACAAAGTACAACACGAGATCTTTAGAATAATTTGGTCGACGCAACTTCACACGCGTAACACAAAAAGACGCGGTGTGTACTTGTGCCAATTTCCACAAGATAAATTTTTTCATCTTCATTTTCATGTTCATGTTCATGTTCATTTTACCTCGGGTATTAAATCATTCAAAATAGGAGAAGTGTCTCTCTCTTTGTCTTTCTCTCTCTCTGTGTGTGTGTCTATGTGAGTGTGAGTACTGATTAAAGTAATGGCTGCTTACACAGTAGTGGATAGATAGTGGTGTATGGTATTATTTTAAACGGACACTGCTTGAGTCATGTGACTTGTTTGTCTTTGGGGCCATCTCATCGGTTGACGTAATTTCTGACTAAGTTGACTATTCATAATGCAACCATTACAAACCAAACCATGACACACGTACACGCCCATACACGCCCATACACGCAAAGTAAGCAACGAAAATTTTTTTATTATTTTTTTTTTTTTTTTTTTTTTTTTTTTTTTTTTTTCACATCAGAACAAGAAAGTATAAACAAACCAAATAAACCACATAACCAACAACTACTTTCTTTTTCTTTTTTCTTTTTCTTTTATATATATATATCTATAGATTGATAGTTAACTAGTTATATTATTGGTCATGTCTTCTTCTTCATTACCTATTCCTACATGGGATACTCCATTTGGTATCAAATTATGGCCAATTTTTGATTCAACCATTTCAACCATTACAAATAATCATTTTATTCCATCAAATTTCCAATTTGTTCAAGGTGATTTACCATTTTCTACATTATCATCTGCATTAACTGCCATTTCTATATATTATACCGTTATTTTTGGTGGAGATTTCATCTTTAAAAAATTTAATATTAAACCTTTTGTATTGAATGGATTATTTCAAGTACATAATTTATTTTTAACTAGTTTATCTTTAACTTTATTAGTTTTAATGATGGAACAAATCATTCCTATGATTTATCATCATGGTTTATTTTTCACCATTTGTGATAATAATGCATGGACTCAACCTTTAATTACTTTGTATTATATGAATTATATTACTAAATTTATTGAATTTATTGATACTGTCTTTTTGGTTGTTAAACAAAAGAAATTAACCTTTTTACATACTTATCATCATGGTGCTACTGCTTTATTATGTTATACTCAATTGGTTGGTCAAACTTCAATTTCTTGGGTTCCAATCAGTTTAAATCTTGCTGTTCATGTTCTTATGTATTGGTATTATTTCTTAGCTGCTAGAAAAATTAGAGTTTGGTGGAAAGAATGGGTTACCAGATTTCAAATTATTCAATTTATTATTGATTTAGTCTTTGTTTATTTCGGTACTTATCAAAAAGTTGTTGTCAATTATTTTATTGATACTTTACCTTATTGTGGTGATTGTGCTGGTAGTATGATTGCTGCTTATTCTGGTTGTGGTATTTTAAGTTCTTATTTGGTTTTATTTATTGCTTTTTACATTGATGTTTACAGAAGAAAGGGTTCTAAGAAATCCAAAATTGTTAAATCTGTTAAAGGTGGTGTTGCTGCTCAAGTTAATGAATATGTTTATGTTTCTGGTAGAGAAAATACCCCAGTTCCTGCTGATGCTCCAAAAAGTGCCAAATCTGGTGTTCGTTCAAGAAAGGCTTAGTTAATGATATCAAACAACAATACTATGTTGACGTTAACTAATCAACACAATAACCTTCTCAATCTCAATCTGAAATCAAGTAATGACATTCCGCCAATTCATAAAAAGACATTATGTCTTGTTAAGTTTCAATTAATAATATTTATATCTTCCAAAAAAATTATTATAAACTAAGGGAAAAAAAACCCTATACCTATATATATACTAGATCTTTTTATTAATATAAATTTAATTTAATTTACCTTCTCTCTTCAATCTCATTCTTTCAGCAAAAGTCATTGCTTTAGCAGGAGCTGGAGCAGGAGCTGGGGCTGAACGAGCAGCAGCAGCTTCTTCCATTTCCATTCTCTTTCTAGCCAATTCAGCATCTTTTTCCTTTTGAATTCTTAATTCTTCTTTAAATTTGGCCATTTCAGCAGCTTTAGCTTTTCTAGCAGCTTCTTCAGCAGCAGCTTTACGTTCTCTTTCTTTTCTAACTTTCAATTCTTCAATTCTGTGTCTCTTGACACTTTCAATACGTTCTTGTTTAGCCTTTTCGAATTTTTCTTGAGCTTCTTTCTTCAATTCTTGTAATTTAATGGCATTAGCAGCATCAATTTGTTTTTTGAAAAATAGTATAATCTGGAACAATTCTAGCTAATCTATTCTTCAATGCAATAGCATTTTCATGATCTTTCTTAGCTTTAGCAATCTTGGTTTGTTTCATAGTTTCATAATTTTCTTTTTCTAAAACAACTTGTTTTTCAGCATCAGCTTCTAATAAAGTTAATTCATATCTTCTGAATGCTCTTTCCAAATGATCAGCTCTCTTGGAAGTAGCAACTAATTTTTCATCCAATTCTTTCTTATCTTTATTTAATTGTTCAATTTGCATCATCTTCAACTTATCAGCATCCAAATCTTTCAAATTATCCAAATCAACTTTAATAATACCCTTGGCATTGATTTCTTCAGCAATCTTTCTCTTTTCACGTTCTTGAATGGCTTCACGTTCTTTTTCCAATTTTTCCAATTTCTTACGTTCTTGTTCAGCAGCTAATCTTTCTTGTTCAGCTTTTTGTTCAGCAGCTAATTTCTCTTGTCTTAATCTAGCTTGTAATTCTTCTTCTTCACGTTTACGTTTTTCAGCAGCCAATTTACGTTCTTCCAAAATCTTGGATCTATCAGCAAGAGCTTGTTGTTCTTGAATCATTTCTTGAATACAATTAGCCAAAGCCAATTCTTTCAATTGTTGTTGTTTAGCTTCAAATTGTGGATCAATAATAGAAATAGATTGAGATAAAGTAGAAGCCAAGTTACTGATTTGAGAACGAATCAAATCAGCTGGAGAAACTTGTAATGGAGCATTGACCAATTCATGTTCAATTTCATCAAATGGATTAGATTTGAATAAAACAACACCGGATTCGTGATCAATGGTTAAAGTAACCAAATCTTCTTTAACAGCATTGACAATCAAATCTTCAACTTCCAATTCATTCAAAGAATATTCTGAATCTGGGAAAACACCTAAAGAAACCAAGAATTCCAATTTAACAGTTTGATAAACTTGAGAAACTTGTTGCAAGATTCTAACCAAGATAACTTCAGTTAATGTTGGAATATACTTTTTGAATTCGTCATCAGATTCAATAGTCTTGAAAATTTCAGTGACTTGTTTCTTGATAGTCAATGGATGGAAGTTACCACCTTCCAACAATTCAAATAATTGTCTAATTGGTTCATCAACATATTTCAAGATAGATCTAGAAACAATAGATTTCATTAAACCTTCTTTAGTTGGAACATGATGCAAGTTCAACAATGAAGACAACTTAGAATTCTTACTCTTGTGTTCATCAACATCATGAACAACTCTTTGTGGAATAGCCAAAGTAGATAAAACCAAAACAGAAGCATACTTCTTCAATTCTTCATCAGTAGCCATTGGAGATTGGGAGTACAAGTTAAAGAACTTGTTCCAAGCAGCAGCATGGAATAAAGTATTATCAGAAACAGCAAAAATTCTAGCCAAATTTTCATAATAATTAGCCATCATGTTTGGTTTTGGTGCTTTTTTAGAAGCAGTAATCAATGAATGAACATCATCAACTGATCTGAAAGATTCTTGCCATAATTCTAATTTAACAGCAATGTTCAATTGAGAAAATCTTTGATCCAAATAACGTTGAACAGTTTCAGCATCAGATAAATCAATAGCATTAGCACTACTATAAGTAGTTTTAGTTTGAGTAGTAACTGATTGCATATGAGCTCTTAATAATTCACACAATCTTCTAAATTCAGCTTTTCTGTTAAAATTCAAACAGAATTTAAAAGCTTGATTAACAATAGCAGAATAAGTAACTTCCAATTTAGAATTGTTTCTCAAAATATCTAAAACAGCTCTAAAAGCTTCCCATAAGAATCTTAACCATGGAGTAACTAATTCTCTTTCAGTACGATCAGCAGAATCAGTATTTGAAACAGCACTCAACAAAATACTTTCTGGAGTTTGACTAGTTTCTAAATCATCATCACCAGTAGTTTCAATTTGATCGATTTTAATATCAGCTTTAGCTTGAGCTTCATCTAATTTACCTTCAGCCAAATCAATAAATTTACGAACAATAGTTTGAACACTGTCTAAACCATGTTCCAGTAATTGAATGTTTTTCTTATATTGATGTAAAGCATCCTTGGCTAATTTACCTTTACGTAATTCAACAGCCAATTCAATTAATAAATTAGCAATAGGTTCTAAATCTTCAACTTGTAAATAACGAATACGTTTACTAGTGATTAATTCATATAAAGTATCTAAAGCAGCTTCTTTTTGTCCAACGGCGATTAAATCTTCAGCACGTTTTAAAACATTTTCTGGACGGAAATTGTGATGTCCCTTATGTGGTGGTGCCATCTTGAATTACTATTGGTTGGTTGATTAAATACAAAAAGTAGATGAACTGAATTGGCAGAAGAAAAATTTTTTCACTGCCAAATCGAAATGGTGAGAAAAAATTTTTGTTAGAAGGAAACAAGTCGTGTGTTCGCGCACAAATATCTCTTCACTATGTAACATACAAATACAGTACATACAAAGCAATTTATAAACTTATGGAGGTGGGAATTGGTTGGCCATTTCAATTACTGCTTTAGCCAAGTTATCTTTATCAATTAAAATCAAACTTAATTTAGGATCAATACCATATTCAGTGAAAACTCTTCTTGAATCAGTTTCTTGTTTATTTTCATTACTATATTCAAAAACTCCTTTATAATTAGCATATTCTTCTAATACTTGATCTTCCATATGGAAATAATCCATTTCTATAGGTTTTGGATCACTACTTGAGATTTTCTTCTTTTTGGATTTATTAGATTCAGGTTCTTCTTGTTCTACTGGATCAACTAATTGATAAACTCTTGATATTATTAAAAAATAATCAAATTCATATAATTCATGAGATTCTTCAGCTTTTTCCATTTCTTCCAATAACATCTTATACATTGGTGGAATAACTTCAACTGGCATGTTTATAAATCTTTCACTAATAATTAATCCAGTTTTTAATTTTTTAGAATTTTTAGTAGTATTTTCAATGCTTAATAATTTCTTTAACATAATATTAAATTCTGTTTTATTTTTAGTTTTGGTAGTAATATATTCAACTAATTTTTTAATAGTAACATTAGTTAAATTATCACTTAGATTAATAACACTTAATAATGCAAATGGATCACTTTCAATACCTTCGGTTTTAATAGAAGTACCAATTGAATGATCAGTAAGAATTAAATTAGCAATTTCACTTAAATTGAATTCACCACTATCATCACCAAATAATTGACGTAAGAAATTCTTAGTTGCTTGAAAATCAACATCAGGATTTAAATCAAAGAAATCAAAATCAACATCAACTGTTTCTTCCATTTGTTCATCTTCATTTGATTGTCCTTGTTGTTGTTGTTGACCTTCTTCTTGATTGACAACTTCTTCAGTTTCTGAATCAGTTGAACTGACATCAATATCAGAATCAGATTCTTCTTCGACTTTTCTCTTACCCATGATTATACGATTGTTGTATAAGGAAGAAGACAAGAATGATAAAATTTCAATTTTTTTTTTTTGGTTTTTTGCGGTTTTCGTTTGTGCGATGATCATCAATATCAACAACAACAACCATAACCAGAATTTCCTCTACCAACAAGAACAATAATGTCAATAGTTCAAGGATATACATCAAGTGAAGATGAGAGTGATTTACAAGAAGAAGAACAACAACAACATACTATAATTGAACCACCTACAAAAAAAGTCAAAACCTTCTCTGGAGAATTTCAATCACTACCTATAACCAACCTCCATGATGATGAAACCATCAAATCAAGGAAAATATCCAAAGATGCTAAAAAACTAGCTAAACAATTAAAAAATAAACGTTATAAAAATGGTAAATCAGATCCATGGTCACATCACTCATCATCTAATGAAGAAGATGATGATCAACAACCACTTATAAAGGAACAACAACAAGAGGTGGTTGTTGAGGTAGAAGAAAAAGAAGAATCATCATCATCTGATCCATTATTTGAACCAAGTTCAGAATATGTAGGATCTGAAGAATTTGATTATCAAGGACGTACCTATATGAATATTCCTAAATATTTATCAATTGATCTTACCCTTCCATCAGGTACAAATAATGAATGTTTTGTACCTAAAAAAATCATTCATAAATTTCCTGGACATTCTAAAGGAGTTAATAAATTACAATTTTTTCCAAATTCCGGACATTTATTATTATCTTGTGGTAATGATGGATTAATTAAATTATGGTCAATTTATGGTAGATCAAAAGATGATAACGAAGATGATGATAAAAAATATGAATTATTAAGAATTTTTAAAGGACATACAATGGCAGTTAAAGATATAAAATTTAATTCTAAAGGTGATAAATTTTTAAGTTGTGGATATGATAAAAGAATTCATTTATGGGATACTAAAACTGGGAATGTTTTAAAAACAATAAATGTTAAAGCAATACCGAATGTATTATTATTTAATCCAAAAAATGAAGATGAATTTATAGTTGGTTTAAATAATTTTAAAATTGAACATTATAAATTTTCAAGTATACAATATCGTATACCTATTCAAATTTATGATCATCATCAAGGTGGTATAATAGATCTTGTTAATTTAAAAAATTCAAATTTATTTATATCTAGTTCAGATGATAAAACTGTTAGATTTTGGAAATGGCAAATTAATATTCCTGAAAAAGTAATAACTGATCCTTCTCAACATAGTCTTCCTTCAATTCAACCTCATCCAATGGCAAGATATATTGCTTTACAAAGTATGGATAATTCAGTTAAGGTAATTCATCTGTATGATAAATTTAAATGGTATAAAAAGAAAGTTTTCCGTGGCCATCAAGTTGCTGGTTATGGTATTGAAATTGGTTTCAGTCCTGATGGGAAAATTATCATGAGTGGTGATTCAAAAGGTCTGGCTTATTTCTGGGATTGGAAAACTTGTAAACTTGTTAAAAAATTAAAACTTTGTGATAAACCTGTCAAATGTATCGTATTCCATCCTCAAGAATCAAGTAAAGTTGCCGTCGCTGGTTCTTCAGGTGAAATCTATTATTGTGATTAAATTCATAATTTATACATTACAACTCCTTTTTCTGTCTATATTCTATACATCTAAGGTTAAATTTACATAATTGAACAATGTTCTTTCTTGTACTCGTCTCTTTGACGAGCCTTTTTATGGAACGGATGATGATTATGCTTCTTGTGATGATCTTCCAAATTTCTTAATGTCTTTGGTAACCCACTGGTCTTGTGAACATCTGAAGATCCTGGTGAGCCATGTTTATGTATCTCACCAAGGGAATCCGTAGAGTCGAGTCGTACACTAGGTGCTGACATCTTCATGGTCTTTTTCCAAAATGATGAATGGGATGAATTATCACCAACAGAAATAGTGGCAGTACTATGAGTGCTGCCAGCCAGTCTTTCCTCTGATGACACTCTTTTATTTGGGGTTGATGCTTTGCCTGCTGGTGACTCTTTATCCAAATTAACAGAACTAATATGTGAATCACGACTCCATTGACTGTTTCTTCTGTATTGTGGACTTAAAGTAACAGCAGAATTGCCATCCTTGACAACATTTGGTTCTTCTTTAAAATAATTCTTATGCTCATCGATAAGATACCAATAATATTTATCTCTAATATCCCTGTATTTCGGATCAGTTGGTGAAACATTCAGAATTGGAATACTATCCTTGTGAGATTTCAGAGTAGTGCCATTGTCACCCCAATAGTTGGAGTTGGATCCCTGTGGTGGAGGAATGACTGCACTATTGATTGAAGATGCACTGCTAATATCTTCAGTGGTGACCAATCGATAGAACAACATGTATGGCCATTCAGTCTTGAAAATCTCACTAAAAGATTTCTCAACAACTCTAGCCTTCTTGTGCATATCATCATACAAATACCAATGGGCTGCATTGGCGGCTTCTTCAGTTTCATCCAAAATGTTGGTATGTTTTCTGACAACACTTATAAAATGTCCCAGCTCAATAGTATCACCACGATGACAAATAGCACTTTCTAAAATCAATCTAAATGAACCAGTATTATCATCGATATCATCGGCAACAAACTGTGGTAAATCAATGAATGGAGGAATGATGATTCTCTTTCTTGATCTAGTCCCAGCTGAAGCACCAGAATTAAAACGATATCTTTTCAAACAAATTGGCAAAATTGGTCTTCTGGTTGCAAATTCCTTGGAACTCTTGGCAATACTTTCAAGATTGTTGGTCATTAAATTATCATCAGTATAAAATGGTAATAACCTAAGGAACATCCATGCTGGTAAACTAACCTCTTTACCAATACTTCCTCTTCTTGGACGACCACCGCCATTGGCATTATCAGCCTGTGACCAAATAGACAATGTTGAAGATCTTTGTCTTAATCCGACACGAACACCATCACTTTTGAAACTATTATTTCTGGATCTGATCTTTTCATTGATATTATCAATCATTTCCACATCATATTTGTTTGACATCAGCTTATCGACAATTCTTGGTTTACCATCATCATCATCTTCTTCTTCTTCTTCGGTTTTACCACCAGTTCCAGTGGTTAATGCGGCCACATCCTCTGTAATATTTGACAAAGTTGCACGTCTTTCCAATTCACGTTTAACACTGATAGAATTATTGAAATAATGTTCTAAACATTCTTCCAACAAAACCAGATCTTCCATATTTGCATCGATGGTATCAGTTGATGCATAAGCATTTTCGTCGTGACTAACGCTTCCCTTGTCGGCAATTTCCAATATTTCATCTTCCTCTTCTTCATTTGGTATACTTACAAACAAGATTCTTTCTTTTGATATTTTTTCATCATCATCTTTATTAAACTTCCCACCATGTTTAATGTCTATTTTGAAAGTCAATAATGGCATATTCAAAGTTGAAGTTAAAAACTCAAATAAGGAAGCTGAGTCTTGTTGTCTATGACTCAAAGCTTCTTTATAACCCAATTTCATTAATGCTTCACATATTTTAATGGTTATATCGGTTGTAATTAGGTTACCGGATCTTAATAAACTGACATATACTCTTAACAATGCCAGCAATTGGTTTAACAAATAATCGGAATGGTTTGGCAAAAATAAAATTGGTTCAAAACTTTCCAAATTGGCAAACATGGCAAAAAGCAATGCATCCAAATAACACATAACATTATCCCAATTCTCCGCTCCTAAAAACTTGATAGTACGATTCAATTTATCATAACGGGAGTTAGTTAGAAATAAACCTGTGGAAGATAATTGAAACATTCGTATTAAATAATATGTCTTATTTAAATCTCCTTGGGTGAATGGTGATTTTAGAAAAGCTATAATCTCCAAATTCGTAGGTATTGGTAGTTTATTTGCAATAAAATAATTCTTTATCGTGGAAACGTCTCCTGAACGTTCAGAATACTTTAGTTGATTATAAGGTGTGTGTTTCATAAGGGTTTGTTTATCATTTACTTCATAACTGTCGATATACCATCTCCAATATGTGTCGGCAAATATGGCACATTGAGTCTCTGGGGTTGCCAGTTTATTAAATCGTTTAAACATGATTATAACTTATTGGATATTATAGTTGATTTGATTTGGATTGGGTTGGGTTGTCTATAATGTAATGTAATGTAAAATAATAATAATAATAATAAAATTCTTGCAGCAGGGATGAATGGAATTAGGGATAGTGTAAAAGGTGGGAAGTTGTGACAGAAAAATAAAAATTGCAGCAGATATTGAAATTATATGGACAAAAGGGAATTCTGTTATTTCCTTTGCTGACAATTTATACTGACTCAACTCTCAATTAGTAAATGATTAGATATATATATATATATATATATATAGGAGGGTAAATTATGAATGACTCTATTATCACCTCTAACTTTGTCAATGAACAAAACTTGATGATTCCTTGTGTTGTAAATTGGTTGTCAATTTTTTTTTCTTCTTCTTCTTCTTCTGTTGATTGTTGTCCGATCACAAATTTTTTTTTTTCTTTCTTTTGTTCGCCGGCTGTTGTTGTCCTTGTCCTTGTTGTTGTGTACCCTCAGTTGATTACACACAATTCTTTTTTGTTTTGTTCTTCTATGCAAATCTTTCTCTCCCGTACACTAAATTCATCTTTCTTCGGTTAATCTTTCTATTGCTCTGTCGGTAGGGTAGGGGGGCCGGGGTTTATGCTGGTGATTATGAGTCACGTGATTCATGATGGGGTTCATCTAATTAAATAACAAAGAGTAAATCATTATTATCATCTTTAAGAATTAAGAACAATACATTTAATACAACAGGGTTCAATAACAAGCAAAACTCATTCACTAAGGTGTAATAATGTTTTTTTTTGGTCCCACTCATGGCGTCTCACGTCTCAATCCGACCTATACCCATGCCCATACCCATACCCAAAACCCCAACGAGGCGGAGCGTAGTGGGGAGGAGCGAGTACAGTACTGAGGCGAGAACTCTCCCACAAAAATAAAGATGACGTAATATTAAATGAATCAAAAAAAGAATCCCCATCTCTTCTGATTGTATTACTAGTAGTATTACTACACACATAGCTCATTCCTATAAACCCCCAGTTATATCCAACCCTCTCATTTTATTCAAAACATTATCAATTCGATCTTCTAGTTTACCTTCCATATAATCTTGTTTTGTTTGTGCATCCAATTTTAACTGCAATTGATTCAATACATAATAATTCTCATTGAAAAATCTCAATTGTATCTTGACAAAACTTTCAAAACTGGGATCAAAATATGATACTCTCAAGTTAATCAATTTGGGTAATTCATCAATCAATTTATTATTAACACTGATATATTTATCCTCCAATTCTTTCAATTCTTCATTATAATTTTTCAATTTATTTTCATATTGTTCCATATCAGTTGATGATGGATGTTCAATTAATTTCTTAACTTTACTCTTCATAGCATCATAATCTAATAATTTATTGTTTCTTTTTTTAATAACTTCATTAATTTCGGTATAATAAGAATTAAATCTAGCAATAGGATTTAATACAGTTTGATTATAAGGATTTTCTAAATTTTTGATACTAGAATCATTCAATTGTTTAACAGTGGCATAATATTCTTGAACAAGTTCTTTATTCTTGAGTTCTTTCCCATCTTTATCTTTAACATTACTAGTGGTTGAATTATTCCCATAAAATGAATTCAAGGATTCGGCTATATTGATCTGTGAATTGGTTAAAATTCGTAAACTTTCCAAATATGAACGTAAATTTTTTTGTAATTTAAGGGAATTGGTTTCCATAGCTCGATATCTCTTTTCTTGATAATCAAATTCTTTATCTACTGTTTGTTCAATGTGCCCTGTTTTTAGCATAACTTGAGTTCCAGCTCGGTTTATGGCTTTTTTAATTCCGATCCATGACATGATGTGTAATTAATTAATGATGATGGTAGTGTGGATGATCTGATCGATGAATAATGAAATTGTAAGAATAGATTTAACGTGATTATATACTAATCAGTTAGTGGAGTTGTTTATAAATAACTTTTGTTTCAGAATTGTTTTTGATATTTCTATCTGTGTATGAAGATGATGATAATCAGGAATTTTTTTTTTTTTTTTTTTCGGTTCATGAAAATTGAAATGCTACTGTTGTATACAATAATAACGGCAGTACAACAACAACAGCAGCGGTAGTAATAGTAATAGTAGTAGTGAGAGGAGTAATTTTGTTTGTGTGTGCGGAAGATTAACCGCCAAACGGATATTACAATCTCAATTAGTCAGCTCATTGTTTCAAAGTAGTTTCAACGTTACGGATATGAAAAACAATTAACTAAACATAAAGTGCTAACGGGTGTTGATATCGGATATATGATGCTACAGGATTAAGCTTGAGTCTCTTTTTTTAACTATACTTTATCTCCTTGTCACCCATCATCTTGATCATCTTTGAACTATTATTTCTAGATCACCTAATTTTCGGTTCTAACGGAGAAATTTGTGTGATCTGTTTGGTAGCGTGCATAAGAAAAAGGAAGAAATTAAACTTGTCATCACCAAATTCAATTAAAATACAATAAAAAAGAAAACAATTGAACAATTTAGAACAAAATCAAAGAGTGATACTTCCCTCTGTAATGACCAATCACTGGTCAGATTCATTACAACGGAACATAATTTCAAGCATGTCTGAAGTAAATGAACAATATTTGATCGAAAATTGGAATAAAAACTTTCCCAAAAAAAATTGCACTTCATATTTAGTAATTAATTCATTGTGTACAGAAGAAGTTGTTATCACAACCATATATTATTATCAATTAAAGCATTATAATTTTTTGGTAAACAGTAATCTACAAACATTGATGTATTTTATATATATCTTACGTCATTTACCTCCCATCAAACATTATTACTTACATACTCTCTGTAAATCATAATCTATCATCTGTTCTTTAATCCCCCAGTGATTATAACACTTGTTTCAGTAAATAATGTTAAATAATCAGGAGTAAAAGAAAAAAAGTCTAGAATACCCGTTGTAAAGATTTACACGTTCCATTCCTATCATACTAAATTAGGTAAATTATGCAACCTATCACCGTATTCATACATGTTCATTTCACTGCTTACATAATCAAACCCACCTCACTTTACAATTGTAACAACTCACACACACACACACACACACACACACACATTTACAATTTCTTTTTTTTTTTTTTTTTCAACACCCAAATTAGACACACACACTCATATGCTAATTAATTAACTACTATTATTTACTTGTTTCAAAATTCAAGAACAACAACAACAACATCATCATCATCATCATAGCAGTACAATGTCATTGGAAGATGGTGAATATGAACTAGACATATCTGTCTTACTACAGAATGCTTCAACAATAGATACTCCTACTTCAACTTCTAAAGATACTAGTGAAAATATAGCTATACGATATGGATTTATACCCGATTCAATGGATCAATCAAAACCATTGAAATTATATCAAAAAGATCAAACTTGTATTTTAAAGGCATTATCTACTGAAGGATCAAATAAACCTATATTTTTTGAAGGTATACCTCAACGTTATCATCGAAATAGTACAAATAGTTCATCATCAACTCCAAATACTAATAATGGTGGGAATAATGATTCATTTTATTTAACTTTTAATAAAGAACTTAATGGTAATGTGGTACATTTGAAAAAATTGGAAAGTACTATTAGATTTAATAAAAGTAGAAATATAGTTAAAGTTCAAAAACAAGTAAATGATATGGAAAAAGAATATGATCGAAGAAGATCAATTTTGAAAAATTCAAGATTAAAGAACAATAATACCAATAATAATGACAATAAAGACTCGTCACTACATTTACCTAATACTAATACATCATCAAGAAGCACCCCTCCTATAAGATCAACACCTACCACCTCACCGTTAAGAAAACCACCAACAGCAAAGAAAACAACAACTAAACCAACTACTAAAAATCAACCACAATCACAATCACAAAGACAAAAACAACAAGCTTCTAAAACAGTATCAAGTAAGAGACCTCCTGTTTCTAGTATAAGTACCCCAGATCTTAAACCAGAACAAGCATCAGAACCAATTATAAGTGAATCTGATTTTGAAGACTTGGAAATGGATGATGCTACTAATGATAAACAACATGATTTCCCAGTACTTGAATTTGATTTCGATGATGATAATGATAATGATGATAAAGAACAAGATAAACCACTAAAAGAAGAACCTACACTAAAATCAAAACCTAAAACAACAACTAATAAAAAACCAGCCAAACCTAAAACTACCAAACCTAAAAAACAAACCAAGACTAAAAAACCAATTGAAAATCCAGATAAAAGTATGGAATTAGATGATGAATTTAAAGATTTGGAAGATCAATTACAAGAAGTTTTAGAAGGAGACGGGGAAGAAGAAGAAGAAGATATTGCTCCTGCTGATGCAGATGAAATAGTCGTAGAGACACCACAAGAATCTCATACTAATATTTCAACAATTAAAAATGTATCACCAACAATTGAAGTATCACTGAGTTTAGATAATAGAGATGATAGTATTATTGATTCAGATGAAAGTGAATTTGAAGATTTTCATTTTACAGGAATTAAAATTGATGAAGGAAATTCAAGTAATGGTAATAATAATAATAATACAACTAAAAAACCAGCTTTTAATTTAAATACTACTGGTAAACCAAGAAGTTTAAGAGATTTAGTAGGTGGTGGAAATACTCCTTCACTCGCTGATGGAAGTAGTAGTGAAGAAGAATAATATTTTTAATATGTATATATATATATATTGATTTAAGTTAATTTAATTTGATATTCAAAACACATAAATGTGTATATTGTATGCATAATTATCGTTCTAAAGTTGTAGATAAAATAACTATCCTGTCTAATGGTTTATCATCCTCATCAGTTTCTACATTTTCAATACTTTGAATAACATCAATACCAGAAATAACTTTCCCAAAAACAGTATGTTTATTATCCAAAAAATTAGCATCTTCTGTAGTGATGAAAAATTGAGATCCATTGGTGTTTGGTCCAGCATTAGCCATACTAACCATGTATTTCTCATGACTCAATTCTGGAGTAAATTCATCTTCAAAGTATCCACCCCAACACGATTCACCACCGGTTCCATCACCTTTTGGATCACCTGTTTGAATCATAAATTCAGGAATAACACGATGGAAAATCAAATTATTATAATATGATCTCTTACACAAAGTGATGAAATTTTCCACTGTTTTCGGAGTAAGTTTCGAATATAACTCAATTTTGATATCTCCTTTGGTTGTATTAAGTGTGACTTTAGTATAATTGGTGGCTTTTTTCACTGGTGGTGTGGATGTTGTAGTTGATGATGAAGAGTCGTTGAATATATATATCTTTTCTGCATTTACAGCTGATGCCACCAAAATGGGTTTGGAATTTAGTTTAGAATTTATAAGTGCATTATCTGAAGTTATCATTTCAGTGGTAATAATATCTATTTGAGTATTTTTAAGCACACCAAAGTTATTGAATAGAACTTTATCATCGGATCCAATAACTTCAGTCTCATCTCGGTTTAGATCATCCACTTGAATACCTTTAGTTGTAGAATAAACAACCAGATTTTTATCAAAAAAGATTTCTGAACTTGAGACTCTTTCACAATCTATTGAATGGATAATTTTTCCTGTTTTCATAGAATATACTTTTATTCCTCTATCATATCCACATGCAAACATTTCACCACTAGATGACAATGCAACCCAATCAACTATTAACTTATTTTTCCTAAAATAAAACAAATCTGTCAGTGATTTCATCTTGAACTGTACTGTGGTTGGAATTTCAAAAGTTTGGGGATCCCATACTTCAATTAACCCTTTTTCATCAATCGTTATAAAACATTTAAACTCTGAATTAAAACTCATTGATATAATTGGAAATTTGTGTGGATTTTTCAATTTAGTAAATGAATCATCATCATCTTCTTCTAATGCAACACAATATAATTCATTTTCATTACTAGAAATTAATATTTTATCATCAGTATACCATGAATTGGAAGTACTTGAGGAAACATTAGGTATGAATGGTAATTCAACAGTTTGAATCATATCTAAAGTATTTAGATCAAATATTTTTAAACCATTGTCATTTTCCGCTAGACTTGCCAATTTGGTTCCATTAAGTAATAATTGTTTCACAGGTTTATTTGAATAGACAGTATCGTATGATTTAACACATTCAATTGTAGTATTAATATCTTGATTGATTGAATAGATTTTAATACAACCATCTATGGACCCTGTAACAACATGTGTTTCAGAAGTTACTAAAGTGGTGATTTCTGTCCCATTCGAAACACTGGAACTATGTTCTGAGACAATTGGTAAATTTGTCTTTGGTTGATTGAACTTTCTTTTCATCTTGATCAATGGTTGTAAGAGAGAATTATTTTTACAACAACACACATACAATTTTTTTTTGTTTTTCTTTTCTATTTGGTGATTGTTTTTGTTTTCAGTACTAGTTTACCAATGGAAACAACAATACTGGAACTTAATAAAAGGATCAACAATCTCGAACTAATAGTCCATCAACAAGATGAGGATGATGATGATAATAATAATAATGAATCACTAACGTCACAAATCAACTCATTGAAATTAAAACTTTCTAAAACTTATCAAATCCATCCAGAATTTGAAAAACTCAATCAACTCAATTCGAAATTGAAAACATGGAATAATACAACTACAACTACAACTACCAAACTCAAGGATAATGATATTTCAAAAGAAGTTAAATTAGAAACTATAAATTTACATAGTAGTCATATTTTAGAAACTTATCCTACAATTATTGAATTATTAAATATCCAATACGCGTCAATACTCAAGAGTTTAAATAATTTGGTTATGACTACAGATATTCAAAACAACAAACAGTTGCTTATATCAAAGAAACCTCAATTAGAAAGAATTAACAGAATTTATCAAATTTTAAATGTTAAATCAATGATGATTACTGAGAAATATATCGAATTGACTATGAAGGATAATAAATTCTGGATTGAATCAGAAAAGCAATTAGAAATACTAAATCAAAAGATCAAAAAAATCGAACAAACCAGACAGGAAATGAACAAATATTGATGGCTCTAACAAATAATCTATTAAATCATATATTAATAATTAGTTCTTTTCACCTATGTATTTCTTAATTGCAGAAACATCGTCATCTTTAGTGAAAAATGTAACAGCTTTACCTTTTCTTCCAGCTCTACCAGTTCTACCAATTCTATGAATATAAGTTTTAAGATTTGGAGGAACATCGAAATTTATCACCAAATTAATACCTTTGAAATCCACACCTCTAGCAATAACATCAGTGGTTATAAGTATAAATGTATCACCATTTAATAATCTTTGTATAGCTTCTTGTCTTGCTTGATTAGTTAATCCACCATGAATTAAATCAACTTTTAATCCATCATACAACAATTCTCTATGTAATGCTTTAGCTCTAATTGTTGATTGAAGGAAAATTAATACTGGAGGATGTAATTGAGAAGTTTGTACTAATTGACGAATACCTAAGACTTTACCTGATTCATTAGTAAATACCAAACTTTGTTCAACATTTGAAGAATCATCAACTTTAATTTTAATTGGATCTTGTAAATCAATTGGAATTTCACTTGGAATAGTAGCACTATATAATGCAACACTTGGATTAGAAGATAAATGAGATGTAATTTCATCAGTTTGATATGCAAAATCTCCTTCAAATAATTTATCAGCTTCATCTAATACTAATTGATTAATAGTTGATAAATCAACTTTTTCTTTATCAACAACATCAATTAATCTTTTTGGAGCAGAAATTAAAATATCAAATTTAGTACGTTTACTAAGATTTTTAGCACTTTTTTTAGTAAGTAGAAGAACTTCTACTTTTTTAATAGATTCTGTTAATTGTCCCAAAGTATTATAAATTTGATTTGCTAATTCATTAGTTGGGGCAATAATTAATCCTTTACCTTTTGAATCAATAATTCTTTGAATCATAGGAATACCATATGCAAGTGTCTTACCACTACCTGTAGGTGCTGATACAATAACATCTTTTCCTTTTAATGCAACTGGAATTGATTCTAATTGAATATTTGTAGGTTCTGTAAATCCAAGATTAGTTAAATTTGAAAGTAATGTTTTATCAGTAACAAATTTATCAAATCCTTTTAATCCTCCTTCTTGTTCTTCTTCTTGTTCTTCTTCTGTCTCATCATCTGGATGGTCGGTGCTTGATTTTGTAGGAATGGCACTGTGCTTCTTTGTACGAAAGAAATCAGTTTCTTTTTCTACTTGATGTAATAATGATTCCTGTTTATGTTTTTGTTTTTTAGTTTGTTGTTCTGAAGGTAAAGCATAATCGGTAGTAATACCTCTCTTCTTATTCAATGAAGCTCCTCTACTTAATACTCTAAAAATATCCATGTTTTTGATGTTGGTTTATTAACTTGAGATGAGTTGCACAAGATGAGGGTACAATAAAAAAAAAAATCTTTCCCTACAAAATATATCAAGCAGGTATTGGAACATATTAAGAAAAAAGTCGTGCACTTGTATACAGAAAAAAAACGACAAAATACAATTTCTTTACACCAACCATTGAGCCAGAGAAGCTTAAACAGAAAGAAAAAAAAAATTTTCATTGTGGGAGAGTGAGGTCAACAGGAAGACATAGATAGACACACACATATATATTTATAATTGTGAATAAATATTCTTATTATTACCATGATGACTATACGAACATTAACCACTAAGTCCAGTGGTATCACATCAGCCATATTTACCAGATCAATCTATCTACACAAAGGTCCAAGAATTGAAGGTCTCAAGAGAGATCCAGAATCAGTATTTGTTAGTCCAAAAGGAGCCAAGTATGGGGTTAATGAAGAAAATATTGTTAATATTAAGAACTTTTTAGGTGAAAAATATGCTATACCAGATGAAGTAGCATTACAAGTTATAACTCATAAATCATTTGGTAATGGTATTAAACCATATAATGAAAAATTACACATTATGGGATCTAAATTATTATCATTATTTTTTGTTAAACATGTAACTAATCCTAAATCAACAGATAATACTCGTGCTATTGAAGGTAAGAATTTAGATGTTTTAGGAAGTCCAATATCTAAAGAATTGGTTGGTTTGAAAACTGCAGGAAATTTCGCCAAATTGAATAAATTAAATGATGTTATGTTTTGGAAAAGTGCAAATTCAACATTAGGTTTTGAAAGTAGTGGTGAAATGAGAGTAAGCGGACAAATGTTGAATGCTTTAGTTGGTGCTGTTAATTTTTATCATGGTAAAGAAAAAGCTGAGCAATTTATTAATGAAAAATTAGTTGCTGGATTTGAAAACATTAGTATCAATTCAGTACTGAATATGTGAAGAAAATGTCAAAGTGGTTGAAAATAAAAGACTACTTTTAGATGAGTTGTAAGTACCAGTTTAAAATTGTTTTATTTTGTAAATAGACGTATTGTTCACTTAGAACAAAACTATAATAAACTCCCCCCTTTTTTAAAATAATCATTAATTGTAGTGCATTCCCTCCGATTGTAACTATGCAATAACGTGGTGCATCATCATTTTGATTGACAACAATCCATGTGAGTTCTGATGTCCATAGTCTTTGATTTCTGCAGCAATATTTTGGCAGAGAGAGAAAAAATGAATTGGGGGAACAACCTAAATGGGCTGGCGCAGGATAAACGAAATCCATTATCAGGTGTGCTCGCTTATGTATAGTAGTAGTAGTAGTAATGTTGATCTGATGGTCTGTAAACCAAAAGGATCATCGTCATCAATATGTATATTTATCTTTTTTAAAGTGGTTTTATTTGTTTCCCCCAAGAGACAATGCTAATTAAGATACATTTCCGTAAATTATGCTTTGGTCTAAGATGGATGGTTACGACAAAAAACTATAATTGTAAATCCCCCTTCCTTCCTTCCTTCCTTCCTTCCTTGCTCTTATACTGTGTCTCTTGCTGTCTCAATCTTGTTGATTATGTAATCACATAGTTAGTGGGAGTAAAAATTAACAATACGCGTCTGATTAAATGAAATTCTGTTTTGTGACAACAAAATCTTTTGGTTGTAATTTAACTCCTTTTGTATATAGTACACCGACAGGTGAGCACGAGTATATCATCGCTAATAACTAATCATGTAACCACCAATGACTAATATATACATTACAACACACAAGCATAGTATATCATATCATAACATATCATAACATAATATGACGACAGAGTTTATACATCTTGATCTTCTTCATGTTATTAACGTGTTGTAAAAATTTTTACTTCACATTCCTGATTTTGTTACACTACACTACCTCAGGAGTAAGAAAGGCTAACAAAAAAAAAAAAAAAAAAATTCCTGATCTCTTTATTATTATTATTATTATTATTATTGCACACTGTACAAAGACAACCCATACAATTTTTTTTTTTTCCTTCTTCCCTTTTGTTCGTTTTCTGTTTTATTTTATTTTGTTTTATTTTATTTTCACCGCCTAGTTTCATACATTGTAAATTTTTTTTTTCTTTTCTTTGGTATAATTAAAAAATCATTCTTTCTTTTACTTTTACTTTTTTTTATTTGTTAGTTTTACTTATTTGGCAACACCGATTTATCAATCACTTTATTATTGTTCATCCAGTTGGTTGTCTATCATCTTGCATAAGAAGAGTTTATTAATATTACAGTAAATAGTGGGTGCAAGAATACAATGAGTGAGAGAGATCTTGTACATCATTACAAAGTTTTAAAACAGTTTCTAGCCATATCGGATGATCAACAATCTAGAGCTAAATCAAGTTCTTCAAGAGCTCAAAGAGCTAGAGAGAAATTGTTGAAATTATCTTCAGCTCAATTTAAAGAGTTGAGTACCGATGTTTATGATGAATTAAGAAGAAGAATTGATGAAAGTAGAACTGAACCTGATTATTTGTTACCAAAAACTTCTTTTCATCCAAAGAGAAATCAAGCAAGACAAAAATTGGCATCATTACCTCAAACAAGATTTAAAGATTTAGTGGCTGATATATCATACGAAATCGAAAGAAGAGAATTACATATAGAACGTAATCTGCAGCATTCTTATAACCCTTCAGTATCTTCAAATGGAAGTTTTCAACAACAACAACAACAACAATCGTCAAAGTCTCATGATCGTAAACCGTCATTAGCTTCACATGGTTCTAATAATGAATTCACCGGTGGTTTCCATAGTCGTCTGGCTTCCCATCATTTGAATGAAAATTTTCCTAAACAAATTGAAGAAGAAAAAGCTGAATCTCCAGAAAGCGAAGATGCCCATACCACTTCAAGTAAGAATATCACATTGCCAAATGCAGAAGCTTCTAACCAATCAATAGGTATACAATCTTCACAAGTGGTTCCTACAAAAGCGAATATTACTTGGTCCAGTGATGAAGAAGAAGAAGAAGAAGAAGAGAAGGAAGAGGACTTGAACCACGAAGACAACAAGGGAACAGATCAAGTTAAAAGAGAAATTGTTCCAGAATCTACAACATCTGTGTCTCAAGTACATCCACAACAACAACAACCACTTCAAGAGCATACCAAAGATTTGACAACAGAAAATAACAATGAAGAGTTAATGAAATTGGAATCTTTGGTTAAAGAACTCAAGGCTAAATTGGATGCATCTGATTTGGAAAACCTGAAATTACAAAGTAAACTTCAGTCACTTCAGGAAGAACATGACTTTTCAGTGAATCAAAACAAGTCTCTTAGCAATGAATTGGAAAGTTTAGGTCAAGAAAAGAAAGAATGGTTGAATAAACAAGATCAATTTAGTAAATCTACCAGTGAGTTCCAGGAATTAACTAAAGAATTGGATCGAATGAAGTCAATCAATGCTGCTTTGAGACTCGAAAATCAATCTTTAAAGAACACATCCCCTGTTTCTAGAAATATCAGCAACTCTCCTCCATCTATGAGAGCCGCTCCTGTTGTAGCAACTGCTGCCGCTGCTCCTGTTGTAGCTGCTGCTACTGCTACAAATGCTATTACTTCCACTACTAGCAGTAGCGCTGATAATGCTAAGGATACATCCACCAACCCTTCAAGCTTATCTCAAAAGGAATTGAAGGAATTCTTGGAGAAATTAGAGAAAGCACAACCACCAGCATCAGTGAGTTCTAATAATGCCGTTAGCAGTGAATTGAGAAGACAAGTCAAACATTGGCAAAGAAGATATGAAGATTCAAGATCAAATGCGATTGCCAAAGATATCAAAAAAGCAACTTCATCTAAATTTGAATTACAACCATTTGTTTCGTCCCATGGTTTAATTTCAATCAAATTGGTTAGTGATGCCCAAGCTTTATTTGAATCATTCTTAAGCTACATTGAAACCGAAAACTTTGATGCAGATATTTTGTTTGAAAAGATTTCCAAGATTGCTGTTGTTATCAATGAAATTGCTAACCAAGGTGATGATCTGCAACCTGGTTCCAATGAGAAATCAGCTGTTTTAAGGGAAACCGTGTCTCATGCCTTAACTGCTACTAGATACCACGCAATTTACAAGCAGTTGTTCCCTCGATATATTGTTGAAAGATCTATTGTGGAAGTCAATTGTGCCCTTTGTGATTTGGTTGCTATGTGTAAATTAAATAAAAACTCAACAAACTTACGAGTTCTTGACATTGATACCAAAACGTCCAAGAAATTAGCAAATGAAAGCATAGCACAACAACGTCCAGTTGATAACAAGAGAAGATCATTGAATGACGATTTTGGTGTTAGACCGTTGAGAATGGCCAATAAATTAAAGGTTAATCAGAGCCAACAAGAATCACAACAACAAACCAAGTCCATACCAAAGCCACTTCAATTACAACCACAGCAACATGAACATGAACATGAACAAGATGAATCATCAGGTTACAACCGTCAACCACAACAGTCATCATCATACCAAAATTTGAAGAAAGATCTTGACGAATCATCACCATTTATTGACACATCTAAGGATAAGTCAATTAAAACCAAAACAACAAGCGCATTTGCAGCATTGAGAGAACAGAGAGAAAAAGAAAAGGATGCGAAAGCAGCAAAGGGTAATTCAACTACCAACCCAGCATTGATGGGTGCCACTACTATTGCTCTTGCTGCCGAAGGAGCCAACTCAGTTTCACATATTCCAAGAGTTGTCACTAAAAATAGAAGCCCAAATACTTCTACTGAACTACATGCTGGTGAAGGTTCCACCATTCCTTCTATGAATGCTGTACAACCTAAGAGAAAGGAAACACATAATGTAGCTTTTAATGATCAACCTGTATCTATTCCAGCCAATAACCGTGATATTTATGATTCAGATTCCGCTGATACTGAACGATATGATGATGACAATGATGATGATTTAACTGTTTCTCCAAATCATTTCTCCAAAATTCAGAATGATACCAGTTTTGCCAGCAATGCTAGCAATAACTCGATTAAAGACACCGTTAGCCCTGCCAAGAACTTTGGTGTAAGTGTCAAACGTAATATTGTGGATGAAAGTCCAATCAAACTTCCTGGTCATCAAACCGTTGAAACATCCAGAAATATTTCTGCTTATCCTGATAATGGTTTCCAACAGCAAGACTCATTTGAAGGTAATAATAGTGAACCAGCTACGAAGTCTGTCACTGACAATTCTTCTGAACGTAATGTTCCTCACAATGGTTTGATACAAACTTCAAATTTTTCTCCTGAACAAGGAAATGAAGACAACCAACAAGCTCCGCTGCCAACCAGAAGCTTTGCTAGTACACATAATACCAGCTTTGATACCGCATTAGATAATAGTTTTACCAAGAGCAATGGGTCTAGTAATCAAATGGAGAACAGCTCTGATAAAGTAGAAAAGGAAGAGTCTTCTTTGGAGAAGAGTGCTGATTCAATTGATCCTGAAATGACATATAGGGAAAAGAGTAGCATTGCTCTGTTGGCATCTAAGTATGAAAATGGTGAAGCTGATACCTCATCATCTTTTAGTAAAAAGTCTCCTCCAGTTCAAAATAAGATCAGTGGCAGTAGCCATGGAGTTCATGAATTGGCTAGCAGAATTAATTCTCAAGAATCAACGCCAAGTTCATACAATCCAACTTCACCACCGATCAAAACATCACCAACTAAAAACAGTATCCTTGAAAAGGTTAAACAGTTTGAAAGTCCAGGAAGTGATCATTTGTCAAAATCACCTTCTCCACAAAAATCAATACAAGATAAAGTTCCATTCAAGTCAGTGAGAACTTCATTAGATCTGAATAGATCCCAAAAGAGTGTTGATGAACCTAAGCAATTATCTGAACCATTTAGTGCAATTCATCTGACAACTAGTGGCTCCGATTCTAAGAAGGATACCGGTTCAAGTGTAGTAGCATCTGCAGCTGCTGGAATTACTGCTGCCGCTGCAGCCGCCGCCGCCGCTGCTTCATCTTCATCCACATCATCAGGATCCACTTCATCTACTACAAATCCTGGTAAAGGTAAAGGTTTGTTCCAAGCTTTCAAAGAAAGGTTTACTGGTGAATCCAGTGCTCATGAAGAAGAGAATGCCAAACAAATAGATGCTTCTAATTCCGATGGTACTATTTCCGACAATGAAAAACAAACTGACAATGTGATCAGTACTGTTGAAACTTCTCCTCCAAAGGATGTTGATGATGAAATTGTTGGCAAACTTGTTCCAGTACAATATACTACTAAAAAAGAAAATTCATTCGATGCTGATGATGACTTGAATGATAACAATACTTCTGGCCCAAAATCATTTGTTAGTGCACAACCAATTGTTCACGGTTCTTCTCAAGGATCAATCTATCAATCTGCTGAAAGTTCTAATGCTGCAGACGAAGATCTTACTTTGCAAAGTCAGAAGAAACAACCTGTAAGCAAGTCCGTTTCCAAACAAGATGAAGTTAATGACGATGACGATGACGATGAAGGCGAAGATGAAGACGAAGACGAAGATGACAACGACGAAACTGAAGAAGAAATCAGAGCTAGACAACGTCAGGAATACAGAAAATCAATGGCCGCAGCTACATTCAATATTGACATGTTTGATATTGATGATCCAGACAATACTTTAACCCAGGTTTTACTTTATTTGGAACATCAAACTGTTCAAGTAATTAATACCATTCAATCATTACTTGCAGCAATCAAGAAGCCAAATGCTACCAGAGGTGAATTGCGTGAAAGAACTAAAGCCATTACTGTTGTTATTTCACAAATGACTGAAGCTACTAATACATCGATGAACCAAACCCGTAATGCGCAATTAAAGGAACACGGAAGTTGGGTTGTTAGAAGCTTAGAAGACTGTTATCATAGAATGAATAACTTGTGCAAACCTGGAGAAAAGCCAGATTCTTCATTTGCGGATAAGAATTTCAAACAAAGATTGGCCGGTATCTCTTTTGATATTGCTAAATGTACCAAAGAATTGGTTAAAACTGTGGAAGAAGCAAGTCTTAAAGAAGATATTGCTTACCTTGATGCTAGATTGAGTCAACACTTAGACTAGAGTAAAGTCTATTAAATTAACTATTAGTTTGATCCCATTTGGGAAGAAATTAAAAGAAACAAAAATATCTTTTAATATCTGCTATTATATATTATTTACCCTTGTACTATATATCTAAAATATATATAAAAAAAATTCGATACTTGTTTAAATCGTGATTATTATCTTATGTATTTTGACATTAGTTTTTGATGATACTCTGAATCTAGAGAATCAGTCGAATATTTCTTTCCTTCTTTTGCTTGTTTTGATTTGTTATTATTAAACGTTGTTGTCAGTCTCCAACTTTTCTTTTTTGTACTTGAACCAGGTTTGATTGCAACCACTTTGGATTCGTTTTGGTCTTTGTCATTTTCCAACTTCTCTTGTCGTATCTTTTCAATTTCTTGTAGAAGTAATGCTGTTTCATCATCTGAATCTGAATCTGACTCTTCGGACTCGCTTTCTTTATCTTCCTTTGTTTCCTCTTCTTTACTCGTTCTTGATTCTTCCTTCGCTACTGTAGTGTTGTCAATTTTAATTTTCTTTAACGGAGGTGTACTAATCTCGTCTCGTTCTTCTTCTTTTTCTTCTTCTTCTTCTTCGTCTTCGCTATCACTTCCATACCCAGAAATAGTTGATGGAATATCTTGTCTATATTTCAATGACTTCTGTTGTGGTAAAGCTCTTGCATGTTTTATACTATCTTTGATTTTAATTACTTTTCCTCTTTTGCTTTCCAACTGTGGTCTATGGTTTGTAGACATATTGTATAATAGATATTGGTGATCTTGTCGATGATGATGTTGTTGTTGATGTTGATGAGGTTGGTGATGATTCTGCAAACGATTTTCTGTTCCGCTCAAATATAAACTTGCACCAAAAAAAAAAAAAAAATACAAAATCGAACATTTTTCTTCCCCCAGTTTTCCATTTAATTCTCTGAAGGTATAACCAATAATCATGGCTCCTCCTGTTCCTGTTTATAGTTTTACAGAGATTCAAAATCAATATAAAGAACAACTAAACAATCCAACAAAGTATAAATGTCAATTGAAATCAATAACTCAACATGAATGTACATTTAGACCATCAACAATTAGAAATAATGATATTAATAATCCACCAGAAATAATATGTTTACCTTTCAAACGTATATTTCAAAGATGTCTTATTCCAATATCTACTAAGAATGAACAAGGTAAAAAGATTAAAAGTGAAAAATGGATAAATATAGAGATTACAAATGATAAAACAAATCATGATCTAGTAGAACCAGAAAGTAAATATAGTAAAGATGTGATGGATTTCTTAGATGCTGAACGAGAGTTTAAAAAGTTTATGGAGATTGAAACTGAGAGTCACACTTGAGAGGCGATTCGTGTTGATATTCGAGATGTACGCGTGTGTGTGTGTGTGTGTATGTGGTTGCGTGTATATAATAGTAATAGTAATAATAATATGTACTTATGTATCTAACAGAAACACATAACTGTAGACAAACAACTAACAACAAACTACCAATTAACCAGATTTAATAAGTGGAACCTTCAGGTGGTTGTTGTAATTTTTTATTTGCTGGAGATGCCATACTTTTTCTCAATTCCAACAATATAGTTTCCATAGTATAAGATCGTTTCCAATTCTTCAAAGTATCAAACTCATCAACTAAAACTTTCCCATTACTATCAACACAAGGTAAGTTAATTTTTGAAACAAAAGTTACAATTGGTGGCTTATCAGGATAATTTTCATCACATATGATATTTAATGAATAAATTCTATTTTCATGATTCAGATGTGGTGGACCCAAAATAGTACCATTCCAATAAGTCATAGTAATATCATCTTGATTAGTTAAACCGTAACTAATAGACTCTGCTCCAAGACCTTTTTCCCCTTTTTCTAATTCTTCTAACAATTTGAAATTTCTAGGACTGTTTTAATCGCCGGGATATTTGTTAGTAATTGATCTCCTTGTTTAAACTGAAAATAAATGATTAATTTACATACATCTTTGACATATTATTTTTTGTTTGTTATACTTTAGTTTTGTCTCTATACCTTTTACTACTACTTTCTATTGCAGTGGTTATGGGTTGGTAGTGGTGGGTTGTTGGTTATAAATTGTTGATTTCCTCGCAAAAAAGTCAGAAGGAAAATGACGGGAACTTAAAGATCAATGTCGTCGAGTGGTCGTGCGACATTTATTGTTTAGAGACGACATTTTGAGAAAGAAAAAATCTGAATGAAAAAAAATCAAAACAATTCAATTCCAATTATCAACAAATCTCTAGATCATATTTCAATTGCTATACTATCTCAAGACATCAAGTAATGTCGACATCATCCTCACCTTTTCCTGAAAATAGATCAAATGCAAGTGTGGTGTTAAGTGAAACATCGTCCAATAAGCAATATATTGCTAAATTGGAGTTCCAACTACAGTCAGCCCAAATGGAAAAACGAATTCTTCAAGAAGAAAAAGAACAAATCAATGATAATTATACTAAATTAATTAAAGAAAAGAATCTGCAAATTGAGAATTTAAAATTGAATTTTAAATTTGTTTATGATGAAAAAACTGAATTAGAATCTAAATTAAACAATCAAGAACAAACTTCATCAAGTAAAAATTCACAATTACAAAAAGATTTAGATTCTACAAAACAACGACTTTTCAAAGTACAGCAGGATTATAATAGTCTAGTTAGTAAATTTAATAGTCAAAAATCTGAAAAACAAAAATTGGAATATGATTTAAAATCAAGTAGGTCAATTAATGAACAATTGGAGAAACAATTGAAAATTAAAGAGGAACAAAATAAAAGTTTACAAAAAGCTACAGATGATGCAATGAATGAATTGAATGAATATGCTAAACTTTTGAAATCAGATAAACCAGATCATAATAAAAGTTTGGCCTATCAAAATTTGATGACTAGAAATACTAATTTACAGAATTTGAATTTCCAATTACAAGGTAAAATTGATGCATTGTTACAGAATAAGACTTCTATTGAATTATTGAAGCAACAAAACCAAACATTGACAAGTAAGATTCAAAGCTTACAAGATACAGAATCTAAATACTTACAATTAGAAATTGAAAAATTACAAGCAGAAAGAAAATACAATGATTTGTTTAAATCCTTAGATGAAGCTATTGCAACAACAACAACAACAACTGATGAGAACATGAATAAAGATGATATTACAAATACCATCAAAATTAAAAAGTTTGTTGAATATTGTGATCAATTGCAGGCTAAGAACTTGACATTACAAGAGAAATACGATTCAAAAGTTTTACAAGTTAAAGAGTTGACAAAAGAGTTGGAAGATTCTGCAAGAGAAATTGAAAATGAATACCTTCCAACCATCACCGATTTACAATCTAAATTGAAAGCAAATTCTAGTGAAATAGTTAAATTGGAAAGAACTAAAGCATTAAGAGAAAAAGAGATTGAATTCTTGAGAAATCTGTTAAAAAATATGGAAGAAATCAACAATAGGAAACAATCAGAAGAAAAGCCACCTGGAGAAGACAAGGCTATTTTGCAATATATGACCAATCTTGAGAAATTGGTTGATGAATACAAGACCAAAATTGAAGATTTAGAAAAGAAAACAAAACCATTAGTTCATAATGATAATGGCAATAGTACACCTCGAAAACGTCAACGTACTGAAGAATCCAATTCATTTATGAAACAAGTAACTGATTTAGATAAAAGCAATATTGAACTTTCTAGTAAACTTAAGCAAGCCGAAGTGATAATTAAAGAATTAAAGTCTAAGATTTCCGATTTGGAAAAAGTTGAAAGTAAACAAGAAGAGTATAGAATCTTGCAATTGAAAAATAATTTGATTCATCAAGATCAATTTATCAAGAAATCAACATTAGATGCATTACGTCATGAAAATGAAGAATTAATCAACAAATATGTCAAACATTTGGATCCAAAAGAACTCATTCCAAGATCAATTTTCCAACGTCAAGAAGATGATAAGGATAAATTACAATTACAAATTAATCAACTCAACAAAAGAATGAACCGATTACGAGATGCATTTACTAAAAAAAGTAAAGATATAATTACTGTAATTGCAAAATATTTTGGATTTATTATTGAATTCTTACCAAATCCAATAAATCCAAATGACTTGTTCTCGAGAATTAAATTGAGATCAAGATACATTCCAACAGAAGAAGATTGTTATTTAATTATAGATGTTGAAAATAGAGGATTAAAAGCACATGGTAATTATCAATTCAAATCATTATGTGAAGATTTAGCTAAATATTGGGTCGATGAGAATAATCAATTTCCATGTTTACTAAGTGCTGTAAATTTAAAACTATACGAAATATATTCTAAATAGTTTATTTATCTAATAAACAATCTGCAGTAATTTTCAAGATCTCTTCCGGGGATTTATCAAAGTGGGAAATGCTCTTATTGATAGTATTGAATATCTTACCTTTGTTGATACCATCATAATTCAATTCATAATCTTTGACAAACTTGAGCAATTCCTCTTTAGTGCCAAACTTCTTCAAGTAATTATACATCCATCCCCAAGCATCACCATTAGTATTATCCAGTTGTAAACTTCTCTCAAACCAATTTTTACACTTGTTGTATTTCCCATCATACCAAAAGAATACCCCAATAATCATCAATATCAGACTTGAATTATCAGTTGCTTTTAATGCATCAAGGAAAGCAGTTTTACGTTGTGACATTTTTGGTAATAACCATAAATATTCTATCCATAGATTAGCATTATTTGGAAATTTCTTTAGTGATTTATTAGAAATATTTCTTGCAGAAACTAAATTATTGTTTTTCTTTTCAAATTGAATCTTAAAACACCAAAGTTCTGGTGATTCCAGGTTTTGTAACATTGCTTGATCAATAACTGCTCTTGCTCGAATAGTAATTCCAAGTTGTTGATCAATTTCTGACAATTTAATCCATAGTTCTGGAATTTCATTACATCTTTTGACAGAAAGTGATGCAACTTCTCTAGCTTGCTTAAGTTCGTTCATATCTTGCAATATCTGAATATTCTGAAGATATAACTTCCAGCAATCAGGAAATAAATTCAACGCTTTTTGAGACACTTCTAATACGTCACTAGATTTCAAGCATCTAAGAATGTGAATATATTTGTACCAAAACTTTTCTGATTCCAATGGGGAATCATCAATGATTGATTTAATATATGACTTGGCAATTTCAAGTTGACCCGATTTGACATCTAGTTTTATGATAGCAAACTTTATTGATAAATCATTTGGTATTGATTTTGCAGCTTTGTTTAGGATTGATCTAGCCTCCGGTATGTCATTTCCTAGTTGCCATTTATCTTTTGCAAACATTAAATAGAACAAAGATACTTTTGGATTCAAGTCAATTGCCTTTTTATAGTATGTAAACAACACATCTAAATCGTTGAACTTCTTTATAGACGATATCAATTTTCTCCAATTCGAAACATCGTTTGGTTGTGAATCGATGATGTAGTCCAAAATTGACCTTCCGATGATGACATTACCTTTGGTAAACATTTTATCCACATCTTCAAGTAAAACTGTATCACTGATTATAGCTTTATTTGCATTCAAATAACTTGATACAATAGCCTTACTTGTGTTCTTAAAGTCTTCCTTTTCAGCCTCAATGGCATAATCATACCATTCATCTTTTGTGATATTCCTTGATGCTGATTCTTTCATAGCCTTATCCATTAATTTGATTAATTTTGTCAACTCAACATCTTGTTCACGTTCTTCTAATTTACATGCAGCAATCCAAACATTTGGATCACCAACCAATTTCTTCCTTGCTTGATTCAATAGTTTCTTACTTTCCTCGTAATTTGACAAGTTTATCAAACCTAACCAGAAATCCCAAACCAATGGACACATTTCAATCGCTTTACCTAACAACTTCTTAACTATATCTTGTTCAGTCTCTAAATCAATCAATAATTTCCATAATCGTGAATTATTCGGTAAATTCTCTAATGACTTCATGACCACTTTTCTCTTATTAAAAGGTTCAATCTCCAAATCCATAGCCTTGATCCATAAACGTTCACTTTTTGGTACATAGCCCAAAGCTGTACTCACCAATTGCTTACAAAGCTTCAAATCTGATTCATTCAATCTTATATTTTCAAGCCAAATTTCATCATTTTTGGGGCATTTTTTACAACCCTCCAAGATATAATTCTTCGCTAATTTATAATTTTTATTTTGTTCTTCTAATCTTGCGGATTGGATCCATGAACTTGGTTTGTATGGTTCAGTTTTACGTAATGATGACAAAATTGTACGAGATTTTTGAAGATCAGCATATTTGGCATCTTGTTCTGCTCCTGACATGTTCAATATTGCTTCTTGAAGTTGGGTATCAGTCGTAGTATCTTTAGTTGGTCGTAGATTATCTAATTGTAAACTTAAAAATTTGTCTCTTGATTCTGATAAGGATTTGAAATTAGTTGACCCATTTGATAATGCTGAATTGGTACCAGCAATTAATGTATCAGGTGCAGAATACATTCTTTGTTGTTGTTGTTCAAGTAATCTCATTCTTTTATTCCTTCTTGTCATATCACCCGGTTCTGGTAAATTCAACCAGTCATCTTCAGTTAGATTAGCTAACTGTCTTTTTAAATCTGAAAATTGTGGTTTGTTATTATTGGTTTCAGTTGGTGCTGGTGGTGTCTTGACCTTTGATTGGGATTTCCGTGCAATTATTTTCTTCTCAATTTCCTCATATATTCGATCTGCTTCTTCATCTTCATCATCTCTTCTTGACTCTGATAATATACCATTATCAATGACTCCTTCGAGTTTACCATTGCCATCATTTTCATCTTCTTCTTCTTCTTTACTCACTACAGCTACTCCTCGGCTGAAACTATCTGGATTAGAGTTTAGTCTAAACCCAACAGCACCTCTAGCTGACCCAGCAATATATCCTGCCGGAGCTTCTTGATCCAAGAATGATTTTCTTTCCATTGACTTGTTTTGTCTTTGTTGGTCTAGTTGATAGTGATCGTGTCAAACACAAATATTTTTTTCCCTCTCTATAATCTTCTATGGTGATGCGTTTTTATTCTCATCGCGTTCAATTACACTGAAAATTTAAATACGTAAAAAAAAAAATTTCAATGTAGGCATCTTTTTTATCAGTCAACTATAATTAATAACAGATATGTCTAAAAGAGCAGCTGAAGATGACTTGAATGGTCATACAAATGCTAAAGTACCAGCAGCTATCAGAACCGATAATTCTGCTACTAAAGCACAAGAGTCAACTACCACTGAAGATATGGATATTGGAGAATTCGAAGATCCTTATGGTGATGATTTTGAAAGTGATGAAGAAATCATTGAATTAGATGACAACAATGAAGAAGAAGAAGAAGGCGATGAAGAAGCCGCACAAAAGAAAATTGAACAATTGGAACAACAAGAACAAGAAGAAGAAATTCAATCATCGATATATTTACCACACAAATCCAAACCATTAGGACCAGATGAAGTCTTAGAAGCAGATCCATCTGTTTATGAAATGTTACATAACGTTAATTTACCATGGCCTTGTTTGACAGTGGATATTTTACCTGATTCCTTGGGTAATGAAAGAAGATCATACCCAGCCACTGTTTATTTGGCAACTGCTACTCAAGCAGCCAAAGCTAAAGACAATGAATTGATTGCTATCAAAGCCTCTTCTTTGGCCAAGACCTTAGTTAAGGATGAAGATGACGAAGATGAAGAAGAAAATGAAGACGATGATGATATTGATGCTGATCCAATATTGGATTCTGAAACTATTCCATTAAAAAGTACCACCAATAGAATCAGAGTTACTCCACATGCTCAAACAACAGGTGAATACTTAACCGCCACTATGAGTGAAAGTGGTGATGTCTACATTTATGATTTACTGGCCCAATATAAAGCATTTGACACACCAGGTTATATGATTCCTAAAAATTCTAAAAGACCAATACATACTATCAGAGCCCATGGTAATGTCGAAGGTTATGGTTTAGATTGGTCTCCTTTAGTAAATACTGGTGCTTTATTATCAGGGGATTTATCTGGTAGAGTTTACTTAACCTCAAGAACCACATCTAATTGGGTAACTGATAAAACCCCATTCTTTGCATCCCAATCTTCAATCGAAGATATTCAATGGTCCACTGGTGAAAACACTGTGTTTGCCACCGCTGGTTGTGATGGTTATGTAAGAATTTGGGATACAAGATCTAAGAAACACAAGCCTGCTATTTCAGTTGTTGCTTCTAAATCAGATGTTAATGTTATTTCATGGAGTTCTAAAATCAATCATTTATTAGCATCCGGTCATGATGATGGTAGTTGGAGTGTTTGGGACTTGAGAAACTTTACTAATGCCAATAATGTTGCTCCTTCTCCAGTTGCCAATTACGATTTCCATAAATCACCAGTTACTTCCATTTCTTTCAACCCATTAGATGAATCCATTATTGCTGTTTCCTCTGAAGATAATACTGTCACTTTATGGGATTTGGCTGTTGAAGCTGATGATGAAGAAATCTCCCAACAAAGAAAAGAATTAAAAGAATTGCATGATATTCCTCCACAATTGTTGTTTGTTCATTGGCAAAGAGATGTCAAGGATGTCAGATGGCATTCACAAATTCCTGGTTGTTTGGTCTCAACTGGTGGTGACGGTTTGAATATCTGGAAAACTATTTCTGTATAGATCATATAGGAGAGGTGTTTTTGTTGTATTTTTTAATAATAATTAGACAATTATGTTGTATAAATCATTGCTCTTCTTTTCAGGTTGTGTTTGACTGCGAAAGCTATTCACCCAGATGAACATGGGCCGGATAGTGGTTCATTACCTACAATGATGAATCCTTATTGTTTACTATTTGACAAAAGCATATATTTACGTATAAATAAGATATCTAATCACAGAATTTAATGACCTGGGTTAATTGGAGTCAAACTTCTTCTACCAATAACTTCACCAACGGAAAAGAAAGCCAATAATTGAATACCGTAAATACCAGCTTTGTAAGCGGTTTCTTTAGTTGGTTTGATGTTTTTAGCTTGTTCCAATAATTTTTGTTGTTCAGCTGGAGTTTTGATGAATTTAAGGGCTTGTTGGTAAACAGTTTCAAATTCTTTAGCTGTTGGTGGTTTTAAACCTTCGGCTTTGTAAACTTGTTTGGCTAATTCACCACCGACTTTAGCCCAATATGTGGCACAGTTAGTTAAACCAGTGATTTTGGTAACAATGCTGTTGACAACTGCAGACATGACTATTGAATATGTATAATGAAGAGTGTATGGTAGTTGAACGAGTTGGCTGAAAAAGGCTATTCTACTTTTGTCTAATTTTCCTTCCCATTTTTTTTTTTTTCCTTCTTGGTTTTCTTTTTTTTCATTCATTTTTTTTCGGTTCGGTTTTCATCCAATAAAAATCCACGCTACTTGTTAGACTTCCTAATTGAGAAGTGAGCCGCACAAAATTTAAACATCCCATTAATACTAATAAACAATCCATACTTATTGTTGTATATGTAATATATACTTATTTAATTTTAAATTTGAACACCAAATCTATCTGGCCAGATAACTGGCGCTAATAAGCTCCAACCATATAATATAAAACATACCCAGGAACTAACAATCTTCACCCAACTAGCAAAGTAAGTTCTTCCAACGGGAACAAAATCACCATAATCGTCCTGTTTAACATTAATAGTCAATAAAGTAGCAACATATTGTGTAGCTAAAAAGAAAATAATATGAAACAATGAGTAGTTGTATTGCACTGACTGTCTTTCTTCGTCGTTAACATCTTCATCATCATATAAATCCAATTGGTTCAATGCACTCTCTGGTAACAGACCTTCGTCAACTGCTTGTTTAATTGCTTGGTATCTCATTTCATTTCTTGCAGATGGTTGTTGAGTAGTTATGCCGTTGTTCACTCCACCGAAATCATGATTACTTTCTGAACTGAAGGCAGAGTTAGCAGCAGCTCTTGTTGTTGTATAGGCCACAGCAATAAATGTGAAAAATGCACCTAATATGACACTGGCAGTTCTGGTTCCACTAGATCTAATTAATGGATTACAATACTTGTCATCTGGTTCTGATGCAACAGCACTCATAATTAAATAAGTACAATAAAATACCACCATCGACGATTGTGCCAAACCTGCTTGTGGATTATACTCTTGAACGGTATTGTGAATTGACATTCCAGATATGATGATTGCAAACACCAAATTTAAAGTGATTGCTGTTTTATTCATAGAACAACCATTGCCTGCAAAAAACCAATACATTAAAATGGTCAAGATGATACTTCCAAGATACATTACCAATGTACCACCAATTAATAACTTTTTCCAAAATCCAGCATCGCCTTCACCGGTTAGTTCTTCCATTTCAATCTTTTCCAAACATTTTTCTGCCCAAGCATGAGCAAAATCAACCAACAAGATCAACCCTATTCCTAAGAATATTGTTGAGAAAATAATTGCGATATTATTACCATAAAATATGAAAAAACTGTCAGGAATAACAACAAAATTAACAACAATCAATACCAACCATGCAAAAACTTTCATCTTCCAACATCCATTTTGTATCATAGATCTTGGATTTGCTGTAGACTTGACATTTATCAACAATGCAGCTAATATTAAATGTAACACACCAAGGGCAAAATTAATTCGGTAGACTGATGTGAAACTAATACATTCACTTCCATCTGGTCCACAACTGTAATTTATGAATCCAAATGTAGCCTTCTCTATTTTATGTATAATAAATGGAGATAATGCAATCCAAGATAGTAATGAATTAATTAACAATATTATTGCATATGTAATTCTTGTCATGATTGATGATTTGAATGTTCCCCCAATAGATGAACAAAGTGCCGAACAAGCAGCAGCCCCACAACACGAGGTCAAAGCCGATATTGGCATCAAAGGTAATGATATCGCTGCACCCATAGTTTGAGTCTATTGTATGTGCTTAGACAATGATGAAAAAAAGGAAAAATTGTGGTTCAATCTAATCAATTTTGCAGTAGTTGACTTCTTGATATTTTTTTTGTCATGTTTTTTCTTGATTGATTTTCTTGCTTTGTAAGCCTTTTTGGTTTTTGTTCTCCCCGCCGCAGAAGTTCGGATTGAGATTTTTTTTTTTTTTCAACAAGCATCTCATCATCATCATCATCATCATCATCAGCTATCACCAATTAATTATCAGTCAACTAAAGAGAAATGTCATTTAGAAAGAGAGGTGAAATCATTGGAGGAGCTCCAGCAAGAACTCCAGCTGTTCCTGGAAGAAATCCTGCAGTACCTGGAAGAAATCTAGTAGTACCTGGTCGTGCTCCAGCTGGCGTATCATCAACTTTGAGAGGTCCAGCTAATCGTTCGCCAATTGCAAAACCAGATCGTGCTTCGGACATTTCAAATCTTATCATGAAAAATCCCGGTGTAAGACCATCATTATCAACTTCCCAGCCTACTACTTCGACAGGTAGTTCAGATTTAGACAAGATTTTATTACATCAAGGTTTGCCTCTTGGTAACTCCTTGTTAATTGAAGAATCAGGCACAACTGATTTTGCTTCAGTATTATTAAGAGCATGTGTATCCCAAGGTGTGATGCATAATAGAGTATCAAATGAACAGAATGCACATTCGATTGTCTTGGGAGTTAGTCCACAATGGTCAAATGAATTACCAGGTGTTTACAAAGGTTCTTCAAAAGAACAGAAAAAGGCCAAAATTATTGAAAATGAATCCAAGGTTAGTGTTTCTAATTTATCAAATGCTCCTTCTTTGGCTACTAGATCAGCTGATCCTAATTTGAAAATTGCATGGAGATACGGTTTGAATAAGAAACCAGAGTCAAAAGATGAAGTCGAGAACACAACTTATGAACATTATAATAATCAATTTGATTTGACCCAAAAATTGGTACCAGGACCTAATCCTCAAGATATATCATACGTTCCATTATCTCAATCCTATTCGACTATCATCAATCAAATTTCAAGTATAATTAAAGCACAGTTGAGATCTAATTCTGCCAAAGTGATTAGATTGGTTATTCCTAGCATATTGAATCCATCATTATACCATCCGTCCTTAACATCTCTGGCTTTCATAATTCCTTTCATACATTCATTGCGTTCATTGCTTCGTCAATATTCAACCAATCTTGTCTTAGTTTGTTCTATATCACTTGACTTATATCCAAAAGATTCTACTTTGATTGTCCTTATGCAGTCATTATTTGATGCTGTTATTCATCTCCAACCATTTAACCAAGAAATGACTCAGTTGCTAGAGAAGGCGTATAAAAATGAACCATCAAAGATTCAACAAGGTTTGGTTAATATTATCAAGATTCCTGTGTTATCTGAAAGAGGTTTAATGATGGTGCATGATGGTGAATATGCTTTTAAGAATGGTAGAAAGAAGTTTGAAATAGAAGAATGGAGTATCCCAGTTGAAGATGATTCAAAGGATACTAATGAAACACAAGAAGGTGGGAAAACCACAAAGAATATAGATTTTTAACATAATTGAAAATTTATAGAATATAGGTTTAACGTAGGAAGAGTTCATTTAATTCTGACGTAAGCTTTCAGTTCAGGAGTAATTTGGAAATACCCAAAAAAAAATATTGACTGCGGGTGCAAAAAAATAATTGACCCTAACAGGACTTGAACCTGTAACCTTCGGATTTTTTCAAACCGAGAATTCCAGTTATTGGAATCCGATGCTCTGCCAATTGAGCCATAGAGTCGACTCGTTGTGGGTTTTGGTGCTTTGTGTTAATGAAATCTTTCAAATTTTAATAATAAGAGCTTATGTAAAGTAATCAAATCATTTAATTGATTATTTGGCTTCAATGTATAACACCACCTGTGGGCCAAGTAGTATATTAAAGAATCAAATCTGGTTTGCTTTTATAATAAACATTATTAGCAACCGGTTTTTTTGGTGTTGCCAAACTGTTGTCTTGGTATATATATATTTTTTTTTTTCTGACTCTAATCTTTTATTCTTTTTTTTTTATTATTCATCTCTTATTCAACTAACAAGGAAATAATGACCACCGAAGAAAACATTCAATCAGTTGAATTGTTACAAGATTTAGGAATCAATGCTGGAGATATCAATAAACTAAAATCTGCAGGAATTTGCTCAATTGCTGTATGTGTTTTCAGAAAGATGTTTGAATTTGCAGCCAAATACTAACTTCTAATGAATAGTCAGTCTTGTCTACTACAAGACGAAACCTAACCAAAATCAAAGGATTAAGTGAAGTCAAAGTAGAAAAAATCAAGGAAGCAGCTAGTCGATTAAAGGTATGTTATTCACTATCAGTCTACAAAGTAAGTTGACCATCTACTAACAACAAATTTTCTAGACCGTGGGATTTGTTCCAGCCACTGTGGTTGCCGAATTGAGAAACAATGTTTTTCATATCACCACTGGCTCCAAACAATTTGATGAAGTTCTTGGTGGAGGAATTCAATCAATGAGTATTACTGAAGTATTTGGAGAATTTAGATGTGGAAAAACCCAGTTGTGCCACACCCTATGCGTTGCTGCACAACTTCCAAGAGATATGGGAGGAGCAGAGGGTCGAGTAGCATATATTGATACAGAAGGTACATTCCGTCCTGATCGTATTAGATCAATTGCAGAAAGATATGGAGTTGATCCTGATACTTGTTTAGAAAACATTTCCTATGCTAGAGCACTTAATAGTGAACACCAAATTGAACTAGTTGAACAATTAGGTCACGAATTTGCAGAAGGTACATTCAGGCTTTTGATTGTTGATTCGATTATGGCTTGTTTTAGAGTTGATTTTTCTGGGAGAGGGGAATTAAATGAACGTCAACAGAAATTAAACCAGCACTTGTCAAACTTAACAAGAGTTGCTGAAGATTATAATATAGCTGTTTTCTTAACCAATCAAGTTCAATCAGACCCTGGTGCAAGTTCTTTGTTCGCTGCTGCTGACGGAAGAAAGCCAGTTGGCGGTCACGTATTAGCTCATGCATCAGCTACAAGAATTTTGTTAAGAAAAGGAAGAGGAGAAGAAAGAGTAGCCAAATTGCAAGACAGCCCAAATATGCCTGAGAAAGAATGTGTTTATGTTATTGGTAATGGAGGTATTAGAGATAGTACCGATTAAATGTGTGTCTAGACAAAGTCGTGTCTCTTGGTTGCAATATTCTTTTTTTTTTTTTTTTTTGCTAATAAAACAATTAAACCCAATTGGGAAATCATATTAGGGCTGGCATGACGCGTGGTGAAAAATCAAGTAAAGAAAAAAAAAATGAACTTTATCCATAAAGAAAAAGGAAAAGAAAAAAAAACTCTGTGTTGAATTACCAAACAAAAAAAAAAAAATTCTTTCGTTAGTTTGTTTAAATCAAAAACTTGTTTTTTTTTAAAAATTGTTTATTTATTTATTGTTATTAGCTATTAGAAATAAGAATACAAGTCATGTCATCTCCACCTCAAAGTAGTAATAATAACCATACTAATGGTCAACAGGATTCACTTGAAAGAGAATCTGAATCCATCTCACAGAGTCAACAACCTCCAATTGTTTCATCTCCATTATTTTTCAATTCATCTAATCCAGGTTCAGATATCGGATCCAATAACTTCAACTCACAAAGTCAAAGAAGAAATGATATTTCTTCTCCATTACATTATACCTCATCTGCACAACCAACATCAGATATTGGTTTTGATTCTCAAAGATCTGCTAGAGTTCAAGATGTGGGTAGAATCATGAGACGTGCCCAAAGAAGTGATATTCAAGATAGTACTTCATCTCCACTGCGTAACAGAAGATATTTTAATCCAGTGAGAGGTGGTCCACAAACTCCTTCAAACTTGGGATCTGCTACTTCACAACAATACAGCACGGATCCAGCCGAACCAAATGATGAGCCAGTAAGAGTCATTTGGGGTACAAATGTTTCCATTCAAGAATGTTCTAATATTTTCAGAGAATTCTTATTGTCCTTCAAGTATAAATATAGAAGGGATATGGAAGGTGAACTTGTTGAGCCAGAGGACCATGAGTTGTACTATGTGAATCAATTGAATACTATTATGGAATTGGGATTGACAAATCTTAATTTAGATGCCAAAAATTTGTTGTCTTATCCATCCACTAGAAAATTATACTATCAGTTAATTAACTATCCGCAAGAAATTATTCCAATTATGGATCACACCATCAAGGATTGTTTAATTCAAATTATTAATGATTCAGGTACTACCAGTCCTGCAGAATCAAAACTTGATGAAATTGAAACTAATGTTTATACCATTCGTCCATATAATGTTAACATGGTTGAAAAGGGTATTCGTGAATTGAACCCTAATGATATTGACAAATTGGTTAGTGTTAAAGGTTTGACTTTGCGTTCTACATCGATTATTCCGGACATGAAAGTTGCCTTTTTCAGATGTAATGCATGTGGTCACACTGTTGGTGTTGAAATTGATAGAGGGGTTATTTCAGAACCAACTAAATGTCCTAGAGAAGTTTGTGGTCAACGAAACTCAATGGTACTTATCCATAACCGTTCTTCATTTTCTGACAAACAAGTCATCAAATTACAAGAAACACCAGATTTGGTTCCTGATGGTCAAACTCCACACTCTATTAACTTGTGTGTCTATGACGAATTGGTTGATTCTTGTCGTGCTGGTGATCGTGTTGAAGTTTGTGGTATTTTCAGATCCACCCCTGTCAGAGCCAATCCAAGACAAAGAGCGTTGAAAAGTTTATACAAAACTTATTTGGATATTGTTCATATTAAGAAGATTGACAAGAGGCGATTGGGAGGTGATATTTCTACATTGGAACATGAAGTTGCTGAAAAGGATCAAGAAGTTGAGCAAGTTAGAAAGATAACTGCTGAAGAAATTGAAAAGATTAAAGAAATCTCTGAACGTGATGATTTATATGAAGTTTTAGCCAGATCATTGGCTCCTTCTATTTATGAGATGGATGATGTTAAGAAAGGGATCTTGTTGCAGTTGTTTGGTGGTACCAATAAAACTTTCAAGAAAGGTGGTAGATATAGAGGTGACATCAATGTGTTGTTGTGTGGTGATCCATCCACTTCGAAATCTCAAATCTTACAATATGTTCATAAAATCGCCCCAAGAGGGGTTTACACATCTGGTAAAGGTTCTTCTGCCGTTGGTTTGACTGCTTATATCACCAGAGATATTGATACCAAGCAATTAGTTTTGGAAAGTGGTGCTCTTGTGTTATCTGATGGTGGTGTTTGTTGCATTGATGAATTTGACAAAATGAGTGATGCTACAAGATCGGTGCTACATGAAGTTATGGAACAACAAACTATTTCTATTGCTAAAGCTGGTATTATCACTACCTTAAATGCTAGAACTTCTATTTTGGCATCGGCAAATCCTATCAATTCGCGTTATGATCCAAACTTACCGGTTACTGCAAATATTGATTTACCACCACCTTTATTGTCGCGTTTTGATTTGGTTTATTTGATTTTGGATAAAGTTGACGAAACAATTGATAGACAATTGGCTAGACATTTGACTGATATGTATTTGGAAGATACTCCTGAAACTGTCAACACTAGTTATGTTTTGCCGGTCGATTTATTGACCCTTTACATCCAATACGCTAAAGAAAACTATAATCCAGTTATGACTGAAGAAGGTAAACATGAATTAGTGAGAGCATATGTTGAAATGAGAAAATTGGGTGAAGACGCTAGATCTTCTGAAAAGAGAATCACTGCCACTACTAGACAATTGGAATCCATGATTAGATTATCTGAAGCCCATGCTAAAATGAGATTATCTGAAAGAGTTGAATTAATTGATGTTAAAGAAGCTGTTAGATTGATTAAATCTGCAATTAAAGATTATGCTACTGATCCAGTCACTGGTAGAATTGATATGGATATGATTCAAACGGGTACTACTAATCAACAAAGAAGAGTTCAAGAAGATTTAGCTAATGAAATTTTAAAGATCATTGATGAAAATAACAACTTAATTAGATTCAATGATTTGAGTATGAAATTGAATGAAAGATCTTCTATTAGAGTCGAAAATCTGACTATTAATGAAACTTTAAAAAGATTACATCAAGAAGGTAAGATTCTTGAAACTGGTGATAGTCATAGAAGAACAATTAGAAAAATTGCAATTGTTTAGAATTTGTGATGTTGTTTGTAGTTTATTGTGTATTATTATTATTATTATTAAAATTATTGTTTGTTTCGTTTATATTTATACATATAAGTATATTATTTACAGATTTTTCTTTAAATCATCTAATAGAATGATTTCTTTGGTTTTGGATCATTCAATTGAGTAGCAATCACTACTGGTTCTTTAATCACAGGAGCTTGTTCTTGTTGAACTTGTTGGTCTTCTTTTTCAACTTCATCTGCTACTTGTTTCAAGAACTGATCTAATTGTTCATCAACTTCAACATCTGTTCTTGAATTGTATTTATTTTCAGTAAATGAATTAGCCAATTTTAATTCTTGAGCAATATCAACTTTTTCATTTCTTTCTAATTTAGCAATTAAATCTTCTAATATTTCAAATTTCAAATTATATGATTTTGATAAAGTTTCTAAATTTTTCCTACTATTTATCATATCAACAATTATAGATGTTGTTATTAATGTCCAAATCAATGATTTGGTTGTTGGAGTATTCAATAAATCAAAGAATTTTGGTTTAGTACGAACATATTGTTTTGCAGTGGTTGAATTAAATCTGCTAAAAAGTAATCGAGAACTTCTACTTATTGTCAGAAGATTTCTAGTAAACATTATTGTGGTAGATAGTGAATGATGATGATGTTGATGATGATGGTTGATTCGGCTTTGAGGTGTAATTTTTTTTTTGTCTGTTTTTTCATTGCACGAGATTTCGTCCGTTCGTGCCCTACGGCGGAGATGGTGGTAGTGCGGCGGCGGCGGCGGTGGTGGCCGTGATAGCTACGTGTATGGCCGGAGCGATAAGACTAAAGCAAATAAAAGGGCAATCAATAAAGAACAAGCAAGAAGACAAAGAAAGAAAAAAAAAAATGAACAAGTTTTGTTTTACCAAATATCTCAGAGGAATTTCAGGTTATAACACTGATAACAAGAAACAACCCATTTTTATTTAAAAGAACAAAAAACTAATAACCAACTTTCATTATATTAACCATGAAGGTACCCAAAGTCACCAGTATAATATTGGTGGTATTACTATCTTTAACATTCCTAAATTTCATGCTAAAATATTATACATATTTTGTATTAATGGTTTCATCAACTAAAAAACAACAAGAATTACAACAAGGTCAAGGTCAAGGACAACTGAATCAAGAATCCCATTCTCAATTGGCTCAAGAAACTGGTGAAATACCTCATCCTCATGAATTATTTGTACCGTTATTAACATTCATCCCCACAAAATCACCTGTTTTGACACGACCTTGGGTTTTAATAACTTCAAGTTTTATTGAGGAGAATTTTTTTGAATTATTTATTAGTATTTTATTGATTTTTTATCTATCAAGATATTTAGAAACTATTTGGGGTTCTAAAGAATTTTCTAAATTTATAATAGTAAATGTAATTGTTAGTAATATAACTATTTACATATATTATAATTTGAAATCTTTAGTATTTGGAGAATTGACAAATGATAATTTACCTCCAGTTATATTAAGTTCTATGTCAATTAATATGGGGTTAATTATTGGTATTAAACAAAGAATAGCAAATCATTATTTGATATTTTTCAAAGGAAATCTCAGAATTAAAATTAATTATTTACCATTCTTGACAATTATATTTACTTGGGTTTTATCTTTATTAAGTGAAGAATTTTTTATATTATATGTCATGAGTATTGTTGGATTTATTGTAAGTTGGACATATTTAAGATTTTTTAAAGCAAGTGCTAATGAAAGACAATCATATTTATTACCATTTTCAATAAGTCATAATAATAAAAAGAAAAATAGATTTAAACCAGTTACAAATGTTAATCAAGCAACTAGTACTAATTTCCCAATTGAAAATGATTCAATTAGAGGTGATAGATCAGAACAATTTGCATTTTATACATTTTTCCCATATCCTTTATCAATTATAGTAAAATTTATTTCCAATAAGATTTTTATGTATATGGTAAGACATAAATTTTTAAATCCTCATGATTTCCTTCCAGATGAAGATGATGTTGATGGTGAAGATAATGATCAAGAACAATATCAAGATGTTGATACTTTGAAAAATAACCTTTTTGGTGTATCCTCATTAAAAGGTGCTGGTGATGTCTCCACCATTCCTAAATCAATCTGGGATTGGTTGATACCTGGTAACAAAGATAAAAATCATAACAGTATAAAGACAAGTATGGATAAACGTAGAAAATTGGCCCTAAAAGAATTGGAATAGTATATGAGTATATGAGTATATACATATATATATATATATATATATATAAATTTATAAATATTTATTTACTTATGATAAGCTTCTCATTACTCTAGTGATTGTTTAATGTTTCCTAATAGTTCATCACTTCTATTATACCAAGCTTCTATACTATCTTCATTTTCTGGGTATACTAATGCAATATTATTAAATAATCGTTTTATTTGTGATGTATTGTTCAGTAGCTTCCATTGTTTCATGGATAACAAGTACCATAATGCTGATTTTCTATATCTTGTACATCCAATAGTGGTTGCATTCTTCGGTACTGGCATTTTCATTTGATTAACATACATTCCTTCTTCCTCTTGTTCTTCTTCCTTGGTATTATCCTGACCTGTAAGAGTTTCCTGTAATAGTGAATAATTTTCCCATAATAAAAATATCGATCTGCCAGCATTATAACCTAATCTTTCATGCAAAATAGCTTTTATAATCAGATAATTATAAGTTGTCATTACTCCTGCTAAATGGTGTTCGAAATCACTGGATAATTTCAAAAGATACTTTTCAATCATTTCATACCACCAATAGGAAATATGGAAAATTTGACTCATGCACAACAACAACTCCACCACAATAATCATGGTTCTGAAACTAAAAGTTTTCAAATTTAATCTTGATTTAAACGTATATGATAAGTTATCCATATATGGATCGATTATATCATGTCTAATCTTTCTTAATGTGTTTTTATCTGGAACTGGGGTTTTAATCGTTGGGTTTAAGTTTTGTTGAGTTTGTGCTAATAATAATGAAACAATACACATTTCTTGTGTTGATGCAACATAAACCCATGCTCTATCATTACTGTAATCTTTTCTAATTATTTCATATGTCGAATAAGCATACTTGAAATCTTTCAACATTATTGACCAATCAGCTAGTTTTCTTAAAACTTGTTCTGAAGACGATTTATAATAATAATTTTCCTGATAATTAAATGAAGAATTTGGATTATTACCTCCATTTTTTATAGCAGAATTATTTAGTAAATTTGTATCACTGTTATTCCCGCTATTGAACAATTTCCTTGAAACCAGGAAAAATCTCCCCGTAATTGATTTCTTTGGTTGTAACATCTGATCATCCCATAATCTAATCTTTGCTTGCATATGAGGAATTAAAAATTTGTTGATATATTCACTTAATTTAGTTCGTATAGTCACATCTATACTCTTGCTTATTTGAAACCCATCATTTGATTCATTCAAGCTAATTCTTTGTAAATCTTCTTCAATTGTACAATTCTCAATTAATGATATTATATTTTTATCCTCCTCAGTTTCTTCATTATTATAGTTCATGGGGAATATAGTACAATTAAGATTTAATTTATTCTTGATTTCATTTGAGAAACTTACAATTTCATTACTGGAAAATTTACCTAAATCATAAATAATAAAAATATGAACCATTAAATCATCAATTTGGAAATATTTTGGGAAATTAAAATTTCTAAAATCAACAATTAATTTTCTTAAATCTTCTATTGAATCAGTTTCATAATCAATAATGAAAATTTGACTTACTGGATGATTAAATGTTTCAAATGGAGTAATTTGATTTGAAGTAATCATCTTATCAAATAATGTTAAGTACATATCTTTGCCATTATCTTTCGCCACATGTCTTAAATAACTTTCTAACGAAGAAATACTAAACAATTGATTCAACGGTGTTCCGCTGTTTCCACTATTATTACTCCCACCTATAATACCTTCATTCAATGATGAATGTGATAAAGTTGGTGAAGAACTAGAAGCAAGTCTATTCAGTGATTTACCACCAATATTGCTATTGCTTTGAGCATTTAAAATACTTAAAAGTTCAGGTAAAGAAGGTTCAAATCTTATGGGGAAACTAGCATAATTTTTCGTCATCAACTGAGTATTTAATATTTTATATTGTTGATTTGGTACTGAATATTTGGCATTGTTCCCATATGGTTTGAATATTTGTAATGTGGAGATGTTTTGATTATTCGTTATTGATTGAAAAATAACATCAACATTATGAGTAGCATGAATTGAAATTAATGGTGAGAATGTATGATGCAATAAATGTTGTCTTGAAATTAACGGATCTAATCCCTTTGGGTAGTCCATTGCTGGCTAATATAAAAAATGAATGTATGAAATGTAGATGAATTTAAAGTTGAGTTGTAAAAGATTTCTTTACTACGGTGTTGATGATTTTCCTTTAGGCTTGAACTGACGAAAAAAAAAAAAAAAAAAAAAAATCAAATCAAAAAAGTCAAATTGTGATTCCCGCAAACGGAAGCGAATGCGGCACTCATAAAGAGAACTAAATTATAAAAAAAGATATAAATAATAAAACTCTTATTAAATAAACACTTATAAAATCTAAAAGAAAATCAAATAAAGAATAATAATAAAGGAAAACCAAAAACGCCAATATTTACTGTTAGAAAGAAAGCAAAAAAACCCACATACTACTTGTATGATTAAATTAATAAAATATCATATTCTATTTTTCTCTTTGTAAATCGATTTCATGTAATAAATCTTCAGGATTAACTGCATTCATCATTTCATTTTCCTCGATTCTTTGTGCTGGAACGTATCCATCTTTTCTGGGCCTGAATAATGCAAAATATGGAATAATGTATAACAACCCTAATAATGTAGTTGATCCTAATGCACATGCTAATGAAATACCAACTACTTTACCACGAGATAAGAATCTATTCTTACTTTTCAAATCATCGGAAGATTGAAATCTATTGGAATCATCAATCAAAATAGACCTAATGTCTCCTATTTCTAATGAATTGCTCAGATCCAGTGATTGACTTGTGAATACGTATGGGATCCATGAAGTACCATTGTACAACGCCATGTTAACTAATCCATAATCTTTCAAATCAAAAATACCAGCAACAGTCAAAATGTTACTTTTATCAAAATACGTTCCATTGTAATTACTTGACGAAGATAATGTTAATAATTTGATATCATTAAATGTGGTATAATTTTCATAAACAATATCGTCATCAATTCTGTTCCAATGAGTACCGTCAAACCCATAGATAGAGTCTTGACCCATGGCCACTAATCTTCCATTCAAATTCTTGTTATTTTCATCATTTAAGATAAATCTTTCAACGCTAGCATCAATATCATTCAAAGTATCTTTGGTAGCAAATGCTGCAGTTTGGAAATTATATGTCAAGAAATTAACATTGCTGTTATTTAGAGTCAAATTGGTACCCACAATCAAAGCTTGGTTACTTTGGAAGAATTTCATATCAGTAACAACACCAGACACACTAATGGATTGATCATTGGAATCTTGGGGATTAATCCATCTAGTGTTTTCAATATCATAAACACACAATGAAGGACATGACAAAGAACCAGCAAGATCAAAGTCGCCACCAACTAATAATCGATTACCTTCGTTAAACAACACCATAGAATTGACTTCGATTGGATCACCATTACTATTAGACAATACTGGTGGTTGGAATGATGTGAATGTGTCGTTGATCAAGTCGTAGATCACAATACCCGTGAGGTTCAGGGAATCCCCAATAGCAACAGAGCCGTTAACTCCCATGAAAAGATATTCATTATTGTTATCAACATATAATGATTGGATCATAGTATCGTCACCCCATGTCGCATTACCTTGTAATGACCTCATCGCATTTTCAGGGTTATTATTGTCAATAAATCCCACATTCTTGACATTATTAGATTCAAATCTACCACCAATTATACTTAAGGAGCTGTTGACGTAGAAAGAATTGGTTATTATAAATGATACATTCTTGTTAACCTCAATCCCAAACTGGTTGAACTTTCCATCTGAAATATAAGCTTGATCTGTGGTGTAAAAATCCATTGTGTTAAATCCAGAGCCACCAAGTATCTGTTGACGTTCATTCAACACAGCCGCTTGACTAAGATTCAATTGTCTATTAGAATCTGTGACCCAAGTCAAGTTACCATTATCCCAAGTTCTAAAGACACCATCTCCTGAAAACACGTAGTATTCAGTGCCATTGATTGTGACATTAGTAAATTGGTTGAAACTAGTAGGTTCATAATCATTTCCAAAACTATACCATTGTTTATCTGAATATAATGCAAAGTTATTAGCTGAGGAGACAGTTTCATTGTCATTTGATAAGTCTTTAATATCACTTGAACCGCTAACATCCAATGCAAAGTCACCAATGGCTAACACACCTTGAGGAAGATTGATTAATCTGGAAATAGAATTATTAAAGCTACCTCCAAGAATTGATTGAGAATCTCTTTTTAATAATCTATTTGGAAGATTGATGATGGTCTCATTTGCTGTGGAGTTATAAGATTCAATGGATAATTGAAGTAAATTATTATTAGACAATGTAAGGTTTTCGCTATCTGATTTGAAATTTCCCAACAACATTAAACTATCGTTTCCTTGCAAAATGATTTGATCAACCACAGTATCATTGGAAAAACGGCCACTTAACAAATTGATAGAAGAGTTACCAACAAATGTGTTATTTTGACTGATATATGTTCTATTGTTTCTTTTGTAGTGTACCAACAGTTCATCGAAATAGGAAAAATTTGCCAATGAATATTCAAATAACCCATTCAATTTGATTGTTGTTAATTCAGAACGAGTACTATTTCTGGTGTGGTTTGTCAGATTCTTATCATAAATACTGTCCAAAGAGACAATGTTTGCAATGACTTTGTCGACAACCATAAATGGTTCTTCAGAAGATGGGTCAACACGATCATGGTAGGATATTTCAATTCTATTTGTTCCAGAGGTGGTTGTTGATCCATTCAAATGACCATAGAATAAGTAGTCAAATTTGAAGTTTTCATTATTTTGGTAGATTAAATTTGTGGCCAAAATATTATCATGGTCACCAAAAACAGTAACATTCACAATGGCTCTTTGGGAACAAGAATTGTCGGATGCACAACCTGGAGTTGTCATAATAATTGAATAATTACCAGAGTATGAGATATTTGGAAATAATGTCATCTTGGCAGTAGTATCATGAGTTACCAAGTAATCGTAGTCAGTAACACCTGAATCTATTTCTTGAATCGATTCAAAAGTTCCAGAATTAATTTCAGCATAGTTGTTATTATCCAGACTGAAATCAAAGTCACAATTTGGTTCATTTAATGTGTTGTTACCATACACGGTAATTGCGTTTTGATATAATTCAAAACCAGCCAAAATACCTTGTTCTCCATACCAATCAACAATGGTGACAATAACTTCATCGACGCCAACTTCATTAACAAAGGCAAATTCTTGGAAATCAGAACCGTAACCCAAGTTTTTAGTATTGGTTGATGGGTCATAATATTGGAAATAGGAACCATTTTCTTCATCAACGAAAACCGAGCTATCTTCATTTAACTCAGTAGCATTGGCAATATTGTTCTCCACATGATCATTCAAGTCATCAAATGATAATAAAGGACACCAGGCATCACAGTATGCTAATTCATTTGTAGCTGGATCGATATAAGTTAAATTCATAATACCATTATTTGGATAGGAATAAATTCTAAACAATTTAATACCATTTGAACCTTCAGGAATGTAAAGTCTAGCTTTAGTAGGTTGAACACCTTTCATTTCACTTGGCAATTGCACTCTCCATTCGGCACCGGAGTTTGGTATTGCTGCCCATTCATTACCATTTGCAGGACAAATAATGGCACTTGCATCTTCATCTGAATCTTGACCATTTACTGTTGTAAAAGTCCCGTGTCGAAGGGAAATTAATTGTTCAGCACTGACAATGGTAGTGTTACTTGTATTGGAGTTTTTAGTTTTATTGGTAGTTATATTATGAACCAATAAATCAGATAATCCAAGGGTATCAAATTGACCTCCAAATACAATAGAACCTAATTGATCATTTTCTTCACTGTCATCATCATTCTTATTATTCAAGATTTTGGCAATGGTATTAACTACTGAGTTTTCACCAAAACCTTGGAATAAAGTGGATTCAACTTTTTCAGCAGAAATATTATATACTGCTGCACTATAAGTATTATTGAATTTGAAATCACCTCCAAGATATATCAAACCATTGTCATGAAATACAGTATTTACAGAACCATTTATATCATCTTCAAAAATTGGAGTGATTTTTTTACTTGAAGTTTCATAAATAATTGGACTGATAACTGACTTGTTGTTGAACTTTGTAAAATTACCATTGATAAGGACTGTCTCATTTGTTAATACAATCAATTGATTAATTTGACCATTTACATCAGCAAATTTTAAGCTGAAATTCTGTTCGATATCCTGGATATATAAACTATCGGTAGGTTCAGAAGCCGTTGATGATGATGAGGAAGTATTATTTGTTACGTCATCCCTTTTTGTTAATAAATTTGAAGACCCAGTTGGTGGGTTAACAATTTGTGAAGAATTTATATATGAATAGAAGGATAAAGCTTCAAATGATCCAAACAATCCTATTCTACTACCAAAATCCCCGTAATTGAACTCTGGTAGTGATACTGGTTGGAAAAGATCTGCTGCATGACATAGGACAGTTATTGATGTTATTAGAAATAATAAAGATTGTAGTGAAAGTTTCATGTTGTAGTAGTTTTATAGTAAATCAGAATGAATTAAAAAATGAAAAATGACAAAAATACAAAACAGAAACAGAAATAGAAACAGGAACAATGAACGAATGACTGATGAATATAAAGAACTGAAGCTAATGATTGGTATAATTATAAGTGTAAATGTATGTTGATGGTTTGCAAAAAAAAAATTCACTATTGGTTGTCCTTTTGAATGTCTGTTTGTTTGTTTGTTTGGTGTGTGTTTTTTTCTGTATGGTGTTGTCTGAGGTTTGAATCAAAAATTTTTTTTTTCTTTTGGTCGTCTCTTTTTTTTTCTACCTTCCTTCTCTTTGTTGTTGTTGTTGTTGTTTTACGTTTGACGCACATTTCATTCCCACTCAAAATCTGTCTTTGTTTACATTCTGAGTTTTAAAAGATTGAACTGCGTTTATCCCCCCATGCAATTGAACAGAATGATGCAACAACAGTTAACAAAAACATAACTAATAATCAAGTATATTGACAGCGACATGTTTTCTGGTCTAAAGTATTTCTTTTTATTAAAGAACACCACCATTGGACTAAACACGGTGTGGGACCAGGGGGTCGTGCACAAGATCCCCAATTATTAAAACATTCGATTTTGTGTGATTATGTTATTGCCGCTTTTTAGTTTGGTTCTTTTTTTTTCGTGTCACTGTGGCAGTTGTTGTTGTTGTTGTAAAATATGCAACAATGTGTACAATCTGTTCCTGTCTTTATCTCTTTTACAAATAACAATAAAGTATGTACACACACTTCTCCAATATATCATATTCTGTAAATATATAATATTCATGGATTCTTTTGTATATTCATTCTTTCTGGTTATGTATCCAATGATGTTATTTATCCCTTACTTTCTCTCTTTTTTTCTTCGTTATTTCTATTATATGCACGTATTACTAAAAGCCACAGGACCCTACATGAAATTATCTCCCTCGTAGTCAAGTCAAGACCAATTAACAATTAGATCTATAATTAACTGGCATGATACACTACAGTAAGTTGTTAAAAAAGAATCGAATTACCTGATTTGATTCTATAATAAACAATATTGATAATAAGGAATAAATTTAAAGTATACAATTTTATGAAATAATCTTATGAATTTAATAATTTCTTCCCGATTTTAAACCAAAATTTTTCAAAAATAAGATCAAGAAAAACATCATTAAAAGATATCAATTACCACTCTCTGTAAGGCTTACTTAAATTTATATCCAACCAAAATATAATCTAGTATCAATATCATCTATTATAAGATAGTAATATAAATTATTCTGTTTTAATGCCATAAGAAAACTAAATCTGTTAACCCCATTATGCAGGAACTCACAACAAGTCGACTCTATGGCTCAATTGGCAGAGCATCGGATTCCAATAACTGGAATTCTCGGTTTGAAAAAATCCGAAGGTTACAGGTTCAAGTCCTGTTAGGGTCAATTATTTTTTTACATCTATATTCATCATTATCTTTTCATAGATCACTTTAATCGACCATAAATAGACATAATGATATAGAATACATAGTAATATTTTTTTTTCTTATGTTTAATTCTTTTTTTGCTTTCAAATCTATACTATAATAATAAAATATAATCATGTTTGTGGTTACAATGGTTATTGTTGTTGTTGTTCTTCTTCTTCTTCATCACCAATATCGAAAAGTCTATCATCAGTAGCAACTGATTGTTCAATTTCTTGAGCGTCATCATCAAAAGCATTTGCTTCTTCTTCATCATCATCACCATCAATAAAAGGATCTCTTCTTGAGAAATCTTCAGTACTAAGTCTACCATCTTCCAATTCATCATCTAAATTATCTTGGAAATCACCAAATAATTCATCTTCTTCATTTTCAAAATTTGGAACATTAACATAATTTCTATGACCTGGAGATCTTCTAAAAATTGCATTACTAACTTTTTCCAACAACATAAGATCAATTTTTAATATTGTTTTAGCTGTGGCTACAACTATAGCTGCAGTAAAAATACCACCTCTAACGATTTTATTAACCACAACATCAACTTGATCATTTTCAATTGGATTAAATCCATCTTCTTCATCTAATCTAATTTGTCCCAATCTTTTAAATCCTCCATTTCTACGAATACCTCGATCATAAACAAACCAAACACTTGCCAAGAAGATCAAGAATGGAATGAAAATAACAAAGAATAATTTATGTCCTGATACATCATGTCCATAAAATTCATCAAATTCTTTTTGTTTACCAGGACATGCTTTAGGATTCCAATTATCAAATTGTTGTCCTCCTTTACATGTAGATAATGGAATTTTTCTATATCCAGTACTTTCAAAATATTGGAATGCATTTTCTTTTTCACACATCGATTTTTGATAATCTTTTGAACTTAATCCTTTAACTAATTTACAAGTATTATCATTTATATCACGATAATAATTATAATCACATTCATAATCACGACGAGTACAAGAACAATTCTTCACTTGTTTATATCCAATATCTAATGGTGCACTACCAATAAAACAATCAGTACGACCAACAATTCTTCTCAAATATTTGGATTCATGTCCAAAAATACATTTATCACCACTTTGTGGATAAGTAGGTGTCCAATATTCATAATCATCATGTTCTGGATCATCCAAATTCAATTGACATTGACGTTCATGAATGTTTGTAAAATCAATACAAATTGCCAATGTATCATGAGAATCTTTAGGATTTTCAGTAAACAACAAGAATTTTCTAGCAGTATCAGTTGGGACGGTAGCTAAATCATTGATCTTCAATGGTGAATCAATAAATTTAAATTCATTCCAAGTTTTACCATCATCAAGTGAATATAAAATACTATCCGTGGATTGAACCGCATCAACAAGAACCAATATAGTTCCTTGATCACCATATTCCCACATATAAACTCCTTTCTTGATTTCTTTCCAAGTAACACCTCCATCAGTACTAAGGAAAGTAGAACCAGAGTCCATAGGAGTTAAATATTCACCAACATTACCGACACCAATCAAGAACCCAGTGGCTGAACCACTGGAAAAAGTATCTCTATAATCAGCTCTTTCAGTAAATCCATGTAAATGCAATGCACATTTACTTAAAGATTGACCACTACATGGATATTTCTTACCTTCAGAATCAACTGCTGGAGGTACCAAATAATTCCATTCACTTCCGTCATTATGCGAAATCAAAGTTTGTAATTTCTTTTCACCTTGACCATCTTTGGCATTGGCAACAACATTGGCAATAATAGTGCCTTCCAAACCATCAATTTTATCAAAATCAACATATCCTTCAGTATTTCTATTTACATTATCCAAAGAAACAACAAAATAAGTACCATTGGAATTGGATTTCAATAAAGGACCATATTCAAAGTTTGGCTTTTCACTAGTGGTAACATGCATGAAAATAGCCTTTGAACTTGAATCCAAAACAGTAAATGCTTGATGAGATCCAACCTTCAAATCATGAGGGAAATCTGCATCAGCAAAAGTAGTTCCATCAACAGATACTTTAGACAACAAAGAATTCTTCTTTTCATCAATAGTGGCAACAACAACATAATTACCTGTTAAGGCAAATCCAACTATATTGTCGAAAACTTTTTCTGGTTGAGAACTTGGAGATTCTAAACTAAACATTTCTAATCTTCTATCATTAGGACTGGAACAATAGATAACTTTATTTGGTTTTTCAAATATAGAACCAACAAAATCACAAGTTTTAACATTCTTCATCAACTCATTAAACGAAGCACCGGCATCATCAGTATAATATGCATTTACGGTACATTTACCATTGCTACAATCTTCACCAAACCAAATGAATTCCTTGGCATTAGTATAGTGGAAAGAAACTGCTCTGTAAACTTGAGAAGATAAAGAACTTGGTGCCTTTTGCTTAGTGAAAGTTGCACCACCATCATCAGATACATAAATAATATCCGAATCAGTGATGAGAATAACTGTACCAGCAACAGGTCCAGTATAGAAACCCAAGATTTTATCAGAAACAGGAACTTCAACAAATGATTCTCCACCATTATTTGAAATCCAAAGTTTATCATCACGAGTTTAACAACAACATTGTCTGAGCAGACTTGTCTTCTGAATCAGCAA